TCCGTCAGGAGAGCCGTAAGCCAGCGCTCCACCAGGCCCGCGCACTGCTTCGCGGCATCCTGGTGGTCCGACCTCACCCTGTCCACAATCTGGCCGAACTTGTCAGAGTGCCACCGGAGCAGTTCGGTGGCAATCTTCCTCCTTGAAGGCATCCCTTCTGCGCTCGGACGAAGCGGGTGGCAGGATGAACTCCTTCACGGCGTCGTAGGTTATGCTCTCCGGAGAAGTCACCGTGTGGAAGACCGGCCAAGGCATCATGTCCCCCGGAATGTCCGTCGGGGCCTCTGTCGACTTCAGCACCTCCCACTTCTTGTCGTAGAGCTGGAGGGCCTCCACGAAGCCACGAGCCTGCTCTGCCTCTTCCATGAGCCGCTGTTCTGTGTTGGCTTGGCGGCGCTCCCTCCCCCGCTCCCACTCCTCTTTCGCCTTCCGTTGAGCCTCGGCGCGTCGCTCCTCTTCCTCACGTTTGCGTATCTCGTCCTCGCGTCTGCGTTGTTCTTCTTCTTGCTTGCGCTTCTCTTCTTCGATGCGCTGCTTGTGGAGCTCGTTGAGCCTCTCGACCTCGGCCAGCCGCTCCGCCTCTCTGCGAGCTTCTTCTTCAGCGCGTCGCTTCTTGAGCCTTGCTTGCTGCTTGAGTAACCGCCGTCGCCGTTTCGCCTCGATCTTGAGCTCCTCTTCGTGGCGGCGCTTCTCCTGCTCCTCCGCTATGGCCTTCCCCAGCTCTGTCTCGGGTGCGAGTTCCTGCGCCATGCGTGCGCGGTACTCCACGTCGCGCTGCTTCCACTGCTGCGCCCGAGACGAATGCTTCGCGCGCTGCACCTTGTGCTCCGCCTCATGCAAAGCTCTGAGCCACGGTTCGCGCCTCTCCATCCGCGCCAGCTCGTTGGCCATGTGGAGGTCGTACTGATCTAGCGGCTGACCGAACACCACGTCGTCGTGCGCGGGGTCCGTGTAGGCCTCGAGTATCTCGACCGCGGCTTCCTCTGAGATGGGCTCGAACTGCCCCTCCAGATCCCTGGCCAGGGCTCGTTGGGCGGCAAGTGCACGGCCCCGGCGGCGGTCCTTCGCCTTGGCCTTGGGATTGGGACGAGGGGTCTTGAGCGGCGACGCTGGAGGAGAATCTCCGCCGGGTTGCGGGTGGATGTTACGCGGGGGTGCTGTCGGCTGTGGCGCTCCACCACGGGGCGGGTCTCCTTCTGTTTGAAGTCCAGGCTGTGCGGCATTATAATACGGATGAACGCGGCGAGGATTCGCGACGACCGCCCGGCCACGCCGGGCGGGGGGACTACCGGGGCCGCGCAGTGGTCTCGAACGGAACATTTGAGGAGCGACTGTAGACTTCGGTGAACTGAAGCAGCCGCGAACGCTCTTGCGACCTTGATGATACGAGCTGCTAGGAGGGATAGTATGGCGTTAGCACCGATAGCGGAAGCTACGCCAGCGAGACACAAACCTTGATGCTTTGTGAAGGCAGGGCGAGACGTATTGCTGTCTATGAACGGTGTTCTTGAGGAGACGAAAAGCGGATCTCACCTTATTTTACGAGGATATATATTGTCCCTGCGCGAATGTTCCATGCTTGGAATGATGGAACATAGCAACGATCTTGACTACAACTGGAAGTCGACGGCTTTGATAATCGGAAGGTCTGAGCAGGGTTGCGGCGGCATCACGAGGGACATTCCAAAGCGCCACGGTGGCGCCGTGGCCCGCTTTGGCCTCCAAGTTCGATTCTCAACTTGGAACGTTCGAACGCTAGATTGACCCGTGCTAAGTGGCAAACCGAGGAGACGTGATCTCGTAGTAACGCCATTCGAGGACAATGGGCTTCGAGCTTCGCGGCAAACAAGGATCGCTTGGATACACAGCTCCGTGTCGTTCCTAGATCCGCAGGTTAACCGACGACCAGGCCCTCAGGGGCGTGGACCTTCGGTGTAATGAAACTGACGCTGTGATCTGTGTGGCCAGTAGCCTCGAGGCATGGAAGTCCAGGGCCAGTTCTAGCTTGGTTGAGAAGCTCGATCGAGGCCGATCGGGCATCTGCTTTGATTCGAAGCCAGTCTCTTTGTTGACCATCTCCAAGCCACGTTCAACAAGCGAGGACACCCATGCATCATGCGCTACGCAAATGGCCAAAGTGCATCTAGATTGCGCAGTCTTGAACGGCGAATCAACCAACTTAAGCAAGACAAAGCCAACACGCGTATCTTCCCCAGGCAACCGCACCCCGCGCAACAAAGCGTACGTACGTCCACAGAGGCTATGCAAGCCGGTTTTGGCCTCTAGCTCGATGAAGCGAAGAAGGAGCGTCGGGTATATAGGGGGTAGGAAGATGCGGAGGAGGAGCAAGGACTCATCCATCCTCGTATTCGATACTTCAAGCTCTCACCTCAAGCCGCAAACTCGCAAGTCGCAGTCGCCTAAGCCCGTGAGTCTTCTGGCGCATTAGGTGAATGCTCGTGTACTGACCTTGCCTTCAGTCCAGCCATGCCTAAAGTGCCCAAAAACAGGAGAAGGTCCTCGCCACCGTTCTACCAAGACATCGGTACACTACGCGCGCTGTCACCAATGCAAAGTTGCGGGGGCAACTACACATCGCCGCGCAAGCCGCGCAGATCAAGCGTGACACACAACAGACGTCGCGGAGTAGGAAGAACCGGGCCGTACGCAGCTCCAACACTCCAGATGCGGAGCACTATGCCCGTCGACTCGCCCTCCTCCCGAGCGCTAGGCGCAAGCCCTCCGTGTCTCCTGCTAAGAAAGTCAGCTTCGCTCCCCCCGACGACCGTTCTGAGACCGGATCGGCCGACGGTCGAGCGGACGCTCGCGTCAAACACGAGAACGACGATTCCAGCGATGCGGCAACCGACGCCGACGGTGACACCGATATGGGCGACGACGACCGCGGCGAGATCGACGACGTCGACGCACGCAACCGCGAACCGCGGCGGGTGCCCATCGCCCGCAGGAGAGGCATGGTGGGCGACAACCCCTACCCCCTCCCTGGGCCACAGGCTGGTCCAGTCAACCCTGGACTGAACCCGCAGATGTACCACGGCCACATGCCGGGGATTGGTTTCTACGGCAACCCATTCCTTGGGCAGGGGTTTGAGGGACCTTACGGCATGGGCCCACAACAGCCTTTCTTCGGGGAGTATGGTCAGGCCCCGATGCTGCCATTCGGCGCTGCCATGGTGCAACCCTTCGGAGGCGTCATGAACCATCAGGCAATGGGTGCGGGCTACCACCCTTACGGGGGCGTGGCGAACCAGCAGTTCATGGGCATGGGGAACCAGCAGTACCGAGGCGCGCCGAACGACTATCTATTGGGCGCAGGTTACCAGCAGGCGATGGGCGCCGCCGGAGTCCCACCGTTCGTAGGGGCAGGCTACCATCAATTCGGCGTAGGGAACCAGCAGCCCATGGGCCTAGGGAACCAGCACTACGTGGGCGCGAACGGCCTGCCGAACATGGCTGCCGCGATCAACCAGCCCTTCATCGACGCGGGCAACCAGCAGGTCATGGGCGCCGACAACGGTCTGTTCATGGGCGGCATCGGCCAGGACGTCGTGGGTGGCGTCGACAATGCTTGGCTAGACGAGCTGCTCGGCGCCGCTGCGCCAGAGATGCAAGAAGCTGGCCTGGACTTGAACCACAACGCGAACGACGAACCCGGGGTGTTCCAAGCATTGCTCGCCGATGCCATCCCCCCGCCCGACTTCATCAACCAAGGCGCAGTCGCCCCTCCCGTTGTGCCCCTCCCCGAGAACGCCCGACCGCCTTCACCTCCGTCTATCGCTCAAGCTCTTGGAGGCGATGTCCAGCCGCCCGCCGGCCCCGCGGGCTCGCAGAACCTGGCGGACGTCCAACCGCCGGTAGCGGGTCCTTCGAACTCGCAACAAGTGGCTGCCAACGCCCCGTCGCCCGCCGTATCTCCGGCCGCCCTGACTCCCACAGAGGTCGACCAGTCTCAGGCAGGAACGCCGGCGTCGCAAAGCCAAGAGAGCGAGGAAGAGGACGTCAACCCGAGGGGCCGCAGGGAGTCCACTGAGCCTGTGTACTCCGAGGGGGGTTCGCCGGAAGACTATCAAGAGGAGCGTAACATCTCGGATGCAGCGCGCACGTTCGACTTCGGGTCCCGGGTGCCAGAGGAGCCGCAACATCCTTACGGTCGTCGTTACAAGGACTCAAACGGCAGATGGGTCGACGTCATCTACGGCGTGCAACCCATGACAGCATGGAGGTATATGGACGAAGGCAGGATGCCGGCGGACGTGAACCGCGTCAAGCGGATGACTCGGGACACCTAACTGCACTGAGCTTCGAATACTTGAGTCCTTCCCAACACCGTTAATCATGCACTCACATTCCTTCTCATTATCGATTATATGCCACACACTCCCTGCCATGCTTATTTCAATTATGCATCCCGTATCCGTTCTTGCAATTTGTAGCATAGTCAAGTAGATTTCTGCGTCAATATGACTTTCTGTTCACGGGAATGAAAAGATAGCTGAGCCAAGACTGACCTAGAGATAGTGTTGTGCGCATGCATACTCTCCTTCGATCGCTCTATGCATTGAGTTCTAAGCCTGAGTGACGTGGAACCTCCTTGTACTTACAGAGTATGTCGCCTGCGCAAACGTTTCACCTACAGCACATTCCTTGGCCGATATCGTTGTGTCACTACGCTTGATATCAAAGACCTCCGAGTCGGAGCACGACGCCACATGCCCCGTTGGTAGTGGTGAACGACCCTAAGAAGCAGATTGAGATGTCGAGAGGTTGCGCGACGCCACAGATTTCTCGAAGACAACTGACAGCCTATCCCTTGTAGGCCTCGATTGTTCAGTAGTAAGCATGGAGGTTGCGTGACAACTCACACTTGTTATTGCACAGATCATTCTGCGGGCAAGACATCCCGACATGACTCTAGATTGTTTCATGCAGAAGATGAGTAGCAAGGAGCGACGTCAGTACTTCTACAACAGAGGTGTGCGGGGAAATATGCAGCCAATAGTATGCAGAGAGCAAGACTCCCTTGCAGCGTGCCCGATAAGACGAGGAAGCCAATGCATAGAGATACGCCAATAACGACTAGAACCAAACGGTGAGTAAAGGTACAACATAGCAGAATGTGAGGATATCGACGAGTAAATGAGTATATCCAGAGAACGAGACCAAACGCACGACGGACTGTTCCCCGCGCTTCATTCGACCGTTTTCGGCTCGGCTGCTGGTGCGTCGATAGCTTTCCGGCGCTCGAGCACCTGGGCGAACTTCTTCGGGAACCAGCCTTCCCGCCCCTCGCGCGTCCGACCCTTCCACCACTCGCTGCCCTCCACCTACAACGGATTGTCAGCATATACTGCGCACCGTATCGCGCACAACGCACCTCCAACCGCGGATCGACTTCCGCGCCCGTGACGGGATCGAGCTTGCCCATGATCGCGACGATCTCATTCTCGCGCAACGCGAGCTCCGCAGGGGAGGCCGCTTCGAAGGGATAGAGCGCCCGCGCGAATGTCAGCTGCGACGGGTCCAGCGGCGGCAGGCCCGCACCCTGCTGCTCCGCGAGCGCCTGCTGGCGTGCGACAAGTGAGCGCACGAGCCGGTGCATAAGGTACGGTACGCCGAGGACGGCAAGCAGGAAGATGATGAGAGGCTTCTTGCTCGCGCGAGGCGCAGGTGCCCCCTGAGGCTGCACAGCGCGGCCGGCGACAAAGTCCTTGAACTCGCTATGAAGCGGGTCGTGCGTGCGCCCTGTAAGCTTGTCCCGAAGCCAGCGCACGAGCCCGAAGAGGCCGAGTACGCTCCCGAGCGCGGTGCGCAGCTGGCCGATCTGGTCCACGACGCCGACCATGGCGAAGAAGCTGGAGTGCGTTGCGACGAAGGTGGACTCGAGCATCTGGGCGACGCCGCCGAATGTCTGCACGATGCTCTGCAAGAGCGCGAACGTGTGCTGCGTCGCGCCCTCGAGCGTCTGTGTGAGGGAGGGGTTGTTGGGATCTGCGCCGGGAAAGGGTGCGCCGTACATGCCGCCGCCGCCGCCGTAGCCACCCATGCCATAGGGAGAGTACCCGCCATAGCCCATCCCACCCATTCCGCCCATCCCACTCATCCCACCCATGCCATAGCCCATACCTCCTCCGTACATGCTATTCATCCCGTAAGGCGAGTAGGAGGAACCGGGGCGGTTGTAGGGGCTGTAGGAAGAGTAAGGGGATGCACCATATGCGGTCGGGTTTGCTAACGTCGATGATGCGCCAGAAAAAGCAGCTGGTCGAGTGGGGACGCTTGGTGCGGTGCTGGAGGGTGTAGTCGTTGAGGTAGTGTTCACCGGCGCAGGTGCGGGGTTTGGTGCGGACAAAGCCGCCGTTGCCGCGCTGGCCCCTGCACGCTCCCAGGGTTTTGGTGGTGAGGGCATTATCGAGGTCGTTACCTAGTCCCTCCTTGAGTGATCTGCAAGCCCCAGGCTGCTCGGAAAGACGTGAATATTCGGTTGTTGTCTACCCCACGAGACCACTTACAAAGTGATTTCGTAGAAGAATGCGTGTATTAGGGGACTATGGTGGGGGAGCAACACGTTCTGCGGCACGGGTACAACAACCTGAGGCTATGAAGAGTGACGGTGTTGCCGCCGCTCGCCTGGCGATAGGTCGAGGTGGTGGTCAGGAGGAAGCAGTCGGCCCAAGTGTGGCGCGCGACCGTGATACTCGATACAGGCCGTGCAGGTGAATTGACTGCATACTATACCGAACTCTGTTCAATATTTTACTGAACCTGGAACTCTGGATCAGTTAAAATCAGGACCTGCAATAAGGGAATTTTGTACACAGATGCCTTCTTACGGGAACGCAAGTGGTACAGTACGTCCTGATACGCTTGTCACGGTGAACAAATAAGCATATACAAGCTCGAACTAACCGTTGTGACTGCCGCCTGCACGGCCTTCAAATAGCTCTTCTCAGTCTTCATATATCGTGTACATTCTTACTTCGCTCGGTGGTGTTTCGGCAGCTAGGCTCTACTTCTTGTCCTCGGAATCCTGGTCAGTAGTCAGCGTGCCAGCCGATGGGGGCATAGAGCGCGGCTGCAAGCTTTAGTTAAAATTGGTGGCGAGGCTTCGGGCCAGAGATTCGCCTGGAGTACGCACTTATCTGGGCGGAGAGAAGTGCGAGCCGGTTGCGCCAGAGGCTAAGTAGACTGAACTTCACGAGCACAGGGCATCATGGTACGCACATCATGATCCAGGCCTCACCCAGTTGGCCACTACCAGCACTAGGGTTCTGTAAATAAACCCCGAAGACTTTCTTACATTTGTAAGTTACATCGGACCATTCAGCGGCATTTCTTACGTGTGTTATTAACAGTTATAAACAAATGGTAAGAAACGTGTAAGAAACATGTAAAGAAGTACTTTTTTACAATGTGAACAATGTTTTAGCCGTTTTAAAATAGACTCTGCTCACGGAGAAGCACCCTCGCGAGAAAGAGGAAGGGCCCCGAGCCTCCAGCTAGCGCAGGATGAGGGGGTTGTGAGGGGCCCGGGGCGAGACTCGAGAGCAACTTGAAGCTGGTAAGAGTGTTGTCTCCCCGGCCTGGCTGACAGTAGAGGACTTGATTTCCGAGGTCAATGTCCCTTCAGCTCAACTCAGCGAGTCCGCCTTGTAGAAATCCCCTGAAGACGAGGACGCGCGTCAAGTCGAGAGCAGCGGGGACTTCTGGTATATCGAGTATACCCCGTTCGAACGCGTGAAGACCTGCTACGTACATGCGAACTATGTAGCTACTCCGATCACGTGCAGTAGGCGCTACACCCCATATTCCGTCACACCCCCTCGACTACTGCACAGAGCATCATGCAGAATGTAAGATAGCCCCAGCTCATCCTCGACGACTCTCAGCGTCTCTCCAGAGTCACATGATCTATCTATATCGGGGTTATCCAACTAGGGTTACAGCTAGGGTTTCGACTAGGGTCAGCTACGAAGCTGAGGAGGGCCGTACTACGATAAGTATATGATTAGTCGATGAGAGAGGAATGATCTATAGTGCAGGATATTAGTAAAACAGAATCATAGTAGCAGTTATAGAGCTGTAAGGATAAAGAATTAGAACAGGGAGGAGAAATAGTATGGTCACGAAGTTTGGCTATCCACATTGTCAAGCTCGGCGAGAATGCTCTCTGGAAGAACACGGTGGCCGTGGTACTTCTTGCTCGCCCACAAGGCTTGCTTCCCGGTGAGGCCTTTACGGTATGCATCCATAAATCGCAGGCTGCGATTGAAAAAGCTGGTTTTGGTAAGTATTGTATTCAAGTCGAGAATGAAGATCACGTACCGGCGAATGTGCTCGATTGAGACTGTGCTCAATGCAGACACCACGTTGCGTTCAAGATCGGCCTCAATTGACGACGGAGGATATTCGCGATACTTGCGCTTCGCGAAGCCCCAACATTGCTCGATGGGATTGAGTTCGCAATGGAAGCGCGGAAGGAATATGAGCCCGTAACCACGTTTTTTGCAGTGCATCTCGACCAAAGATTCGACATCACGGAAGTCGGGTTCATTGTAGAGGAGCCGGCGACAGCAACATCCAAGCACATCAGGGGGGCACTGGAACTTGGGACATTCAGCCCGAAGACCATCAATGTCCTTGTGGCCACGCTCCTTGAGTATCTGTGCCATTCCTTTGAACTCCCCAGCTCGTTCGTGCCCATCAGGGAAATATAACGACTGAGGACGACCATCGCTGAAGCGCGCATCACCCATGCGGATCTTGTGCTTCAGGATTTTTCCGTCCGGGCCATGCATCACCTTCCCATTCGGTCCAATGACATTTGCGACGACTGCAAAGTTTTTCGATGGGCCCTTGGGCATTTTACGCGCGGAGAGAGCATCGTCGGCGCGTTTAAGGTGAGTCGGGGCATTGTCGATGACAAAGACGTGCTTTTCGCAGGGGTAGTCCTTGTCGAGAATATCCATCGCCAGGGTGAGTTGATCGAGCACGTCATTCGACTGGAAATACCCATCCCGGTTTTTGCCTGCCTTGAAAAGTGTCCGGACAGACAGACTGCCATCCTTGGATTGCAAGAATCCATAGTCGGCCGAGACGAAATCGCCCACCATGAGGGAAGCTCCTTCCCCTTTCGGTCGTGGCTTCGCTTTTTCTGACGTCTTTACCCATCGCAATTCACGGCGGTCGTTGGCGTAGAACGTTGACTGATCGCCAAACCACATGTTTGTGAAGTCGAGCAATAAGTCGAGCGACGTGACTCCGATGACCACTTCCAGTGACTCGGATGTCCGGCCTGGAGCACGGGATTCCTCCGTGCCATCCGCCTTCCACTGGCGAAGATTCTGCTCGTGCTTGAGCATTTCGGGAAGGAAGGTCCCCTGACGGTAGGCCACCACATCATCGCGCTCGTGCCCATCAATGAACTGACCGCGTGGTGTCCAAGTCCATCGATACTCCAGCGCCCGCATCCATTCATGAGCTGTCGACAGGCAGACACCCTTCTCCAATCCATGCCGCTCGTGTACATCTTGTCTTGCCATGTACTGGACAATGTCGGCTGCGCAAACGTACTTCCCAACACTTTGAAGGTGCGCCTCGATCTCCTGTTTGAGCTCGTCATTCGTCTCGAGGATTGACTTGTTCCAGGTACCATAGGGGTTGAACGGCAGGTCGTGGCGATTGGCAATGAATGCCTGGCACCAACCGCGGAGGCATCTCGCAAGGTACGGGCCACCCCGATTCACATGTGCCACAGTCTCGGATGCCTTGATCCACCCAGGGAGTGGCATCTTCGCGTAGCACCAAAACAGCGAGCACATCATGGTCATGCGATCCCTGAGCAGGTCATCACCCTTGAAGGGCTTCGTGCCAATGCCATTCGCGCGAGGCGGTCGTAACAGGAACTCGAGGTCGTCGAGGGCAGCATGCGCAGATTCCAAATCGGGAGGAGGTGTGTACCGAAATTTGAATGTATTATGGTCTGACTCGGAATCCACGGTGTTCTGCACGTCATGCAGCACACTAGGAGACTCCGGGCCTGTACGAGGACTGCTCGACACGGACTCCTGGTACTCGCCCACTGCTGTCGGAGTCGGTCCAGGTACAGTCGCCGGATTCGGTGGCATAGCCCAGGTAGGCCGTGATATCTCCGCAAATGTCTGCGAGAGCCGCATGGATGCTTGCTGAGCCTTCTGCAGATGCTGCTCCGAGTCGTACTCTACAGATCCGGCATGCTCGGGCTCAGCCGCCATTTCCGGGACATCTAAAAGAGGTGTCTTTCCGAGGTCCAAGACAGTGAGTACCATGACACTGAACCAACACAGTACACAAACTCACATTCTCCGAGTCTTGCTCAGTGATAACTCCAGGGGAACTCCTGTTCCTCTTTGCAAGGTTAGAGAGATTCTTTCTCTTGCGACCCGATAACGGCGGCATTCGTGCTGCTAGTTTAGCTCGCTGGCGACGACATGCACTCGCGCCCGCGTCGAAAATCCGATTATTTCCTATTAAACCAAATATATTTGTAAAATAGCTAGATCTATTGATGTTTGCCTATCAGGACTCGAACAGTCTTATGCGGCGTCGATTTTCTCTCCTAACAATCAAGGAAAGTTCATTTTGAACACAGTTAGGAGAACAGAAAATATATTTAGGGGCTCTGTTGATCTCTGATAGATTTCGAAGACCGTCGCACTGCCAGAATGGCTTGAAGCGCGCGGTCAATGTCTCACGTGATGTAGTCGAGTATGAGCTGGGGCTATCTTATGTCAATAGTAAATGCTAAGGCGAAATGCACCCCCTGATTCCAATCAAAGAACATGCCCAGGCAACCGAAGGCTCCCAATCTCAATCGTCCCGTAGTCCCTCGGTGGAACTTGAAGTTGCGAGAGGTCATGCACAGCTGTCATGGCGGCTTCATTCTTCGAAGGGTTAGGACTGCTGCCTCGAACCGGCTCCTCACGACAGAATGCACGAATGTGCCCCTGCTTCCCACATCTCCAGCACGTTGGCATACCTCCCGATGAACCTCCCGAACCATAGCCTTCCGCCCCGTTCCCTGAATCCCCACCCCCTGATCCTCGCCCTCGACCACTCCCATTCTTCGACTGAGCTATGTAAGCACCGTCCGTACGTTTCGTGTCAGGCTTGTGGCCACCGCGCCGCATCTCTTCGCTGATCAGCCGATCAATGACATGACTGAGCGTGAGTTGGTCGGACGGCGTAGCGTCCAGCGAAATAACGAAGGGTTCGTATGACTCATCGAGTCCGTTCGTAAGCGTGAGGATGCGATCTTCATCAGTCACCTGAATTCCAGCCTTCTCCATTCGAAAGGCAAAAGCCTTCACTCGCCCAATCCACGCCGCCATAACCTCATCCTCCTTCCGGAATCGCATGAACTGCCTCCGAAGTGCCAACCGGGTTGCGAACCCACGCGCAACGTGAATCTGCGCAAGGTGGTTCCAGATCTCCATCGGATCCCGACTTTGCATGTGCGACAGTTGACCATCCTCCACCCTTGCAATCATCTCCGCCCGAGCCTCCGCCATCTTCGCCTTCGACCGTGCATCAACCAATTTCTTCCACCATGCCTCCGTCTCCCCCATCGGCAACGCAGTCGGCGGTTCTGCGTCAATCACGACAACACCCGTCCACAACTTCTTTCGGATGAGGTCAGCCTCCATCCGGGTAGCCCACTCCGCATAATTGGTGTCGTTTAGGGCCGTAAAGTTGTTCTTCGTGAGTTCGATCGACATTCCGAGAGGAGGGCGACAACAATCCAGCAAACGAGCAAACAGACAGACAGACAACCAGGTGTTTAAACCAAAAACGGGCAACACGGGTAGTGATATACGCGTTCGTGTAGAAATCCCTGAAGACGAGGACGCGCGTCAAGTCGAGAGCAGCGGGGACTTCTGGTATATCGAGTATACCCCGTTCGAACGCGTGAAGACCTGCTACGTACATGCGAACTATGTAGCTACTCCGATCACGTGCAGTAGGCGCTACACCCCATATTCCGTCACGCCTGATATCAAAGTTGCATGATGGCGTAACAAGCAGGATTGGTTCGGGCCCGGGCAGTCGTAGACTTGTAGTGGTTGCGGTTGCGGCGCAGAATGGGCGAAAGAGATGAGAACGAGCACGGAATGGGTTCATATACTGGTGTTGGAAAGGTGCACGAATAACTACTGTCACGGTAGTACTGTGAGTACAGGCTGGCGCGATGCGGTATCTACGTGCTGATGTAAGCATCGGACGACTTGGCCCCACAGCCCGTCACTGTCAATAAGTAACTTACTTATACTTGTCCATGCAATCAGAGAACACCCTTACGTCTGCGAGGATGTCATGCTCTTTCAAGCTGCTAAGTGTCGTCCTTGCACAATTCCGGGTGACGGCGAGGGCATTCGAAGATGTTCCGCGCGCCCGATCAGCCGGCCGCCTAAACCGGAACTCTCTCTGAACAAACCGCTAGACTCAATGTCATCCTCGCCAACATATCCACTGGCATCAAATCTCACTAGTGGAGAGCAAGACTCACTGACCTGGACTAGGTCAGTGAGATACACGGGCTTAGTGGTTGTGACTTTCTTACACTTGTTTACATGCAAAATCTGGCCTCGAGCGGACCCCATGTTAATAACATGTTATTAACGTGTTATTAACACGACTTGTTTACAAAGTATATTAGTCGGGGCTTTCTTACAGAACCCTAACCAGCACTGCGTCCAGTGGCGCCCTCTTCTCCCCATTCATGCCAATCGCTTCATAACTTAAGTAGTCATGTCGAAGACGGTGTGGACGAGCTGATCGCAAACCCGAAGCTGTTCAAGCTGAACGTTGCCTAGATCATCTTGTGCGACCACACAGTGTTAGGGTCTGCCTCCGAGTCATGACTTGCTCATGACGGCGATTTACATATATGAGCTCCCTCGCATTGATGATTGATAAGTTATCTCTGGGTACTCTATATAGCATCGTTACTGTGAAATGTGTAATTAGTAACTCGGGCGTCCGCACTAACATAAGGTACTTACTTGACGCAGCTCTCGATCTGGAAATAGCACTACCTCCCAAAAGTGACGTCATCGGCTTGAAAGTGGCACTGGCACGGGACACCCGCCCCTCAATCGGCGCTTGTACGCAGCGAGGTCGCTCGGTACATAATAAGGGGCTGCGTGTCGTCCCACATTCCCCATCTCCTCCTTGACCACGACGTTCACGACCTATACCAGACGAAACGATCACCCTTCGGTACAATGGCCACAACAAAGACTTACGGTGCTACAACCGCACCCGTTACTGCGCAGAGACGTAGGGCCTCGCCGACGCACGATGTATGTCTCTACTTCTTAGCCTTGTGAGTAGCGATCATACGTCCAATTTGTTTCGCTGCCCTGAGCTGATCTTATTGCAGGATCCTTCCACCTCTCGCAGTCTTCTTCAGTAAGTGGTCACGCATTAATTATCCCGGTTTGAACTGACCACGACATGGCTTTGTTGCTCGATAGAGAGAGGCTTGCTAGCTGGTGAGTCCCACGCCGTTCACGAATAAGCAACACAATGTGTTTAGACCTTGGCGTGTAGATTTCTGGATCAACGTTTGCCTTTCCATTCTCGGGTGGATTCCGGGGGTCTTACATGCATGGTACGTTGCATGTTCTCCAACATGACCGTCGTCCGGGCTGATAGTGATGCATTGCAGGTACATCATCTCCCGGAGCGAGGGCGCTATGTGATTGCGAGACGAGAAGTCATCATTTGCAGCTTGCGCGAAGTATCGGATATCCTTGCGGACATACAAGCGGCGGCGGAGCATGTACGATAACCTTGTATCTTTGGACTTGTTTTGGAATATCAAACCGCGTGAATGGCTTAAGTCCTGTTGTCATCATCTGTTGCGCTATGTCAACCAGGGTTCACATGCGTATACACGATACAGTACCATTGCCTTGAAAGACGCTCGCCGGCTTTTATGGCCTGCAAGACTGCAACAGAGATTATACCGTTGCCTCGCAACCCACTAGCTGAACAACCTCCAGGAAGGCTTGATGACCTCGAGCATCAACCTAATCTTATTTAGGCGTGTGCAGGTTCTCCCCAGATCATTTCCGGTTAATCTCCGTTGAAGGTAACCTGCGAGCGTGGCCCTGTGCTTGAGGAATTTTAGAGGTGGTTTGATGCCGAGTGTACGTGCGTTCGATTCAATATACTTGTCTTGGATGAGGGCATGGACCGCCGAGGTTAAGGTCTCTTGATCTGGTGATTCCTCTTGCGGGCCCAGATAGCATTTGCCAGGGTAGTCGCCGCCCCGCTCAAGTGCGTACGATCGTAAGTTACAACAGTTGAAGACAAGTTTCCCTTAGAAGTGCCGTGGTTGTGCCCATCGTTCCAAGGCTGCGTTCGTCTTGGAGACGTTTGTGCAGGTCTGTCCACACACTCAACGACGTGGCCTCACATCACCTAGATTTCCATTCTACAAATGCATTGGCATGAACTTATCAGTCAGAAAGAAATGGTGTACGCACGTCCTGCCAGAAATTCTCGCAGCACCAGAATTCTTCAATCCATAGAGACCCTTCTGTTTGGCAATGACATATAGGGCGTTCTGGTACCTGTTGGTGCGATGAATGAGCGCCACCGTGATATCCGATGAAATAAACTCCTAAATCTCACACCCAGGGATGAATGACAGACTGACCAACCTACTGGAAAACTAATGACCAATTTCAGCATGAAAAGGCTCAATCGTTGCTTTTTCTGAGGAGTGCGCGACTGTAACGAATCTTGAAGAGATCAATTCGTTGCCGATAGTCGGAGTCGAAGCCTAGAGCGTCAGTGGAAGTTGCCGAATACGGGGTAGAAGGGTCCGATGCATGCTGCCTGGTAGCGCCCATAGAACGCGTGGAGGGCAGAGGAAAGCCTTCTAGCGAAAGCATCACGCAGGCCTCGACGATACACATAAGATCGCCCATCGCTATCGGGGACAGCGTCCTCGACGTGTATCTGCTCTCTCTGCTTTCAGCGTAACTGCACTCTCGTAACGGCACTGACCTGCAGCGCGGGTCGGCCAGGTATGTGGCGACTCACCTGCTTCTCTCCGGACGTGTGTTGAACATGAGGCACGATCGCCCAGGACTTGTATCATCACCCCCACTTCACCCATCTCTATCGCTCTGGCATGCGGCCTAGTTGCTGACGCCCTGTTCCCGTTCTCGCACTTGCGCGGTCTACCGTCTTTGCATGTTACCATCATCTATAGCTCTTCTGACCTCCTTTTGCCGACACCCACCACCCAATGGCCACGCTGGCGATACCCACACCACTGTCAAGCATCGAGGAGCAAGACAATCCTCACCCTCTCTCTGCACACGAGGGCCTGGATCCCGACTTCAAGGAAGCACTGCGAGCGAAGATCCAGGAGAACCTCAGGACCCTTGTGAAGGATGCGCAGGCGAACAGAGATGCGAAGTTGCAGGCGCGAGACCTCGATGACGCCGCACGGGCTGAGATCCTGCAGGAGTTCGACGGCGCGATGAAGACCATTCGGCGGATCGCAGACGAACATTACCAGCAAATCGTGGCGCGCGTGAGGGCAGAACGCGAATGGACAGAGGGTGCACCGCCCCCCGCGTCCTTGATCGAGGAACAGCAATCCATTCTTGACGCCATCAAGCGGCAGCATGCTGCTCAACCTCGCCGCCAGTCGCCTCCCCGTCTCCGCAGTTCGTCGGATGCTTCCAGCGTGGTGGACGGCCAGCGTGGAGAGCAGAGCACGAGACCATTGCGTCCAGGTGAGCTAGCTCTCACAAGGATGTCGGTAGCAGTGCTGACGATGATCCAAAGAGGATGGAGAGCATCCTCCTCCTGAACGGTCGCGGAGATCATACGGTCGGCAGCCTGCTACGCCCAGCGGCTCTATCAAGGGAGGAGTGCCCCAGTCCGTGTCCGGTATATCTGCCTACTTCAGTGGTATACATGGTGGCTCTTCGGATGCGGAGTTGCCTGAGCTTGGTCGGGAGGGTGTTAGCCGACGACCCAGTAAGGCGTCGATGTCTCAAGTCCTTGGGCAGGAGATATGGATACCTCCAAACACGCCTGAAGAGGCGAAGTCAGCCTCACGCGCGTTTGCCTATGCGTCGACAGACTCGCCCATGGTCGCGCCGTCGGCCAGACGCGATAGCTTTGCGAGCAGCGGTGGGCGGCTGTCGCGGTCGGGAAGCGTACAATCCAACGTCGTGCAGGTTGATGCCGATTTCCCATCGCTAGTTCATGCTACGAGAGAGCGAGATATGCCGGAGGAGCCTTGGCCGTCGTCAGCCAGAGCGCGAGAGAAGCAGCGGGAGGCGCAGCCACAACTCATTCGCCCTCGACCGTCCGCAGATCTGACTGGCAGGCGGAACGACGACCGTCCCTCGGCGGCTCCCTCTCCAGGCTGGCCGCAGGTCACCTCCGACGGCCAGTATCCATTCTCCACGCTCCCGAGCGGCAGCGTAGACTATTCCCCATCGCCGACCGAGCGGAGAGGAATCCCCATCAGGGGCTCTTCTCGTGCCTCGTCTGTGCATAAGGGCTCGCCAGAGAATTTGCGACATCCATTGAAGTCGGCGAACAAGGGCTCTTGGACGTACGATTACAGCGCTGTATCACTGGGGATGTACGGCGCACAGAGTGTGCAGAGCAATCTAGCTCCGGGAGCCATTAGGTCGCTGGCCAGCAAGCGATCGTTTACGGTCGATGATGACCGGTTGTCTCAGGCCAGTCCTGTGACGCGTACGAGGCAAGGCCGGAGAGACTCCACAGGATCGCGCTCCCTTCACTCGCAGCGATCGAGACAAGACATGTACGATCGCCAAGCAGTTGATGGGTCTACGCTTTCGCCGTTGTTGTCGGATGGGTCTTTCCGTGACACAGATGGGTTCGACAGCGACTCGGAGTACGGCATCGAGACGTCCGAGAGACACGAGGACATTCGCCGCAAGGTCGAGGAGCTTGAAAAGATGGAAGACAATATCCGACATAGGGAGGAGGATGTCAGGAAGAAGGAAGAAGATGCCAGGAAGAAGGAGGAGGATGCCCGGACCAAGGAGATTGAGGCCAGGCGCCGTGAAGACGACGCCAGAGCCAGGGAGCAGCAGGTCAGGCAACGAGAAGATGAGGCTAGGAAGTTGGAGAACGATGCGAGGGAGCTGGAGGCGCATGCACTGCAAAGAGAGGATGAGGCGCGGACGAAAGACGACGAAGCCAGACGCAGGGAACGGGATACTAAGCGCCGAGAGGACGAGTCTCGACGGAAAGAGGATGCGGTGCGGCGCAGGGAGGAAGAGGCGAGGCTGAAAGAAGAGGAGGTGAGAACCAAGGAGGAGGCGGTCAAGCAATTGGACGAGGAGGTAAGACGGCGGGCCGAAGCAGTGGGCGTGGTCGAGGAGGAACTGCGCAATCACCGGGAGGAGCTCGCTCTGAGGGAAAGGGAGGCCAGGCGTAAGGAGTCAGATATCCGCCGCAAGGAGGAAGAACTCAAGACCAAGGAGCTGGAACTACGGTCACTGGAGGAACAGATCCAGATGCGATTTGATGACGCTCAGCAATTAGAGGCCGATGAGCTTGCGGAGACGGCGCGGGAGGATGAAGAGAGAAGACGGCAAGAGGAGGAAGCACAGAAAGCGGAGCGCGCTCGAGCTGAAGAGAGAACGAGGCGAGAGACTCAGCAAGCTGAGCGCGCCCGTGAGGAGAGGGCGAGACGGGAGGCACAGGAAGCGCAGGAAGCGCGGCGACTTGCGGAGGCGAGGCGACTGAAAGCCGAAGAAACGAAGCAGCGTGAAGAGGCGAAGCGGCAAGAGGCACGAGTACTCGAGGAAGCCAGGCTGCGCGAAGTAGCGCAGAGACGAGAGGTAGAGGCAGAGGCCCGACGTCGAGCAGAGGCAGCACAGCGAGATTCCGTAGAGCAGCCAAATGGTGATCAGCACGAAGCCCCTCACCTGCATAGTGACCTTGACTTCGACGAAGCCAAGCTCTCCCCCGATTTCATCCGCGAGCAAGAGGTATTGCTGCGGAAGTATGCACGCGATCGCAATGGCAGTCTGTCATCCGAAGGTTCTCCCCGCTCTGCCACATTCGCATCGGCATCGCAGTCTTCGGCACCGCGCAATATCCCGGGTCGTGCTGGTTCAACTGCCAGTACTGCGTCTGCGGACCGTAATAGCACAGCATCCTCGTCGAGCTATGGGAGCACGTCCGGCTTCTCGGCCTTTTCGGGGCAATCCAGCACGTCTACGTATACGCAAGCTTCGTCCGTTACCCAGTCGAGCACTCCTATACCAGGCGTGAAGCAGACCCGCGGCGGTTGGAAGCCAGCTGGCACCCCTCCGACTAGTGCGACGACTGGACATCAGCCTTTGGCGTCGACACCTTCTCTTCCGCCGCCGACGCCACAAGAGGAGGAGGAATGGAAACGTCGCCAGAAAGAACATGCACGGCAACAAGCAGAGAAGTTCCAGCGCATGCAGGAGGCAGCGGAGCAGGAGCGATACGCACGGTCGGCCAAACAGCTGTCCAGGGAGGAGGTGGTGAAGGTTTTCGATGAGCACGAGCGTCGTTGGTCCAGGTTGTCGACGTTGGATCTGCTCACTTGGTACTCGTTCCCATGGCCGATGTTACAGCGGGCAAATAGTCCGGAGGAGTTGACTGTGCAGGCAATGCATGCATACGTCTTGTCGCCGCATCATCCCAACGAAAAGAACAAGTCGGCCAAGGATCTCATCAAGGACTACATCAAACGATGGCATCCTGATCGATTCGAGACCAAGTACTTGCCGAAGGTGCGCGAGGACGATCGAGAGAAAGTCAAAGAGGGTGCTGGAGTTGTTGCACGAAACCTCAATGAATTGTTGACTCGACAGTCATCGGCGCTCCATGATTTCGCGACATGATTGAAGGAGTGAGTGTCGATGGAATGGCCTATGATAACGTGAGCTGATTTTTCTCTTGAACAGCTCAAAGACGATTGTACTGTGATATACCCACCATGCAATGTAAACTATCCATCCCGCAAACCGCTTACATCCTATGTATCAGTGCGTGCTGTACGTCCTACTGTAGGAGAGACGAAGCCGTATCCAATTAAGTAGCAGTAAATGAGTTCAATGTACAGTAGATGATGTACTCACCGCTCCTTTCGACGCGCAGATTGTAATCCAGAATGCGAGATCATCCTTCGTTTTGTCGGCATTTGCTACCTACCTGGCGGTAATTGCGCATATATGCGCTTGGAACCTGAATATACATAGGACTGACGGTGTGGTCCGAGTTGAAGTGAGTCAACGCCCTCATAACCACATGCAGCGAGCCATATAACGTGTGAGGGTCTTGCTAATGAGAGACAGTTGAGTGGACGTGTCGCGCACGCCACTGAAAACCGGCCGAGGGACGTCAACAACTGTCAGCCAGGAGATGCGCATGACTCGAAGACCCTGAGCTACTGGTGTAGTATGCTGCAGCATTTGCAGCAGTCATTTAAAAAGATTGATGGGACATGATGGGACATGTCTACTCACCGCGAACTCCAAGAATAAACAAAAGTTGGGCAGACCTTGAAGGTCCAGTATGTTCATTGTTCGCGTTGGGTTGGCATAATCCGCCTCGGAGGCGGGCGTCATCCGAGTCTACACTACCTCGAGGCATGATCGCATCTCATGAGTAGTGTCTATCGCGCTAGATTCAATCAAATGGGTCCTGTAATTGGTTAGAGATACGTGCCCACAGTGCTAACGGGGCATGAAGATGGTGGATGCGGAGAAGAGGCCACGACTGAGTAAAACGTCCTAGGTCACTTTCCTGATATGGAAACAGTCGATCAGTGGCGAACGCCACTCGAGTACCTAGACAACCACATTATAACGCGACTGCACTCGGGAGTCAGCTGGCACTCGACTGTCCCTCCTGCGATAAGATACTACTGTCATAGAAGAACAGAATAATGACAAGCAAGAGCTGAGCGCTGAAGGACAACACCCTATTCTCAGTACGTCCATCTCAGAACTGCCAACCTACGAGATGCACAGTAAGTATCACTGGCAGTCGCCGACTTCGTGCGATGTACCCTATGTTTGAAAAGTGCGCGGCTTTGTGATCGCGATGACTGTACGCAGCAGTTCTGCTCGCAATCCTGATGGCAAACAGAACACATCTGCTATAAGTCAATGCGACAAGCCTTGAGCTTGAGCCTGAGCCTGTAGCACCGTGTCCGGATCCCAATAGACGCTCCACCATGATACAGGTCATTCATGCCAACACGGTACTGCTAAGAATGTTTGTGAAGGGCATATATGCACCATATCAATCGAACGGCATGAGAAGAGCATGCATTAATTCACGGCAAATCGAGATTCAGGAAGTCTGTACAGCCTGAGTATCGACAGACCAAGCCACTAAGGGATGCGAACAACCTGAAGTAAGTGATAGAGAAAACTGGGACTCAATGTTCAACCATTGTGGCACCATCTGTCTTGTCCGGAAATCACCATGCTGGATACGTAGTCTGCTGGACGTAAAATCAGACGAATTATGGCTTTAGATAAACGAGCGTACCACTGTGTCAGCAGATTGAACGGTAAACGAGCCGGGATGTCTCAACGATGCCGCAGTTATCATGACTGTACGAGAGTTGCGGGGGCACTAGTCGATGCTCTTATCAAGCTCGAGAGGACCTAGGAGAGGTAGAGCCTGGGAAGACCTCTGAGTCGTCCCGACTCGGTTCAATCGCACGCGCGGATCATCCAGGCCATTCCTTTCACGCTGCTACACCCAGAAAGCAAATTCGCTGTGCTAGCAAGGAGTTCGGGGTCTGTACACCGGTGGAACGTGGATCACTGGTCCTATCGCGCAATGTCCAGCCTGTGAGATGCGCGGACTGCGAACGCTAACAACCAGCACATACCAGTATGCCAGCGTTCCGGGCAGACGTAGAAGAGAAGCGTGCATCCATCGTTGCCGTCACAATTATTTTCGGTGGAATGCACTACGCGTAGCAGTGAAGTCGAGCTTCCGAGTCCCGAGTCATGAAGACAATGGAAGGAGCAGACAAGTGCAGCTTGCGCTCAGACAATGGAGGCCGAGCGGGCTTCGCAGCGAGTGCCTTCCGGACACATTGGTACGTCACCACCCATGATATCGTACCGCAGGTTACAAAGAATCCTTCGCGGAATACCTAGTTTGCCATGTCAGTCTTTGAAGATTAAGCACGAACTCACCAACTACTATAGTCTTGACAAACAACAATCGGACCTCGGGCGTTATCCGTCTTCAGTTGCGCACCTCACGTGCACAGGACAGCCTTTTGTTAAGCAGCAGGTGATACTAGAAGCCAGATATCGGGAGCCGTTGTTAATGATCGGAAGAGTGACCGAGCTGGGACATCCTGGAGGCCACTTTGAAGGAGAACCTCGCCATCCATACCTCGTCTAAGTGCCAACGGAGGCTAATCAGATTACCAACACACCGCACATACTGAGAGGATGCTCACGAGCTACAACCGCGACAACGCTGAAGGCTTCCGAGCCTGCTTGCATTTGGGGTGCTTTCGCGATGGAAAGCACAGCCTTCCGTACGCAGTGGTCGTAAGTGGTAGAGAGGATGCACGGTCAGCGCTGCTCTTGGCACGGCAACCTCACCGGTATATAGTCCGCAGTCAGTGTCGGAGGTAGAGCGGGACGGCAGGGCTGAAGCCACGTCGAAGTCCGGCGTATGTCTTCTGTGCGTGGGTGCGACTCGGAGCGCAGACAACATTGCTGAACGGACGTCGACTCCGCAATCGAGAGAAGCTCGCGCTGGGCCTTGGCGATCGATCAGTGCGTATTTACACCATGACGCCTGTTAGACCGCAGAGGGAAGCTCAGTTAGACACGGGGAAGCAGGAATGACGGCAGAGTCGGTGCGCACGATGCGGAACGCCTGAGGAAGAGTGAATGCGTGGGACGATCGTGGCAGCTTCTCATGTGGACAGAATGGGTGGAGCGGATGATTCGACGGAATGCACAGCCTACCGGGGGACTGCTCAGGCTGGGTCGGTCCCGGGATGCAGCACTAAAAGGAAGCCAGCTGCATGAAGCAAATGCAGAGACGTCGGCGTACCATGCTAACACGCACCCTTGCATCTCCGCTTGTTTCCATTCACGTCTAACTCCAGACGTCTTTGCAGCATCTGCACAGCGGACGTGACACATGAGTGACACGGACTCACAATTGACACCGGCGGACAAGCATAAACGAAACCTCAGGCTTACAAGCATACCGCCGCGTTCTTCGCAGCCAAGACATTGAAGTTGTTCATCAGGATTAGCTATCTGGGCGACCAATTTCACAAGCATGTTTGCTATCTGTTCTTCGTATTGTGGTGAAGATGCCCTCTTATGTTTTGACTGCATTCGGTAGCGGCGACATTCAAGGGCAAACCACTTACACAACAGACGGCCTCAACAGTCGGCTTTGGGCCTTGAAGATAAGTCATAAGTGACCTTTGCTTGTGGCTTCGAACAAACGGCTTCAATTACAATTATTACTGCGCTAGGGGTGCTGATTGATATCATCCAGCGATGCCTGTCGACGTCAAACATATTCAATAGTAACTCTGAGAAAGGAGTGACAGGTGCGCGCTTACCTGCTGGAGCATCAGGATCCTCAAGTCCATCGCCAGTACAGCGTGCTTGCCAACAAAAGTGGCCACCAGGAATAACGATCACGGGAACGCGACGCGTCAATGGCAGTGGCGTCGTCGCCACCAGCAGTCACCCAAGCAAGCACAACGCTTAAAGCGACAGCCCCTTTGCCAGACGAGTTGTGGCCCGAGACAATGCATGGTTGCCGGTTTGTGTCCTGAGAGCGACGCATCCGACCAAGTCCGACAGTTAGCAACTGCACACGTCAACGCACTCGACACGACGGTACGATAATCCCGGAGATGTGCCAATGCGTCTGCCGCTCCTCTCGGGCCCGGAAGGGTCGCACAAGGCAATGGCGAGATTAGGATGATGACACCATACAGGCCCGTCGAATCGTCTCCTGCCCGGAAAGGACAGCAGGTACTGGAAGCGCAGACTGCCGTGCTTGCAGAGCGGATCCGTCTGCAGCCCCATTGCAAAAACAACCTCCGTCAAGGCCGCGCGCGGCTTTGGACGACCATCGCGGCGAGGAACAGGTTTCGCGCCACGATCACGATCGACACGGAAGAGGAACGGTGCATGCATCCATGTCGTTTGTCAGCGAACCCCCCAGGGCAGCGAAGCCGGGCTTCTGCGAGACACACGAATCCAATCGAAGCCGCAGACGCACCTTGAGCGGCGGTAGTCGAGCAGCGCGGGGTGTGGACGCACCCCGCCGCTCTGTTCTGCTGGGCAGATAGCACCCCTGGGGATGGCCGACATGCGTGCAAGACAGTGCTAACGCCGCGGAAGTACGCTGGCAGGCGACCCCGAAGACGGGCGGTGGAGCCGAGCAGTCAGTGAGACGACGTCGGGCCACGAAGAACGAGATTGTACCTGGCCTTGGCCGTCCACACGGCGGAGGAAGCACGATCGTCCCAATGTCAGCGTACTGTTGTGATGTCCGCCGGTATTTATGTGGCGTGGCTTGCTGTTACTGAACGACCCAGCTCACGTCACTGAACACTTGAGTAATGACGCGTTGACGGAAGACATGGGCTAGTCAAGGTCATGGAGATGGCCTATGATGTAGCCTCTGCGCTGCAAGTCAAATCACTGAATGAACAGCTCGCGCCAGGGATCTTACCGTCCTACCGTGACAATTGACCGGCAGGTTATGATAGGTACGAAAGGGATGATGCGCAGATCATGCGCCTTTTCTGTCGATAGGGACCATGGAATGGTCGATGCTCAGTTGTTAAAGTGTCACTGACGATAGAAGAGCTTACTCCTTTTCCATTACGACTCCGAGACGGTTGACGGCGACCGGAGAGTATGAACGCCGGCACGCCTTCGTTTGGCAGCTCTTGGGCCCGAATTTCCGTCAGATAAATCGATGCGAGTAAGCACCGTCGACATCCGCGCGCGAGAGCCGAGACATGCGGTCGACAGCCACACATTACTGTGGCATCCTTTCAGAGCCCGTGCGGAGATTCGTGCGTCGTGCGGGTGCCCGTAGAACGGCGTTCAGTGGATGCAAAGGCAATCCGTTTGAGTGGCGCAACTCGAATGGTAACCTAAATAGTACAGACTCCGAGGGAAGCGACAACTTGACAGGCAGACGCAGTACGCCTACCGCTGCCGGGCTCGAGACTTCCCCGTTCGCTAGGGCTGCAATATTGCACGACTTATATTAGTAATGCAATTGCTACTAGCAGACGAAGAGACTTACGAGGCACGCATTTGGAGCGAACCTGAACGCGCTGGGTTGTCTCAGAGCCGTTCGACAATCGTTGACGTCTCTTGGCCTTATACAACCCAGGACGGACGTCGTGTTCGTTCCTGTGCAGGTGTAGTATCGTTCGCGTACATGAAGTATACGCTGACGCGCTGAATGCTGGACCACCATCGATCTCGCAGGATCATCCCAGTGACACGTCAACTAGCGTAACCGCAGTAGATCCTATATGAGGCCTAGAGGCCCGAATACCGGACGAAACGGTCAGATCGGCGGCGCCTTGAGCAAGTATTTAATCTCGGAAATGGGTTACACAAGGCCGCTGGGAGCGTATAGGCAGGCTTCCCTCTTACTCGTGGCAGGCTTCTCGCTGAGAGAGCGTGCGCGCAGTGGCAATCGCCAGTCAAGGGCGGCGTCACGCCCAGAGCCTGTAACGGGATTCTGATCAGGGAGCAGGGTCAGGAAATCCACGTAGATTTTACGATTCGTGGGGGATGCCGGCAAGCCCCCCCGTGATGGTCGCAGGTCGCAGGATGAATCGAACATACCTCATCCCGTGTCGTCGTGGCAGCGGAGTCGATTTGAGGCGGTCCCCAGTGGGCGTAGTTTCTGCCTGGGCAAATCTTGGAGGGAGGGAGGAGGAAGCCATCCCAGCGCGAACCGCATGGGCGGAAAGGCGACGAGATGCGCTAGAGCCGTCCAATGGGCAACGCCGGTCCGCGCCAGCTCCGATTGGCCGAAAGTTAAACTTCGAGGTGGCGCTTACCTAATGTGCTGATGGGCGTCGAGGTCCCCGCCGGATTTGGGCGTTGCGGAATTCGATATCCAAGGCCCTGTTCTGGAATTGATGCAGGCCCGAATTGGCAGGGCAGGCGAAGCGAAGTCCTGCTCAGGCTGCGAACCGTCCCCGTTCAAATACCCGCCCACCGCCCCGCCCAATCCTCTGATCCCTCCCCCGTCAACTGCCCGACACGACACCTGCCACGACCACGACCATCCCGCCATCGCGTCCCCGCTCGCGCCCCGCCATCCACCCCTCGCCATTGCGTGTGCCTCCGCACGCGAGTTCACGTAACCAACACTGCGCACGCGTCGCTTTCCGTCGCGTCACGTCGGCCTGCAAACGACGCGTCCTTCCTCTAAGCGGCCGCCCATCATGCACCGCTCGACCGCGAAGCGAAGCCTCGAGAACAACCACGGCGAGCTGGACGCGAAACTCGAGCTTCTGCAGCAGCTATGTCTGCAGGATGCCGGGGATGCACAGGCGCCTGACAACCCGCACCTCCGTAGCAGGATCTCGTACGTTGACCAGCGATGGCTCCAGGCAGAGTACGGGTGGACCATGGAATCCGCTGCTACATCGACAGTCAGCTTTCTCGACGAGGGTGAGTACAGCTGGGCATAATATATTCTGCGTGTGCGAGTGCTGATGCAATTCAACAGAAGAGGACATGGATGCGTGTATGCCGCATCTGTACGATCCTACGCTCTTCTCGGATCCGCGCGTCACACCGACGCTTCCCACCAAACCCACGACCAAGTCGCACCAGCGCGCATACAGTGAGAAAGACAAAGTGAGTCTTCTTGCAGTCGGCATCGAGCGTCGTTGCTCCCAGGGTCGTCCTCTTGTTGGCTCGGACTCGGGCACCCTACTTCGCGAATGGCCCGCTCTGGACTTGGAAGTCGTCTAGCATGACCGGCAAGCGGAATCCGTGATGGCGGGAAATTGGTTGAGACCAACCTTTTTACGCCAGCGGCGGTGTCGCGTTCGGGGTTCCACGTGCTCCGAACATCCCTGCCCCATAAGGACTAGCGCCCCTGCTTACCACACACGAGCGCTGCAAAGACGAGCCCTCGGCGTCGCCGTGCTCGATGGGAAAACTGTGGGACGTGCTCTCGCGTCGTCGCGGTCGATGTACACATCGTGGGTCGCAACGCATCGCACGGAGTCGCCACTCACCATACTCAGCCGCCACAGTCTTCTGGTCGAGAGACCCGACGAGTAAGTTTCTTTGGCTGGGGCGCGAATTGTGTGGATGTGAACGGCAGCAAACTTGTGGGAGACTCTGACACATGCGTTCGTCGTGCTTGAGGTCGAAGTGCCATGTCCGCATCGAGAACGAGTCTTTCTCGTATGCTGTTCGAGCAATTGCTGATGCCACCTGCTTCTAGCCTTTGCCTGCACTTCCCCGCCCGTCACTCGTCCGTCGAGGCGTGCCGGATGCTCCGCCGCCTTCGCCCAGCACGCCCCAACCCCTTCAACTTCGGTTACCCAACTCAAACACGCCACCTCGATCACCGCTCAGGACCTCCTTCTCCGTGACATCCCTCCGCGCGCAGGCTGCCCCTTCTACACCCAGGAGCACGCCTCCTGCATCTCCTCGCATCTCCTCGCCTCCGCCCACTAGATCGTCCAAAGCGAACACCTTCCCGCGGGGACCACAACCGAGTGGTGTGGATGCAAGTCAAGGCACTCAGTCCTCATCTTCCTCGGGACGTCCTTCGGCTGGGCAGCGTCATGCGACATATCCCTCGATAACTTCTACTCTGGAGCTGTTAGAGGAACGAGCTTCACCTGTGGAGAAACGCTTGGGTGTGCTTGTGACTGATACATCCGAGATGGCGGCGAACAATGCGGCGAGCCGCACTAATAGGCGCATGAGCGGGAGTGTCGGTCGCAGCAATGGGGAGACCATGAAGTCCGTAGTTGCGGGTGGTAACCCGGCGCCGAAGAGGCCCCAACGCCCGATTCTCCCTGCGCTTACTACCTCAGTGTCTACGCCGCAGCTGCGCACTCCGCCTGCGCTGAACTCCGCCGTGTCCTCCACGTCTAGCAGCTCTTTTACGTCTGGCACGACGGTGACCCCGTCGCCTGCGCCGACGACGCCCGCCACCTCGATTGTAGGCGAGTTTTTCCAGGCGTCTGACTCTGTGGGAGCGGCCGGCGATGCGCGCGAGCCGTCGTCGCGTTGGTCGCTGGACTCGGTGGCATCTCGCCCGTCGCCTACGTCATTCCGTCCAATGGGGGAGTCCCCGGTGGCCTCGGGCACCCCGCGACCCCCACATCAGGCAGGAAGCGGGACCGACTGATCAGCTTCATCACGCGCGGCAGATCGGGCTCGCTTGGCAAGGGGACGCCGCCCATACCCAATCCGGCGGGCGCCGCTCAGGATAATAGCGTGCCTCTCCCGCGATCATCAGTTTCGAGAGAGCCTCCGTTCGTAGTGGTTTCCCCCCGTCCCTCCCTGAGTGCACCCGCAGCCCCGTCCTTGCCCATGACGGCCTCGTCCACCACGTCCACGTCCACCTCGACGTCCATGTCGACCTCCAGGACCTCGTCGGCGGCGTCCTCCGCGTCTAGCCTCCAGACGCCCGTGTCGGTCGACCTGCATCGCCACGCGCCGTCGCCCAAGCTCCTGGACCCGTTCTCGCCAGACTCACGCTCGTTCGTGCCGGAGGCCTACGCCGCGCCAAATCCAAGGCAGGGCGCCCTCTTGCCGCCGTTCGAGTACCAGGACGTGCGCGAGCCGCACCATCGCCCGCCTACGCCACCCACCTCTCCGCCGCCGCAACCTACGCTGCCGCTTCCGTCGCCCGGGACGCCCACTGCGTCGTTCCTGGTATCCCCGCAGCTACGTTCGCAGTCCTTCTTGTCGTCGCTTCCGTTCAAGATCGGCCCGAAGCGGCGAGACAAGAAGCTTGTCATCACGGGCGTGCCACTAGAAGACACGGAGGATGGGCGGGAGACGGACTGGAAGGCGACCGACAAGCGGAGACGGTACGAGAACGTTGTAAGGTGGTGCGAGGGTTTTGGTGAGGTTCGAAAAATCGAGCGCAAGCCCGATGGCACCTTGCATGTGTTCTGGCGAGACTGGGAGTCTGCGGACATGGTGCGTCGCTCCCTCGCTCTGTAGCCTAAACTGGACTGACGCGTCGGACGCATCGTAGGTATGCCGCGTGCACGCCCAGGTGTACATCAAGGACGTCGGCCGCGTCAGCCTCGCCTGGCAGTACATCAGCTAACGTGCTCGCCGCACGGCCGACTCCAGCAACCCTGCTTCCTTCATTGACGACTTCATCATTGGGGCTCTGTGCTGCGCCGCCCTCACCGGGTCGCCCACTCTCATTTCCCATCGGCCAAAGCGCAAATGCTGGCGCCCACGCTCATTTTCCATCATGATCCCCAGATGCGCTTGTCACGGTTCCCACTCCACTGTACAACACACGGATCGCATATCACACTCATTGCTATTTCCATTGCCTCTTTGGTGCTCGCACGCTCCCATTCGCCCGTCGTCGTCATATTTGAAACGTCCGTCGCAGCAGTGCGTCAGCTGCCCGCGCACGCGTTTCCACCCAGCCTATCTCCCGCACTGTTGTTGGATTCTCTCGTGTCTAAGTTACCTCGCATCTCGGATTCTCCGTCTTCGCTGCGCTGTCTGATCTCTCTGCATGCTTCACCTTGTTTTCTAGACATATACTATAGCCCGCCGTGAGGGGCGGGTGCGTCTCCGCGCGGGGGCGGTATGAACCAAGAGGGTAAATTTTGAACTCTGGTCGTGCAGTAGTACAAAGTATCATAGAACATTGTAACAGTAGTTTGTTTAATACATGCTAGAAACTGTCGCAGTTGCTTGAGGTGGCGGAACGGCTACGCCTATACTGCCGCTCTCTAGGACGTGGACGAACGGCCATTGCGTGCCCGTACAGAATTCATTTGGGGTCCGGCCGGCACGGGGCTTTCCAAGACCTGCCAGTGCCAGTGCGTAACCTCTCGCCTCGTGCTTGCAGTTACGAGAAGCCGAGACAGAGTTCACGTAACGTACTTACCTCAAACATCATTTAGCATCAGCGTCCGAGATGGCCGTCTGCGAGGGACGAGGCTGGACTTGGACACCTGCAGGACTGATGTGCCCGTCCATCTCATGCTGTTCGAATTCAATTTCGCGCCAGGCGCAGAAGGAGGCGCCCTCGTTATAACTGGTTCTACATATGTGAAATCCTCTCAACAGAGGCATCCCGAGCGAACCATTCAGAGTATTAGTGAATGGCTTGCCTCGAGTCAGCTCGAAGGAGGTGAGATTAAGCGATAGGGTCCCTATTCAAAGGCTCTACAATACCAGAATCCATGAGACAGAACCCGGGAAAGAGGATTTATGGCGGAGTAAGCCTGTCAGAGCGAGCGCCGACTTCTGACATAGCTGCAAGGATGAGCTGACCCAATGGGTAGCGCCAGACCTCTCCTCGCTCAGAGCTTCTTCTCTCGACTTCTCTGCGACTCCAACCACCACTGCACCCGGCGCGAACGAGCAGAAGACCATCACATTAACGTCGGCGACATACGCAAAGAAGCACGGAATCGACGAACCTCGACCGACTTGTGTATTCCCTCCTCCATACTGTATTGAGGCTCGTAGTCCAGCGCTTGTCTCGCCTTCGAAATATCACACCACCGAGTTGCCGTCACCATTGCGACCCTAAAGCGCGTCAGCACCGGCTGCGTGCCCGTGAGCCACGCCCAGAGCTCTATGAGCATCGCGAGCACCATCGCCACGCTCCGCGGGATGACGGTGATCTTCGTAGGGACGTGGCCCGCCTCTTTCCACAGCGCCCTGGGGAAGTCCCAGAACGGCACCGGTGCGCCGTTCGAGATGAAGAATGCCTGTCCGGTGACGTCATCGTGCTTCGGGTGCGAGGGAGAAAGACGGTCTGCGGCGAGAAGGTGCGCGTACGCCGCGTTCGGGATGTAGGTGAAGTCGAACTTGTTCTGGTTGTTGCCGATCTGCGTGCCCGTGCGGCCCGCCTGGAGGGCCCCCATAAATCCAGGAAGAGCGTTGCGGTCGCCCGGTCTGCGAGTGAATGCGCGAAGTCTGAGAAGGGTGGAAAAAGCTTATAGGCGATTGGACGCGTACCCGAACAGGCCTGCAACTCGTAGTGAGCACGTCTTCAGCCCCGAATCTCCCTCCTCGTTCGCGGCCAATACCAGGCGTTCCGCCACCGCTTTGCTGTCATTGTAGTCGTCGAAGGGGACCTCCGGATATGGCACGCTTTCGTCTACGCCTGCTTGATCGCGGCCGTCGAACACGACGCTTGCGCTGCTCGTGTACACGAGCTTTTGCACCCATTCCGCCCTGGCCGCCTCTATCACGCGTCGCGTACCTTCGACGTTGACCCGAAACATCGCATCCTTCGGTGCGCCTTGAATCAATGAAGCGGTGTGTATGATACACGTAGGATTGCTCTGCAAATGGTTCAGCAAAGCGATCAGAGACCGTACAGAAGCGGGCACAAATGTAAGGCTAGAAAAGAGATGCCACTCACATCCTTCACTGCTCGCGCGAGGTCCTCCCTGTTCGTGATATCTCCCAAGAACACTCTGACGCGTGGATCAGGATCTGCTGACGGCGCAATGTCGAAGACAGCCACAGCGGTCTCACCGCGTTCCAAGAGCAGCCGAACGACGTGGCTGCCTAAGAGGCCATTACCACCAGTGATCAAGTAAGATTCTGGCATGGTACACGGAGTTCCCAAGTGTAGTTGACGGTCGAGTGACGAGTACAGTGACAGGGGGTCGAGATGCTGCGTTGTCTTTCTGGCTCAGGTGGCTTTGGCTCTGCCCAGGCAGTGTTGCAGACAGAGTTCGAATGGAGTAAGTAGTTGGTGGCGAGTGCAGTTGGCGAGCTGGCTGGCCTTGCACAGCTTTTGAGGAGAGCGATGGATGGTACCTTATAATTAGACGCAGTGCGCCACCGCGCGAGTCCGACTCGGGTCTGCCGGTCCCCGACGGCACGTGGTCGCGTACCACTGGCAACTGACCTCACGAGGTTTCTTCTACCATACCTACAGTGATCCTCCGTTCAAGTCTTTCAATTCTGCCTTGGTTTACACCAGCTATCGTGGTCATGATAGGTGTGTCAAATCTCCAGAAATCGAACTTGCACTCTCTAATGAGCCTCTAATACTTAGTACACATATCAATGGAGACTCACGGAGTCAATGCACGAGCGCTGCCAGTGGCACACGCACGCGCATCGTGACACCGTGCTGGCAGCTGTACTCCGAAGTCGGTGTTGAAATCGCAAGGACAATAAAGGTAATTCGTCTAGCCTGGTACAGTATGATGCGATGTCCAGCATTTGGTTTTTGAGATATGCAACCAGCAGGCTAGGAACCAGCGGAGGTGACATCTAATACTAGTGGCATAGGTCGCTCGATTTTCCGCTTGCAAGAGAACTTTCGGTTGGGCGATCAGAATTCTTCGTGCACTGAATCAGTACAAAAGATTACTGCATCTAATATGATACTGCGCACGAGGCCAGGAAAGCACGACTGTCGGCACAGTCGCTCGTGTCGTCCAGTACCTGTATGTTATCTTCTCTATGTCTGTAATTACAAAGTCTTATCCTTGATGGTTTTAATCAAGGGTCCCTCCGCCTTGGTCGGCCTATGCCCGCCACGAAACCTGCAAATCGACAACGCGAACGTCAGCGGCCCGGGCGGCACGATATTTCTCCAACACTTTCGATGTTTACTCGCGGTTCGTTCATCTTGTGTCGATGCATTAATCAGAAACTCTGTCGTTGGGACCCTCATAGGTTTCCCAACACTCGCCCTCTGAGGAATGACTCAATGGTCACTCGGGTCCACTATCCGCCCTCACATCGACCCCTGTCCATCCGCTCGCAACTCTTTCAATAATCACCCCGTGGCTCACCGGGAGCTCTGAGTTTGACGGGGCCAAGGACCCTGTGCCCCGAAGAAGGGCGACGAGAATGTATGTCCTAGCTACCTACCGCTCAGCCTCCGCCACACGAGGCTCTCCCTTCTCGAGTTCGTGTGTCTCGCCGAAGCTCTAACATCGGCATCCCACACCCTTCGATGCATGCACTCTTCCTCTTCCATACCGATCGTGATCGTGGCGCATGCTCGCCCCTATGCATAGACCCGCGGATGGTCACCCGCAAGCGGTGGTCGGCCCAGATGAAAGTTTAGGCAGTGAGGTACAAAGGGACCTGTCATGCAAACACTGAAGTCTGTGCTTCCCGCGCGTCTCCTCCTCCTCTGCTTGTCACAGGATGCAGGTCTGATACGCAGTTGGCGAGACACACATGGTGTTTTCTGATTATCGTGAGTACTGTAACTCTCCAGGACCCCATGAGGGGCGGTGGTAGACAGCTGCTGCACATTTGCGAGCTATCATGACATAGCAAATGCGCCGACATACATCTCCACTGACTTGCTAGCTGTCGAGAGCCTCGCTGACACAAAGCGGCACCCCGAAATATGTCTCGGAGCAGACATTTGTATAGCTAATGGGACAGTGCCTCAATTATCATTGATCTAGATGACTGCTGGCCATGCATGGCCTGATGAATGTGCAGGTATCATTCAGTCGAACCGCCCGGTACCCTCTATCATTCGTTCAGCCTCCTATCGGCATGCACTGTCTGCTGATAGACTATAGTTCACCGATCTTGATGCCACTACAGGTAAGCGCATGCCTCCGGTCTCTTGTTTACCTGTTTACTGACACTGCACCAGACATCCGGGAGGCATCGCTGGAGGATAACACCCAATATCAACCTGTGCGCAGCGCAACGAAGTGTGCGGAGTCGAGCTATTCCAGCAACGGACACTTACAGCTTGCCTCAAATCCGACAGTGTTGGAGCCCTCTCGTAAGAAGTGATGAATTCGCAAGTATTACCGCCGTCGAGTGTGGCGAACACACCAAAGGATAATCATAACATGTAATGTGCGTGGTTGGCTTTAATGGACAGAAGCAGCCTGGCACCACTGATTAAGGTAACATCTTGATGTTAGGGGGATGCTGCTATACTTACCATACGCCTCGTCAGTGGCTGTCGATTCCGATCCCGTTCGGTTCGCGCGTGGTCCCGCGGTCAATTCATGCTCGGAACAACCACAAGTCGGCGCAAGGATGCAAAGCGAATGTCAACATGGCTTGCGACGCCTCTGCACTTCAAGTTGCTCCATGCAGCTGGCTTCTGTCGAGTGTTGCATCCCCGGGACCGTCCCAGCCTGAGCAGTCCGCCGGAAGGCTGTGCATTCCCTCAGCGAACCACCTGCTGCACTCACCTCGTCTAGACGAGAAGACACCGTGATCGTCCCACGTGTACGCTCTTCCCCAGGCGTCCCGCCTCGCGAGCACGAACTCTGCCGTCACATTGCTTCCCCGCATCTAACTGAGCCTCCCTCTGCGCCCTCTGCGATCTACCGGGCCTCACCGTGTAAATACGCACTGATCGATCGCCAAGAGCTTCTCTCGATTGCGGAGTCGACGTCCATTCAGCAATGTCGTCTGCACTCGGGGTCGCACCCACGCAGTGAAGATACACGCTGGACTTCAACTGGACTGCGACGTTGCTTCGGCCCTGCCGTCCCGCTCTACCTCCGGCATTATATACCGGTGAGGGAGCCGTGCCAAGAGCGGGTGCATCCTGCTCTCTACCACTTACGACCACTGTACGAGAGGCTGTGTTTTCTACGGCGAAAACACCCCAAATGCACGGCGACTTTGATCATTCGCTCGAGCTTCGTCGCTCAGATCAACCTCGTAAGTATTCTTTCTATGACGTTTGATGCCTTTGTAGGCTAATACGGTCCATACGAACGTCCGACTGCCTCGAGGCCGTCGTCTGGATGGATCGACAACAGTTGCACCAGTGGCAACGGTCTCCGGCGTCTGCCATCTTCACCTTCTGCCTTCTAGTGTCCCGTCGCGCTAAGCGCGAGAGGCTGTGTGCTTCCTAGACAACTTGCACTCTGGGTCATCGCTCACGACATCGTCAACCTCTGTGCAAAGTTCGCAAGCCTGTACCACGGAACCATTTAAGGGTAAACTATGGCTGTCGGCATCCTAGGTGACCGGTGCTTTTGTCCGCTGCATTTCCGGAGGACCCTGCTATTCCGCCAGCGGAGCTACGGGTCAATCTGCGTCTCCGATGGGACACTCTGGGAGGATTTGCCTATATTGCTATTAGGCCCACACCAATTGCAAAGTCGGCAACGCGCGCATGAAGGCCCCACCGGCGGCGGCGGTCGGGCGGTCGTCGTGCATTCAACATCAGGATATCGTACACCTTGCGTACACCACACGGTTATGTCTGCCGAATTTTCAAATTGCATTATCCATCTCGAGCAGTTCATCACGGTAGCGCAGTGCCGGCATTGATCGCGTTCGCAACCTGGCTCGTATTGGGGCGGTTGTGCGCATATCTGCGCATCGGCGGTATGAGCAAAGCTCACATGCTGCACACCTGGCTGTAACTTACCGTTCGTAGCTATCAATGTATAAATCTTCCGTACTACACGTCCGCTTAAAAGCAGGGTAGTTCAAGAGGCGATCGAGGTAAGTTCGGAATTGTGGCCCCTCGGGTACTGCGAATCCGCGATAGTGGACGAGGACGTTGGTAGAGCGGAAGAGCCCTATGTTGCAGTGTCAGCGCTGCGATTTTTTTTTGCAGACAAGACACCTACAGGGCCCGGCCATGACATCAGCTAGGCTGAGGGTGCCGCCCTCTCGCCATAAACCGAAGTTTGATTCGCTCTCTTTCTCAGCCCGTTGGAAGAGCTTGATGAGGCCATTGATGGCCTCCACAAAGTCTCTTGCACCTTGGATCTGTTTTTCTACGTGAAGGCCAGTATCAGCACTAGTTGCAGACGACGACTTTGTACAACCGGGCATGCCTTCGTCTTGCGCTTGGACGTAGCGATAGAAGGCGGGAATCAGTGTGCGATCGACATGATCAGCTTGTAGACGTATGAGAGCCCGCGCGTCTGATGATGTCCTCAGCATTGTGTAAATGCAAGATAGAGTTGAAGTGCTTCATACATGGCTCGGTTATAGGGGGGAGTAGGCTTTGTTTCGTCTTGGATGCTGCAACACTGATTGAAACGATACAATATAAGCGCTCCATACGCGTGAACGCCAGAGGCACCTACTCCTCCAAAAACTCCAGTATCACCGTGCTCTCATTCACGGCTCGTGGAGGATTGTAGTTCTCCAGTCTCAAACCTGGTACGAGACCCTTTGGGGACACCTCGAGGAGATCGGCCGGTTTCTTATACGGATCGACTTCATCTGCGATAGCCATCGCTCACAGTCAGCAACGCCTTCATTCAGCCTGAGAGGCGCTAGCCACGGACAGTACTAGTGTTCTGTTAGCCAACCGTACTGTTCTCGACTATGAAACATACCTTATAATCAATTCCAAGATACTCAAACGCGACCCAGACGCGTTGGACGAAGGGACAGAAGCAGCTACCGAAGAGTGTGATGTCTTTGGGAGCACTGTGTGCCTCGGCGGTCTCCTTCGCTACGCCTGTGCACTGCAGGTGGTAGGATCTTCCACTGTCAGCTTTCGTGGACATGGGTGCTTGCAGTCCAATTGATGTTGTATGTGATCTGAGACTGCACGCACAACTATGTGAGTGTCAAGTCCAAGTTGCGAACGCGCCCGTCCCATCGTGAGCGGTGGACTGGTGACTTCCACCACAGTCCATGCCGTCACTATTCACCACGGTCACATGTGCGCGTTGTCAGACCGTTCACTGACCTGCGTACCGATGCTCGCGAGGTGCGCACTCTAGCAGGGTAGTAGCGAGCAATGTGTGAGCGAAGAGAGAAGTCACGCTAGCAGTAGAAAGCGCACATACCCACCTGGGGATGATCCCCGCGGCATGATGCCGTCATACTCAAACGCAGCCACCAAGGCTTTACGCAGCGGGATCATTACAACACCGGATTTCATTGTTGTATCGTACTACATATTCCTTTGCGCTTCTCCACTCTTCATGATTCGTGAGACATTACACTGTGAGTTTTATGTGATACATCACATAGTTGTCCGATCCCCGTCATTGATACACTAGCAATCGCCGAACCGCAGGATAGTAAGAACATAGTTTAGATAGCTTCTTGATTTCACTGGCTGCCGATCGCCATAAGACTTCCGACGAATGTCATGATCTACGAGATCCATTAGCTGGCGCGACATAGCATAGGCGATGTGACAACGTACCAGACGTGGGCGGATGTCAACGATATCCTCAGGCACGAGGAAGATCAGGGCGTTCATCTTACGTGCGATAGAGATGGCGAGTTTCGCTGAAACAGAAGACTTCAGCTCTGCGAATGACACAACAAATGCATGGACGCACCATTCTGTCGGCGGTCTTCATACGGCCCGGTCTCATTGACTGGAATAATCAGGCTAGGGTCGACGATACCAGGGCGCAACGCCTCCAACAAGTCGAGGAAGAAAAGACCAGTAGTGAGCGAGGGATCCTTGAAGGACCGGATCGGCTTGACGCCGGGCTTCGCCTTCTGAGCCGTCGTGTTCGCCCACTTGAGGATCTCCGTGTCGGTGATAGGACGACCCTTGCCCGAGAGCGAGCTAAGCGTCCTGGTGATGTTCATCCTGGAAGGAAGAACAGACATCAGCACGCAGTCCATGCGGCACATCCGTGTACAATGCTACTCACCGCATGAGCTGCCATACGAGCCCGAGAACAAGAGTCTTCGAGCCGTCGACGATGTCAGCGCCCTGGATGCCGACCATGTGCATCCCGTTCTGCCTCGCGAGCTCCACGGAGTAGTTGCAGTTCTCGACCTGCTTGAAGCGCGAGAGATTCGACTGGTTGGGCGTCACGCCTATGTCCTCCTCTTCCTCGCCGTCCATTGTCTGGTAGCTAGGAGCAGCACCCCCCTTCGGCTTGCTCACGCGCCGCCATACCACGCTGCCAGGGACAATCTTGTCGAACGCCTGCAGGATGATCAATCCGTCTTTGAGATCCTGGAACAGGTTGAACACGCCAGGCTCGACGCCGAGCGAGTTAAGCCAGAGCGTGAAGACGCGCGCCTCGCGCTCGCCCTCCGCGTCAAAGTCCTCGACTGCGCCGTAGTCCTTCGCTTCCTGCTCGTCTAGCGGGGCGAGGCCGGGGTGGTTGTTGAACAGGTTGGCGACGAACGCGAGGTTCAGGCGCGGGTTCCCGAGACCATGGACGCGGGCGTCAGGTACTTCCGGCACCCAATCCTATCCGCGTTCTGGAGCACCTCTTCCGCGCGCTGGCGCACATCGCGCGTCTGGAGAGGGGCGCGCGAGCATTCGTCTGGCTTGAGCTGGTTCAGGAGAACGGTGTAGTTCTCGCCGTCAGACACGTCGCGGCTGAAGTTGTTCACTCTGTAGCGCGGATAAGTGAATAGACGATCGGAACCATCGTAGAGCGTTACTGACCTGCGGTGCCATCCTGCAGCCTTCAAGTGGTAGTTGAACCACCGCAGGAGGATCTGGTCGGGAGTCAAGCGGAGGAGGTCCTCAATGGTCTCACCCTCCTCACACAGACGGTAGAGCTCGGGGTGGATCTTGATGTCCACCTGTGCGAGCAGTCCTCTCCGGATGACCTGCCAGATGAGACCGAGAATCAAGTGCTCCCTGCCCTCCGCGATGTCCGTAGGCCCGATGTTCACGACGGAGCATCCAATCGCCTTCGCGGACATGATAACGACGTTGTTGTTTTCAGTCATCTGAAACGCGTTCAAGGGCTTGCGCGGTGTTGGCTTGTTCAACACACGCGGATCGATCGTGTCGGGCACGGAGTCGTTGATGAGCTTACAGAGGATGAGACCGTCTCTGCACTCGTCGAAGAGCTGCATCGTATTCGTAGGGATCGGTAGGCGATGCGCAATGTCTGAGTCGCCTTCCAGCACCTACATGATAACGTTTGGTGAGTGCCCTATAGGATTGTACACTGGAGCTACGTACGGAGTTGATGTGATTTGTGAATTCTGCCCGTTCATCTTCGTTGATGGTGTGGCTCACGTTCGCGTTAGACCCCTGGACGGTGACCTTGCCCTTGTGCGAAGGCAGCATGGATGCAGGAGCCTGCGTCTTCATCTTTGCGTTCAGCTGCATCAATAGCCTGGATTCAGCACAAAGGGCAAGACAGAGGCAATGCAACGCACCTCGACCCAGTCCTCCAACTCGAGCTTCCCGCTTGCGTCCACCTGCACATGCTTCAAGGTCTCTCGTGCAGCATCGTAGGACTTCCCCGATGCCTGTAGTACTTGCAACGCGCTTGATTTGTCGACGCGACCGGGAGTGTCGGTGTGGATCGAGCTGCCGGGCTTGTAAGATCGCAGATTCCGCATGCGATGGTTCTAAGACGTACTTGAAGCGGCTGATGAGGTCAAACATCTCATCTTGAGAGACCTCCGGGAACTTCTTGCGCAAACGTAGGGCATCCATGGTGGTTTAGCGGGAGGGGACGGGTAAAGTAGAGGAGGGTTTGGTAGAGAGCAGTGATTCCTCCGCAGTGACGTCGCGCGCTGCCTGATATAGTCCTGCGGTCACGGACTGCGCTCACACAGCATCCACGAACTTTGCTACGCACCGAACTGTGGACGTTGCCTCTGCTGCGCTCAAATGCGAGAAGGTATGTAGCTATATGTATGTCGGTAGATCCACATGGCTGCTAAGTAGGCGAAGACGGCAGCCACCAGCGGAGATCGATGCGGACTGGATTGAGTTTCCGTGCCGGCAGGCTGTTAGCGGGCATCTTGAGGCGGAGCTTGAATACCTCCGAGAACAACGGTCCGCAACGTTTATGTTACTTGCGTACTCGTCCCGGTCAGTGATTCAGTAGCAGTAGTACAGGGTGCAGTTCCAATGGCATCAGGCGCGTTCTATCTAGTCGTCTGACTCGAATAATACATAGGCTTTCCCTTCCTTCTTCAATAAACTCTCAATAACCTTCATACCTTCGAGCACCTTCTCTTCTTCGAGACGCTTCCCCACAATCTGCACACCAACCGGTAAGCCGTGCATCTGCTGCGCGTCGTACATCCGGTATTGAGCAGCTTCGATCGCGTTCTTCGGTTTGAATGCACCGAGCGCGTCGAGTGCGGCGTCGACGTGCGTCACAGGGAGCACCCCAGCCGAGTAGTCAAGCTACGATAAACGGATGCATGAATACCAGGAGATAGCACGCTCATGGAAACGAAGCTCACAATATTCCAAAGGAACGTGTACCCGCACGCCTTCCACCCCGCCTTCATCCCTCCAATCGGCGGAGCAGGCAACGAATTGGGCACCGTCAAGATAAAGTCAATAGAGTTCGCATGCACGAACTCGAACCACCGCTCGCGGTAGCTTTCTCGTTGCGAAACGAGGGCGAGGTACTCCGGCACGCTCTTCTCGTACCAGCTCTCCACGAGCCCAGCATAGATCTCGTCCTGCTTGATGTAGCGTAGGTACCAGGTGTACAGCTTCCTCAGGAAGTGGGGCACGCGGAACATCGCCGCAGCTTCCTGCACGCCTGGGTCATTCGTCTCGCCCGTGCGCATGGGTTTCATGCATGTTTTAGCTGTGGAAGTCTTGAGATCTTTGATCAAAGCACCTGAAAGAGGGCCTACCTCCGTCCGACATGAGCAATTGAGAGGCGATCTTGAGGCCTTCATATGAACTCGGCGAGTCATTACTGTAAAGCGTCCGTATACAGGTCAGTGCTATCTCGAATAAAAAGTGGTTGCAGGCACATACATAGGGAACACTTCGTGTCCATTGGCTTCAAGGACGGAAACCACCTCCTGTAATGCGCGCCGACAGGCGGGTGAAGGCGTTATCACACCTATAGAATGCATTGAGCTCCATTCTCCGCGAAACAGCGAGACTCCGCGAACCGTCGTCCCACAGTACACCCCACCGGATCGGCTTTGACTCAGAAAGGTTAACCTCACGCCAAGGTAACGAAAGCACCTATGGGCAATACACATGAGGACACCTGCCTTCGAATGCAACTTCACACTTACCGAATGGTCGTATTCCCATGGCTTCATGCTCATGATTGCCCGCCAAAACATCTCTAGATCCTCAAGAGTGCGCGTCATAGGCGAGTACACGGCCGGAATACCCTCTTGACCCGGCATACTCGTAGGATTACCAGTCTTCAAAAACCGATGCATCGACGCCTTTATGGTATATATACCTGAGTAGTGCCTGGGGCGACATCAGCGCAACTCCAAACGTCTGACAACATGCACGTACGCCGGAGCGCGTACAGAGCCTGCGACGTCCGTCCCGATACCAAGGCGCGAGCCCCCGTACGCGAGTAGCGCGCCCTCACCACCGGTCGACCCTCCGGGAGTATACTTCTTGTTCCATACATTAGTCGTCGTCCCAAAAACATCATTCGAGCACTCCAATGATAACAGCGTGATCGGGACGTTCGTTTTCACGAACGGCACCGCGCCGGCGTCCCGCAGGAGCCGCACCAGCGCAGACTCCTTCTGCATCGGCTTGCCCACCCATGCAGAGTAGCCGATGCACGAGTCGTAGCCCGGGATGGCGGACGTGTCCTTCAGACTGACAGGCATGCCCGCGAGCGGGCCCTGCTTATCGCATATCTTCGCCCACTCCTCCGCGGTGGGGATGAGGATCTCCGTGAGGCAGTTCGTCGCTGCGTGGGCCTTCAGCGCTTTCTTGCCGTACGCTGCGAGGATGTCCGGCGGGCTGAGGGACCCGCCTTGGACGCCTGCGACGATTTGGGACGCAGGCTGAGCGAGGATGCTCTTATCTGCTGAGCTCAGCGGGGCATGGTAGACTGGCGGGAGGCCCTCGATGCGATCCCTGCGCTCCTGTTGCTTCGAAGCGCTATTACCGTAGCAGTCAGGTCGGCTATCATGAAGGGTGTATGGTGTAGTACTCACCAGGCTTTCCGGTGGGCCAGAAACGAGAACATCGCCGCGACCCAGCTGCTGACACTCGCGTGAAGAGTGAGCGCAGCCTGTTGGACATGGCTGGTATGATGACACGGTACTTAAGCACTCCCACGAGAGTTCGGTGCTATATCAGCACTGAGCTGGGCCTAGCACGAGATCATGGGAGTAGACCAAACGGAGCTTCGAAGGCTTCTGAAGATAATAGCGGTTTACGGCAGTCGATAAGGTGTACCTAGTTCGTCACAGGACCAGAGTCAAGTGGTGAGTGTGAGCGTTGAATGAACGAACCATGAACTAGACCATCAGTTCCTAACAAACGAGTTTTCCGCAAGTGAGTATGCAGAGTCTGAAGGGACCTCGAAGCTCGAGCGAAACAGAGGTGGGGGCGTGAGGCAGACCGACTTTGTGTGAATGCAGAGCGCTCATCGGCAGGCGCTACTCGTAACGCTGTTCACCACACTTCAACGTTTCAACGTTCTTCAACACTCGGTGAGATGGTCACTGTCAGCTGCGTCTAACGTGCGCCGCTGGCTGCAAGATGGGTCGAGAGCACCAGCCGGTCACCAGGGAGGACCCGCCAGCGACTTCTGTATGTGCGAGCCTGAGTCTATTCTGTCTTAGCCTACACTGCGACTTGATCAGAGTGGATCGCCGTATGCAGTCAAGGCCAGTGCCAGAGGTGGTCGACCGAGTGCCGCTGCGTGATGAACTTGAATATGGGCTCCGAGTCTAGGAAGGGGAGTGCAAGGAGTTCGATTCGGAGGAGCAGGTTGTGCCATTATGGTGAGTATTCGACTTTGCATGCTCGCCGCACACATGCGGGGCCTTGCTTGATGGATGGGTGCTCGGGAACATCGCCGCGGGAGATTCTACAAGGCCACCTCGTACGAGTGTAAAACTCGATGCCCGGTGGGGGGGCTGCCGGAGAGTGGTCGATAGGTGTCGAGCCTGCCCGTCGGCAAGTCTGCCTACTAATAGTGGAGGTACAGCCCCCGAGCGGCACGCACGGGCTGAGAACGTTCTTGCGACCACCATCGTTTCCGAAACAGGACTTTGAACGATCCGCCGACAGTCCACATCGGGGTATCGTGCTGGAGGTGCTGAGAACGGTAGGTAAGGTGCCTTCCAGCGGTGAAGCGGCACAAGTACATGCCTGTGGTTCATTTGTGACGGCGCAACCCTTCTCCGGGCGTCTTTCAACTTCGTAGGTCGACATAGGCCGTCGTTGCTCGCAGGCTACGACGAGTAGCCTGAGACGTGTGTGGTGTCACTTTACTCGTGTGTGTCCCCAGTGCAATAGCCAAAAACATCAGAAGCTGATTCGATAACACACAGAATGGACCTTTCATCGACGGTGCTACGGGAGGCTAGAAACTAACCCCTCCTATAACAGCAGCAAGAAGTCATATATTCAGTCCTTGTCCCCGCAATGGGCGTAAGGGGTGCGTACGACCTGGGGTCCGAGTCATTTGGTTCGACGAGTATTCGCGATCTGAAGTACGACGCACTGTTTGCCTTGCATATAGGTCCGCAGTACACTGTGCTGGAGGTCAGGTTAGCGAACGCTGATCCAGTGAGTACTCGCCGACTGACCGCTATTACCTGGAGACCGTAATGCTACGTGGTCGTAGACTGAACACGGGAGTTCACAGATCTGTCAGAGTTGCCAGCTCGGCGCAGTTGACAAAGTGACATGGTGTCCCTCGTTGGAAACGTTAAACAGGGAGAAATCGAAGATACGCTTCACTGTGGTAGCAAACACGACTGGCCACCGTGTTCGCGAGGTATTCGGTAACGGGGTCGCTCGTTGCAAACACCAGACGGCAGCGCCGCTAGAACACCATTGGCTGGCCAATCTGTCGGACGGCAGCTAGCCCGGCGCCGTTAATGGTCACCACAAATGCAACGTCGCCAGAGCGTCGCCCGACGTCCAGCGCCCATGCCCTATCCCAGCCCGTCTTCGCCTCTGGTTAGACCGTCGCGCCCGTTGTCGTGTCTGGCGGAATCAACCCTGAGCCTCCTGCCTCGCGCCTCAACCTCCAGCGATGCCGCCACGAAGTTCGTTACCGCATCCAGACGCCCGTTGCAGAAATATATCATCAGCCCTGAAGGGATTTGCGGGACCAGATGTGCTTGCGTGCGCAGAAGTCGCTCACGACGGTGAGAGAACGGGACAGATTCAGTTGTCTCCGTGGCGCGTCAGGCCAGCGCGGCTCGCGAGTCGCCGCCACTTTCCCCCTCCCACAGTCTTGGGTGTTCTACAGCGTTTCATCCGTCATGCAACTCTCGACCGCAACTCAGACCGCGACAGGAAGTCAAACTCTTGGCTGGCCTTCGTCACAAGTACTGCCAGCAGCCGCACACGCGCCCCCATGGTGCCAGTCGCATTCGCAGCTCCGTTGATTTGTCACTTGGGTACTATAGTCAAGAACCCTGCGCTTTAACACCACACCGTGACCTTCGTACTCGCAAGGCGTTCTGGAGACATCGTCACAGGGGTAGCTGTTCGGAGTGGTCGGTGGGATGGCCCAACTCATCGTAAGCACTCTTCACGGATGTATCATTACGGCTGAGTATCAAAACAATTCTTTCTCCAATCGTTGCCACTGATTTTGTGACAGTGGTCCCCCACAACTTGAGTACATGATGGCACAATATAGCAGTATCCTCTACCGGCTATCGGTCTGAATCTGCGTCACTTGTCTCCTCTCCCGAGTCATCGTCGCCATTGGTGCCATTGACACCCTCCGCCACCGTCGTTGGGACAATCCCGCAGCATGCATCACAATCGTTCCGGTTTCTGTCCATCACGAGATGCTGATCGACCAACATTCTGCAGGTGCGTCATTAATATGCAACGTCACGCCGCACCGCACCGCACACTCACTCTTGGTCGCACTCGTTCGGACAGTCATGCTCGTGCCTCTTGTGGCGCACACTTATCCTGCATGCGGTCCTGTTGCAGTCGATCTATGTCAACTCGTGTCACGGCGTCGACGGTCAACATCTCGTGAAGGCTGCTCACGTAGTGACGCCTGGTCTGGACTTGGTGTCCGCATTCGTACCTGCAGTAGGTGACTAGGTGGTAACACATCGTCAGGGTAGGAGGCGAAAGTGTGTCTGCCTCTTGGGACATGTGGTGACCCACCGGTGTTTTTATACGGGTGATAACCCATCCGGGGCCTTGGAGTTGTGGTCCATCCGAGTCGCGTTGGGCCGAGGGATGATCACGGCGCCTTGAAGTTTGAAGCTGGAGCCCCGAGCCAATTCGTCGGGTACGTGGCTATCTCACCCCTATGATTCTGAACCCGTGTCTTCTAAATTGCGAGGAGCATCGAATTGCGTCTTGGAGGATCCGTGCGCTGTTCGACAAATCACAACAGTGGGAATGAGGCATGTACGCGGGCAGCATTGACAGAAGCGTACGGTTGGTCCGGACCTTTTGATCCCACCCTTCGCAGCGGGACTGTGTCCAGGTCTCATCCCACGCGTGGTGGCCGCGCAGGTCCTACCTTCCTGCGTCAGGTGGCCGCTAGTCAGGATTGCCACCACAAGATTGCGACAGCCATGCTGTTGCTGTGTTGTAGCAGCACGGTAGTTGCGTACTGTTGTCATAAGTCAACTCGCGAAAATTGACTATGCAGTAATTTTGTTCTGCTACTCATGCTGTCTCTTGGCGATGGTCAACAATAGTTGTCATTATCGCTCAGAATTGCGATGATTATATAGCCATACTGTACTGTGTTTCGATCCTGTGAGTAAAATGACTGATTAATCCAACGTTGAACGCATGATTTCGAGGATTATTTGCACATGTTAGAAACCGAAGGCGTTGCACAACAGAGCCAAACAAACGCCAGGCGAAAACGACGTCATCTGCTCATAATTTGTTTACAATGTAAGTTTATAGCGACTTTCTCACAGACCACCATCTTGCTGTAAAGTTGAAGTTCAGATCCGGTTGATCCTTACTCTGACTGCCTCAAATGTCGTTCGAAAGCCTACGTTCCTCGCGAAAAGCAAAAGAGGCCAAGTCATTCGTACAGAATGCAGCCATCACGAAGACGGAGAGTCCTTCCGAGCAAGTGGGCGGGAAACGACATGAAAAAGATGTTGCGGCAAATCAGTTTCGGGTAGGCGACCTTACTTCGGAACAGGCGCAACTTCAACCTTTCCAAGTCCGAAAATCCAGCATAGCGGGTCGGGGTGTGTTCACTGCGCAGGCCCATAAACCTGGTAAGTGTTTCCAAAAGTTCCTCACATGGGCTAAATGATCTGAAAAAGTACAGGGAGCGTGATCACAGCGGTCAAGCCCTATGTTAGCGTGTTGTCTACGCCGTATCTAGCGGAGTTTTGTACGAATTGCAGTAGTGCTCCGAAACCACCCGCGAAGCTGAAGAGGTGCACCAGATGCCGCGTCGTGTGGTATTGCGAAGATGTGGGTATATCTTCGCGCTTGTCAGTGTCTCGGATGATGCGGCTTACGCCTCCTTACCCCAGAAATGCCAGACAATTGACTGGAGCGTCCACAAGTACGAGTGCAGAGCGTTGCAGAAATGGGAAGAGTCCGCACCATCTAGCGCTAAGGTTCCTAGTGATGCTATTCGCTGTCTTGGACGGATCGTCTGGGGCTTCAAGCTGCAGGGTCTGGATAGCGAATGGGTGCGTCTGTATGTGTACCACAGAGCTGATGCTAACCCGGTCTCGGTCTACAGACAAGAGAAGTGAAACAATTTCAATCCCGTAAGTCGCAGTATTGTGCCACACATCTCAGCCGCACTTACTATGTCCCCAGATAGAACTTCATTGCCGCCTTCCGCGTACGAGCCGTACACCCACATTGCACACTCCCTGATTCGCTATCTCGGCGTTGAGTCGCCCCTTGAGCTCGAACCCTTTGGCATCAAGTCTACTGCAGACCTCGTTGACACGATCTCCAGGGTATGCGCGCCCATTGATTGGGTCGGCTCGACTGATGTGGTGGTTGGCAGTTCACGACGAACGCGTTCACCCTGACGTCGTACGCACTCAGCCCTATCGGAGTGGCTTTATCCCCTATCACTGCGTCGATCAATCACTCCTGCGATCCCAATGCGGTCATAATCTTCCCTCGAATATGCGATCAACCTCACATGCAGGAGCCTCAGATGAATCTGGTCGTCATCAATGGAATAGCACCTGGAGAAGAGGTACGGCAAGGCAGTAGTGCTACTGCAGCGATTGACGTATCGATGCGTCCCGTTTAGGTCACCATCTCGTATATCGATGTCACTCTGTCGCATGAGGACCGACAGAAAGCACTCAAAGAGACATACAACTTTGACTGCAAGTGCACGCTGTGCTCGACTCCACGCTACGACGATCCTCGCACCGCAATGTTCTGCCCTGCGCGATGCGGCGGAATCCGTCCTATCCCGACCGAAGGTTGGTCAACATGGTGTTCCCTCCGATGGCACTACTAAGAACGGAATAGACAGCAGTCCGCCGTGCAAGAAATGCAAGGCCACGACAGAAAACGTCGACGGCGAGCTTGACGCTCTCAATGTGGGACAAGAAGCACTAGGAAAGGCCACAGCAGTGCAACACACGGGTAAGGATGGCCAAATTCATATCGAGCGAGCGAGCGGCACTAAGAATTACACAGACCCACGGAAGGCAATCCAGCTTACAACCAACATCATCCCCATCTTGATGTCTGCCGGACTGACTCCATCATGTCACCCCCTCCTCGCCATGACACGCCTGCACCAAGAGCTTCTCATCGCGTCTCTCTCTGGGTCAACGACGCAGGAAGCACTCGACGAGACGATCCGCACCGCGGCGAGGTACGTCGCCGGTCTCTTGGCCATCCTCCCGGCGGGACACCCAGTGCGCGGTGTCGCCCTCGCGGAACTCGGCAAGCTGCTTGCGGTGGACGAGCCGTCTCCGCCTGCGGACACGGCTGGCAGCGCAGACCGTTTCCCGCCCTCCGGATCCGCGCGCCTGAAGCTGGCGCACGAGACGCTGGTGAGAGCGAGGGGTGAGCTGTTGGTCGGATTCGGAACGGATAACAGCGGAGGGCTGGTCGGAAGGGAAGTGAGGGAGACCATAGTCCGGTTGGAGCAGGAGCTGGGCGCGTGGACACAGGGGATTAGGAATGCGCTGGACGATGTGAGGGCAGCAAGGTCCAGCGTCTCGAAAACTTAGTATATGGAGGGCATCAGATGTGAGTCAACATGCTATTGGTACCATGGCTTATTGATATGCAGAGAGTTTACAAGTGGAATCTGATGAGTACAGCGTTTTGATTCAGACCACTTCCCCCATCCATAACAGCTGTCAATGCAATCGTCAATGCGGTAAGCCCGAGTAATATACATTCTAATCTCGACCACAGGTAAGTGACTCGACAAGCAGCTCGGATACACAGTGCGGAAGGAGGTTGTACGGATGTCGGAAACCAAGAAGTCATCCGGGGTTGACAAGCGGATGTCCAATGGCTAACAGATATAAATGCGCTGCGTATCTCCCAACAAGCTTCAACACTTCAAGCTTTGCGCACTTTGGCACTGGCTGCCAGTCACCACTCATTCGACTTCGACACTTACGCCATGCCTCATCATCTGCACACGCCGCTTCCCGACCTCTCTATGAAGTTGATCGACAACGGTCGACTTCAACTCCTCGAAGTCCTAGGCGCAGGCGCCTTTGGAACAGTGTACCGCGCTCACGACCGCGATTGCCACGGGTCGCCCACATTCCGTGCGGTCAAAGTGATGCCGAAGGTCACTGACCGCACGTCCGAGCGCGGCAAACTCCTGGAGCGCGAATGTACTCATCACAAGTACGTCTCCGGACATCCGAACATCGTCAAGCTCCACCGCATCGCCCACGACTCGAAATTCGTCTACGTCGTTCTCGACTATGTTTCGGGAGGCGATCTTCTGGGCCTCATCCTCAATCACCGCCTGGCGCGGAATGACGAGCTCATCAAGTCGATCCTCGTCCAACTGGTTGACTCGGTGTATGCATGCCACCAAAACAACATATACCATCGCGACATGAAGCCGGAGAATATCCTCGTTAACGAGGATATGAGCAGCATTTTCCTGAGCGACTTTGGTCTGTCGACGAAGAGCTCGGGCAAGAGTTATATGTTCCGTGTGGGCACTTCAAACTATATGAGCCCAGGTCAGTAGAGATTCTTAGCACTCCGATGTGCACGCGCTCACGCCCACGAGTACAGAATGCTACAACGCCAATGAACTCTGGGACGACTATGACCTTCGGCGCAACGACATATGGGCTATTGGCATGATCGGCATCTGCATCATTGCCGGCCGGTGTCCTTGGAGACGCGCATCCACCAAGGACGAGAACTTCTGCGCCTACGTCGAAGACCAGCGCTATCTCCGTGCTGTACTCCCGATATCAAAGGAGGCAGACGAGATATTCAGGCGCATCTTCACCATACGAGAGGAAGATTGCATCGACCTCCTCGAACTGCGTCAACTCCTCATCGACGTCGACACGTTCTACATGAGCGAGGCGGAATTCGAGCACGCACAACCATCCGCCAAAGCGATCTACGACACGTACGAACCATGCGCGCACCCCGAGGACAATACGACGCTCGTCGAAGATTCCTCTTCCTCCGTCTACCTCTCGACATCTGGAGAAACGTCAGAGTCCGGATTCTCTGGGGAGCGTGCGCCCAGCACTTTCCCCTGTCCTGCTTTGGACATCGCCATTGGTTCATGCAGCAAATTCGTAAACGAGTCGGAGTTGCCAACGATTCCCGAAGAAGACAGCCCTCCCCCTCCTCCCCTCGACGCACCCTCCATTCCCGACCGCGCCTTCACCCTCGGCTCGTCGGGGACCTGCTCGACATGCGAGGACCCCGATTCCGACTCATCTTCTGAAGAAGAAAGCGACGGGCCTATCACTCCCGAGACGTACGCGCAGGACCCGGACGTCGCCGTTCCAGAGCTTTCTGAAGGAGCGGGGTTGGGTGTACAGGCGGTCAAATTCAACATCGAACCGTTCGAGAAGACTCGACGGAGTCTCACAGGACCACAGTTCCGTGTCCTGAGTGGGCTGGTGGAGAGCGTCAGTCGTATGCTCACAACGGTGTAGCGGGCGCTCGGACATTGCTATCCACGCATCATCATACCCGTAGCGTAGTTTGTACTTCACGCAATATCAAAAACTATTCATAAATGTGTCGATGCCCCAGTGTTATCGGTGGAATGTTTCCAACCTTTGCCCGCCACTGCTACGTGTCTGCCTCCTGTCCGACAGTAGATGCTTCTTGACGCTGAAAACACATGGTTCCCGCTTCGTGAACGCGGCGGATGGGAGATCGCGAGTAGTTTGGTTTCCAACGGATGGCAAGAGCAACTCCGCTGTTTCCCATCCGTTGCGATCTTGACCAACTTGCATGCCTACAGGGTCGTAGAGCAGCCTGCTCGTATGTCTGTGTGCATCCGCCCGTGTAACGCGGCAACGGAGTCGGGTACTAATATCTCAGGATAGACTGGCCACATCCGAGGATGTATGCCTCACGGTGCATAAAAGACGGACGAGTTCCACGGATATCGCGCCGTATTCTGCACTATCCCTCCTGAGTCCTGCATATCCCGAGTCACAACCGTCAATATGGCTCTCGAATCCATGGCCTACCACATGCCTGACTTCAGGGGCAGGCTTATCGACGCTGGTCGTCTCGAGCTGGTACGACTCCTCGGCGCTGGCGGCTGCGGAGTCGTGTATCTCGCCGTCGATCACCACGCCCCATCCTCGAGCTCCTCAAAGGCGACTCCCGTCCGACGTGCGGTGAAAATCATTCGCAAGGTCGATACGCCTGATATCGAGTATCAAAGGCGGGAGATCGACCTCCACTCGCTCGTCTCGGGTATTCCCCACGTCCTTCCGTTGCACTACGCCTTCGAAGACGAGCACTACTTCTACCTCGTCACGGAGTACTGCGAGACCGACTTGTACAAGGTCCTCTTCGAGAGCCAGACGTTCCACGGCAACGACGAGCTGGTCCGCTCTGCGTTCCTGCAGATCCTGGATGCGGTGCACGCGTGCCACCAGAAACGGGTGTTCCACCGTGACCTGAAGCCGGAAAACATCCTTTGCAGCGCAGATGGGAGCGACGTATACATAGCCGACTTCGGGCTCGCGACGCAGAACTCGCGGAGCGCCACGTTCGGCTGCGGTAGCGCGCCCTATTTGAGTCCCGGTAAGTCTTACGACGCTCGTTAACGGAAAAAGTACTCATCAAGGCCACAGAGAGCGTTGGCCAGGAGTTCAGCCAACAGGCATACTCCACAAAACGCGCGGACGTATGGGCTTTGGGGATAATCCTCGTCAACATGATCACCGGCCTCGGTCCTTGGGAGAAAGCCGTGACGGAGGACCCTCGCTTCTGCGAGCATCTGCTTGACGATGGCTACTTGGAGCGCGTTATCCCAGCATCGCGGGGCGTCATCCAGGTTCTGAAGAAGGTCTTCAGGATCAACCCGCAGTCGCGCCCAAGTCTGGAGCAGTTACGCCAGAGCATCGTCAACCTCGACAACTTATTCCCTGCAAGGAAAGAGGTCGAGACATCGACACCAGCGCTTTCGTCCGTTCTCGTCGCCGGCGTCGTGCCCCAGGAGGTCGTAGTCGATGTCGAAGAAGACGAGGAGAGGATTACCGATCCCGGTGAATTCTACGAGTATGACGACGACTCAGACGAGGAACACGCCTACCTCTACATCGGCGCTGTCGACGACACGGCGGATTCCGACTCCGAGTGTACGTCTGTCGACGAGAGCGGCCCTGCCACACCTAGTAGCTTTCCTGTCCCTCTCAACGGATCGGAGTTCGTGGAGGGTTTGGAGAAGGCACTGTTGCCCCTGACGGACGCAGGAAAGCCTGTCGAGCCAGCTTCAGAGGTCAGCATTCTCGCGCGCTTGGACTTGCTAGTACTTGAATGACCTGCAAAAAGAGCACGGTGCCATTTGATTGTCCTACAGCAATCGGAGTTGACGAATATGACCACGGGTTGGCAATTAGAAAGAGGGAGATATACGGAGATGTTTGATAGAGTACGTCGAGCGTACCAAATGGACATGACTTGAAATGTTGCGCCTAGTAACATCAATGGACATTATGGACAATGTATCTTGACGGTTGCACGGCTGTGCTTCCTGAACTCGCCCTCTCCTCAGCACGAGCGCGCCCTTCTTCCTGGACCTCTCGTCGCATCCTCTCTTCAGTTTGCTAGTTTATGTGTCCCGCTTTTTGTGCTTCGGCCCCTCGCTGCCACCTTTGATGATCTCTTCACGCTCTCAAGCCCTCTCTGTAAGATCATCGGCTTCTAATTGCTGGGCTTCATCGAGTCGCATCTAAACATGTTCCTTCAGTGACCGTAGTTCCAGCCCCTTGGCCTTGAGCTCCTCCTCTTTCCTGCGGATGTCTGACTCCTTACGCCGTGACTGGCGTCACCTTCCTTCAGGGCGAGCTCCTCCCGGTGATTGCGCAGTTCCTCCTCGATCACGCTCATCGCTTGGGCTCGATGTCTTACCTCCTCGTCCATTTGCTTGACCGCCTCCTCCTTGGTTCTCACCTCTTCTTCTTTCAGCCTCACCTCTCCCGCCTTGCGCCTCACCGCATCTTCTTTCCCTCGACACTGGTCCTCTCGGCGCTTGGTCACTCGTTCCCTGTGTCTGGCTGCGTCGTCTTTCTTCCGCGCCTCATCCTCTCTCTGCATTGCAAGAGCCTCCAGCTCCCTCGCGTCGTTCTCCAGCTTTCTAGCCTCGTTTTCTCGCTGCCTGACCTGCTGCTCCCTGACTTGAAGAAGACGCCTAGCCTCAACCTCCTTGGTCCGGGCATCTCCTCCTTCTTCCTGACATCTTCTTCCTTCTTCCTGACATCCTCCTCCCTATGTCGGATATTCTGTTCCATCTTTTCAAGCTCCTCGACCTTGCGGCGAATGTCCTCGTGTCTCTCGGACGTCTCGATGCCGTACTCCGAGTCGCTGTCGAACCCATCTGTGTCACGGAAAGACCCATCCGACAACAACGGCGAAGCGTAGACCCATCAACTGCTTAGCGATCGTACATGTCTTGTCTCGATCGCTGCGAGTGAAGGGAGCGCGATCCTGTGGGTCTCTCCGGCCTTGCCTCGTACGCGTCACGGACTGGCCTGAGCAACCGGTCATCATCGACCGTAAACGATCGCTTGCTGGCCAGCGACCTAATGGCTCCCGGGCTAGATTGCTCTGCACACTCTGTGGCCGTACATCCCCGGTGATACAGCGCTGTAATCGTACGTCCAAGAGCCCTTGTTCGCCGACTTCAATGGATGTCGCAAATTCTCTGGCGAGCCCTTATGCACAGACGAGGCACGAGAAGAGCCCCTGATGGGGATTCCTCTCCGCTCGGTCGGCGATGGGGAATAGTCTACGCTGCCGCTCGGGAGCGTGGAGAATGGATACTGGCCGTCGGAGGTGACCTGCGGCCAGCCTGGAGAGGGGGCCGCCGAGGGACGGTCGTCGTTCCGCCTGCCAGTCAGATCTGCGGACGGTCGAGGGCGAATGAGTTGTGGCTGCGCCTCCCGCTGCTTCTCTCGCGCTCTGGCTGACGGCTGCCAAGCTCCTCCGGCATATCTCGCTCTCTCGTAGCATGAACTAGCGATGGGAATCGGCATCAACCTGCACGACGTTGGATTGTACGCTTCCCGATCGCAACAGCCGCCCACTGCTGCTCGCAAAGCTATCGCGTCTGGCCGGCGGCGCGACCATGGGCGAGTCTGTCGACGTATAGGCAACGCGTGTGAGGCTGACTTCGCCTCTTCAGGCGTGTTTGGAGGTATCCATATCTCCTGCCCAAGGACTTGAGACATCGACGCCTTACTGGGTCGTGGGCTAGCACCCTCCCGACCAAGCTCAGGCAACTCCGCATCCGAAGGGCCACCATGCATTGAGCCGGTGAAGTAGGCAGATATACCGGACACGGACTGGGGCACTGCTGCCTTGATAAAGCCTCTCGGCGTAGCAGGCTGTCGACTATATGCTCTCCGCAACCGTTCAGCAGGAGCATGTCCAGCGTCTGGGAAGTTGAGCATCAGTGCCGCTACCGACAACCATGTAAGAACTAGCTTACCCGGGCGCAATGGTTTCGGTACAGCATGCTGCCGCTTGATCGCGTCAAGAATCGCCTGCTGTTCCTCGATCAAGGACGCGGGCGGTGCGCCCTCTGTCCATTCGCGTTCTGCCCTGACGCGCGCCACGATTTGCTGGTAATGTTCGTCTGCGATCCGGCGAATGGTCTTCATCTCGCAGTCGAACTCCCGCAGGATCTCAGCGCGTGCGGCGTCAACGAGGTCTCGCGCCTGCAGCTTCGCATCTCTGTTCGCCTGCGCATCCTTCATGAGGGATCTGAGGTTCTCCTGGATCTTCGTCCGCAGTACTTCATTGAATCGGGGTCCGGGCCCTCGTGTGCAGAGAGAGGGTGAGGACCGTCTTGCTCCTCGATGCTTGACAGTGGTGTGGGTATCGCCAGCGTAGCCATTGGGTTGTGGGTGTCGGCAAGAGGAGGTCGCATATATGCCCAGGTCCCGGAACAGCACACCTATATATCCGATCTCAATTCTTGCTGCCTGCGGCCTTGAGTTTGCCTGGTAGCTTCTGTATTCAGAGAGGAGGTTACTCGGTAGGGTTAGAAGGGAGACATATCGATCTCGCACCTCCGAATCAGGCCTGATTGAAGGTCTGATATAGCATGCTGACAGAAAGAACATAACCCATGATGAGTGGCGACGGTTCATCATCGGGCGTAACACCCACGTTGCATCGGCATACGGTCTGCCTGGCATGGCTGAACTTAGCCATCCGGAAGTGGAGGCAAAGCAACCTGTCATCGGTGTAGTCTCCCGTAATAGACAGACTCTAAACGCGAGCTCTTTGAGTGAGGGAGGATCTATCAACGGTGGTGACTCGCCAGGGATGAAGCTCAGATTCGGCTTCTCAATCGCGACGCACTGCTCGCCGTGACGAATGTGTTGAGCTGATATGCTTCTTCCTGAGGCCGGGGTCGCCCGTGGTGCTACTGCCAGCGGATGACTCGCCGCTCACACTGGAGCAGCCGCTTGGATGCGGGTCGTTGCTCGTCGCTTGTTCGACTTCGAGTGCAGTTAGCTACTCTCGTCCGAGTCGGGCTCACCCTGCTCGAAATGCGAGCTAGCGGCGAGGCTGTCGGGGGGATTCAAAGTGGAGATGCAGGGGGTCCATAATCAACATCACCGAGCCCAAAAGACGAGTATTTCAGCCAGCTGGACACGAAGACAGAAAGACGTGCCACACGATGTGGCGCGAAAGTCTCATCCTCGGACTAGCGCCGAGCGGTTAAGCGTAGACCGCCACCGTACTATAGGTTGCTTTATTCCACAGATCTTTCTCCAGCTCTGGTTTTTAATATGAGACCTGCTTATATAGACTTATAGGTATCACGTCGTAACTTACAGTACATAAACGACTGCACGATGTGGCCCTGGCAGTGAACGCGATCTAAACTGAACCGGACCGACTCAACCGCTTCGCTCGGAAACGCTGTGCAGAACAGCGCGCAAAGGCTTGTTTGAACCCTCCACTCTGCGCACCCGGCGCAGGTGTCTTCTGGTCCTCTTTCTTCTTACTTCCGTGTACTGTTGCTTGACTGTCGTTTGGCCACATCACGAAAGTACACGGTGATGAAGCTGTGACAGCTTCCGGCAGGGCCAGCCCATAGTAACGCCGTAACGTGTGACCCGTGTCACGCTTCCATGAGAGTCGGTGTCGCCACGGTGCTCTCACCGCGTTTTGCACGCTGCCACCAACGTTGCCGCCAACGCTGCCTCAGACCGCTCTTTGTTCCTACCCTCACGTCCCAGCCGGTATCGCAGTCGTAACAAGCCCCCAAAATGCCTAGCGGGTCCTCAGCATCCGGGTCGAGCTCGATCAACATCCCTGCGACCGCCGCAGCCGGTGGTCTCACCATTACAAGACCGCCGCAGACGGCGACGTCCTACTACAAGATCGCGCCGTCCAACAGCATCACTTTCGGGTGGAACTTCACCAGCCTGCTCGTCACACCAACATCGCTGACCGTTTCCGCCGTATGCGAGAACGGAAACACCTACCCCGTGGGTCCGACGGACGGTATCATCCCTGGCACAGCGACGCAGGTGGTGTGGGATCTATGGGCGTATAATCAGGCGAACCCGGCTACGCCACTTGCACCCACCTCGTACACGCTCGAGATTTGGGGCGATCGGGGCAGGGACGCGCTCGCGACGGGAGGGCAGCTGTCGTCGAACATGAACCTCAAGTTCGCGTTGTACTCACCGGCATCCTACACTCCACTTTCAAGTGAGTTGATTCGTTGTTTCCCAGGTCGATAGACCGTCGCAAACGCCAAAGGATTGGTCTATCGACTCGGGCTGCCGTTGTTCTTCATTAACGCGTGGTCATGCAGGTTGGACATGCGCAGGCTGCAATGTCAATGGCGCACTATCAGACTACGTCGCACACCCTGCCTTCGTCAGTCTCGTCGTGACCTTCCTCGTCATGGTCCTCTCCGGATACTCGCTTATCCGACAAGCACTCCACTAGTCTCTCGTTGGGTGCTGGTATGGACCAGGGGAGGGGACGGGGGGTCCACGGGACGTTCCTTGACGACCGGACGTACGATCTGTTTGCATTGACATTGGCTTTGAACGGACTTTCCATAGGGTACAATTGTGACGCTACGCTACGATACTGCTTACACCTCTGTTTTCCTCTCGTTGCACGGACTTAGCTTATGACGCATCGCATTTGCAGCACAGTGGTTTGTAATGGAACGCGTATGGACGGACTTGCGCAGTCTGTACACGGTTGGCGTGAGGCATTGAGGCCCGACACGCGTAGTGATATTACTGGTGCGTGTAACTGTCGGTAATTCCGCTGGTGTCGTTAACCTATGCCTCATACAGTACGCTCGTCGTCCGCTCCACGTTCGTGTTCGGCGCTCAGCGTCCTCAGGCTGCTGCATGAGCGTCTGTCAGATGCACCGCTTCCTGCCTTAACTGACCTTGATAGCCTCGACCAAAGTATATCACGACAAACGGGCCATATCGGTACCTATGTACTACAGACTGCTAAGAAGCGCAGACGACCAGGCTCCAGCGAACCAGCGCTGGTGTGTGTAGCAATGACTGCAGCATGTGTCAAACCCAGGAAAGTTTGACTCCGCCCTGTGAGTTAGTATGTTCTCTTACTCAATTACAACTTATGCGTCCTCAGGTGCAAGATTAAGCATACAGCAAATAGTACCCGTGCTTGGCAATATGTTCTCAGAACCATGGCGCGTCGACAACGACACAAGAACCTCAAATGTAACATCCAGCGATCCAGTGCGTGCTCTATCCAGCCTTGGAGGCCATATATGGGAGTGGTGTCTCGCCATCGACACTGAACGCGACCTATAGTCGAGTATGATGTAGGGGTGGCCCGTTTCGATGTTATCGCAGGGCGGGAAAGCGTGATACCTGGCAAATGATGGGTCGTCAAAGAGAGCGACTCGGAGGATACAGTGCCATCCTACGGAGAGCCTGCGGCCGTTGCACGCGACGTGGGAACGACGAAGGCCCCGGTCACTGTCGACGGTACACCACTGCGATTCGTGTGTTGCTCTTCTCTGCAGCTTATGCAGACAAGCTCAATACTTGGATGGTACGGTACTACATAGTAAGAACGTCAGTGCTGCCCACATCTTGAACCGAGTCAGATCATTTGAGTTCGGCTCACTTTCTGCTACCATAGGCCGATTTGACTTGAACGTTTGACGTTTGACACCCAGTAGGCTCCTCATCCGTCCCTTCGAAAACCGAACAATGGCAAGCACCGCGTCTCAGTCAAGGACTTTCAACCAGCTATGCAGCTCGTGGGCAACGAAACCCAGGCAAAGACCGACCTCAGCGCAATTGACGTCCGTGTCCGGCAATTTGCAGCTCAATCTTCCGTAAGCCTCAGGCTGATCACGGCTCTTGATGATATATTCAAGTTGATCACAGACAGAAACAACTCGCCAATCTTGCGGACTATTCGTGATCAGGAGCAGCTCTGAGCTGATGGGACAACTTCCGATTGCAATCCACTGCAGTCGAACGACCGTGAGCTCGCCAAGTCAATTACTGATGCGGCGCAGTGCCAAATCGACAAGAACCCGTTATTGTCATCGGAAGGGCCGAGCGGCGAGCGGGCGACCCAATGTCTTGACATTTGACCATATTCGAGCGTTCATTGAACGCTCCTCATTTGGACTCATGCCAAACTCGTCCATCTGCCGTATAGGACGCGTCTCGGTGATGATCCTGCCACGCTGAACTTCCCGCCTACTTCTCCGTACATAATTATGATCTGCTATCCCCACTGGTTCTCTGAAGTCTAAGTATCGGCGCATCGTATGGCTTTATCAACGTGATCATAGCGGTTCATCAGTCGCTTACACAAGCAGCTAGCATATGCAAGACTATCGGGATTCCATGTGCAGTTGTATGTTCACATCATCTGCTGTCCGACTTACGAAGCTGGGAAGCTTGATGGCAGCGTCGGATCAGCTACCGAACACGCTAAAGCTCGAATGGCTTTCCAGTCAGGAGACAACCCGACGCGAGCCATGTCTCAGACTCTCCAACTATCCTCACGTACCTAGGTACTTTCACATCCGACCTACAGGGTAACTTGGTATGTCGCCTTGTATCGTTCCTATCCAGCCATTTGATCAATGCTGAACTCTAGGCAGGGTTCAATTCGAATATGGAAGCTTACTGATGCTTCTTTGTCCCCGCCTCGAGAGCTCAATGGAGCTTCAGTTACCCTATAATTCGGTTCGTCTACTTCTCTCTTGAATTCCCAGCTGTAGCCTCACTTCCAGCAGAGTTTGATATCCCTGCGGAGGCCGGTATCGTCTTGGCAAGCCCTGTCTATATATACATTGCTCCCCCTGCCCACCGTCTCTTCCTTTCACATACCCAACGTCGATTCAACTGCTGTGGGCGCGAGTGATCGTACCTGCCTCAGCTACGCTACATCTACTTCACTTATGAAAAGGCACCGCGCTCCCTCCGACTCTCGACCCCCTTCGAACCGTCTTCCTCCACAGGATCGACCTCGGACCAGCGCAGGGACGAGTGTGTCAAAAGCGAAGACCGTTACATCGGACGGCATGGCCTGGAAACGCATATTCTCATTCCGAGCATCTGCGACCCAAGACCGTCCCCGAGCCCTGTCACCAGATTCATTAGCCGTCTCGCCACCCGATCAGCCTCCTCCAGTTGCCGCTGCGACCGCCGATGCCGCATCCATGGCCGCAAGTACGACAAACACCTCACTCAGCTCCCGCATAGAAGAGCAGAGCTTGAGCGATGGCACCATTCCGGATCGCAGCGATCAGCCTGACGCTGGGCCCTCAGAGGCGTCCTCAGACGGCCAATCGAGCAGACCACGATCGCTCGACCTCTCAGAGAGGCTGCAAGCCCGAGCAAGCTACAGCGCGGAGAGCTTGCTTCTGTTCAATCACCCGGAGGGTTCCCGGTCTACCCTCTCACTACCCTATACCTACCGTTCCATGCACGAAAGAAGGCTGCGATCGCCGGTCACAGTGGCAACCACATCCAAAAGCGTAGACACGCTACCTCGTCCTCCACCCAAAGCGCGTCCCAAGCGACGAGACTACGCCTCGTACCCGTACTTCGTGACGCCCCTTGCCTTCGCCACCATGAATCCCTACATCGTACCGGCAACCCCACCCTCATCGCCGCAGAACACCAAACCTAAGAGACACCCGCAGTCCTCCCAAACCTAGCCTCGATCGAAACCACGTCCACACGCGATACACCTCCGCGCGGCGTCTCTAGCGAGGACGCTCCCACTTCTCCCGAACCACAGCCTCCATCTCCTCCTCCTACATTGATCTTCAAGAAAATCACGTCGCGCGGGAGGCTCCGACCATCCACCGACGAGCTCGCGACCTCATCCAAAGCGGCCATAGCCACTCCCGTTCGCCGGCACTCCGAAGATCACCCGCGTCCGACAGCTGCCCATCATCGCACCGACTCTCATGCCCCTGTCGGCCTTGCCGTCCCACGCGCTGTGCCCGCGCAGCCCGCGGCGACGCTCCAGTCGAGTGCGGCCGCGGAGAGGGAGCGAGAGCAAAAGCTCCAGATTGCCGTCACGAAGGTCAGGCTGGACTCGAAAGAAGTGCGGGAAGAGCGCGACGTGGGTGACGTCCTACCCAAATTGCGAATGCTCAGGGCCCGTTGACCGCTCCGCCTGCGGCAGACGATTTTCCAGGCTTCGTGGCATGGGAGCCTGCTGCGGATACCGGACATTCGCTCGTCCATCCTGATTGTTGCGGTCTATCGCGTTTGATAGATGTTCGTGTTCACGGGATCCGCTCGTCATTCAGCTCTTCTGAACTGATCGTGGTGATCCTTTTGCGGAGCGGGTACGTTAGCTGAGCTTCTTGCCCTTCTTTGGTCTTCTCAGACCTGCTGCTGCTTCCTGAGTACGATTCTTGCTAGCGTTGCCATTGCCACAGCCGCCGGTCCCGCTCTGTAGCACTTTGTCTTCCGTATGTACTCCAAAATTGTATTGTACTCACAACTTTCTCCCTCCTTGTAAGACATAATTTCAATCTCGAAGACAAATATTCAACCCTTTCTGATAGTGTATCAAACTGCTTGTACTAGTAGTACAGAGGGGCTAGCTATGGATGACATGTCAATGATGTGGTAGAATCCTCCAATTGATACTGTCCGATAGAAGAGGATGCGATATGATATCAGGAACTCAGGGCACTCGGGCCGCCGCCTACACGCAACACTGACCGCTCCAACACGCCAGCCACACGATTACGACGTGGAATGTGGCGAGCATCAACGTTAGCGACAAGCTATCGAACCAAGTGTCCATGACAGCGACGCCAAGGATGAAGGCCGTGAACAGGAGATGCGGATGCGTGTCAGGACACATGCGGGTCATGCTCCACACCTACACGTCCATCGCAGAGAACCGTCGACTCGTAAGCGACGCTACGGCGAGAAGGTCGCCACACTTACCTTCAGCATGAGCACGCATGATTTGACCGTCCTTGGCCACATCACGCGCGGGATACGCACATGAACCTGCCGCCCGCCGACGTGGATCGTCCGCGTCCATACCCCGCTGGTGTTGAACGAGAGCATAGACACGGGGGCGCTGGATGGTCTCTTCTTCTCGTTAGATTGGCCAGCCTTCGGTGAGCTCGTCGCGTTCGCGTCCAGCTCCGCTGAGACGCGCGCATGAAGGTCGGGCGTTTGCGGTGTGGACTCGACGAACGAGGTTGCGGCGTCGAACACTCGACGGATGGGGACAGGAATAGCAACTAGTGAGTTACTCCGCGTGACTCCTTCCGTAGAATCTTGGCGGAGAGGATCGAGCTGTCGCACATGAGTATCCCATTTGCGGAGCAATCTAACATCCTCTCACTTACCCTTCCCTCCCGAATGGCACTCTGTACCCGCTCGGAAGAAGGCCGGATAGAAGGATTGATGTTGAGCAGCCCTTCGAGCAACATTAGGTACGCCCTAGGCAGACGTCGCGACTCAAACGCCGTCACGAGAGAGCCTGAAGACTTGAAGCTGGAAACAGTTCAGTTTGTACTCGCTTTGTAATGTATCACTGCGCACCCAATGTATGACTGAACCTCACGCTCGAGCATGTCTGGCGCCTCACTTCCGTCACGAGTGTTGTCCGACGAGCTTGCGTATGGCAATCTGAAGAAGAGCAGCTTGTGCAAGATCATCCCGACGGACCACATATCGGATTTTGAGTCGACCTGCAGCAGCTCGCCAGTCGGCGAAGGGAGCGACTCGGGTGAGGAATACTCGAGACTGGTGCGGTGTAACAATCAGAGGGGGTCTGAGGGCAAGTCAGAAGTGACCTACGTCCCGGTATTGCCGGATCGCGCTCTAGACTTCAGCATGTCTTGCGATGTACCGAAGTCAGAGAGCATGGCACGAGGACTATGTACGGTCAGCGTCACGACGAGATCACCACAAAGAGCTACATACACCAGTCGGCCTCCATCCCAAGTCAAAAGGACATTACCCGGCTTGAGGTCCAGGTGTAAAATTGACTGCTCGTGCTGTAATAGGGCTCAGCCGAGCGCAACGCCTATATGCAGCGCAATACGCACCAGGAACGCAAGTCCCGACACGACGTCCCCAAACAGGCTCTTCACCTCTTCCGCACTCAACAGGTGGACCGCCTTCCAATCCGCTGGGCCCTTGCTCCCTGCCAGGCCGTCCGCCGCTAGCCCTTGCTCCCGTTTCAATCGTTCACGTTCCGCCGGATGCGCCCGCTGCAGCGCGCGAAACGCTTTGATCCGTGCGGACCGCGAGATCGGGTTCGGAGAGGGCGGCGCCTCGGGAGCAGGAGACGCAGTTGGGGACGACGACACGCTTGCGGTTGCCGCGTGCGGGAAGCTCGGGGCGCGTCGGCCGAGCCGTGCGTCGATCAAGTCATCTAGGCTCCCGCCTTCTGCCCATTGCATTAGCACGCTGGACACGTGGTTAGTCGTTCATGATGAGAGGACATCAAAGTGTCACTGCGCAGGGAGCCTATCAAACATCCCGCTCACTAAAGCAGCCCTACGAGGCTATTCGTGGAAAACGGGATGTTTTTTGGATCCCCACGCATGACCTCATGAAGCTGAACTCACTGCAACGTGGGCACCTGCGGACCGAACGATGAGAATTGGCAAGTCTCGAGCCAGGCGTGATGATAGGTAATGATGTTCGGATGATGCAGGCGTTCCAAGAGCCGGACCTTAGTGACGTCAGTGAAAAGGCAGCAAACATGAACGTCAGTCCTCTTACCTCGCGCAGGATGTTAAGCAGGTACGCGTGAGACTGGCCCACCGCAATTTTCTTCACGGCGAAATGACCTGCCTCCGTAATCAATCACGGGAAAGACAGCCATGTTTGCAGGAACGTACCAAGCGGATTTCCGTCCAGCATGTGCTGTTGGATGTCGAGCACCTACGTTTGCCCTTGATCATGGATAGAGAGGAGATGAGAGACGCACCTGACAAAGGAACACAGAACCGTTCGCACCCATGCCGAGCCTGCCCTCCTCCTTGAAGAACGCCTTAAAGTAACCCTCCGCCATGTTGTCCGCGCCAAACGCGCCCAAGCCTGCACTCCCACTCCCGGCCCCGCCCCCGCTTGGGATGGTCCTCGTCGACCGCCCACTTGCCGGACGTGACGCCGTGTCATTCGCAATCTGCAGGAGCTGGAAGTAGTTCGCCGCCCGACTGCGCGGCTGGGCGTGTGAGAGGTCGTCACTTGCGTCCAGATCAAGCTCGCTACCCATGTCACTCATATCATCGTGCTGCTCCGGATGGAGTTCTGTGGGTAGGGCGCGATGACAGAACGGACAGTGGTTACCTGCGTGGCGGTGGACGAGGCCGGAGTTGGCGTCCCTGGGGTGCTTCCGGATGGAGAGAGCGTGCGAGGTAGGATTATACAATACGACTTGGTTTGGTAGGTGTAGGATGGGTCGCCATTCGGGGTCGAATGAGGCGAGGGCGACGAGCGCTGTCACAGGGGAGGGTGGCTGGCTTTCCTCGTACATGCTTCACAGAATTCCCGGTTCGACTTCGGAGTGCTCGCGCGCACGAGTTGTAGTTCAATGACTGGAAGGAAGAGTACTGGCACCTGCAGGTGGACGTGGTGAGCGGAGCGGGGCTGGTCCCCGGTTAACACCGCTCGCCTCGAGGACAGGTCGCGCGTGCTTCGTGCTTTATGGAGTTCGCACAACTATGAGCGGTTTGAACGACCTCGTGCCATCGAAGTGAGATGTAAATATGTAAAGTCAAGCCGGTACGCAGCACGACCGGTCAGGATCGCGGTCTGAGGCTAGTAGCTCAAGCGCTTAGAGGCTGATGTCATCTGCGCCGGCGCGTCAGCCACCTTCGAGGCGGCTCCTGCATCTACACCTCGAAACGGGCGAATCGTGCGTCTAACGTGGCGACAGCAGCTACGGGACACGATGTTCAATACGTGCGGAGCACATGCAAGCCAGGTGTCGGACAGCTGACGGGAAAACCTGTGTGGAACGTGCTGTCACGGCTTTGTCAGCAGGAGACAGGTTCTGTCGCCGCGGTCCTCCACCTTGCCTCCACCCACTGTCAAGATGAGTCGAGCGCGCATGCGGTATCGGCCGGTGGCTCGATGGACCCCCTCCTCCTTCGAAGTATTACTCGTATTTCAGTTCTGTGTGTACCGGTACGTCCTTCAAGTTGCGTGGTAGTACTGCCTCGTACTCTGATGATAAACTCGATGCAATTTTACGGGCACCAGCAATGATTAAATAATGAGTACTCGGCGCACTGAATACGCGATGCCGTCGAGCACTGCACCGGTGCTGGGAGCGCAGGGTGAGATGTCTGATCATTACAACACTGCCTTCCCACTGATCTAGCTTTCTCAAAAGTGTTATGTACTAGTAGCGCGTTCTCCTTGTCCTTCAACTTGAAGGTGGCTCGGTAGACGGATCCGGGACCAGCCTAGGCTCGGATGTCATCCGTATTGTGGCGAGCCAGAGCGGTGTCTCAGTGAGATCCACGTATCAAGTGACCACGTCCAGCGCGCCGCCCCCGCGCGCCCCCGACATTGGGCCTCCGCACGAGGCTACAGTGCAGCCATTTCGAGACACTAGGCTCCTCTCCCGTGCAGGCGCTGACGTCTGCTTGCTTTGCCATCTGACATCGGTCACTGGCGTGTATCTTATAAACATGATATCCGACTCGGAGTCTCTCATTTCCCCCCTTTCTGCGCGAGGCTCCTGCTGCGTCTCCCCCGCGGAGCAATGCACCATCTGTTCCGTCCTCCACGGCGTCGTCCACGCTCAGCGTCGCGACTAACAACACGACCACGCCGTCAACGCCCGCAAGCACCGTCTCCAAAAGCAGGAGCGTCGGGAGTCCCGACGCTCCGGCTTCTTTAGCCGGTTCACGGGCGGTTTGACTGCGTCGGCGTCGTTGAGCCTCAGCTCAAGCATGACGTCGCTCTCGCTCGAGACCTGTGTCCACGCCGAGCGCGGCTCCGTCGACGAGCTCGTCCTGCCAGGGACTCCACTGACTGAGCCCTATAGCGCCTCATTTATGAAGAAGATCAATCAACTAAGTACTGGGTCACACTCGACGACCATCTCACTAGTCTTCGCAAGTCGGCTGGAAATGACGCAAAAAAGCTTGCACGGTATGTCTCCCTTCTGGGCTTCTATTCATTATGTACTGATATCGTGCCACAGAGTCTTTAGATCTATCCTTGACAATGATAGGGCATCACATGGCAATAACCCCGCCGCGATCAACGCTGTTCCCGAAGATGAAGTAGTAGATGAACGGCAGCAACAGGTCAACAAGGCTTTTGTTTCGTCGACTGAGAGAGATGATGCGCAGCCAAGCCCCAGCGGATCTCCTGCGTAGTAGTCCTCGTTCTACTAGTGCTCTGTGCCACGCGTGTATCCCGGGCCTGGGCTCAATTGTGGATTTCATTTCACTGTACTCATAGAGCATTATTCGAACTGTTCAATGTAATGTGGGCTGCGTAGACGTGAACCATTACTATGCGATTGAATACCGATTCGTGATCGTGAATGGGTGCTTGAATACTGCAAGAATGCTGTCTGCGACGCAAGGACCTCACGCTCAACGCATGCATGCAGCTCATATCAATGTAATTTGCACGGCGGTACTACGTTAACGCATGTCAAAACCACGCGCACCCCACCTCGTAGGCAGCTGGCACACCACCTGTCTGCCACGTACGACTGTCGACACGGTGGGGCCATTTCCTCCTTTTCGTGGCCACCATGTGTCGTCAGCGCGTCTCAGGTGGCAGGTCCATGTATTTCGCGGGCCGCACTCACGTGGACTCCATGTGCCAGCCAACTCGAGGTGTAGATGTGGGCCAGCTCACCTCCGGAATCAAGCGGATCGTATTCGTTTCGAAGTCTGCTTGGAGGTTGCTGCACCGCTGAAGGTGGACTTGGACTGGACCTGAACCAATCAACAGTGTCGAATGAAGGACTTGATAATGATTCGGATATTTACTGGCCGGCCGCAAGAGTGCACGGTGAACATGAAGGGAGGAAGAAAGAAGTAAAATGATGATTGAGGGGTCGATGTCTGCCTTATATATGCCCAATCGACATGCAGAAGCCGCGGCGAAGTTCCAAACGAAAGAAACTGTATGCTTGACGGATGCGGAAAGCGTCCTGCCGAAAGAGGAAGGTACACCTAGTGGTGACGTCAGACTAGGTAGGCGATGGAGATCTCGGGGAGGCAGGCGAAAGCAACTTGCAATTGAACATACAAGTATGGTCGTAAGCTTATATCACGCGCGATATATTATTGGCTACACAAGTTACAATCAGAGGTCGTGAGCCTACAGCAAATGTAGGACACACAAACTCGACATCGTCCATGTATTGTGACCGATTATTGTCAATTCCAAACGTCCCTGTAGAGTGACTGTGACTGATAGAAGCAGGCTGTCCGACAATAGTACTTATACGCTAGCAAACCAGCGTCCATGCATTGCAACCTCCTGTCTGCTGATTAGGGCTCGAAATCCTCCATGAAGCTCGACCCTGCCAGAGTCGATGGCCGCGAGAAGGCCATTCGCGCCCTGCTCGTTGATACCAACGTATCAGCTGGCAAAAACATCTAGTAGACAACACACTTGAGAAAACACACCTTCGTAATGGCGCTACTATAGAAGATCTGACCGAACGATCCTCGAGTGCTATGTCGGCGTCGTTCCACGTACTAGCTGTTGTTGGAGTCCCGGCGTGTGCAACATGACGCCGAGCATTCCACCTGTGGGAAGGCACAGTATCAAATCCGCTCTAGCGTGGAATTCAGAGACGACAGACATAGCGAGAAGAGAATTGACATAGACTGAATGTTCTCCGTTTAGTAGAACTCAACACACGGAAGAAAGCATGTGGGTCCTTACGGGTGCTTGCCGGCACGTAGAAAATCATGGACCACAATGTCTTGTTCTTGGAGTCGACTAGGAACTGGGAGCAAGACATTAATCAGAGTGTGCCCCGATTCGATCCCAGACAGCGATTACTGACGAGAGCAAATGCCAAGACTTGTGCGACACTAGAGCGATGCGGGATTATGCAATGGAGGCGTAAGTTTCCGAGATTTCGTGCTCACGACGTGCATATCCCTCGAGTGATGGCATAACCGACCAGTTTGGTCACCATAGTGTCGGAACTCAGATAGACGAGGTGAGCGATAGGGCTTATTCTGATAAAGATGAGGCAGAACGCTTACTGGTGATGACCCGTCTTTGCGTCCTGCAGGTGATAGCACAACCACACAGTAATATAGATGTCGACGATCGCAGCGCATCCGGGACGAATGGACCCCGCTAGCTGAGGAAGCATCAGCCGTGCACGCGACTAGAGCATGAAAGGGTATGCGATATCAACCTTGGCTATCGACAATGCCATATCGATATCCTTCGCCATGCGGCTGAAAACGAGGAGATGACGAGTCACTTCAAGCCTGTATATCAACAATCTTCCAGACACGCACATCTGTGAGGCACCAACTGAAGTAGGCGCATTAGGAATGCGGTGTATGTCCCCAGGTCATTGATATGGTACGCACCTAATCCTGCACCTACAACTGGACATTCACGCCGTTGTCACACGGCGAGCGAAGAAACACGTACCGATGGACACTATCGCCATGATTAACTGCCAAGAGATCGTAATCTCAGACATGTAAGAGTGATTAGCGACCAATACTGTGACACACCGGGGGTAACATAAAAAGCAGCCAATGCCGGTGGTGGTGTGATCGCTTGAGGACTTCCAGCCGTCAGTGAATACGAGCACATGGATGATACACTGGTGTGTACTCACATCTCCATATAGTGTGCAGATAGCAACTGTAACATGAGACGTCAGCATCCTGTCGCGTGTTGAGGACACACGACCTACCATTGCACTATGAATATTGTTGTACACTGGAAGCAAATGTAAGGTGGTATCACATAGCATTCATGAACATCTCACGGAGAGAACAAATTCAACCTAATCATCCATGAGTCGAACGCCAAGAGTAGGCTAGATTGGTGCACCTACGGGCAGAATTCTGTGCACGCATTTCATTGAGATGATTCCAGTCGTCACGGCAGACACTTGCTCACCCCGGTAATGTTTCCAGCAGTGCAAATGCGTCACCATGAATCCGAACGAGGAGATCCCACCCGCACTGGCCAGTACCAGCTGCTGAGTAAAGATGCGGAAGTTGGTGCCAGTCAGTTACTCACAATCATATCCACGATCGTTTTGCCTGTGTCCAAAATCCTGCTCGCATTCATAAGTCGCGGCTCTGAGTACTACAGTGAATGACACTAACCAGATAAGAGTCACCTGTGGGCCCGTGGTCGGTCATCAACGCACTGGCATGAGCATCAAACATGATACACTCACGATGGTGGTAATGTACGTGTGATCAGTCCAACCGTAGTGGGTGATGTAGTACAGAACCTGGCCGCAGGTACAGCCGTACAACCTAAACCCCTTGCTATCGTCAACGTAGTCGTAGAGCAAGCAAGCTGGACTTACATCAACGAGAAAAACCCCACCAAAAGTATGCAGCCCAGACTGCCGTTGAGCTCCAGCTCCAAGCTGGCCATCGTCGTCTGCGAGATGAGGACCCAGGGCTCGAGTCAAGGGATTCCCGTGATAGGCGGCGCGGCCGACGCTTGCACCCTTTCAGGGTATCAGCAGCCTTTTTATACGATGAGCAGAGTGATTCAGGTGGTCAAATCTAATCATGAAAGAGAGCCGCAAGTGGTCGACGAAGTCGCACCAGGACACTCCGCGCCATAAGGCATACTCCCCTACCGGTGATGCAGATCATGACAGAGGATTCCAAACGTGAAAGAGCTTCTATATGATCAAGAGTGTTACACCTGTTGTCGAAGTGAGTGAGACATTTTCACCAATGTAACCAGGAACATGCCTTTGCATTTGCTCTGCTGGAACGCAAAATCCGACTTAGCTTCGGTGCCCTGTTGCGAGTCTAGTTTTATATCACTTTCTGAGTTATCATGCGCATGTCTAGTCATTATATCAGCAGAGCGACGTATGCCATCGAACCAACGGATGTAAGACTAACGTCGAGCAACATGAAGATTCAAGTTCGTACCTACACACGAGGGGGAAGAATGGCCGGGCTGGCAGGTCTCCATCGCGTGGAACCGCGTGTACGCTGATCTATTATGACAGCGTCCTACGATGGGAATGATGAGATGTCCAGCTACGGCAGACAAGTAGCTGTACACGTCGAACAGAAAGGGCAGAATAGGGTAAGTCTACGAGCATAAATGACTCACTGCCGTTCAGAATTCACGAGAGACCACATCTGACAGTTCAAGCGTCACTGGAATGAGCCGCAGCGCAGCACCTCAGCTGGTCCGACGACATTCAAATTGAATTCCTTGGTAGACTCATCTAAGTCGGTGAATGCGACGATCCGTGATTCTCCACCACGCGAGACTGCTCACCTCACCACTGCTTGTGCGGGTTGAATGACAATGCGGCGTTCAGTACAATCATGCACTCGAGCCGCTACATGACATCACTGTTACCGAGTAGCATATAAGTCAAGAGGAATATCGACCAAGCGCATAGTGTTATAGCGCAGTGACAGGGATTAGTGGTTTCCGCATGGTTTCCGTCACTGAGCAAGTCGGCAGTTACCGAGGGAAGAGAAGGCACGTCTCCCGTCGTAACGGCCCTGGTAGTGGTACGGAGGGAAGCATCTTTTGTTGTATTATATTCGACCCACTGCCCAGAATCATACAGGCCCGCTGATCAATCGATCAACCTCTATATTCGAAGACTCACGTCACGTCGCCGACACACATGGCTACTCCACCACTTTGGTCCCGCAATCTTGCTCCTCCGGATTCCAGTGCTCGTCAATCTGCTCGAGCTCGTTTTTGGCGACGTCCCGGACAGACTGGCCGTACTTGTTCTTGTAGAATACGATCGACTCGTCGTCATCCACGTAGACGCACTGCGTGAACGAGCGATACAGGGCGTAGAATGTGTTCTGGCGTCGCTCCAATGAGACCCGGGCACGTCGGCGTGCCGATGGAAGTATCACTCACAGTTGAGTCGAAGTTATACTGGTCCTTGAGGACCTTACGAACACACTTAGTGATCTCCGGCTGGTTGTCTTCGCAACGTCAGTATGCGCTCCAAGCCACTACGGGGGATTGTCACTCACAGAACGGGGCGTAGGAGAAGAAGTGATGGGCCACATGGTCATGCGAAACCTAGCACGCTATGAGCTGACGTTTACGATACCACTGGCTTCCACTCTCACGTTATGCAAGAAGAACCGGCCTGCCCATCCGAGGAGCGGGCGGTCAACGGTAGCTGCGGCCCCGCGCACCCAGGACCATTCATCCTTGCGGTAATGAGGAATAGTTGGGTCGGAGTGATGGAGGAATGTCAGCATTACTGCAGATTTCACTGCTGTTAGGCGTCAAAGAACTGTGCCCGGAGGGTTCACTCACCGATCCTAATACGAGTAAAAATCGTAACATGATGATATCGTACGACCACGTCGAGCATATTAGCACTCACCAGTGATTGCAGAGCTGTCGCAATCTAACGTCAATCCGAGCACGACCAGAATCAGAGACAACTGACATACCACGTAGGGGATGAAATAATACATCAAGACTGCCTTTGCACCATATATGTTTGCCAGCCGGTACAATATCCAAACCATCCCGAGAAGACCGATATCCGAGAGGAAAATGCCTAATCCTGCACAGAGTGTCAATCAACGTGCCAGCGAGGGACACTGAAGTCATACTTTGGTCGGGTCTGAAGATTGCAGAGTATGGTGACAAGTGATTCGTCCCCTTTGGATATCGCTTCGAACCCATGACATTCGTTCTGACAAGCTCTCGTCAGCTACCGCTCCCCATCATATCAAGTGTCCTGATATACGTCATGTAAAGCCACCAGCCACTGAAACAAAGCGCATTCAGCATCCCAATTTCATGCTGGTGAAATGGATGAGCGAGACGCACGCTCCCTGCATAACAAGCATCCGCGCCACTGTCAAGATGGGCGTCTCATCGAACATCTCCAGGTAGTCGGCCGTGCTGGCCCTCTCCTTGGGAGGGAGAGGATAATCGTTGCGCTCATATGGCACGTAGTTCTCATCGCGCTCGATGGATGCCACCGTTTTCTAGACAGAAACGAGTTCAACCGCCACCGCAGGAACCGAGTATTTCGCATGAAACTCACGTGATGTGCGTTGTGGCTCGCCTTCCAGGCAAAGAATGGAGCCATGATGAACTGCAGAGGCACGATGGTCAAGCAGCACGACGCATTTGATCTGATAGTGGGCTTACTGCGTGGTAGAAGTACCCGAGTATATCATTGACATATCGATTGTCGAACAATGTTTGGTGGCCGAGCTAGATTGTATGAACTAATCTTAGTGTAGCATGAGGAGCGAGCACATGTAGCATACCTCATGGGCTTCAGTGCACCGGAGTGAAATGTCAGCATGTCCATAGTCTCACAATATACACCGAAGACAGCGACTTACCGATACAGAAGAAGCTCGCGAATGAAAGCCCTTGAAACCACCAGTAGACCAGCCAGAGCGCGGTCCGGGCAACATGAACATGCCATGCAGCAGACAAGGGCACGAAGCCACCGAAGTCGCTCGCAAGGATGCGCTCGATCGAGAAGCCATAGCAGAATATAGCGACGCAGCACGCTACATCCCGGACGCAGTAGTAGATTGAGAGCCTTGGATTCTTTCGTAGTAGGTGCTTCGGCACTGCATCGTGGATCTCCTTGAGGGTTACGGTCGGGGGCACGAAGGGCTTCGACAGCCTGAAGAGCACAGATGGAGACCCGGCACAAGTGGCAGTTCCGTCAGTGTTGATCAGTAAATACGCCACAACGGTCGGAAACACACCGTGCTCTGTACTCAGGGCCGTCTTCGAACATGCCAGAGGAGATAGAGGGGTAGAGAAGCGGAAGAGAACTTCAGAGGGGCGTCGTCCCGTGGGTGCTCTCGCGTGGAAGGAAATGGGACGGCTTAAGTACTCGTAGCACGGTCTGACAGAGGACAAGATGATCATGCTTTCAAGACGGACGCTGTGTGTCTTATGCCCCGTGCCAATGTACTCATGCCTGGGAGCAGCCCATTGATCTCGGATCGGATACAGGCCGAGAATGGCGCTCAAGCTTCGAGGACAGGCTTGTGGTGTCAACGTCACGGAGTACTGAGTGAAGGCCGCATGGTTCAATTTCCGCCAGTAGAGGACAGGGGCGTCACCTAGTAAATTATATACCGTCAGTCGACGGCATTGGGAGTGTTACAACATGCACTTACGATCGTCTACAAGGAGCTAGGTCGGGCAATGCAGGCAGAGTTTAGCGTCACTTTTGGTGGTCGAGTTAGAGACATCACCGAAGACTTCCCCGAATCTGAACCTTCATTTAATCGACCTGCCTAGTGCACCACCTACGTTCGGGACAATTGCCCCCGTGCGATTCGCTACGCTCCGAGGTTCTCATCGCTTCTACCCGTTAACGTTAACGCGTGAGTTATGAATGAATGGAACGCCCGATCATGCTGCGTTTGGCAAAGCCTATCAGCTCTGAAAAGGAGGCACAGACATCGGCGTGAGAGTCCAGAGAGCGGATCCAATGGCAGATCCATCCTGCACGTCGAAGTGGTCAGAGACGATACGACTGTGAGAGGAGGAACGACGGACATGAAGCTTCCAAGGTGAACGTGCCCGGCTAAGCGCCGTAATACTTCCCATATAGACCATGTGAGAGATCCATAGACACAGAAAAAACTAGCCCTGCCGAGACATCGTGAGCTCAACGAGTAGCCGAACAACTGGGTAAACCAGGAATGTTGGGACGTGAGTAGTCCTCCGACAAAGCTACGATCCGTTCTTCGGGTAAAGTTCAGTCGAATCGCCGTTAACTAATCTTACAGGAGACTGATTCCCTCTAGGCAATCCGTTAGCCTAGGTGCATGGCGTGACAGCGTACTTAGCTTCAACCCACTGTCATTGACGATTCATTATGGCAGGGATCAGGAACACCCGACAAGCGATTCATATACATCCTCGAGGCTTCTAGGCCTCATGCCTTACGTCTGCAAATGAATCTACAGTCATGGAAGATTGTGTCGATGCGTGTGCATGGCTGGAAAATGGTTATCAATGAACGCACCTGACCGTCATGTCGTCCGAATCATCCTTGCGACCCCGTCGTAAGGTTTTCTGCACAGAAGTGGTGCTCATGTTGTACTCAAGAGCAGCTGGCACACTCATGATGGGGCCACAGTATGGCACTCTTCATGACAGCTTCAGGTAGCAAAGTTGTAGCAAAGCCACCAAAGCTAAGCCTAGGGTCACGATCATCGTCAAGTCACGACTGGCGTCTAGCATTCTTACATGGGCTTCCCTCCAGGCAAGTGGTGACAGAAATACAGCGACGGGTAGCTTGTACATCGTGCAGGTTGTGTCACTTGCAAGACACCGGGGGCAAGACGCGTTGACCGGAGTTCGAACATTATACGGACATCTTCCGACTTATGACATATTTTCCCTCGAGGTCATTCCTCAGGACATCGCACGACCATGCCATGTTTCTTTAAGATGTTCGGAGAAAGGAACATCGCATGGACAGCACTTCTGCATCAGCAAATGTGCGCGGGTTCTGAGGGCGCCTGAGGGATCTGAGGCGTCTGATCCGGTGCCTGAGAGCTCTATCGCATCTGAAGCAATCGGGCGTCTATGGCCGCGCCGTTCGTCGCTCTCCGTCTGCTCATTCCGTGCTCGTTCTCTCAGGGCGACGCAGTCCACTCAGACCCGTCAGACCCGTCAGACCCTCCGGGCGCGACCTCAAGCCACCCGCAGCGAATCTCCCCAAGTCCACTAGGCGCCTGCCCTAAACTGCGCCACGCTGGCACCTCGCCACGTCATGGTTCCCTCGCCTCTCTGTCGTGTTACTCGCCTTTCAAGTTCCCCACCTCTCGACTTGGTGCGCTGCGCTGTTCGTCGCTGACACGCAGCGGCTGCAGAAGCCTGTCGCGACGCGCGAGGCGTCCGGAAGGGTGCACAAGCGCCGGCTTGCCCGTAGCCACGATGTGCGGCTACGATGCACAGCGAGCGGACACCATCGCGAGGGCCGCGCCTCCCACCTCCACCATGCCTCGCTCGCCTCCCTTCTCACTGCCTCTCCACTCTTTAACATCTACAACCCTCGGGCAGCCCGCGGAATCGCAGTGCATCGGCCTAATGCATGCAGATGAGCAGAACATCGCGGGGAGAGGCCGCGTCATTGTGACGTGGCCCGGCCAGCGCGAACCCCGCGATCCAGATTTTATGCCCAACAGTGTCGCGCGTCGGGTGGACAGCGCTCGGAGGAAGCAAAGCTGAGACAGAATAAGTAAGTTTCCTTTCCACTCACTCTCCCGTGTTGCCCTGTCATTCATGTACTGTTACCTGTCGCCCGCTGCCGGCTCATACGCATCAGAAGTGTTCCGAGGACGTGACGACCCCGCGCAAGAGCGGGTTCGTCACCTCGTGCTCTATGCCCGCCGCCACGTCACCGCCTTCCACCATCGCGCCACCCCGCCCTCTATGCCTTGCAGACGCACCAAACACATGCCGAACACAAGACGACCCCGCATCACAGCGGGGGCGTCCATTCGCATCGTACCGCCCTCCCCACCACCGCATCTCTCTCCCTGCTTACTACCGCCCTCCCTAGCACGTCACGCGTCTCGCACGCATCACAAGCGTGTCGCGGTCTTGGCACAAATGACGGGCGACCCGCAGAAGAGCGGGGCCGTCCGATTCTGTCCGTTTGCCACCGCCTTCCCAATCTGCCCCTGCTGTCCCAGCGTCCCAGGCATCCTGGCGCGACAACGGGACATCTGGTCGTAGATTCGGGCCCTCCCCGCCACGTCACTGCCTTCTCGCCATGCCTCAGCCCTCCTACCTCGCCGCCCCGTGCTCTGCAGCTCTCGGACGCGTGAAGCGCATGCCGAGCACGTAGCACGTACCCATGACGACCCCGCGGAAGAGCGGGGTTGTCTATTCATGGCTGCCGCCTTCCCACTCCTCCCCTGCCGTCCTACAATCTCCCGGGCGCGTGCGATGCACGCCGAGGACCTACCGCACACGCCAGGCGACCCTGCACAATAACAGAACGTCTAGTCGCGAGCTTGGGCCCTCCGCGCCACGCCACCGCCTTCTCGCCCTGCCACAGCCCTGCTACATCGCCGCGCCACCCTCTACCATGCGGCCGGCGAGCGTGTGGGCGAGCGAGCAGACGGCGGGAGAGTGGGCGGGCGGGCGAGCGGGCGGGCGGGTGAGCGGGCGGGCGGGCAAGCACGACTGACGAATGGAAGGTGGGCACGGAACAATCATGAGTGACCGCGACGGGCAGGGCGCGCGCAACGCACGCCAACCGCGAGTACCTACACGATTGCCCACGGATCCGCGGCCCGTGGACATCAGTTCGCCGAACCTCGACACGATAGCCCGACGCCCAGCAAGTGGGGAGTTGTCGGAAACGGCAAGCACAGTGGTGAAGGGAGGGTGTGTATGTGGGTGGGCAGACAGGTAAGATCACGATGAGTACTAGCTGGTAGTTTACAATGTATTGTATGTACTATTAGTACTACGTTCTGTTACGCTCTAAGTAGCAGTCTGACGACCATCTGAAATGGTCTGAGCAACGGTCTGAAGGCCGTCTGACATCAGAGATTGCTTCTGATGTCAGAACTAATCTCCCGTTGTCAGACGTGAAGTCTGACGGGTCTGAAGAGTCTGAGTCAGTACTCTCAGACTGCTTCAGACAAACTCGCAGTTTTGCTGATGTGTTTGCGTCTCGAACATGCCAAATGTGCATGTCATGTTCGGAGAGCAAACATTGTACTGTCACAGGGTATGCTAATAGTGTGACCTCGATTAGGACATGTGTAAACCAATCACAATGTTCGTATGCACAACATTGTGCCGACATACTATGACCATGAAGCATCATGTTATCATGTTCATGCACTGGACATTTCGAAGTTTTGGAGAGTGAACATTCCAAGGACATGTGTGATCATTGAAAGAACATGATTAAGAAGCAATGTTTTTACAATGTTATGACAGATGATGGCTTTCCGAACATTTGAAATGTTTGGCCTACGGACATGCGCAGGAAATATATTATGGTCGCGCTATGTTCTCGTGATGTTCCGGGTACGAACATAGCACCTGTTTTTTTAATGTTCTGGTCAGGAACACGCGGAAACCATACCTTGGGACAATCCGATGTTATCTCTCCGAACATGACACGCGCATTCGTCATGTTTGAGCCACGAACAGAGGGGCTGTTGTTGTAATGTTTGGAGGCCAGAACATTACAGGGACATACCGTATGAGCTAGCTATGTCCTGAGGGATAACACCGTGGGAACATATGTCATAAGTCGGAGGATGTTCGTAGAATGTTCGTACAACGACCACCGCGTCTTGCCCCCGGTGAGAGTATAGATAGGTCGGTAGCAGGTGAGTATAACTATACGACAGTACTAGTAGTCCTCCGAGTCCCTCAGCGCCTGGATTCTCGCGCCACCAACTTGTTGAATTTCTCACGACGAGACTCACGTGTCAATTACCGTCTCTTGCCTCCTCCCACCACCGTACAGCAGTACTACGCACCGTCTCATAGCCCCAGTACCACCGCTTTAGCCAAACCCTCCCTCTCTCCCTGTCGCTGCCGTCGTTAGACAGGACTCGAAGCACTTGCGACCATGGCGACCCAGCAAGTCAACCTCTCGATGTCTCAGCTTTCGCTGGATTCTAACGGCTCGGCCAGCGATGCGGAGGATTGGGACCGCTCCATGAACCTCGATACGCAGACACCCCGGAATTCTGTCGCGTTTCCTGGTGGGGAGGGAGGGGAGGCAGAGGTAGCGAGTGGACCTGGGCGAGGGCAAGATGGGCAGCCCAAGCGCACGCTGAGCGAGTTGTTGAAGCTGCATTCGGAGAAGGGGAAGGATGGGACGTTTAGTCCGGAGGAAGCGAGCAGAATAGCGGAAGTTCTTGGGCAATGGGTGAGTTCTTTCGATCGTTTCCGACGCGCCCCTATTGTACGGAGTTTTCGCGTTGCTCTTTCGCGCGAGCAGAAATGCACGCGTCTTTCGCGTGCTGCCGTCTCCCGGATCGCGTGGGCTTGCTCTTAGGGCACGACGTTCTGTTCTCTGTGCTGGTACATTGATTAATTCGAGCGTATGCGTCTCAACTAGACTCTTAGCGAGGACTGCTTCGCTTTCAAAATGCGTATTCAAGAGCGTCGGTTCGTGAGCGCTATTCACTGCGCACCCGCGTTTGCATGCGATTGCTGCAGTAATGTGGTCATATCCGCCCATTACATCCTATGAGATGGACGCTCATCGCGGCTGCTATCAGCCCTGTTCATATTCTTCCCTTGTCATTGATATCGGAACGGAGACTGACTGTCGCACCACAGATTAACTCAGGGCCATCGCCATACGAAGGCGAAGACGACTTCTTCGCACGGTCGCAAGACGACTCCGCGTTGGGAAAGCGGACGCCGTCAGCATCGTACGATACGACGGGCAGGCCAAGAGGGCAGAGCGAGAGCGTCATCTCCCAGTCATAACGCGCAGCACCTCTGCGCGGAGGCCGGTCCTCACGTTACCTAGAGAAAGATCAGGGCCTTGTCATCATCATCCTCGGTACGTCTTTCACCTTCGACTTGTTAGTGAGCGTTGGACTGACCTCTCGACCTCTCAAGCCCTTTGCGACATCCCACCACGATTGTATCACACCGACATTTACGACCTGCCACGACCTGTCACGACCTGCTACGACCTGCCACGCTTTCCCGCTTTCTGCTCGCTATCTATGTCTGTATCCTCATCACTCTCGCAACTGTACACTTCGTCTTCGCTATCGAACGACTAATCGCTTCGTGTTCGTGTACATATTGCCTCTAAACTGCAAAGCCTGTCAAAAGTCGCGTGCCTTGTGAAGTGCAGCAGACAGCTGTTGTCATTAACCGAGTATCTGTCTATGAAGCGTACTGAGGCATGTCTATTTCACGTTGGGTCTACGTGACTGACAGCACCGGAGCAGGCAGTGAGGAAGTTTGTAGACGACCTCCAAGACATTCTAGGCACAAGGCCACAACGGCAAGCGGCTAGAACGCGTCAAAATCTCGACTGCGTGAGTATCATTGGTGAGAGAGACTTCTATCGTTTCAGGAATAGCTCTCGTCAAAGTTTTCTTGACAGGGTACTCGTAATCGCTGCCCTGGAAGGAGGCGGGAAGCCGTAGAAGTGACCTCTCATGACCTACATTGCTTATCCGAACCTGGCCATGGGAAGCTACTCCACCCTTACTGCAGGATATATCGTCCATGCAACCTAGAAGCGAGCGCAGGCAGACCATCCCGCTCCTACGCGCACGATGTTCTCGTACCTCGCTCACCGCCGCGCTTGGTGAGTAGTGCAGTCGCATTATCAGATTGCGCCTAACACCACCCAGTTATGCCAAGCAGCAGGAGCGACGCGACCGCATCCAGAGCCTGTCTCCTGTGTACCAGGCGCCATTGACATCTATTGAGAAAAACATCCTCTCCAAGCCCGTCGCCGACATTGTCTCGAGCGTCCAAAGCGGCTCACTCAAGCCCAGCGACATCCTCCGCGCCTATGGAAAAGCCGCTTTAAAGGCGCACGCGGCGACGAACTGCCTCACCGAGATCTGCATCCCCGAGGCTGAGGAGTGGGCGAAGAACTGCAACACCAAGGGGCCCCTCGCGGGCATGCCCGTCAGCCTGAAGGACGAACACGCCATCGAGGGGTTCGACGCGACCGTGGGGTACTCCGCGTGGGTGGGCAAGAAGATGAAGAAGGACTCTGCGCTCGTGAGGCTGCTCCGCGCTGCGGGCGCCGTCCCGTACGTGAAGACGAACGTGCCGATCACGATGCTGTCGTTCGAGTGTGCGAACGAGGTGTTCGGGACGACGACGAACCCGCATGGGAAGGACTTCGCGCCGGGCGGGTCGTCGGGCGGTGAGGCGGCGCTGCTTGCGTGTGGTGGTTCGAGGATCGGGGTGGGCTCGGATGTCGCAGGTTCAGTCCGCATCCCGTCGTGCGTGGCCCGTCTTTTCCTCGCTTGACTACAGCATTGACGGCCCTGATAGACACTACTCTGGGACGTACACGATCAAGTCGTCGTCCTACCGGTTCCTCAAGTCGGGCAATGCACACTCCAGCATCCCTGGTGAGGAAGGCGTGCCCGTCTCGTTGTCTCCGATGACGCGGACCCTTGAGGACTTGGAGACGTTTTGGAAGGCCGTCATGAGTATGAAGCCATGGGAGTACGACCATGCGGTGCTTCCGATTCCTTGGCGCGATTTGGACCTCTCCAACCAGAAAGGGCTTCGTTGGGGCGTTATGTGGGACGATGGTCAGCATTAGGTCCGTCAGCAGAGCGACGAGGCTAACGTATGGGCGTTCAGGTGTCGCTGCTCCCTCCCCCGCTTGTCACCGTGCTCTGCATACTGTTGCCAAGACGTTGGAGGCTCGGGGTCATAAAGTGATATCCATGTTCGTCTTTTGGTAGAGTCGAACATTACATGCGGCTAACGAACTACGCGTTAGCACTCCACCAAGCCCGTATGAAGGTCTCAAACTCGCCGCTCTATTGCTCATGGCAGATGGCTGTATGTATGCGCTGACTTCAGATACATGCCGTATTCACCTCTTTGTAGGCAAATGCTGCATCGAACCGATTCGTACTGGCGAGTTCAACGACCCCGGGGTCGTCGAAGCCCTAGCGATGTTCCGCACTCCGCGTATAATCAAGAAACTATACGCGTGGTACCTCCGCTACATCAAGCGTGATCCACTCTATGCGGACCTGGTCGAGGTTTGGTCCGAGAAGACGGTGCCAGAGTATCTGGCGCTCGTTTCGCAACGAGAGGCGTACAGAGAACGCTGGTATGAGTTCATGAATGAACAGGACCTCGATTTCGTCCTGACAGTTCCAAATTCGCTGCCTGCGGTGCCGCACGGAGGTATGAAGGAGGGGTGGAAAGCATGCGGATATACGTTCCTGTGGAACCTGGTGCGTACTATGTCTTCCCTTCGTCATCATTTGCCCAATTGCTCACCGAGCATGTTGCTCGTCAGCTTGACTACACTGCAGGCATCATGCCGGTTACACATGTCGACCGTGTACGCGATGCCTTAGGTGCATTCAAGCCCAGGAATGCCATTGAGGCGGGCCAGTACCGCATGTACAACGCGGATAAAATGCATGGCTTGCCCGTGGGCGTCCAGGTCGTCGGAAGGAGACTCCAGGAGGAGAAAGTTCTGGAAGGGATGAAGATTATCCAAAATCTGCTGCGCGAGGATGGAAATGCGTACGTACCTCTTGATCTCATGGACTGAATGATGGGCCTTTGAACCGCTGCCGTATATGCGCTTCTTTGTTGTATAACTATGCCTCGCGAAGCACGCATCGGTCATTCGGAGCTTCTTGCCGCGTAACGTTCTTCTGGCGTTGACAAGTCACGTACAAGGTCGCCGTGACTGCGTTGCAGTGGCTCTATTCGCAACATGACATTCGAAAACGTCGAACTTAGGATGCGGCAATTCTCGCCTCGAAAAGGAGTCTTGAAGCGGAAAGACTGAAGCTGACCCATCTACTGAGTACCGTATTTGCGAGAATCCACGTCGTGGTGAGTGGCCCATGTATGTTCACATTCTCATATATGCAAGTAGTCTGGACTCACAATACGCTGTAGCATGCTATACTAGTGCTGTGCGAGCGTAACAGCATTGCGGCCATCCGGTCCGCGCCCGACTGTCGCGTCTTCTCCGCATTTACACATACAAATGCTCGCGAAATTGTGATCAACAAGACCGGCCGCGGATGCTATACATGTAGGAATCATGATGCGCAATGCGGGTCGAACCCAATTCATCTCATTTCAGGAGTCACAGGTTCACGCAGCCACACCGTCCTGCGCGGCCGCGGCCCGCGGCAAAATGTGAGTGCTGCAGTCTTCCCAGAGAGTGTGTCATGGGGCCTTCCCTCGGAAAGCGCAATTGTGGTTTTCTGACGACACGCAGGTCAGGACACGGTCACCAGAGGCCATCTATAGATACATCTGTGGGCATTCCGTAATGTAAGGTGACCGTTGCCCTCCGTTGCCTCATGCGATAGTCTGCTTCCGAGTCTGACCCGTGAAAATCTTGGTCACCGACCGCTTTCCCATATAAGCCAGCAGAACTGGTAGGCTTTAGCAGTGGAGAGCCATGGCATCGCTGGGTCTTCGTTTCTTCGGGATCGCTGCTCTTCTGGGCGGTCTGTACGTTCCGGTATGTCATGCCGTCACGACAGTTACCGTCAGTGCAACTGCAAGCCATACAATCCCCACGACACTCTGTAAGCTCTCGAAGCTTACATTCAGAACTTGGTATCGGGCTAGTACTAATTAGGCGTCACTCAGATGGCCAAATGTTTGAAGTAAGTCGCTCGTTCTCCGCGCCGTGCGCCATTCCTCATGATTGAGTTCCGCATCTCTCACAGGACATAAACGTAAGCAGATTCGTTACCTCCTCGCATTGTGCCTTGGGCCACTAACGTCGTACTTCGTTGCTAGCATGTAGGTCCAGCGTCACAATGTCCACAGTGAATTCACTGAGCCGTCTTGTAGAGCGGTGATGGCGGGTTGTATGCAGAATGTGAGCGTGCTCTTCTTCCACATCATGTTCCTGATTCGAGCATGATGTAGTGTTGCAGAACAGAGCCTTCCAGCAGGTTACCCCAGGTAAGCCAACAGCATAGAGACGTTGAATTAACGTGACTTGGACCACTATGCACTAGGCGATTCAAGCTCTCTGGATCCTTGGGTGGCTGTCAATGGAGCAGAACTCGAAGTCATCGCGGATACAGACCCAGTGTCCAGTGCACTTCCGAACTCCCTGCAGGTCACAATACCCTCTGATGCGACCGGCTCAGTGGGATTCAGTAACCCAGGCTATTGGGGTACCTATCAGTCTCACTCCCATCGCAGAGCGGCTCCTCATCGTTGTTTGTAGGCATCAAGGTGGACCCGTCCTGGACCTATAATGCGTCGCTGTACTATCGCTTCCCGTCAGAGTCCCCGTACTCCGGTACCCTCACTGTTGGCCTCGAGTCAGACACCGGAGAGGTTTTTGCCTCAAATTCCACGACCATCGACGGCTCGCAGACGTCGTGGGCGAACGTCTTCCTGACGCTGACGCCCTCGAGTTCTGCGTCGAACACAAACAACAGCTTCTTCGTCACCATCAACGGTTCGGAGGCGGCTGGCGAAATCGTGAATTTCGCCATGTTCTCGTTGTTCCCACCTACGTACAAGGACAGGCCGAACGGGATGCGTATTGACATTGCTGAGGTTCGACACGTGAATGGCGAGCGTGTTAACCATCGCTGAACTGTGTCGATAGACCTTGGCTGCAATGAAGCCCACCTTCTTCCGTTTCCCGGGCGGCAACAATATCGTACGTGTATTTGCTTAAGCCTCAGAACGCTGACATGCTTACGAGGCGATTGATGGGCTTGTAGGAGGTAGGTTGTAGAGCATTCGGTTCGTATTGCGATGAACACAACGTCAAAAATAGGGCCAATCTTTCGATACACGTTGGCAATGGAATGCGACTGTCGGCTCCCTCTTGGATAGACCGGGTCGCATGGGCGATTGGGGATATGCGAACACTGAGTGCATAACATCTCCGGCCAGCCTGTTGTGCTCACCAACTGAGGGGAGCTCTTCAGCGGTCTTGGTCTTCTCGAGTACTTGACGTTTTTCGAAGACGTTGGTATGGAACCCATCATGGCAGTCTGGGCAGGTCAGTGTGTGGTGCATAGACATACGGACACTAGCTCACTGGTGGTTCCAGGGTACTCCTTGAATGGAGAGAGCGAACCTGAAGACGCTCTCGCACCTTTCATTCAACAGGCCATTGACCAGGTGAGGCCAATGATACTCACCGATGGCACTGTTCCGTCTAACCGTTGATCTCCCTAGATTGAGTTCGTCGTAGGTGACCCCAGCACGAGCGACGCAGGTGAGAAAGAGATGTAATATGCGTCGGATGCGTGCTCAACGATAATTGTAGCGGCTCTGCGAGCTTCGTTGGGCCACCCGGAGCCGTTCTATCTCAACAATGTTGAGATCGGAAACGAGGTAATGGTTACATCTGCACAGGGTTTCGCACATTAACACTTGACCTATGTAGGACTTCTTTGCGTCCGATTCGTAAGCTTCGCCGGAATTCATAGGGGTTGGCATGAACTGACCGATGCAACGCAGGTATGTGTACAGATGGCCAGACTTTTACGGGAACCTCAGCGCAGCGTTCCCTGACCTGAGTGCGTCAATATCAATCTGTGTCTTCCGTATCAGTATTCTCAATCAATGTAGCTTTCATCGCAACGACATATCCCTTCGACCCCGTCATCTATCCCACGCCTCCGCATTACGATGTGCATGTCTACCAGACGCCAGGCAAGCATCCCGACGTCTGAAGTACAGATGTTTACTTACCTGCGCCGCGAACAGACTGGTTTATCGAGAACGCTTTCTACTACGATAGCTTTGAGGTGCGTCATGGGGGCCTGAGGTCTAATGTGAGACTCAACTTCGCTGTAGCGGAACGGTACAACATACTTCGAGGTCGGTCGAGCCGTGTGTAACTGGATTACCGCTGATTAAAGCGCTTAGGGAGAGTACGCGTCTATCTCAACCAATGCTAGCAATCTCTACGGAACTCCAGAAGAAGGAAGATTCTTGTATCCGACTATGCAGAGTTCGACAGCAGAAGCCGCCTTCATGACTGGCCTAGAGCGCAATAGTGACATTGTCTTCGCGGCTTCGTACGCGCCTCTTTTGCAAGTGTGTATTGCTCGAGCCGTAGTGCAGATCGTAGACTGACAAGATCCTGGAATAGCTCGCGAATGATTCCCAATGGGTGAGTGAGCTGGCTATCAGATCACTGTTCAAGATTCACAAACCATCCGCAGACACCCAATCTCGTCAACTATGAGTAAGCCACTCAATCGCTCCCCCACTTACATCCGAAGGCTGATGATCCGTCCAGCGCTGGAACAGTCTACCCGTCCACAAGCTATTACGTGCAGCAGGTAATTACAGGTCTGAGGTCTGGACGCCCATACTGACGTCAATGATAGCTATTCGCCGTGAACCTTGGTGACGAGTACATACCTAGCACGCTGCCTACGGAGGATGGTACACTATTTTGGACCATCTCGCGGAACTCTACTTCTGGAGACACCTTTATAAAGGTATGGATGACAGGCAATGTTCTAGCATCATCCCTGATCGCCTCCCAGATCGTCAATCCGGTGACAGATGAGCAAGATTTGCTGTTCGACTTGGCCTTCACCACTGTCGCGAGCTCGGGCACCCTGCAGCTCTTCCATGGTACTCAAAATGACAGCAACACGCCGACGACCCCAGATCTGATAACACCACAAACGAGCACGATCACGACAGGACAAGCGTTCAACTACACGGCGCCAGGCTACAGCGTCAGCGTCATAACAGTGAACGCGAGTTGATGACATGATCGGGAGACTTGAGCTGGTGGTACGAGGTGTATTAAGGGCTGTATGTACAGTAGTGCAGCATCAGTCCCATGACGAGATCATAGTGTCTTCGTCGTCATCCTGCGCTACGTCACCCATGTTCAGCTCGATAGCGCGCAAGTAGAACTTCATCTTCCACATATCACCTATGGTGAACCGCGTTTGATCGAACGCCAGGCCAAGATGCGGACCGGGCGATGGGCTAGCTCGTGGGCTGTCGGGCAGAGACGTAGTAGGAGGCATCCTTGGGTAACGAGCGGAGAAATGAGTGAGGAGGATGTTTTCTGCTTGCATGCTGGTCACAATCATTAGCAGACGCTCTGCTCGAAAAGAGAAGACCTACTCGGATGCAACCTTCATGGCTTGACTAAACGTGCTGTGGGCTTTATCATGAGCCATTTCTTCCTGGTCGTCGGCCATCGTGGCCTCATGGATTAGTAAGGTAGCGTTTTGCCCTGCTTCAACCAATTTATTTGAGGGCATAGTGTCGGCGGAAAATCTACAGACGAAGTGAATAGGACGAAGCAGAATGCTAAGCACGGGACGTACACGATACGCCAACCATCACGATGCTCGATGACGGTGCCGTAACATTTCGTCCTGTGTGCAACGTCCACGGTGGTGAAGCACTTCAAACCGAGAGCATTGTACATATTTTCAACATCTTGCTGAGTCTTTTCCTGCCTTCGCAACAAAATATGTTCGGGAATGTCTCTGCGCTGCTGTTCTTTGCTATTCTTTGGATTCCAACGAAGATGGTTTCCTGAGATCGCAATGACGCCGTTACCATCTGCCTGGTTCAAGCCGAGGTCTTCCAGCTCGGAATGTTCTTCAAGGTATATTATGTGTGAGGGAAGGCCAATGAAGTAAAGTGGCTGGGTCGGCGCTGGATCAAGCTCACCAACGAACAGGCATGTCAATACGCTTCGGAGATAACTGGACAGACCAGCGAATGGTGAAACTCACAAGTTTGCGCATGGCAAGGATCTTGCTAAGCCCCAAATGATGATCACCGTGCATGTGACTAGCAAAAATGCAACGAAGGTCCCTTAAAACCTCCCATACCCCTGTGACGGTGTCCTGACCGTCGTCGCCATATAAACGGGCGAGCTGACCCCATGTGCCCTCGCCCGCATCCAGCAGAATACTGCCGTGTCCTGGAATTCGGACAAGCGTACTTGACGCTGTGGACGTTGATGTAAGGCTGCAACCCAGATGACGACGCCAGTAGAGTAGACAAACCATTGCGATACAGGCTGGCTAGGGCGCTACAGGTCCCTAAGGGTACGATCTCAACGTTGTCGCCGGACCGCGGCTCTCGTCCAACTTCCTTCACTTTGGATATCTTCTTTTTCGCCTTGAGGAAAGCGCGGTGAACATCTTCGGGGACCCAGGTTCCTGCCCCTGCCTCTATGACAGGAGTGAAGAAATCGGGTTTGGCGAAAGGATCGATACAAGGCTCCCTAGCAGGCCTCAGCTCAACATGGCAGCTGTGGCGCAAATGTTCGACGCGGGCAGGAAGACCGGGAATAGCTATTGCGAAAGATGATTAGCAATTTTGTTACGTGACAACTCACACCATACATACATGACAGATCACGGCGAGGGCCTGGCCTATGTGTCGGAAGCGGAAACATGTCGGGATCAAGTAGACCCAGTCGCAGCTGGTTATACGCCGCCCGAGAGAAGACTACTCGATCGTCTCCGTGTTCTCGCGACGATACAACTTGCTGTGCGAAATGAGCAGATGACACCAATGTCTAAAACTGCGAACCTACATGTGTGTCTTCGGGGAAGCCTCTCATGAAGGCCTTGTAGCGTTCATCCTCCAGGACACCTTTGCCGCAAAGATGGTATACAACATGTACTACTGGTTCCCGAGGGTCCGTGGCCGGGTTCGAGTGGAACTCGGAGTAGAACGGATTCTGTGTGAATGACTTGACCACATCTGGGATATGCGAAGGAGTTGGGACGTCGAGCAATACCATGGCCTGGACAACGCTCAGCACATAATGAGAGCAGGTACGTACAGGGATTCGCTCACCCGTGGTATCTCAGGAGGTCCCATGCATTCCTCGGGCGTGACAGTACGCTCGATCTTATTGCCAGCACCGTCATCTACCATGAACTTCACCGTCTCTCCCTTGGTAAGTCGCGCCCGCTCAGGTCCCCTGGGTACCTGGAGTAGCTCTGCCTTTTCTCTGTCGAAGTGTCCTCTTCCAGTGGGCCCAACAAGCACATAACATAGCGTGGCCCTCCCTTCCGGTCCGTATGTGAAGCGGGGGAGCCGCCGCCCTCGGTCTGAACGTATGGCAGTGAATTTTGGTTGAGAGCTAGGCGCCGTCGAGGGCTGTCGGAGCGCAGGGGGTATGGGTAACCCTGCACGCAAGTAGTTCTCTCGCATTTTTTGCTCCCGGCGCGTTCGCTTGCGGATTGCAAACTCCTCCTCTGGTGTGAGCTCCGGGCCTTGCAACGGGAACATGCTGTTCACTATGAGTGTGCGCCACTTTTGCGGATCTGTGTCGCACAGAGTGTTGTAGTCGGGTGTGTCCGTATCCGCCGCGGCCTCTGCCTCGTCCGGATGAATGGCGTCCTCCGCAGTCGCGACGGACTCGTCCAATTCGTGATCTGACGCTGCTTTCGTAGGTGGTCGCTTGGAAGGGCCGGCAGGCGACGACGATCGCTTGCGTTTCGCAGGAATGGACGGCCCTGCCTCGGAAGGCGATTTCTCATCCGTAGGCTCGGTAGTCGCGTGTTCGGCATGGATAGGGAAGGCGTAGACCGTGATGCGATCGTCAACAAACACCGGGGCCGGCGTCGCATCTTCAACAGTCGATGAGGGCACCTCCGTGTGCTTCAACTCCATGCTTGAGCTGTAGTACTGATTGAGACATTGGGTTTCAGTCGAAGACATGAATCAGACGAACCGCATAACGGCCATGCGCCTCGAGGCCAAGAAGTGTAGCAGACCGGTTGGACCCGTGACGGTCACTCTCTTGTTTCCGGAATCAGCGAAAGTCATCAAGAGGCCTGTGAAAGGTTGTCAGCACGCCACAGAGATTATTTGTCGTGGAAAAGAAGTTAACATGAAATGCAACAGTCCCCTTACGTGTGTCACCAGTATCGCAAATATGGTCTGTCAGGACATAACGGCATATGTAGTTAAGCCTGATATGATGGGCACCCATCGCACACTGAGGTGGATTGGGTCGCACTCGATGATCTCATTGCACCGGCGTTGCCAATGCAGCGGAAAGATACTAGCTGATACTCAGCTCGAGATGCACAACCAGCGCAGGACAACATGGTCATGAACCGCGAGGGGATATGGAGGCTCGACCCACACTCCAGTGTCTAGGCTGATAGCTGATTCCGCATTGCTAGATGTATTCGCACAGGCGGATGACATCAGGCCTCGGGTTGACCTTTTCTTCACGCAAGGGGCAACCTCAGCCAAAACCTCGGTCTGATACAGTCCTCAAGACTGGTCGTTGTGGCAGAAACACCAAATAGATACCAAGACCAACTGACTCCGCCTGTGTGCACGTCTGACAGAATGAACTAGAACGAGGAGAACGTCACCCGGGACGAGGCAATTTGAGCTATCCTGCACAGCGGGCGGAGCACGGACAGAAAGCCACTGTCAGAAAGCCACCGTCAGAAGACCTGATGTGACATTTGAAACAATGCAGAGCGAACAATGGCTGTTTCCATATTGTTAGGCCCTACGAATCACGACGGCATGCGTCAAGAGCCTTGGTGAGAGCACCAGGGTGTCTCAGACGACGTGAGTCTCTGACGGAGACCTATTTCGACTTTGGACCGAATAGGTCAACCCACCCGGAGCCTGCAAGTGTTCGACGCGTTCTTTCAATGATACACGGCATATGCATAGAAAAGACGACGTTTGAGAACGTCATCGACACCTCAGGCTTTGAGGACGTAGTAGGTGCCTCATAGACAAACGTAGAAGTCGTATTGCTCACCTGGCAGCCCATTAGCCCGCTGCGACGTCGCCGACGTCACGAAGACGGCGCTGATCTTCTTCCAGCCGCGGTTGCCATGAGCCCATGCTCTGGTCAAGCTTTCTCCCGCATTGAAGAGGTACTTGGCATCGTTAAATGTGACGAGGACACTGGGATCTGTGTCGGACGTAGCAGACGTGAGGACTGTGGCGGACCAGTTCATTTGGGTTGCACCGAAGCTTTGACGAGTAGCTGAAGAATGAAATGACTTGAGATGACTAGATATACAACGTCTGGCTGTCGAACATATTGACCCAGGAAACATGCAAGGGAGGAGCTGCAAGCCTGGTGGCTGAACGCAATTCTGGACGCCGACGCGCGCAGGAATCTGAAAGCAAATCTTGCTCTCCGGCTGTTTCCGGCCATCCCATTTTGGGAAAGGCAGTCGTTGAATGGCTCACACCAGGAACAATACTTCTGAATTGGTTGTCGAACATACGATGAACAACGCTCCTGGTTGGAGAACCGTTTCGGAGCATGTTTGAAGTCCGAAGGTATGCCGAAGATACGAAGGATATTCGACGAACATCGCCACAATTACCCAAAAAGGAAATTCGTCGACCGAAAATATAACATCTTCGTCAATCTTTTGGATCCCAAATGTGCTCCGAAACGGTTCTCCACAAGGAGCGATTTCCGTTGCATGTTCGACAGTCGACTCGGAAGTGCTGTTCCCGGTGTCATGACCGAATGCAACCGACGACGCAAGCGTAGTCGCCAGGGAACGAAAGGCGAGTACATGCATTGTCAAGGGACCTGTAGAGCCGCACAAATATTGGGAACGGGAAGTCTAGGTCGCTGAGTGCGTGGTGGCGTGTCTCAATCCGGGGCCCGCCCCGGTCGAGACTTCACGTACTTGACCGTGACCCTCGATGCCTAGACTTGCGTGTAACAATCAGGCTGTGACTTGCCATCAGGTGTAGAGACAACCCTAAGGGCCTAACATCGGAGACCTGCCATAGAACAGTCATGCCAACGATTTCCGCAGCACTACCCTGACGATTCTTCGGAAAGCCTACGAAGCGAAGACAATTGAAGTTGAATCGGCATGTACTCCCATGCATACTTATTGGCCCTAAAATCTAACCGAGGACCAATCTAGCTGAAGAATGAGCGTGCAATTGGACACGCCAGCCTCATTGACACTAATGTACTAGGACGGCCCACCCCGCCAGCTGAGTCTTGCAAGGCTCAATCCTTCCAAGCACCTGAGATCAGCTACGGCGGACGCATCATATGAATATTATACTCGCCGAAGTACGTCCCGCCGATACTGAACGTCACTGAACCTTTGAACATCGAAAATATGAATATACTCACACGATATGTATAGGGCGCCCGGGCCTCGCATAACAACTGAGGCGCTGATATACTTACTTGTCAGTCTACCATGAAACCTAACAACATGCAAGGCAAAGTGTATGCGCTCACTGCCCGTAGCCCCGTTGCAAGCGTGAAAGGAAAGAGAAGAACATCAGGCGCGGCACGTCCGCGCTGACTATTCGCGGTCAGCATTGGGACTGTACAGATGTGTAGCAATGCCAAGGAAGGTGTCACGAACGCACTGCTGACTCGACTACTTCATTGTCAACAGGACGAGATGCCTTCGCGGCAGCAACACAGGTCCCGTCATGCTGGCAGCCGTCTCTTGCCAGACCAAGTATTGCCGCTGCCAGGAGGGTCGCTGGTGGTCGCAGTCGTGTGAGATCATGAGTCGTGGTCTGACTGAGTACTGAGTTACCCAGCCAGGTTAGAGAATCCAATATGATCACCAATACAAATCCACAGAAACGCGGATCAATATAAGGGTCTCGGCACTATATTAGTAGGAGTCCTGACGTCTTGCCAATGTCCGAATATTAGAGTAGGTAGCCGACGATGCCCAGAACACCAGCAGCAGCCAACCCACGGCTCACCACAGCACCAGTAGCGCCGCTGCTCGAGCCACCGGTCGACGAAGCGCCTCCCGCCGAGCCCGTCGCGCTTCCCGACGCTCCAGCAGAGCCAGAGTGGCTGCCCGTCGCGCTCGCACCCGCAGAGCTCGCCGGGGCGACTGAGGCGACGGCCTGAACCTTCGTCCACGCCGCAGCGGTATTCGCGGAGACGTCGCCCTCGGTGTACGGGAAGAAGTAGAGGTTGCCAGAGCTGTCGAGCTGCACGAGCGCGTTGATCGAGGCGGCGTAGACCGAGTTGGCATCCTTGGAAGTCGGGCCCGTGTACGAGGTGGTCGAGTTGTTCTCGACGTTGATTACGTACGTCGCCGAGCCGTCGTCGGGGATGAAAGCGAACTCCTGCTGCACACCCTCGCTCTGGAAGAACGAGGCCGTCTTCCCGTGTGCCGCCGGGAAAGAGTTGCCGCTCGAAGCGGGGTACGACTGTGCGTCGGGCTGGAAGTACGAGTCTGAAGCAGGACTGAGCCACGAGCGATAGCATACTCAAAGGCCCACTCACAGTGAATGACGAAGATCTTGGCATCGCCGGCGGATACGTTCGGAACATCGAGGAAGTGAATGTGGTTCTGGGCAAGCGCCATCACAGGCTTCGTGTAGCTGGACGGGAAGGGGTCCGTCTCAACGTCAGTCCACGAGAGTGCGGAGGAGTTGGCTTTCGTCTCGGAGCCCATGTTGAGGAAAAAGAGGTCGGTGCCAGAGATGGCATAGAATACGTTCGTGTCGTGGTCGAGGACGGCAACAAAGTTGGACGGATCAAACTTGCCAGTCGTGACGGACTGTGTGGACCACGACTTCTTGGCGGCATCGTAAATGTAGACCGCCGAAGCGTCGGAGGAGTCGCCGTTCATCACGTAAACGGCGTTGTAGTACTGCGAGAGGTAGCAGGTCGTGTTGGAGCCGTCAAACGACCTATGGGGCGGTACCGTCAGGTCCTATGCCTCCAAGAGTGATAGGCATGCACTCACGGACGTCCAGAGGTAGTGATGTCGGTAGCGCTACCTATCCAATAGCTATTCTGAGAGACTGTATATCAGAGAAAACCTTGCTTGCCCACCACTCGACCAGGAGCCTTGAGTTCCTGCATTCCAGTCTTTTCCGTCGAGACCGAAGACGAGAAGATTGAAACTCGCGTCGAATGATACACAAGGCGAAGCCTGCGCAACCTTGGTGGCCGCAAGAGCAAAAAGAGAGACGAGGGTCGGGAGCCGGAACATGGTGGGGGTATGAGGCGAGGAAAATGAAAGGACGACAACGAGGAGCAAGCGGGGAAACCGCTGGGAACGCGGTCGACGAGGCAAGCCCGTCGCTTATGTAATCACCAGAGCTAAATATAGCCCAGGTCCATCTAGCGCTGCCACATGTTTCCGAGTCTCCTTCAGACCTACTTAAGCCTTCCCTCGAGACTGACGCGGACGCCTGCAAGAGCCAGTGACAATCTGCACGATCCCACGTTATTGGAAGTAGACGAGAATCAACTTGTAGATTGCGACAGATGCTGGGTCGACACGGATCGTCGAGGGGAACGAACAGGTCATTCTCTGCATTTTTGTGGTTTGTCGCAGCCGGACACAAGTAGTACTGGCACTCGCTGTACACAGAGGGGAACTATGCGTATCCTGACCGGGCTTGAGGACACGAAACTTTCTGACTCTTGGCTACGTTCCGACGGAATGATCAATTACAAAGTAAGCTACACTGCCAATTTGTGTCTACAGTAATTCATACAACATCGCACGTCGTCTAACGTACCGCTCACGAGACAAGTTTATACATTCTAGACCATATCCATTGTCATCCGAAACAGTCTTCAAGTTTGCGCGTACTGGCTCCTCGCCCGAATCCTGTGCCCATACCGATACAAGACAAACGGGATCGGAATCATCGCAATACTGATGCCTCCCAGAATGGAGCATGCCTGGCCGACTCCCTCGTTGTCGAAGAACGCAGTCGAGAATAACGGAAACCCGGCGCCGACCGAAGCACGGAACAAGTCATTGCCAGCCAGGACTGACGCCGCGTACTTGGGGTAGCTGCAACACAGAATCGACGTGAGTTTTTGGCACACTGATGAGCAGAGTCAGGCCGTTGACGCCTGTTGACGCACCAATCTTGCAGGTAGTTCAATCCCGATTGGAAGAGCAGGAACGTTCCGATGGAAAAGAACGAGCTGCCGATGATAGGCACGATCCACGGAATACTCGATGCGCTCGTCCATCCGAACCAGAACAGGCTGATCGGTAAGAAGAACGCACCCAGCATTGCGGGCGGCAGCCTGTCCTCGGGCGTGAACACTTGCCCCGGCCTAAACCTGGGTTTGATATACAGAATGGTGTACGGCACGAAGCAAATGTACACGACGACAGCGCCGATGAATAGACCCTGTAAGCAAATCAGCACATTCGACGGAGATGACAATGTAAAACGTTACCATGAAGGCAAGGCCATTCTCCCCCAGATTGAAACCGTGCTTCTCGACAAAGACGACCTCGAACGACTGGATGAAGATGTACAAGATCCCGTAGACGAGCATGATGTACAGGTTCCAGCTCGCCACGATCGGCTCCCGGAAGCTGAGCACGAACGGCCGGACAAGCGTCATCTTGGCGATCTCGCCGATCGTCATTTCCTCGCTTTCGATCTCTCCATCCGACTTGATGTCCTTGTTGCCCGTCAGGCGGCGGAGGCGGACCGCACGGCGGTACAGAATGCTGCAGACAGGGTCAGACAACCCACGGGCTGGACATGCAAGGGTCCTTACGCTGAGGAACTGGTCTCCGGCAACAGCACGAACAGAAACGCTAGGGCAGCCCCGCTCAGCCAGAGCAGCGGCCAGATCGTCCACCGCCACCCGTTTGCCTGCGCAGCGAAGCCACCTAGTCGCATGGTGAATATCCGCTCGACGATGCGCAGGGCTGGTACGCACCGACCACAGGACCCAGCACTGGTCCACAAATCGCCGCCAGACCCCACAGGCCGATCACAATTGCGCGGTCGTCCGGGCCCCACATGTCCGCAAGGCTCGCGCCCCCAGTGGCCAGCGGCGGGCTGCCTACGAAGCCCGCGAGGAACCGCAGCGGGAGCAACGCACCGAGGTTGTCGCATAGCGCGGTCGGCACTTGCAAGACCACGAAGATCGTGAGTGAGGCGATGTACACGGACGTTCGCCCGAACTGCGGAATCTCGGAGAGCGGCGAGAGGAACATGGGCCCAACCCCGTAGCCGAGGACGAAGAGCGTGAGGCCGAGCGTTGCGGCGACGGGCGAGACACCAAACTGCATCGAGATAAGCTCCGTCCCTGGCGAGTAAATGGCGGAGCCGATGTAGATCGAGAAGGTGATGAAGCAGATGTCGAACGTGACGAAGCACCGTTTGGCGAGGCTCCACTGCAGGACGGTCAGTGTACTGAAACAACAACACGGCGAAGTTGACTCACGTTCATAGGATTTTCTGGGTCATCCGGCCCGTACCAGTCGACGAGGGTTGCCTGTAGCTTCTCATCCTTGACCTCGTCTGCCTCGTTCTGCTGGACCTCGGGAGGCAGCATGCCCTCCTCTGGGTCCGTCTCCTTCTTCGGGCGAAGGGCACTCTGGTTGGCGACATCTCTGTCTACTAGGGTGCTGCGATCGCTCGGGCGCGACTGGTCCGAAGTTCTCGACTGGGCAGAATTCCTCCTGCGCAGCGCGCCGTTGCCTTGGTCGCTCACCGCGGTTCCGGGGTCGGATGGGGGACGTGTGGATGACGAAGACGGGCGACCGGCCGACTTTTCGTTCGGCGGGGTGGTCGCAGATGCATCAGCATACCTTTCGGGTATCTCGAAACCCTCCTTCTCCTCGTCGTACAGAAAGACGCGTCGACCGGAGCCATAGTAGATGATTTGCCCGAAGACGGATTCGCGTACAAGGTCAGGGACGTGCATCCTGGCCTTGCTGTGGTTTCTTGCCGTGTCGGGGGATCAAGAGGGAGGGTATAGGTTGTGGGGTAGGTTGTGGGGCTGAATGAACTTTACGCGACGCGTTGGATTATATGTCCGCACGCTGGCTGCCGTTGGTAATGTTGCTGTCTAATGCGCGATGGCGAACATGTTGCGGGCGAAGGCGGTATGACGTTGCACGCGCTACCGGGGTCGATCGAGTTGTGGACAAGCTCCAACCAAAATGGACCTATGTACGTGAGATTGATTGGGCTCCAAGTGATCGGCTTGACCGATCACGGCTCCATAACCGTTTGCAGTTCGTCACGCGTCCTGTACACAATTTATTCGGAGCGTACACTGGTGAACAGTGCTATCAAATAGCGTCGGTGAGTACAATATTCGCGCAGTGCGGCTGCTGTGGCTGATTGCCTCACAAATCTAGTGTTGACGTTCAGCCGTGATTGGCGGGTCCGTGCACACAAGCTGGCGTATGCAATTGCACACTCATTATTCAACAATTTGATCACGAATCAGAGCCAATAGGTCTGATTGCTAGTAAGTGGGCGAACATTGTCAGTGATCCTGACTGATACACAATAATACGCATGTGCATGTCAGCGGAAGCGGCCCCGAGGAATCGGCCTAGTGCACCGGGACAGGTAGAAAACCGGTTGCGATTAACAGCCGGCAGGGACACGCACTCCCGGAGCCAAGTCACAGCCAAGTAAGTCACTACTCGAATTTTGCTGGGCTTCACAACTTTTTTCGACTTGCGCTGTGGCCAGTGGCCCGAATCTAGATCTTAAGATGCGGCTGTGGAATGTTCGATCAAGAACAAGTTTTAATTGAGATCACTCTGTACGATCACCGGCCGCGGCAATGCCGCGGCGCCGGTCTACACCGAATCCGTCTATTGTTGAAGCTGGCATCCAAGTTGCCAGTGCGTCGCCGCGAGCTAGTGCACTTAATACATGGGAGATTGTCTGCGTGAACTCAGCATCTTTGCCCCATTTTTTCATGATTTTGCTGGTACAATTTCCTACCGGGAATACTTAGGACGCAGAAATTATTGCAAGCTCTTGAGAAGCTTGGTGGCAGTCTCGCTGCGACTCTCGCAGCGCCGGCTCGGACATTTGTAGTCCACGCCGATGTCTACGCATCGTCACAGTGTACGAATTGTGAGGTTTACGACTGTGCTATTGTCGAATCATTTAATTGTCACTGAGGGCGAGAGTCAGGGGGCCGTATGTAGATATTACATACTAAATCAAGTCGAATATCTATAAGGAGGGCGACGGCGGTGTCGATGTGGCGCGCGTAACGCGCGTGGAAAGCACATGGCGTCCACGTTCGCCGCGTGGCCTCATGTGGCGCACCCTCCTCCCATAAGCTCCCGGCGTCTTCCGCCCGCGGGCGCCTGCGCGAGCCAGCCCGAGGTGTCCCCGAGGCTGAATTTCCGCGGGGAAGTGACGGAAAAATGAGTAGAGAAAATACACATAGGTTATAAATGGGAAGCCTGAGTGACGGGAAAAAAATACAACTCAGTGCTGGGAAATAGGACATCTCAGTGCCGGGAAATTAGCACTGAAAGACCACAAAGGAAATTCAATGGGAAAGATTGAGTAGGGAAATGTGTGCCTAAAATCAATGTTAATGGCAAGCATGAGTAAAGGGAAAATTGAGCAATGTCAGGACTCAGTACTGGGAAAACTTGAACAGGGCATCTCAGTCCCAGGGAAAATAGTGTGGATTAGCACAGAGAGAACAGTATATAGGTTCCTCCTGGGAAGTAGAAATTAAATATGAGAAAAAATCAATATTGGGAAAACAGGACACCTCAGTAACAGGAAATAATGGGAAGGCACATTTCACTGGCAATAATGGGAGTAAGTACCAGGAAAACACACCTCAGTGTTGGGAAAACAGTAAAAATTAGTCCAGGGAAATGAGATATCAATCCCGGGAAAACAGGAAATCTCAGTGCTGGGAAAACAGGACACATCAATACTGGGAAATAATGGGAAAACAGTGGTAATATCAAACAATTGCCCTGCAGCAGATTATGGACATCAAGAATACAAAAATATGGAACAAAGTGTACTGCAGGCCAGGAAATATTGAATAAAAATGTAACCACAAGAGCAACACACAGCATTGAATGAATCAGATATGGGCTGGCATGGCCCAAGCATGTAATCTTAAGAGTAACATGAAGCAGTGAATGAAAGATTGCTGCCAGACCTGTGGCGAAGCCCAGGTCTGGCAGGCTCAAGCATGTAATTGTAGGAGTAACATGGAGCACAGAATGAAAGAACCGCTGCCAGACCTGTGGCGAAGCCCAGGTCTGGCATGCATTAACATTGTAATCTTATGGGCGACATGAAGCAGTGAATGAAAGAACCGCCCCGTCAACCCGTGGCGAAGCCACGGGTTGGCGACGCTCTTCTAAAAGGAGTGGGACGGCGGTGTCGATGTGGCGCGCGTAACTCGCGTGGTTTTCGCGTATGCTCGCGTGGAGCGCACATGGCGTCCACGTTCGCCGCGTGGCCTCATGTGGCGCACCCTCCTCCCATAAGCTCCCGGCGTCTTCCGCCAGCGGGCGCCTGCGCGAGCCAGCCCGAGGTGTCCCCGAGGTGGAATTTCCGGGCGAAGTGACGGGAAAAATGAGTAGAAAAAAATACATACAGTGTACACATATATTATAAATGGGAAGCCTGAGTGATGGGAAGAAAAATCACAACTCAGTGCTGGGAAATAGGACATCTCAGTGCCGGGAAATTAGCACTGAAAGACCACAAAGGAAATGCAATGGGAAAGATTGAGTAGGGAAATGTGTGCCTAAAATCAATGTTAATGGCAAGCATGAGTAACGGGAAAATTGAGCAATGTCAGGACTCAGTACTGGGAAAACTTGAACAGGGCACCTCAGTCCCAGGGAAAATAGTGTGGATTAGCACAGAGAGAACAGTATATAGGTTCCTCCTGGGAAGTAGAAATTAAATATGAGAAAAAATCAATATTGGGAAAACAGGACACCTCAGTAACGGGAAATAATGGGAAGGCACATTTCACTGGCAATAATGGGAGTAAGTACCAGGAAAACACACGTCAGTGTTGGGAAAACAGTAGAAATTAGTCCAGGGAAATGAGATATCAATCCCGGGAAAACAGGAAATCTCAGTGCTGGGAAAACAGGACACATCAATACTGGGAAATAATGGGAAAACAGTAATATCAAACAATTGCCCTGCAGCAGATTATGGACATCAAGAATACAAAAATATGGAACAAAGTGTACTGCAGGCCGGGAAATATTGAATAAAAACGTAACACACAGCATTGAATGAATCAGATATGGGCTGGCATTGCCCAAGCATGTAATCTTAAGAGTAACATGAAGCAGTGAATGAAATATTGCTGCCAGACCTGTGGCGAAGCCCAGGTCTGGCAGGCTCAAGCATGTAATTGTAGGAGTAACATGGAGCACAGAATGAAAGAACCACCGCCAGACCTGTGGCGAAGCCCAGGTCTGGCATGCATTAACATTGTAATCTTATGGGTGACATGAAGCAGTGAATGAAAGAACCGCCCCGTCAACCCGTGGCGAAGCCACAGGTTGGCGACGCTCGTCCTGTCCGTGCGGCGGCCGTTGTCGCGTGGCATCCGCCGAAGCTTCAGGCAGGTGTAGTAAAGTAGAGTGGAGTGTTTGTTTGTTTATTCCATTTAGTGTCACTGAGGGCGAAGCCCTATGTAGACATGACGTATGCTACTCTCGTTGTGTGTATCGTATGGTCCGTGGTCGCTGAGCGCTGAGCATCGCCGTTCGCCGGAGCGTAGGGCAGAGTGGAGTGTGTGCAGTCAAGTGGAATGGAAATGGAAATGTCGTGGTCCCTGCTCCGTGCGCTGTGCACCTTCCCTGCGTCAATGTGCCCGCTTGTCACCGGCCCTCGCAGCCTTGTCCGAGTCTTTCAGCCCCAGGTTTCCGTAGGTTTACGACTGGCACCGTAGTACTTGCAGAGGCACGCGGATTCGGCGCAGGGATACAGCGGAACTAGTCTATACATTACAATAGTCATGACAACACTCGTAAGTACATCAGCTACTGGTAGCACACGTGCGAAGACGTGAGGAGGGTGAGTAGGCGCATGGAGAAGGAATTAATACTTTTATCTATGCTACATATCATATATCCAAAACCGAGGATGAAGAAACGGCACGAAGACAGGGCGTACAAAACTCAGAGTTCGCGCTTGAGTTCGGGCTCGATCGATTGCTCGCCCTCAATCGTGTGGCCCCGGATGTCCTTGACCTCCACTGCATTCTGCGCACCCGTCAGGTGGAAGTCTGCCCAGAAGTCAGTATGTGTATAAATACGCAATATTCACAGGGATACTCACTCCTACAGCCGAACGATACGATGAACGCGACAAACGCGAAGACGATAGCGGGGATGAGCATCTCGTGCATGGCCTCGCCATACGCGGCGATGAGCTTGCTGCGCACGTCGGTTGGGTACGTCCGCGCATAGGTGTACGAGCCGAGCACGTCAGCGATGACAGTCGAGTTGAGGCCCTGCTGCTCGAGCTTCTTAGGCAGGACGTTGTTCCACATCGATCCGGCGGCTGCCTGGCCGACCACGCCACCGACTTCGGCGAAGAGGAGCACGGCCGCGGTAGCGACGGCGACATCTGGGGTCGTGTTCCGAAGTCAGTAGGCATCACCTGGAAGGAGTATATGGCGACATACCTTGATGAGGCACAGCACCCTGAGCACCGACCTGGGATGCGGCAGCGGCAAGACCTCCACCAGCTGCCTGGATGATTTGTGTCATGACAAGGGCGGCAGTGTTGTAGTGCGACCGAGCGTAGCTGATCAAACAGAGGGACTCATCAGGGACGAACGCGCAGCACATCGTCGGGTAACCACTTACAACATGAGGCCGACACCAATGATGCGCAGAGCAAGGCCACCAACGAGGGTCCACTTGTAACCGATGTTACCACCGGCAAGTGCGACGATAATTCCCCAGAGGAGGCCGAAGAACGTCAAACAGAGTGATTCTAGGCGCGCAAATCAGTCTTAGCCATATTGAATCGATGATACGGGAACGGCTTACGGGTAGTGGTGTAGTAGTTCAAGTCAGCGAGGTTCCAGTCAGTGGCCACGTAAGTGAACGTGTAGAGGTAGGTCCACTACGTGCGAGTCAGTTCTCGCTCACGCCGCTATGTTAAACAGACACTGACCGTGAGGTAGAACGAGACGAAGTCAAAGAAGTTGACAATGCATGCCGTGAGGACCGTCCGGTTTCGGAGGAGACGGAAGGGGACGATCGGAAACTTGGCGCGTTTCAGTTCCCAGTAGATGAATGCAGGCGCAGCCACGACACCACCGATGACCATCATGGCCGGGATCGCGGGGTCTGTCCACGTCGTCGCTGAACATGGGGTCAGTGAAATTATTTCAAATGCGAGTGCCAATCTGAGAAGACGCACTGGCGTAGGATCCACCGGCGAGCACAAGCGGCAAGAAGATAAGGGTGATGGTGGCGCCGAGGAAGAGCATGCCGAGGAGATCGGCTTCGATCGTGAAACTCCATGCCTTCTGGAGGAACGTGTTTCCAGCGAGACTGTCGCGGTAGACGAGGTTGGCCTTCTTCGCACGGCTCTGAGCCCAGAAGAGTACGGCGATAATGGGGCCGATGGCGAACACGAAGCACTGAAACGGTTGCCGTCAATTTCCGTCAATTTCTGCTCAGCGTTCCGAGAGCGAAAGACGTACGATGCAGTAGAGACCGTAGCCCCAGCGCCAGCCGAGGCGCGAACTAGTGACGATTTGCACCTCAATCTGGGCGCCGGCGTAGAAGTTGACGAAGTACGGCACCGAGGTGAGCGTGCTGACGAGCGCCCGGTATCGCAGCGGTGTCAAATCGGCTGCGCGTAGCCAAATTCGTCAGAGCAGATCCGGAGAGGTGATGATGACACGAATACCCACCAATGACAATCTGGATGGCGATCTGGAGCCCGGAGAAGCCAATCTCGTAGATGACCAAGCCCGCACCGAGTGCGCCCATGGTCTGAGCACTCGCGCAGATGATGCTGATTCATACAGTGAGGAACAGCCGACGGATGGATACACGAAGGTACGTACTATCCTAGGCAGTAGAAGAAGAGGCAGACGGCGTAGGCTTCCGCACGACCAACGACGTCGGTAATCTTGCTGCGCGGATTAGTGTAGTGAGTTCCCTCATCGATGTGCAGGCAGAAGTTCAACTCACGCGAAGAAAGGTTTGCCGAGCGCGACTGGAGTGCACCTCAGCGGCGCGTTTCAGGTGCGAAGACAGAAGACACTCACGTAGAATCGCCATAGCACACTGGATGGCACTGTACCAGTTCGCGTGACCGAACTCATTGGAGGCATACGTTCCGAACTCCCAGCTAGTATTGTTGTCTAGGCCATACATGTAGCTGCCGATGTTCGAGCGGAAGTCAATTGATCAGTCGGCAACTAGATTACGGGAGCACTCACCTGGCCAGTGCGATACCGACCCATAGCAAAATCTTGCTTATGGGACCCCAGACCTATGAATGGCTGTGAGTCGCTTGCGATCACCCACCGGCAGTCACGACTCACATTTACCGCTGCCTCGACTTTCCAGATGCCGGCCTGCGTCTGCTTAACGAGCGCCAGCGTGTCGTTCTGTTCATGGCTGCTGTACTTCGTCAACTCCGGCGCTGCAGCGTGCTCGCCTGCGCCATCGCTGTTCTGAAGAGACCTCTTCTCTGTGTCCATGGCCGTAGAGGACATACTGCCTGAGAGGAGCAAAAAACTGGTGAGATTGATTTCTGAGCCCCGGAGGAACTGCTTCAAGGTATATCCTGGTAGGGACTTACCGAGCTAGAACTCTGCGCTGAGTCGCTGGGCGAGAGCTCTTTAGAAGTCGGGAAGGACAGTGATCTCCGTTCCCCGCATCATGCTGCCTTTTATCAGATAGGTTTGCCTCTCGATCTGAGATATTGCCTCGTAATCAGATAAGATATGCCATATGCCAAGATCAGCGGCATGTGGCGGTGCCTTGCTCGATCATCCATGCCTCTAAATTTCAGACGCTCATCATGGAGGCGGCTATAGTATGTTGACGTGGATCCTCACCAAGGTCGACCATAGCGGCTCGGCAGTCTCGTCTTCCGCAGCAGTCCAGACAGTTCAGGCCACCCACAGCCTAGTATCCAATCAGCTTGCTCTCCTATTTTCCTTCGGCCGACCTGGTCACTGCCAGTGGTCGAGCTAACGTAATCGAAAACATTCTTACTGCAATACTGTCGGCCCGTTCGTTCCTTCGTTCCTGACTTTCGTGACTGAGCGGAAACCTCACCCACAGACTCTTGATCAAGCCACAGAACGGTTGGAGTTCACGCGTTCACGCTGACCCGCGAACATCACTCACAGTAATAGTAATGGTACAGATGACTGGCTCCGCGAGCGCAGTGTGAAGTTGCTGCACATATGGCACACTGATGGATACAGTGATTGTTCCGAAGCGTACGTGGCGAACTCGTCAGACTCAATTGGTTCCCGGGTCTGTCTAGCCGATAGTAGATGATGGCACATAAAGTCATGTCATGAGGCTTTCAAGGCTTCGTATGCTAGACGACAAACTGTTCTCTGCCAGTGCTCATGTGCCAACATTGTCCCTGATATTTGTGCGTCGTATCATCTTTTCTTCTGTGTTGCGCGACGTGTGCCGAACTCGGGGATATGCTTGCAAGTAAGTCTCTCAAATTTGTCTCTCGTCGCGATTAGAAGCGATGGCCTACTAGCTCCCAGGCATTGGTTGATGAATAATTTCCTGGGGACTGGGCATTAGGCACCTGCGAAAACACGAACCAAGGTGCGAAATGTCAGGACTCGGCAAATTATTGATAATTTATGACTCTCAAGGACGACGTACTGCTTCCGTTTTTTTGCGCTCCGTGAACTGGCCATGAAGTCAAATGCTCCCCAGAGCCTGTGACGTCAACAGTACGCTGTGATATTGCTTCGCAAGCCAGTCGCAAGCGACTCTAACTTTCCCTGCAATAACGGATTGATTATCATGCATTTCGTGCACTCAAATCGCGCCGCCACCACCGATGCGGTACGTGTTCATGCTCCTGGCTCCAAGTTGCGAATGGAAGTGATGAATAGATCTCATACAGTGCTCAATGTCAATCGAATCCGACAGCGTGGGTAAGGTTTCGCAAACATTGGGTAATGCATATAATCGCAAGTCTGGTGTCGCGACGAGTCACGAAGTCAGGTGGAAGTCGGCGGTAACTTTCACAAAGCCAGACTGGGTCTCTTCCCGGGCCAATATGACGCTGCGCTGACCAGCGTCAGCAATGTGATCTTCTCATGTTCGAGTCAATTCACATATCAGGCATATTGTCCGACATCAAGCCGTGCCCAGCAACCTTAAGCACTCTTCAAGTTCTATGAATCTTGACTGTCTTCGACATTTGAGGCACGTCGTCTGGAAATTTATACCGTATGCTCGTAACTGTGTGACTGACTGTTTCATGACCCTCCGCCCAGTACGGCGTGCTACAGTCGAAGTAGGGCCTCTAGGGCGCGTATCTGCTGCGAAGTCAGAGCGACTTAGACACTGACCATACAGAGAACCATGATAAAGGGTCGACATGATCAAAGTTCGTGCTGACTGTCGCAACAGAGTTATCTCCATGGAACTTAGCTCGCTTGCGTGATTCTTTCACTGTCTTACGGCACTGTACCCAGGAGCTTTTATGAAGAACTTGAGGGGTGAGCGATACACACTCCTTGACATACGACCGCTTTCCTTCCTCAGGATGTCCTCCTCCGATCGGGTGGCGACTCTACGCTCTCTTATCCGCATACTTACTGCCGCATCGGAGATTGTGATCAAGGAATGGGAGGCCGAAGACATGCGAGAGATCAACGGACTTGCGAAGACAAATTTGCCTTCTCATGAACTCTTCGACGCGCAGCGTGCCTTCATCGGTTCATGCAATATGTGCATCGACATCGTTGACGAGCCATTGAATCGTCTCCTCGACATCAGCTATTCCGTCTCCGCTTCTCGGGCTCTCTTCCTCGCTGTCCTGACCAACATCCCAGATATTCTGGACGGAGGGGATAATTTAGAAGGTGTCGCGATATCGCAGCTCAGTCGTGCGACTGGCGTTCGCGAGGATGAGCTAGGTACGGACGTGCACGAAGATTCTCCCTCACCAGAGCCGTATTAACTCCGAATGACAGCTCGTATACTCCGTTTGTTGTCAACCAAGGCTATTTTCACTGAGGTTCGTCAAGACCACTTTGCGAACAGCCATATCGGACGGATCTTGGTCAAGAACAAACCGTTGCAAAGCATAGTGCTCCTTTTGTATGTCGCAGTGTTCTCGCAAGCGTTGCAACTAGAGTTGGTGGCCTGATCGCGTCTATATGCACAGCGGCGCTGAACCGTGTTTTCAGTCTATGCACCATCTCCCTGCGACACTGCTGGATTCAAGCAGCACTCGATCGGCCTTTCAAAGGGCAGCAGGAACAGAGCTGAGCTACTTCGACTACTTTGGGGAAGAGAGGGAACAAGCCGACGCATTCGCCGTGTCCAAATATCCATATCTCGACATCTTTTCGTCGGCGATGGTGGGATTCAATCAAGGCTGTTCGCCTCCTCTTATTGCCGGTGAGTATTCATCGAGAAACAGAGCACAGCTGCTCAACGAGACTGTGACGTTATTGCTCATCAGACTTTCCTTGGGCCTCCCTGAGCCCCGCAACTGTCGTAGATGTTGGCGGAGGCGTAGGCAGTATGTCCCTAGACCTCGCAAAAGCTTTTCCAAGTTTGCGCTTCGTGGTCCAAGATCTTCCGGTCGTCATTGAACAAGCTCGAGCCGTATGGGAGACAGAGTACGCAGAAGCAGTCAGTACTGGACGTGTTCAGTTGATGGCGCACGACTTCTTGATGGAACAACCTGTTAAAGCGGCCGATGTCTATATGCTGCGCTATGTGCTGTTAGTTTTCACAACCTGGCTACTATGCTGTATCACTCACTGTCAATGCATCCAGACACGATTGGCCTGACGATAAATGTGTTGCAATTTTCAGCCGCCTGCGGGAAGCGATGGGTCCGAAGTCCCGTATTCTCGTGGCGGAGATGGTGATACACCCTACGAGCGGATCAACTTGGCTGAAGAATGCACCGAGGCCGCTACCTGCCAATCACGGGCAACCCCACGTCTATAAAAAACGCTATGGATATTCTCATGCTCGCCATCTACAATGGCAAGGAACGCACGCCGGAGCAATTCGCGGGCATAGCGAAGCGGGCTGGGCTGGAAGTCAAGAAGATATGGGAATGTCGCGGACCTATTAGCATTGTCGAAATGTGTACAGGATAAAGAGCGACAGTAGTCATCTCTAATGGGCAGGATGCATCACTCAGTATGCAGAACGACGAGCCAAGTTGTACCAACACACGCCACCCGGCAGTGAGTTTGTACTAAGGCACGGCTGCTGCGCCTTTGACACCTACGTTGAACTTACGAAGAATAACGTAGGGCCGTCAAATAGGGGATGATTTGCGCGCAGTTTCGTGACCAGCAGTGGCCAGCCAGCTACGTTACACAACGCGTATGACCATACAGACTTAAGTATATTATAGGCTTCAGTTGCCACCTGCACGCGTCGTGGCAAAGCTACATGTGATCGCGACGCGCGACGCGTTAGATTATTCCCACGCTAAGATGGAGGCGCTGGGGCTGAGCGAAGACCAACTTAGCCTCGACCACGACCACGGCGACATCGGCGACGACCAGAATGACGAACAAGCACCCCATGATACCCGCGTCCGCACCGACAACTCCAGCAGTAACCCGCAAGACAGATCGACATGCCCCGGTCACTCCCCAGCGTGTCGCCTACTCGGCCCAGGTCCGTTCGGTAACCTCGCCATACTCACCAGCGACGAATCTTTCGACACCCTACACTCCGTTTAGTCTCCGTTCCGTATCTTCCTCCTCGAATGGCTCCAACCTCCCAACTCCCGCGTCGGCTGTCGATCGCCGGCGTCTCAGTCTCTCGTTGTCGCCTGAGGTCAACTTCAACTCGAAAAGTCTCGCAGACATCGCAGAGAATTGGAGAACGCGTGCCAATGAGAATGGTATAAGGGTTACCTCTGGTGACGATACGCAATACGAAGGTGAGTTTCAGCGCATATAGCCTCTCTGCCTGTCGGCCCTCGTATGCTCTACCTTGGGACACGACGACCACGGTCTGACGACCCAGTATCACCACATGCGAATGGATGAGAGTCGTATGACCACATCTTGCCCGTTTCTGCTTATGTATGCGGCTATATGCGCTATGGTTTTGCATTTGCCGCTGCGCTTGTGGCGATGCGCATGCTCAGACGTAGTCAGGTGCTATGCACACACTGGGGTTGTATGACCGTCTTCGCCGCAGGAGTCTCACGAGAGTAGACTGTTCTTCCTTACAACTGTACTCACGGTTGGCGGTATCATCCGTCCTGATGGTGCTCTGCCTTCAGAGGCAACAGCCTGTGGACGGAATATCACACATGATCATAGGTCGACTGGCTTCACATGAAGCTCAGAGTCCACGGCGTCGTCCTTTCTTTTCCTCATTAAGGTCTACTGCTGTGGGCGCTGGAGTCAGAGTGCAGCACCTGAACTCGAGTGGCGCTTCGTGGAGGTAGAGCGGTATATGCGTATATGGTTCAGCCGCAGACCACAATGTGGTACAGCCAGATGTGCTCTTGGTTCATGTCAACCTCGCTGTGTCTACAATCAGTTGCTGACGTGGTCTACACAGCTGACGAGTCCAGTCTCGACATTAGCATGCCCATGATAGACAAAGGTGTGTATTGAGCCTCATTGTTCCAAGTGTACCACTCAGTGTTCTGTTAGCCCTTTTGCCTGCACCTTTCCTCTCATCACAACGTCGCACTCGTGCATTCTCGCATGCCCATGCGCCTCTTTCTCAAATCACGGACCCTGCACAGCTCTGCACGCCAAGCCGTGCTCTTAGACAACCAACAGTCTTGGACACGCCACCTCCTCAACCTGGTTACGGGCTTCGAGGCAGTGTCACCGATCCTGCGCGTCTGCGCCGTCGCCCTGCTTTCGAACAGGTATGACGAGCCTCGGATTGGTGTTGGTGTTGCCTGTCTCACCCACCTTCGTAGACAGACTTATTTGATATTGATGAGAACGACTATGCGCCATATCCGCAAGCCTTCGTCCCGGTCGTGGCGAATCAGTCCTTACCTCTGTCGTTGACACAGCACTTCAACCTTCAGACAGATTTGTCCGCGATATCCGAACCGGTTCAGCTATACGAACCGTCTTTCTACCCTTCGCAGCCTGAGGAGCCCGAGGAGACGGTTCCCTTCGCATGCTCTGTCTGTGGTACTTCCGGCGGTTCTCTCGCAGTCTTGGATCCATGCACTCATCCGCTCTGCCCGGCCTGCCTGACTAGTGCCCTGAATATCGTGGGCGAAAAGGATATGGAATGTGCGGTGTGCAAGTCTAAGGTGGATGACTTCCAGCTTCACAAAAGTCCCCCTGCTACCGGAGCTTCGGCGGCTACCGCGGGAATGAAGCGCGCGAATGCATATAGCCCTTCTGCTGTGTCTCCGCATGAGACGTCGATCCTGCAGGGATTGTATGATGCTGGTGGAGCGCAGGGAAATGGAGGGGTTTGCGACTACGATGACTTTATGGACCGTGCACAAGGATCATCTACTCCAGTGTCTGGGGCCCGTGGAGATCGTCGTGGCGCAGAAGACAGTGTGGTACTTCGGATTGACAACGTACCCTGGGTATGTTTTCCGATGTCTAACGTATAGCTCACCCATTTAGTGACCTTGGTTTAGGACATCACGCCCCCGGCCATTATTACTTGGTTGAAGCATCCAGTCCGGCGCGTTCATGTTCTGCTCGATCGCAAGGGCAAGACGTTGAGCCATGCATACGTTGAGATGGCCAACCCCGACGCTGCCAAGGCTGCTCTTCGGAGTGCTCAGAACTCGGTCCTCGGCCGCGGCAAGCGTGCCCGTGGTGTCACTGTGACGAAGAGCAGCCAAGAGGAGTTGATGAAAGCGGTGGGTCTGCTCGTTATCCTGAATTATGACCGCTAGCTGAGACGTCTGTCCTCATCTAAAGTTATTCCCGTCTTGGCAAGGGAACTTCGACGGCTGCCGGCCATCTTTGTCCGGCTTGGATAACGAGCGTGTCATCTCAACGCTCCAACGTGGGTTGATCTCGGAGGCCGAGCTCAACTCCCTGCAGCACCTCATTCGCTCCCCCGATGTACGTCGATCTGTATCGTTCCCACGCATGGACACGCTTTAACGGCCTTTCTCTTTCTAGAGCCACTTTTTGAAAGTTCCGTCGCTTCCTTTCCACTCGCTGATTAGCATTCTATCGAAGTTTCCATCCGACGACGACAGTAGAGTGTTCTGGCCAAGTACGTTGCGCGACAAGTTGTATGGTAAGTTTCTAGTGCACGTTGTCGCAATGATCGGCGCTGATCTAATTTTTGGTAGAAATCACATACTGTAGGTTCCCCGCTGCCTCGGTGCCTGATATTGGAGCCAGCTGACGCTGTTGTAGCTGCTGTGCAGGTTCTTTTCGTTCGCAACGAAGAGAATCCTTTGTCTGACTGGGCTAGTCTCATCACCCAAGTGGTACGCGCCTCCATGGAGTGTCAAGGTGCGTGGGATACAAAGTGATAGTATCCGCGTCATTGACGATATACTGCCTTCCAGCATTCACTTCAGATCAGATGAGCAACCTCTCGGATATACTGGAAGATGCACTCCCTAAGTCCACCTCTTCGCCACCTGGTGATCATTCTCGCTTGGAGTCTCCTATGGATCTTCATAGTGAAGTGCAAGAAGCGTTGAGACCAGCCGAGAACGAGACCCGTGGTATTCCCAGCCCAGAAAACGGGGCCTATGGCGATCTTGCGCAAGAATTCGGCATCGAGTCTCACCTGATTGAAGCCATAGCTCGACGGCTCTCCGAAATCCGCTAGCAACGAATGGGACCGACTCGCTCCTCCGACATGTGACATGATTCCTCCTTCTCCGCACTGCATGCATTCACCTCGCCCTCTCCTATGCACGTTATACTCGCATGGCTCGTCATAATCACCACCGTCACTCGCTTTCTCAAGTCATGGATGACGTTCTCCTCGCCCTTTCCCTCAGAGCTATGTTGATCATACGCCCACGACATCGTCACGTCTCGCCCTCGCTCTGCCCCGCTCTGCAAACTGTTGTCGACTCTTATGGTTTTATGATCCCGGATTGGTCTCTTCGCTCGTGTAGCATCGCGTGTTTTCCGAAGATGAGCCGGATAGAATCGCTGGTAATCGCCTTGCAATGAAAAATCGTTGTATATGATCGTGGTGGGATCTTCCCCGTCGGGCATTTGGACCTATGCTGGGAGGTAAGTGCCCGGTACGCTGAACAACCAGGGATCATATGCCTGGCTTGGAGCTAAAGCTAGCCTGCGAACGTCGCCCGGCTTGCATGATCAGCTCACGGCCTCCCGTTCAATATTTCCTGTGACCCCATTTAGAGCTCAGCCGAGAATACGGTGAACATGTGGACTTTCACAGAAGCCAGAAATCGGTAAGAGTATTCATGCGAGTCTTCGCTCTATGGCTTCATGTTCACGAACTAGCCTTCAGCCTCCGTGGCTTGGTCAGGACCCCCTGCCCTACGTCATCAAACATGGTGCTCTTCGACGCACGGGTGATGGCACGGGTCTGTAGGATACCTCGGCTATGTGATGATGGCGTATAAAAACCCCCGCCGTGAGTATAGCTCCCTGTGAGTCCATGATGTTGTCAGCGCTCTCAACTCTGGTACTCTCTGCCGTGCTCGTCTCGGCTCAATCCTCCGTCTTCGATGTATGTCCCGAATCCTGCCGTGGTATTGATAAGCTCGACTGACACGTCCAAAGTTCCCGGAGTACCCGCCTCCAGGAGCATTCGATCCAAATGAGACCTTGGCAAGCGCTGTCGGTACTCTGCCTTATGGCATCGGCGTAGCCGACCAGTCTCTCGCATCGACTCCTGTTCACTACGACACTGGCTTCTTTGGCCCTCAGATTGAACTAGTACATGCGTACTACAATTACTGGCCAACGGTATGTACCTCGTCATTGGTCGTTTCGTTTAAGAGCCTCATCGATGTCTATGTTGCTGTTGTCCGGCAGGGTGTCGGTGTAGGCAGTGATGGCATGGTGTTCACTTGTTACCCTCGCGGAAACGAAACTTACACTCTTGGCTTGATCACTGGGCCGACGACTGAGGAGGCATGGCCGGAGTCAGTACGGCTTTCATTTCGAATCGACGATAAGCTGATGGCCTTTCAGCGAGGAATGGAACACGCCTCCAGCATTCGAGAACGTCACGAACCCAGGCTACAGCATTGCTTCTGAAAAGCTCATTTTCGTGCAGTCGGTGGTTGTCGATGGATTGGACCGAGTCTGGGCGCTCGACACCGGACGTCCGCGCGTGAACGGTACCTATCTCTACGCGCAAGCACCCGGTGGTCCCAAGCTAGTTGGATTCTACATGAACGGGACGAGCTTCGCAATGTACTATTTCCCCAGCACTGTTGTGTACGCTGACTCCTCGATCAACGACGTGAGGTTCGACCTCAGGGGAGGGGGGTATGCCTACATCACGGACAGTTCGCCATATCACCCTGCGTTGGTTGTTGTCGACCTGGCTACTGGAGAATCTTGGAGGCACCTCGAAGGGCATGCTGCTGTCAGCCCTGATCCAGCCTTCGTGCCTGTCTACAACGGAGGTGTGTCTTGCCCAGATGAGTGAAGGTTTGTCACGGTGTTGATTCGTTTGCTAGTCCCTTTCTACTATCACACACTACTTGCCCCTAACGCTATCCAGTTTATGACCGCTGTGAGTGCGATCTCGTCATTCCAGGTTTCGCTATCTCACAGGTCCCTACAGTTCGCCGCTGATGGGATTGCACTCTCAGCTGGTGCGTACTGATGTAACATTCATTGAGGTAGTTACTGACATTCACTTGGATATACGCAGACGGCGAGTACGTCTACGTTACGCCACTGACAAGCCGCCATCTCTACCGCGTCCCGACATCCTATCTCAAGCAGCAGCCGTCGTCCAGCAACCCGTACGCCGCCATCCTGGCAAAGGAGGCTGTGCAGACCGTGGCTGAATCTGGAGGCCACGCTGACGGTCTTGAAACGGACGCTTCTGGGTACATCTACATCGGTTCTCAGGGTGAGTAGAACGTGCCCGCGCGGCAGGTGACAGACAGCGTTGCTCACATCCAGATCAGAACATAATGCCATCCATCGCTATAACGCGACGATCGGTATCGTAGAGCCTTTTATCCGTAATCCGGCGATTCAGGTATGTTCACAAGCTGCAATGAATGTCAATCTGCTCAATCGCGCGCAGTGGGCCGATACATTCTCGGTTGTTACGCTCGCAGAGGGGAACTATCTCTACTTCACTGTGAACCAGTACGTCTTTGGGGCACCATCGACCTATGAACTCTTCCCTGATCACCTTGTATCAGACTCTGGCTCGCGCCTGACTATCAAAACGGGTGAGCGTCGTTACAATGCATGCTCTGCTATATTTGCATCGTTAATTCGTTTCTTCGTTTAGCACTGACCTGCGCACAAAGCCGTATGCGATGTATCGTGTGCCGCTTGAGACCGGCCGTGCAAACCAGACTGAAGCTGCTTGATCGCCGCGGCTGTGGTCGCTGTCATGGCGTGGGTGAACAATGGATACTTTGCGATGTGTTGAAACGGACATACGGGCTTTGTGATGATACTTACGTTCGTCAATGAATGTAGCAGTGCATGTCGTTGGACACAATGGCCAATGTTCACGTCGCTGATGTGTGCCAACATGAAGTACAAACATCATGCGCAGGCTGAGAACTAACATCGTATCGTGGTCAATATGACCTACGGCTAGTATGATCAGCTAAGACATTCTGAACTGGCCTAGCGGAGGTTGTATGCTGCGTTGCTTTGTTGTTGTCAACAGCCGTTCCGAACTGAATTGTGTCCCGGGCCTGAATGGACAACAAGCCTGGCCCAAACGAATCAGTTTGTGTCGAAATGTCTCGAGCAACTGTAATTCCAGTAAACAGTTCATGATGAAGCTTGGAAGCCTGAAGGCCTGAAGGCCGAGACCGTGAATATTCTAACCGGCGGGTCGAATCGAAATGTAAACGGATATGAATCCTTCGTACTTAGTGGCAAACGATGCTACTTCGACATCGGATATAACGCTCGGATACGGATATACTGGAATGGCTCGCAAGGACAGCCGTCCTCTTCCATCATCCGCAGTGCATATATAACCCTCGGCGAGTCCTGGTGGCTTGAACAATCTGCTTCATTCCTTACATCCTCGACTTGCCGGACAAGTCTACTTCATTCGCTCGACTTCAACATTCATAGTTTATCAGCATTTTTAGCCACGATGCATGCAGTAAGTCACTCAATCCATTATGCTGTACGGCGGAACGCTCATTCACAGTCCATAGTCTTCGTCCATCCCCGAGTTATACGATCACGTCATCGACAATGGTCGTCTCCAGTTCATCGAGAAACTCGGAGAGGGTGCATATGGCGTGGTCTACCGGGCTGTGGATCTGGACTCTCCCACGTCCTCGCGGAACCCAGATCCCAAGCAGTACGCCGTCAAAGTCATGTTGAAGGCGCAGCCCCGGACTCGCCATGTGCGATATCAGCGTGGCGAGATCGCCGCCCACCGCAGTGTCTCTGCCCACCCGAACATCCTCACGCTCCACAAAGTGATAGAGGACGAGCCGTACATCTATCTTGTGATGGACTATTGCCCCGGCGGCGATATGTTCCGCCATATCACGGAGCGCAAGACGTACGGAGGGAAGACGGACCTAGTCAAAAAGGTCTTTGTCCAGATCCTTGACGCCGTTCAGGCATGCCATGAGCAGGGCCTCGCCCATCGCGACCTGAAGCCGGACAACATTCTGTGCATGGACGAGAGCGGCTCGAGGGTCGTCCTTGCGGACTTCGGCCTCTCGACGAGCTCAGATAGGAGCTCAACCTTCGGGTGTGGTAGCTCGTATTACACCAGTCCAGGTGAGCAACGATCTCGCTGGCGCAATATCATTGGATGCTTACTAGTCTTTCAGAGACGATCGGCACAGACTTCGGGTACAGGCCTTACGATGCCAAGGTCGCCGATGTCTGGTCTCTGGGCGTCATGCTGGTCAACATGATCGCCGGTCGGAATCCATGGACGTCTGCGACGATGGAGGACCAATGCTTCCTGCGCTCCATGACGAAGCCGGGCTACCTGCAGAAGATGCTTCCGATCTCGGACGAGGCGGTGACAATCCTTCAGCGCATATTCACCTACGACCCGAAGATGCGCATCACCCTCCCCAAGCTCCGCGAGGCTATTCTCAAGGTCAAGACCTTCTTCATGACCAAGGAGCAGCTGGCGAAGAGCCACCGTTTCGCCCAGATCGCTGCCAGGTCCTACTTCCAGAAGTACTACTCGTTCACGGAGGAGGATTACAAGGAGATGAATGCACTGGAACAGGCGGAGTTCGGCAGACGGGAGAACCTGGTCGAGGCTCTCGTGGTGGAGAACCCGACGAACCACTTCAGGCTCGTCGACCGCGTCGGGTCCCCGGGCATGCCGTCCCTAACCAACAGCGACTCGGATTCAGATGCGGAGAGCATAGGGCCCGTCACTCCCGCCCGGAACGCTGTGGGATCGGAGACATTGGTCGATGTGCCACTTCTGAAGGACGGGGAGGACATGGGCGTGCCAGTCGTGCCCACGGTAGCCAAGAAGAGACGCGACCGTCCTTTCGGGTCTCTCGTGCAGTTCATGGAGCGCTTCGCCTTGTGAAGTGCGTGCATGTAGCGCATAGTGATATCCACATCGCAAAATATACAACAATAATATTACACTGCGTGACGATGGATGAGCCCACTCAGATGACTGAGAAATAAATGGTAGCACCTCATCGACTATTCCGTATCAACGTCCCCAGGAAAGTGACCACATCGTTAGCGACCGCCGCCCCGTGCGAATCACTCAACATCTTGCCAACTCTATCGTCCTCGCTAATAGCGAAGCCACCGAAGTCTTCCATCGGCCCATCGTCGTCCAAGTCCAAGGACTGAGATTGAGACTGATTTTGGACGACTTGTGATACCCGCCGAGTGAAGTCGACATAGAAGCTCGTGAAGTCTCGTGCGTGTTCAGCGAGTTTCTCGAGTTTCTGTTTGTTCGAGGTCCCAGGGAGTGCGTCTAGCAGAACGCGTTGGTTCTCTCGGCAATCGCGCATGAGCAAGCCGAACAGGACAGCCATATGTCCGCGAATGATAGACTCCACGCCGTCCTCTGTCTCAGACTTGGTATACTGCGAGTAGACGAGAGCCAAACAGGAGAGTGCGCTGACGCGCGAGCCACAACGACAAGTTGTTGTACAGGCAGGTTTGCCAGCACAATGGAAGCTCAGCCCTACCATCTAAACGTTAGCTCCGTTACGATATGTTCTTTGAACACTCACTCGTAGTGCGGAGGGAGTCTTTGGCGGCGTGCGAAATCTGGGCGAGGTTAGTGAGGAGCCCGAGAGCGAGGCATTGTCGATCCAGAGACGTAGCCGCGTGCTCGCCGTCAGCGATTGCGTCGTCGATTTCGGTCTCGACGTCCTGCTCTTGTTTCAATAGCTGGTTGCCAGATACGTAGTGTCGCTGTGACTGTACGATGAGACGCACAACCAGCAAGAGCAGCTGGCCGCTGAGTACAGCTTGGCACCACTGGACGTCGTCATGAGTCAGGCTGATGAGGACTCGAAGGGCAGATTCCATGCATCTGTAGGCTGTGAGCAACCATCAGCAATGTTCAAAGCCTCGCTTAAAAGCCTCGTGACTCACCTGTCACTGAGTGCCCCTCGTGTTCCGGATCTCTCGCCGCGACATCGCACACGTTACACAAGCCCACTATCCTTGGTGCAAGGTCCTCCTCGCGCTCGGGATCAAGTCTCGTGTCGGTGTTGGACCCTTGCGAGGACTCACTGCTCGTCCATGTGCCCAATAGGTAGGAATCTAGCAGTCGCAGGCAGTTATCCGCGTGTCCGAAACTTGGCGTATCCAAGCTTGATGACGCAGACGGTGGAGATAGGATGGGCAAGCCAGATTCGTAGGCCGACAGTCGGGACGGAAGTGGGGCGAGCTCGTGTTGGAAGGTGCGAAGGAGCGATGAGACGTGCGTTGTGTTTTGACAGGACGACGGAAGCGCCACTAGGGCGGTCGATATAAGGAGTCGAGTTGATATCTGAGGGTAGCTGCTGTGAGCAAATGTAAGGGAAGATCTCGACGGTGACTGACTGTCTCGCCGGATTCGAACAAACCAGACTTCTTTCTCACTAGCTTCTCAAGCCCCACGAGCTAAGAACTTGTGTTATATACCATGACGCACGCTGCACTCAAGGTCCGACATACCAGCGTCTTGTCTACCCTCTGGATGCCCGCCCTTCTCAGCTCGGCATCGCTCAGACTGCACGAAATCAGCCACAGAGGATCGTTGGAGCGCTCCAGGCCATCTAGCATGTTATACAAGGCCGAGACAAAGTCGGATCGCCCCGCCAGGTCGGTGAGGTCGCGAGTGTCTCGTGAGACCAGAGCGGCGTAGAAAGCGAGGATGGTGTCCATGACCTGGCATTATGGTCAGCAGCTAAGCCATTCCGGTCGCTGATTCGCACCTTGTCCCCTTTCCCTGCGCCAGCCTCCCGAAGCACCTGCCATGTCCGTTCGAGAAAGTCCGCGGCCTTGGCCTTCCTTGCGAAATCTGGCTCACACAGCTTGGTGACTATCTCCAAAGCACTTCACTTCCATGAGCTCCCGGAATCTACAAGTTGACTTGCAAAAGACTGACCTCGCTCTGCGCACGCTCGAGGGCGAGTTCGCTTCGAGGCCCTCAAACAGATAGCCGACCTCGTCCAAGAACCTCCGGCTCTCGCCCTTGCTCCGCAGCTCCGTGATGCTCTTCAGGTCGTTCATCATCCCGTTCGGGAGGGGAACGGGAGGGGTCTCGGTTTGCTTGCCCTTTCCTTTCCTCTTGCTCGGGCTAGCAGACTCCGGCGGCGGAGACCACGGACGCGGATCGTCCTCTGAGTTGTCCACGCCCCATCGTATGCGCCTGTCCGTGTAAGACTCTTGTACGTCGAACTCGTCCTCCTGGCTTCCAACCAGTAGGCCGCTGTCGTCGAGCCCTGCGGCATCAGAGTTAGATCGAGAGAGCCCGCCCACGCCTAGCTGTGCGGCGGGGAGTGCGACGAGGAAGGAACGGCTCTTGCCGGCATAGGTTCGTATGTTGGCTGCGGCAGCAGTGGGACGCACGGGATGTGGAGGCGAGGATATGGATATGTCGTCCAGGCTCTGGAACTTTTGAGAGAGCGGGTGTGAGGAGGGCGACCCAAGTGTCAGGTCTATGATAGAGTCGGAGCGAGTTTTCATGAGTTTCGTGGGTGTCCTGGGTGCAGGGTACGGCTGGTCGCGGTTGTCTGTAGCGGTGAACGAGCCACCAGGGCTGGAAGTGCTCGAGTCCGTTGCGGTACGGCGAAGCATGCGTCTAGCCACACTGGACGAGGTCTTTGGGTGTCTTGTGCCAACATCTTCATTGATACCCGTAAAGTCAAACAGACCAGATAAGTCCTTGGCAGCCTTGGATGGCGAAGGTGATCCTCGCCGGGAGGAATTGGCGGTATGTGGCAAAGTGTCGGAGCGGACGAGCGATGTTCGAGACGACCTCGCATTGCCCTCACCTAGCTCCTGCTTTCGATCCCCAGAGACTCCACCCTCTGTTACGCTGACTGGAGTCGCAGCCTTCGCGGTCAGTCTCTGCCGTTTTGCTGGTAGTTCCGAGGGCTCTGAGTCCGAGTCCGTGGACGAGATGGAGGCCGGGCGCTCCGACAGTCGATTGCGGCGGTTAGTTCGCTTCCTGCTGTATGTCCTCTGCATTGCAGCAATACAGCTCCTCGTCGGAGTGCGTTGGAAGATGGAAACATAGAAAGGGATGAGGGTGAAGGACAACAAGAACTTGACGGGACTAAGCGGCGGCGCTCGCTTGGCTCAGAGTGTGGTCCGTGGAACGTTGGTCACCACGTGTGACTGTGACCTAGCGCGTTCGTGACAGGCTACTCACACGGGATGCCGCTCCTTTTGAGAACAGTAGAGTAGGTTGCAGGAGTCAACACAGAAATGGATGAGGTCCAAAGGACGGAACAAGCAGCAGTACCTGTGGCTCGGTACCTGGACAACTGGGGGCAGTAAATGTATAGCAGTCATGTGACGAGTGTGCTCGGTATGATCGTGCCGTACAGTGACCAGTCGGTGGTTGACTTCTACCACCACAGCGGTTGCACAGCGACCGCCTCCTCCCGCACATCCGACACAAGCCTTCACGGACTTCCTGACATTTCGCAATCTCGGCGGAGCCATCTATATGCGGGGTGACGATGGAGTATCTTCAAGCTCGAGTCGATTCATACAACAAGTCCAAGCGCACGAAACAAACTCTGGCGCGTTCTACCTCTGGGAACGCTACGAAGTGGCCTCACCCAAACAACTACCTGGCGACCCCGCGAACTCTTGCTGAGGCGGGCTTTTACTTCAATCCCGGCCCGACTACCCCGACAATGTGACCTGCTTCATGTGTCGAAAAGAGCTCAATGAGTGGGAGCCCGATGACGACCCGTTCGAACTGCATTACCAGAAATGCAATCAGACTTGTGCATGGGCCGTCGCGAGGTGCGGGCCTGAGCTGGACAAGGGGCAGGATGGGCAGTGCGTAACGGTTTGCCTGTTTTGTTACATTGGCTCACTGTACATGCCAGATACCACTTCGCGAATTCGTCACGCCTGCCTACGAGCAAGGCCATGGAGAAAGCACGGCTGGAAACATTTATGACGAAGAAGCCGTGGCCCCACGATGCAGTGAAGGGACATGGTGCCAGTTCCAAGAAGGTGGGTGTCCTCTGCTACGCTCCGAACAACCCTGCATATACTGTGCTAATCGAGTTTCCATCTCACAGATGGCGAAAGCAGGGTTTATATACGCCCCTGGACATTCAGGAGACGACAGTGCGACATGTGTATACTGCGAGCTAGCACTCAATGGGTGGGACAAGGACGATGACCCAACGTTAGTGGTTCCCTCCGATCTTTCCGAAACATGCATGACAGCAGGGTATCCCGCAGCGAGGAACATGTAAAGCGCATGATCAAGACAGGCAAGCAATGTCCCTTCCTGAGCACGACCACCTCCAAGCCCGCCTCGTCCAAACCGCCATCTCGCGCCGCCCAATCGAAGCCTTCCTCGTACTCTACGCATCCGTCCTCGGAGGACGAGCTCGCCGGCGCCATCGCGTCGGCCTACAACTCGAACTCCTCGCGCTCCATGAGGAGCTCAGTCAACCGGCCATCCACTGCCGCATCGACAGCCAAGACGCCCGCGTCCGGCTCCAGGCGATCCACGCGGGGAACGGGAAGTCGCACCACGCCACTAGCCGGCTCCGAAGTCGACGACACAGACGGCGCCAGCGGAAGCGATGCAGGCAAGCGGGTATCGAAGACGAAGGGGAAACGGAAGGGGACCGCCGCCTCGAGCAAGGCGAAGGATCGGATGCAAGTGGTCGAGGAGGAGGTGGAACCGGAGGTGCATGATGATGGTCTGGACGAGGATGTGGTCGAAGTAGAGCCACCCCCGAAGCCCAAACGGGGCCCGGGGCGTCCGCCGAAACACAAGAAGCCCGAGAGCGCGGTGGAGGAGACTGAGGTGGAGCCGGAGCCCGCGAACGCACCTGCGAAGAAGGGCCTCGCACGGACACGGTCAAAAGCAGCCCTCGTGTCAGACTCGGATGCCCCGCAGCCGCAGGCGTCGGGCTCCAAGTCGGGCTCGAGGCGCAAGACGGCGGCGAAAGCGCAGGAGGTACACATAGCGGAAACGGAGGACGAGCAGATCGAGGAGGTGCCCGTTGCGAAGCCTGGTAGGAAGAGGGTGAAGAAGGGCGAGGAGTCTGAGCCGCCTAGTGACGTCCCGGCTCCTGCTCGGGGCAAAGGCGCGAAGGGTCGTACCGTGTCCCGGAGCAAAGCTAAGCACGTTCCACCACCTGAAACGGACAGTGACATCGAGATTCTGCCGGTAGAACCCCGCAGAGCGTCGGTGAGGAGCGCAAATGCTCGGGAGGCGGCGGGATCTTCGAAAGGCAAGGGGAGTGCGAAGCGTCAAATCGTCTCATCTGCCTCAGATGATGCTGGCTATGCCACTGCAGAACCTCCGTCGAAGCCTCGACTCTCGAGAGGAGGGCCTCCCAAAGCTGCGGACGAAGGGCATGGCTCACAGTCCCGTAAACGTGTCCCGTCGCCCGCGCCTAAGGACGACAGTGATGTTGAGATGACCGAGCACGCCCCTCCAGCGCCCAAAGTCGAAGCTGAACGGAAAGATTGGCGGAGCCCCCAGCACTCGACCTCCTCCGATGTCGGGGGCCAAATTGTTCTCAAGAAACTTTCGCGTGTCAGTGCAAAGCCGAAGGTGTCTCAGACGGCGCGGTCTAGCACCAGTACGACCAACGGTTCACGCCACATGATCGTCGAGATTTCCGACGACGAGGACGACGTACCGCCCCGCGTGCTGCACGCAAGGCGGAACCGAAACCTGTCTCTTCCACGAAGGAGGGCAAGAACTCCCAGCCGGGGGTCTCTGTGCCTAAGCGACATTCACAGACGTCTGCGTTGGTAGATGCACCGTCATCGAAGGGGAGGGGCCAAGAACATATCGAGGTGATGCCCCCGCGGTCGAGCCAGTCCTCCGCGCAGTCTCGTTCTTCAGGGTTGGTCACAGGCAAGCAGATGCAGACCGACGCCGGTGTACCATCAAAACCAGGCAGCGGTAGCAGGGGTTCTGTGAGCGGCATGGGCTCGACGTCGGGCCCTGTCGCGAGGGCGGACGGGGCGGACGGCGGGCTCGCCGCTGTGATCAACGGCAAACACATAGCAGAATCCTCAGCCTCTACTCCGCCGTCATCCGGCGGCGTCAAAATGGCTACTCCTCCGCCTGCGTCTCCTCCCCTTCCACTTCTTCAGAAGACCATCCCATGACACAGTCGGACGAGGAGTTTCCCTTCGCTCCGAGTCTATCCATGATTTCCCTTCACCGGCTAGCGTCGCTTACGGACGAGGAGGGCTCGATGACACTCGAGCAGTATATCTCCAACGAGATTGAGATGGGGCGTCGACTGCTGAAGGAGGATGCAGAGATGCAGATCGCTGCGATCAAGGAGAAGGCTGCCGAGATGAGGAAGGCCATTGAAGCGCTGTGACCGTGTTGATGTTCGCTGTGATTAGTCGTGATTCCGCTGTCGTATCGCTGTGAATTGCATCCGCGAGCTATGATGCATTCGTGTCTCGCTCATCTCCTCCACCAGTGCCCACAAGCATCTTTTCCGACAGGTGCTGACCCACCAAGAATCGCGTGTCAGAGCACCAGATTCATCAAAGTTTCGCAGTCAGTACAAAGTATGATGCTACAAGTCCACTAGCATTACATGTACAGCTTCCCTGCCATACGCTTGAAAAAGCCCGCGGCGGTGAACCTGCCTGTCCGTTCTCCGCTGCCACTAACATAGCACTCCGTCCTTCCCTGACATAATCGGGCAACTGCGACAGTGAAGGGAGGCCGAGCAATTGGTCCGTTCTATCGGGTGTCCTTGGGCCGTGACTATCTGCATCCGACGCTGATGCAGCGCACTCGTTTGTGGGCCGAGAGCGAGGGACTGCCATTACCGCTACGTCGATGAAGTCGGACGTTTCGGGGGATGCCTCGCGTCTTTGATGGCGCCGGCGACGGAAGAAAGAACGACGGCGGGGTGGTCGCGCCGGCTTGAAGAGCTCGTAAAACTTGTCCGTTTGCATGATTTCTAGGCGTAGAAATTCAAGAGTGATGCGTTTCGATGCCGGACAGAAGATTCGCCTCAAGATGTCGTGCACCTCATCCGAGATGGGCAGGCTGTTGCGCAGGAACATGGGGTCTTCTATGTAGGCGCGGTAACAATCGTCGAAGTACGACGCCTTATGCCATGGATTATGTCCGGTGATCATGGCGGTGAGAATGATGCCCAGCGCCCACACATCGTTGGTGCGCGTGGAATACGCCGGATCGATACCGAGTTTGCCCAGGCATTCTGTCGGCCATTAGCAAGTAGCGACTCACGATTATTGAAAGGCTTACCTGGGCTCATGTAGTATTGGCTTCCACAGCCGAATGTGGTGCTATACCTCTGCGTCGTCGACAACCCGAAATCGCTCAGGTAGACCCGAGTTCCGTCCGTGCTGATCATGATGTTCTCCGGTTTGATATCTCGATGAAAGACACCGATGTGGTGGCAAGCTTGCACCGCGTCGATGATTTGGACCATGATCCTCTTGATGTGGGCGTGGTCGCCACGGGCAACGCCGCCCTTCGCCAGGAAGTGAAACAAATCGCCTCCGGGTGATAGTCCATCACTAGGTAGTAAAACCGATGATCCTCGATGACGCGGTGCAAAGTGACGACGTTTGGGATGGTGGATGCCACCATATGGTTCTGGATCTCCTGGCGCTGATTCTGGTATCTCCTCGTGCCGAACAGGGCCTTGGGCATACACTTGACGGCGTAGTAGAGTGTGTGCGTCGACGGAGACGCGGTGTCTTCTGCGAGGAAGACGACCCCATTTGAGCCCGCACCGAGCACTCGAGTGACGGCCAGACACCCGGCGTCGATCGTTTGGCCCACGAGGTTGGGCACGGTACGTCCTCTGGTCATAGCGTGGTATCGAAGATGATGTGGTGTGTGGGCGGTTCGAAATGGGCATGAAGGCGGTGGGCCCGCCTTACATACCTGTGGGACGCACACATATCCGCTACCCACGTCTGCTGCTTGCTCTTCCGCGGCGGATATCTGGAGGGATTCGGAGGATATCCGACGCTCATCAGTGTATCCACGACACTGCTACCAATTCTGCAGCGGATAAACAGCCTTTGAAAGTGTGGAGCCACTGCCAGTCGAGAACTAAATCCGCCCACGCACCTAGGGTCTCCATGCATCCGCTTCCGTCGCAGCAACGTATGAGGAGCTGACCCCGATAGCATCACCCGCAACGGAAGTCTTGTACCGGAGTCCACTATTTTTAGAAAGCTGTGGCACGAGCTAGGCAATGTCAACCAATACGACGTTGGTCGTAACACGCCATCAGGTCCGCCGTAGGAGCAACAGGACAAAAGCGGTATGTCAGGCGATTGCAATGATGACTGACAGTTGCTAGAGCTGTCCGGTACACCCCGTATCTTGAAGATCGTGAATCCTGTCTGTCAAAGAGCAATCACATACTTGTATTCGTAGCTTGTAAGACAAACACAGTAAATCAGCCCGTATGCGCCAGAGACGGTCACCAACCCAGGGGAATGGCCATTCGCATGAAGCTAGCCTCGTCCATTGAGCTCTTGGAGCGGATATCCGGATCACCTGAGTCCACGGTGGATGCTTCCGTTCCGCGACCCGTGTCAGCGGAAGCAGTGGCGGAAAGCAGGGAGTGAGCGCCCAGTGGAATGTTCTCCGCCCAGCTATCCGAGGAGTATACGGATGGCATTGTTGGCAGATCGGAAGAAAGCCGAGCGTTTCCCGGCTGCGTTGGTAAATCATCGAGTTTACCGAACACCGAGGTGCCATGCACTGGCGATATGGCGTCTCGGTAGGGAGGTGTTTGTCTCGTGGGCTCGGAAGCGAGCTCAAATCCTTCGTCCCGGCGTCTGATATCGTCCCTGGCCAGAGCGTCTTGTAAACTGATGAGGGTCCATCCAACAGTGGCAGCAAATGATCGGTCTTGTTCTTCCATCTCGAATCCTTCCACGCGCCTTCGTATGCTGTTCCTCCACTGAGCTACCAGTAAGGGGACTAAGACTTGTTTGTCGCGACGGCCGGTCTCGCGCTGTAACTGCCGATGTTGCAGTGAGTTTGCGTGGCCGGTAGAGACTGTGTTGGGAGAGTCGCCATAGAAGTATGCAACGTCGAAGTCGATAGCGGTTTCGTCGCAGGTACCACAATAGCCCGGGCGCAACTGGGCTGCGCAGTGACGGGGTACAAAGAACTGATTCTCCACCCCGAACGTGGAGGACACCGTCACGGATAGAGGCGGTGATATGACCCGCAACGTGTTGTTGCATTTGCTATGAAGGCGGCTGTTGTGGGTCATCTCGCCAGTCTGCCTGCGAGCAACTACTGTCGACATCGCATCCCCACTCTTTGACTTCTTGAGGCGTGTGGCCAGCCCAGGCATAAGAACGAAACGGAGGATAGCTGGGGTATGACGATGCGATGAGAGGACACCTTGACAGGATGAGGCTGTTGCAGGAGGTGAGCGATTATGATGCGTGACGATCTGAAGACCAACCGTTCGGACGTTAGATGACAGCGGCTCAAGCAGATACAAAACAAGGACGTGCATAGCGTGAAATGGGAGCTGACCTGATATGTCTGATTGGGTGGCTGACTGTAAGCCGGCGAGCGCTGACTAGGGGACCATATCGAGCGACTCGGACTATCGACACCGTCAGCCTCAGACCCTCGGTGCTGCCGGACTTGGTCAGTAGGGAGGGGAGGCTGTGAAAAAAAATCAAGGAGAGCGGACCTGCTGATAACGGTAATTTTTGCGGAGCCACCAGTGGTAGGCATATCTCAGTTGGGTGTTCGAACGATCAACGTTCAACCGCAAGTTGTGGAGACCATAACAAAGTAGAAGCGCAGGGCATGTATGATGGCTAGCGCCGAAGCGAAGACACTTACATCGCCGCCACATGTTGTACTAAAATGGAAAGTGATGTATCTGGCAGTGCGTCCGCGCTCCGGGCCTTGCAAGGGCTCGACGCTACACCCTTGTGTTCGCCGACTACGCGTACGCGGAGTAGAGCGGCCTGGAATGTGAAAATTGATTCTCCATTCCTGCACCTCTGTGCCCTGGCTTAAAGCTGCTTGTTCATCCGATACAGACTTGGCTATTCAAATCGCTTTCTCCGGCGGTCGGGCGCGGCGGACTCAGCCTCCGTTCCTCACAACCTCGGCGGTGGCGAGGGCAACTCGTGATTTCAATCATCTCGTCCGGACCGTACTGGTATAATACGCCATCAGAGTGTTTCTTTCCTCGGGAGTTCAAGGCGCGCTGACGCGCCTTTCCAGTTCCGGTTTAATGTTGGCCTTACCAAATGGCGGTCCTGGTCATCACAGCATGGCTACCGTGTATCACGGGGAAACAGGTCTCGAGACTGCAGCTTGCCACATCAGCTAGTAGCACTACTGACGCCTACGGCAAGGGCAACTTCAATGTTGTTCACGGACATAGCGGGGCTCTTGCCATCCCATTCGGGTAGTAGCATGAAGGACGGTTCGGCTCATGTATGTGGTTTGCGGATGGCGCAGCCTCCAGTTGCTCTGCTGCGAGAAGTATAAAGGATGTAGGGCTTCAGACCTCTGGTGTCATACCAACACCTCCTGCCAAGCTACACACGACCTCATCAGCAGAAATCTTTGGTTCATCTTCTCTACAGTTCGTCGCTTCTTCGTATCCGTGCTACTCGTCGCTGACCTTCGAAGTCACAAGGTAACCTAAGACCTAATAGCCGTCGATCAAGGAATAAACAATGAGCACACCATGCTTCATTGATCGCTGCAACCAGCCCATTGACTGCAGTCGTCAAGCTATCTCTTCCCATCTTAAGACGGTTCACCAGGTCAATGTCGACTCACCGGTAGTTCAGGCCTGTCAATGGTCAGGATGCCGCGTGTCTGTCCCGGCGTCATCTCTGGCTAGCCACATCATGACGGTGCACATGAGATAAACGATGTAGGTACAATTGAAGCCATCCAAATTTGAGTCTGACCGTGACGCTCTCTCAGGATTATTCTCGACCGACTACCTCTACAAGCCAATTCAGCGCATACACATATTCCCGCCTAATAACTCGGTCTCGGTCCTCAACTCTAATAATTCCTTCCACTCGCTACTCTACACTCATATAATGCCTCGGACTCACCATCTGACACATGCCAGACAATTCTCTTCCTAGCTGTATACTGTATATCGATTTTTCGTTTTCGGACACCAACTGTAGCATGGATCTTCTATGGGATCTTGATTCGGCGCAAAGGCCACTCGTTTGATCTGTTACTAATTCGGAATAGTACATTGATCGAAGTCATCAAACCGAACCAACTTGGAATTGACCGATAAGTACCAAGCACTTCGCTTTCAGTAAGTAGTCCTACATGACAATTCATTCATCCAATACACTCCCTGTACCTGTCCCCGTTGTTTGCGTCATCATGGCGCGTCGTCACGGTGGCAGTCCGGATTTACTAGTAGTACACAGAATTATCATCCCTCCACGGAGCGATCTCCAGATGAACACCTTCCAAACGTTCCCACGGGCCTTCGTAAACAACTCAACTCAATGACCATGTCCTTCCCGCGGCATGTTTGCGTCTACACCTGTGGTCCGACAATAGTGATCCGAGTCAGCGGCGAGGAACGCGTCCGAGAATGGCGGGATCGAGACACGATCGTACATTGGCACGTGATCGCGTTGACGATACCTGTATTCGCGCGCTGGCGCTGCTGAGTCGAGTCGTGCACCGCGCTGCGCGCGCCGCACTCCTAGTACTTGCCAGCTGGGCTGTATTGCGGTTCAGTCCTATGCTCGTGTGCCTATTACCGCGGTTCAGCGGTCATGGGCCGCGGGCAAATTTTTGCCCAGGGAGTCTCTAACGGTCTCGGTGAGTCGGGCAGAAGCCTCACCGCGCCATTCAAGTTGCGCCAGGTACGTCTTCGCTCAGCGAACAATGTATACAAATTCACAGCCACACATACCGTGCCCGCACAGAGCCGTCTGAGCCAAGGACTGTGTGGGCAGTCGGGCAATTACTCCCGGAGGACCACTGTGGCTGGTACTTGTCGCGCAGTTAACGGCCCGGAGAGGGCAAAGACGTCGTGAGTGCCGCGGCATCGTATTTTCCTAATAGCGACATAGGCTGCTTCTGTCTACATGGATCCATCCGGTGCCTACTGTACTTTTACGAGTCAACGGGTATGGCAACACTGTGGTTGGGCGTGCAATGTATCTGGACGCAGTGCCGGAGCTTGCGTCCTTAGCCTCGCCGCCCAGTATAAATGGCCGGGAGTTCTACTGAGTCAACAAGTTGCTCAGTCACCCCGCTGCTCAGCGCACTCCAGAGCGGCGGTATAAACCGGTGGTACTCCCTAGTTTACACATTGCATTCTGCTCATCCGACGACCTCTACAGAGCGCAGTGAGGTCGACACATCGCTCGTCCCTCCCCTCCCCCCGGCCTCTGTTGTCCGTACGCGATAGCCTCCACACGAACCTCGGCTCAGCGACGCACCATCCCGGACAAGGCCCCATGTACGCACACCGAGGCCACGGTCATACCCACGCACCCCATGCGGGTTACGCCAACGGCGGGGTGACGACTCCCTGTAGATGGGGGGCATGCAACGCGCAGCTTGTCTGTTCCCATTCACACATCGAAGGGCACATCCAAGATATTCACCTCGGCTCCTACCGCAATCAGATAGTGAGGTGTGAGTGGGGCCAATGCCCTCACTACGGGGACGCTGGCGGCATGTCGAGTCACATAATGCGGACACATTTGCAGCTACGCCATTGAGCGCCCCCATTCATGTTGCATTCTCGCTGACTTCCCGGACTACGTGACTCGGAAGGTTCAAATTTCTTGTCGGACACGATGCCATTACATGGACATAGCTTTCCATCGATTAGGTAACCTACCCCCCTATCCCCTACCCCCGCTTGTTGTATTGCACACTGCTCTCGAATTCGCTTGTACTTCATGCTCGGACATTTACGATACTTGTTTGTTTTCAGACTCTCAGTACGGTTGTCCTCTCGGCGCGGTTGTCTACGGAGGCGCCGTGACTGCGCTGTGTACGCTCTCAGGCCGGAGTGGCCGTTCGCAATTCTTGTCTTCGACTGTTGTCTCGCGCACTGCCCTGACTCCAGAACCCATATACATAGCCCAAGTCTTGCAACTCCGTCTATGTAGGTGAGTCACTCGGACGCGACAAACGGCTGCGCTAGTATCATGACATCATCGCGGACGGTAACGCTACAGCTGTGCCGCTGTACTTAACGGCTATAGGCATCCGACCGACGAATATATAAAGGAACACGGCGTTGAAGTCAAGTACAGCTTACTGGCCGGCTCTTATGGTCTGCAGTGGAGACTAAATACAACTACATCAGGAAAATGAGAAGGAACGAAACCGCCTCGCCAGCGCCCCCGATGTCATCGTGCATCAAAGTCGCGATCTAGGTTGTGATCGGGTAGAGGTAGGAGTCGGGGAAGGCCTTCTTGATGCACTGCTAAACCCAATAGTATGGCGACGCATAGGTAACTTCGGTACAACCTGTCTGGCCGGCACCGCCGGTCAGGATGCCGACGATGCGCCCATAGCGTCAGCGATAATAGACCCGGAATCCCCGGGGGCAGAGAAAGCGCCGTCCTTATGACTGTACAAGTAGATGGCTACTTCCATGGACGTCGAACAAATGCCGTACTCGTCGTATTCCCGGACAAAGGATTCGATGCCGGTCGCGCGACCGATGGTAGCACCGGTGGTGTTGCCGTTCTTGGCGACGATGAGACACTCTTCGCCGTTAGCGTTGAGCATGGTCGGATGCCGCAGCTCGTCCTTGACAACGTCTCGAAGCTGCAGGAGGTGCAGGACTCAGCGCGACGGTGCATCTTGAACACGGAATTGGCGGGCGTGATTCTGATTCCTGAATATGACGGGTAGACTAGACAGCCTGAGTGAAATAGATCAAAAAATACCGAGATCGGTTACGTTGCCCTTGAAGCCCTTCTAGTCAATCTTCTCGACGTGGAGCTCAACGAGAGCCCAGTCCTCCGTGAAGCATTTGTCGCCGGTACCGATGAAAATCGGAGGGGAGTAAAGGACGTGTCCCAAGATGCGTTGGCTCTCTGCGCTCCAGAACCTCGTGACCTTACCGTAGAACTCTGTCAAAGTCCCTATCAACTTCTCCGCCTCCGCCAGCTTGCCCTTGAACTTCCTCCTCGTGTCAGCTATCGCGGCGCCCTCGCCCTCGATGACCTCCCCGATTGGATCAACGGAGGGGACGTGGTTGAGCAGTTGAAGACCAGCGGAACGGGTGAAGACCGACTCGCGGAATGCAATTTCGACGCCGGTGACCTGAAACTCGGCGAGACTGCTCGCGGCGGTGCTTGCAGCGCACCGCCGCGACTTCGGCGTCCGCACGGAATAGTGTCCAGGGCATCACGCCCACCCAAAGGAAAAGGTGACCGCTTCCTTTCCAACCTCGGCGAAGCGTACAGGGCCACTCGTCCACCTAAGGTCGACGGAATCAAAGTACGCGTAGACCTGTCGACCTAGTTTGCGCCATATGTGTCCGATTGGATGTAGATGGGTCTGGCTTCCTTTGGCACGCGCTCAGCCTCGGCCAGGGTCCCCCGTGCGGTAGACGGAGACGGGGTCGGAGGGAAAGCCATAGTCGTCAGAGCCCAGGGATGAGGGAGAATATCCACGAGGTCCTTCGTAGATTCGAGGTCGGCAACCGCGGTGATGGCTGGAGGAAGAGTAGATCCGGCGCTGTCTCGCTCAGCGACGACAACGAAGTCACTGAGGAACTAATGTTCTTCGGGAGTCACTGGAACGAGAAGCAGAAAAGAAAAGGTACGAGATAGCAAAGACTCAAATGGCTTAATACTCGTAAACGCGTGAACAGTAGCTGGCCGAGTGAGGGAAAATGAGAAGGTGATTACGAGAAGACAAGGTAGGGGCTGGTAGGGGAGGACCTGGGAGGAAGAGGAGGAGGAAGAGAAGTTAGAACATGAAGGAGGAGGCAGGTCACCCGACGGGCCGGCGACAGCCACCGACCACTGGCAACTCACGTGGGCGTCGATTAAATCCTCCTCCACAACCCAAACATGCACTACGATGATGGAAAATATACTGGGCATGATACATCCGCAATCCCTGATGCTACCCCATTCATTCTTCCAACAATTTCTTCCGACGCTGTCACGACAATCCCCAGTGTCCCCAGTGGCTGAGCGCAGTAACAGAAGCGCTGAACATCGACCTGCAGGTCCTGCACGCCGCCCGGTCCGCATCAAGTAAGTAGGAGGGTAAGTACTACTTAACAAGTCGAAGAGAATAAGGCCCAGACTGCCCTATGCAAAATCCATCGTGGTTGAATAGCGCAATCCGTTATACTCGACGCTGTCATGGTACCTCTTTTACTCACTCCATAGTATGTACCGAGGCCGCTCGACTGTTACGAGCATTGCTGTGTCCAGATTTGGTCCAGATCTCTTGATGCAACCGAGACATCCGAATGACAGTTCGGGGCGCCTCGTACTTACGCTGAGTAACGTGGGCACCCTCCATCAACGGAGCTGAGACTGTGCAGCGCTTTTGCTCTTGCTTATCGGCACTGAGCACGCACGTCGCACGTCGCTCTCCAGTAGGATCCACCCGCCAGGCGAATATTCTCCCCTTGACATGCTGCCGAAGCTCAAGCAGCTCTTCCCCGAGAGCTTGCGACCTATCGTATGGCTTCTGATTGCCGTCAGTTGCGGCTTCAACCTCCTCGCCGTCAAGCACTACAGCCGAGGACGACTCTTGGACGACAGTCGATACAGTACGTCGCGGATCCGAGTGTCTCTTGGAAGCCCTTTGACGAAAGCTTCTCCATACAGGTTATGTGGGCGATGACTTCCCAAACGAGCTCCCGATTCGCCTCGACAACGTTGAGATGGACTTTGAGGCCGTTTCGGGAGATAGCTGGTACAGCCAGACGGGGTTCGACGCCTGGCTGCAGTGGCATGCGCTGGATCACTTCCCCAGAGCACATGGCTTCGTGAAGCTGGGACCGGAGGGTGAGTCGTACTCGTTGAGACATTCAATCATTGGGGAGTGCTCATCGACGCTCGCGTACACAGGTAGGCAATTCGGGATATCGATGTTCCACCAGATCCATTGCCTTTCGATGATTCGAGAGGGGTTGATCAATGGTGCGAGCGATCATTCCGCGCACTGTCTCAACTTCCTACGACAAGCGGTACTCTGCAATGCGGACACGACGCTCGAAACCACCACGGAGACCACTCATTCGTGCAAGGACTGGACGCAGGCCTATGATTTTATCTCGGAGAACCAGAACCTGTGGCCGAAGAAACAGCGTCCGAGCCAAAACCAGACCGTGACGAGCAATCACACGCACGACCTGCGGTAGCAATCATAGCCAGTACGAGATTGGATGGATTGACTCGTAGATAGCCTTCCCCGACACGCGTTAACGTTGTAGAAGTACATGGTCCTCACACTCGGTGTAGGCATTAGGAATACGATTCTACGTAGTCAATCATTTGGCCCGGTCAATATACACAAGCACGATGTTTCCACACTACATTGAGAGAAAGCCAGTACCGACAATCTCAGTTTCCCACTATGGACCCACACATCGATGATCAGGCAATCTGAAGGACGTCGAATGCTGTGGAAGGGCATTAGTATGCACGATGCATTATAGCAGATTTTGGCCTCACCCATGGGAGGATCAGAGAAGATCTGCTCGAACTCGAGCGTGCAGTTGTCGCACGACACCTCAAACGTGAACCACTTCTTCTCGGAACAGTCGAAGCGTGGCGTCTGAGGCTTGAGCTGCCAGCCATCTTCCCATTCCAGTTTCTCCATCCTCTCCTTCTCGGGCATCCACGACACCGTCCCGAGGAGCTCGAGCCGCTCCGGACGCGAGTTCCAGCTGAGGCCCTCCATGCGCTGCTGCGGATAGGAGGTGTTCCACACTTGGATGTTGAGGAGGTTTCCGGAGCCCGTGAACGTCTTGCCCGCCTCGGCGCCGCGCTCGGGAGTTGGTACCACCGCATCGACGTAGCACCACTTGAAGGCATTGGGTTTCATTCTGAACTGGTAGAACATGGAGTCCTGACGAGGAAGGATCAGGAGACATCACAAGTAGACGGAGAGGCTTCGCACATTCTCGCTGAGTACAATGTGTGAACTGCTAGTGTACTCTTCGTCAGGCATCGCCTTGTTCGTGCGCACCATGGGCCCTGGAAACCACATGATTGGACCTGATAAGTAGATGTGTTAGTTTTCCATGCCGTCGTTGGTCCAGTATGCTTCAGACCCACCTTTACGCTTCTTCTGATACTCGGGCACATTGCTCAACCCAGGATACGGGTCGGGCTTGCGCAGGCCCTTCGCGCTCCGAGGGGTGATGACATGGGTAGAGTCGATGTACAGCGCGAAGGATGTTCCCAGCAAGAACACGGCTAACACGAGAGTGATCCAGTCGGTCACTGATTTTCTCTTGGAGGCCGGTTGAACTGCTTGATCCTGCTCCGGGTCATCGAAGCCCGCGTTCAGCAGAGGACGCTTGACAGCTTCGTCGATGTCTGGAGTGTCCGGCTCCTGGCTTTGCAATGGGAGGTACGACGACATGATGGCCCAGCGTACGTACGCGATATCCGGACGGGATGAGCAGGCCCATAAGCTCTGACACTGACGCCTACGCCCCGGAATGCACCGGTGCGCTGTCGAGAACGGCCAAGAGTGGGCCCATGATCCCATCAGACATAGCTGTCGGTGTTTGCGATTGATGAGCAGGTCGCCGCCGGTCGGTGGCCTGAGATGTCCGTCCCTCCTCCATCCAAGGCAGCGAGTCGGAATTCAAGATTTCTGGCTCAAGCCTGGCTCACTCTAAGGAGCGAACATCCGACGCCGTATGAGCACATACCTTGGCTTATCGAGCACCACGAGGCGTGCGTTGCTCGATTCCTGTGATCACAGTAACCCGGAATTATCAGTATGATGCCTGTTTGAGAGAGACGCGCGATATGAGCGCTTGGGCGCGCAAACGTAGTCGCTCGGCGAGGAAGACAGCTCAGGCCGCCACAACTGACTGAAATATCACTCAGTGAGAAGTCAACGGGGTAATAATCGGTAAGAGTGGTCCTCAACATATATCACGAATGAGTTCCATGAGTAGGGTAAAATGAGCTAAATTTCGCAACGGTCCATGTACAGTAGTGCGTACTTGGACGCCAGTGGAGACGCAGCTGACCTGCGAAGCAGCGGCCAGCTGAGAGCGTACCTCAACAGGGTCCCACTTGTGGCGCCCATGTGTCCACGCAGAGCGCATTGACCACGTTGCGCGTACCGACTGATCCGTTGCGTACTATCACCGTCGAGGCGAATAGTACTACTTTCCTACGTCATCGTAGCAGACGCGATACGAGAGCATCGAGCTGTTACCGTATGTGTGCTGTCAAGATCCTAGAAGAGTACCTCGGTGATAATCGTCTTCTCATAACAGGCCTGAGGTTCATAACCGTGACTATGCAGGGGCCTTATGAAAGCCACCGGTTGCGAGGCCTGAGAAACCGTAGCATTCCCGCGGAGAACAATGTGAGATACCCACTAGCCTGTGCCACGGGAGATGCAGCATCGAAGGTGATGAAAAGCAAGAGAATCCCTGCGATCGTCATCCCAGAGGGCATACCAGATCGATTATCGCGCTGGTCAGTAGCGTGCTGCGTGTGTAAGCGCATGCGCAAGTCACCTCTCAACGTTTAATATATTCAATGGTGATCAAAAGCGGAGCGACTGGTAACCAATCACGTACTCGGCGCAGGAGACACGGTACGACTGTAGCCAGTCAGCAGTTCTTGTCAAGGCGCAGTAGACGTAGTCTAAGGCATGCGTCAGAACATCAGGGTCCTAGCAGATTATAACATAAGGTTCGCACCGAAGACCCACCCCTCATGGCTGTTGTCCTATCTTGCGCGATGACTCCATATTGTAGTCTCCGTGGCCAGAGTAGACAATTCTTTCAACCTCCGCGCGCTCCGGATTCTGACTCCATATTGGCTCGTCCGACGCGGTCAACGTCGGGTCAGCGACCTAGACCAGGACCAGAGCATGCGCACGCACCTACGCCTCGGATAGCTAACACTATCTCGTGAGTCATCCCCTTAGGAGACGACTCACAAAAACACCAGTGCCAGTGGCGGTCCGCGGATGTACCATTTGCTAGTTGGAGGTATTCCTTTACGTTCAGGCTGCACCGTCAGCGTGCACGTTACATAGCACATCGAAGTGAACATCATGAGATTCCGTCGAGAACCTCTGCAAGGTCGCGTCTCGGATAATGAAGTTGAATGGAGGGTTGTGACTGCTATCCTTGTAAGTTAAGACAGTGATCAGAAGCATAATATTAATAGGCCGGTACGTACACCGCCAAATTTCCCATACGTAGTCAAAATATCGTGATGACAGCCCAGGGCCACGTAGACTGTCGGGCGGAGACAGCACAGCCGTCACGTTGTAGATACCGTTTTTGGAAATATAGTGACCGGCTGTGCTGCTATATGGATGCCAGCCGGGAAACATGTCTCCGTGAGCTTGAGGATCGGACGCCTGACAGCAGTTAATCGAGCCAGTACCCATATGAGGAATACATTCTGACTATGTAGCGATGCGGATCTCAGCCGTTCGAAAATTCTCCTCAGAGCCAGCTACTGACCTTGCTTTATCCAGGCATATGCTAGTGCCTGCAGCTCGAAGGTGAACTGGGTGCGAAACAGCCCGATACCGTGACGCAAACACCTTGCAGGTTATCATTGAATCCCGGTGTAGACTACATGCACGTAAGCGTAGTGATATCAGTCAAGTATCTATGTCCATTCCTATATCAACCCCGGACTGTCGCTTGCGTTTTCTCGGACGACTCGGCTCGCCGTTTGCCATCCCATTATCACGCTCGGCTTGGTTTGCTGCTTTCTTCGCTTCAGCCTTCGCTTTCTGCGCTGCGCGTTTCGTGTGTCGTTGCTCTCGTAAGGCTGTCGCAAATTCGATATGCTTGACCTCTCGGTCTTCGTGGAGTGCAATGGGCGCCCAGAGCGAGCGCGGTAACATGTCCCGTATCAAGTGCGCATTATGGAAGCTGAGGGTGTTGATGATCCAATGATCGAGTTCACCGTGTTCAATGAAGTCTTCCATGATTGTTGTGGCCCGTCGTTCTTGCATACGCGGCCGTGCGCCACTGGGAGAACATCTCCCATTTGCGCAGTCGTGCTGAACGTTGTACTTGAACTTGAGGTTCTACGTCGAGTTATGAGTACTATGCAGTCTCTATAGTGTTAGAGCGACAGATATGGTGACACACCTTGACGAGTACAATCACCGATTGAGCCTCTCCTTGCCGCCGGATTAGGACAGGCATGCCATAGACATCATGACGCTGAGACGAGACATGGTATACGTCAAGGACAGCAATTGCTTCCTCGGCGTTCGGCATACCACGCGCGAAGATGCCAGCAATGCGCCCAGTTATTGGTTGTCCCTGATGATCATCTCGGATAAGGACCATGATCGCAAAATGACATAACACGTACATCGATTGGGGAGTCAGCATATATCCACGACTGTAGGAAGCATTCGTCACTGCTCTGTGAGACGGCAGATGTGCAACGAAGCCAGCGAGTTGTGTCTTCATACGTTCCGAGATTCAACGCATGCGCGGCGTCAGTCTCGAGGAGGTTGACTTCCGGGCGGTGGCGACAACCAGCAGGAAGAGGCGCGAGCTTGATAGTGCCTGTGATAGAGTATGAGCGCAGCTGTCGAACCCGACTCAATGACATAATCACAGCTTAGAATCAACGTACCTGGTGCGAGCCCCTCAGGATCAGACCACCCGAGTAGTGTCTGGAGCATGGGGCGCGTCTGCATGAAGTCCCGTACTCCAGTCCCAGCACGGATCCATCCGCCTTCATCGTCGGCCCACCACCCACCAGTCAAGCGGTGCTTGAAGCCCTCGAGGTCGCCAAATTGGTTCGCGATATCACGGCTTGGAGCGAGATGGTTTGATAGAACAGAACACGCACGGAAGATGGCGTTGAAGCACTCGAAGGACTCTGTCCATCGGGAAAACCTCCATTTGGGAATTCGTGATAAGTGACCAGCAATCGAACCGATTCGAACGAATACACAGAAAGTTGCTAATGTCTGAACATTCCTCGGTATGGTAGATATCTACAAGAATTGTCTGGCATGTGAGACTTCAGTCATTCATGCTACACTAAACCTGATAATGTCGAAGTAATGCATGTATCTTCTCAGGTGGCTCGACTGACATAGAGCAAATCGGGAATAGTATGCATTGACATGATCGAGACTACACTACACAGGAAAGATTACACCATAACGAGCTTCCACCGTACGTCCTCAAGGCCTCTCGCGCATGCCATCGGTAAACTTGTCCCAGTCGCCTTCGGTGGGCGGGTGGAACTCGCCCGAATACTAGCAGCGCGGCATGCCCTGCCCACCATCGCGATCACCCGCTTTGCTCACGCGCCCGCCTCGCCCGCCCGTCCACCTCGCCTGCCCGTCCGCCTGCCCGTCCACCTCGCCTGCCCATCCGCCTGCCCGTCCACACTTGCGCCCGCACCCACGATCCGCCCGTCGGCTGCGTTTGCGCGCAGGGCATTCGCCCTGCGTGCTCGCTGTTGTCGTGTGTGTCGCGTCCTCAGGCGTGCGGTCCATTCGTCAATTGTGTTTGTGGCCCGGCATTTGTCCTCACGCTCGCTGTTGCCGCGCATATCGACGCCCGCTTGTGCACCCCACTCAGTGTCTCCGCCCGCTTACTTGTGTTCCCGCTCTTCCGCCTGTTTGCCTGCCTACCCACGCGTTCGTCGGCCGTGTCTGTGCGCTGGGTGTTTGCCCAGCGCACTCGCGGTTCGCGTGCATGTGGTGTTGGCCCTGCGCCCTGTGCCCGCTCGTTTGCCCTCGCACCCGGTTGCCTGCTCACGGGCATCTGTGGGGGAACGGGCGGGGCGGGTGGCAGTCAGTGAGGGAGGACAGAAACGGAGACGAGGGAAGGTCATACTGCCCTTGCTAGACTACGCGTTCTGCGCGTCGAAATGGCGGATCAGACGAGAGAGAAGGCGCACGAGCGAGGGAGAGGGAGAGGGGCGAGGGGCAGTAAGCGATGGGCACGGTGAAGTGTGTCGGAAGGCGCAGGGCAAATGACTGCGGGATGGACAAGCGCGGGGTCAGGATAGTCATCGTTTGGTGGTCGACACCCACCGACATTTGTAATACTCACCTGCTCGTCCGCTCGCAGCCCTGCTTGCCAGCTTTCCCGCCCACTGCCCGCCCATTTACCCGCCGGGTCGTATGCCCATCCACTCTGGTCGCCCGCTCCCCCGCCCACTCGCCACCTCGCGCCCCTACCCGGTAGTCTCTTCGCTCTTCCGCACCACCACCCGCTCGTCGGCCGTGTCTGCACGCAGGGCATTGGCCCCGCGTGCTCACCGTCGTCGTGCGCGTCGTGCAGCAGCACGTCGCTGCACCCTATGCTCGCTATAAGCATACCTGCTCACATATGTTTGTACTCACCTCTCCTACCCTTCGCTTGCGTGTCCCTGTCGCTCAGGGCAGGATTTGCGTGCACATCTGCTGTCGTGCGAGTCTAGGTTCACGCGCGTCCAGTTTGCATGTCGGCCGGGCTACGCTGTCTGTTGTGGCGGCGGAAGTGTCTTGTGACTTGTCGTACTTGAGTCTGAATTTGCGCAGGCGAGTTGGAGAGGTGACGAGGAGGAGAAGGCCACACGAAGGACTTGGACAAAACAGCAAAAGGCGAGAGACGCCCAGTGAGCGCGTGACGGCTTCGAACTCCGACATGCCACGTCGCACCTGCGTAGACTACTCCCTGCGTCCTCGAGTCGTCCTCTCGCTGTGATCATTCAGACCAAGACCGTCGACCCCGCTCATTGGCTCGCCTTTCACTGAGCACGTCGAGCGCGCGGCTTTCTGCACCTTCGCTCTCGCGCCCATCCTCTGGTTTCTCGCGCCTGGGCAACCTTTGGACGTGTCAAGCCCCTGCCACAATGCACATGTCAAGCCGACCGCGAGGGGGTTCGACCCCTCGACGCATCTTGCAGCTGCCCGGCTTCCACAGCCGCAACGAACAAGCATCGCCGCGCCGGCCTTCAACTGCCCGCCCGCGCACACACGCAGACGCACCCGCATGATCGCACGTACATACACATACTCACCCACCCTATTGCCTCGTCTGTGCTCTCACGATCAAGTGCGACCATAACTTCGGGCTGCTCTGTGGCGTGGACAAGCACTTCAAGACTGCGTTGCTCGAGGAGAACTCCTCGTGCTTGTTGGCCTGTGGTACAACGACTTCTACAGCGCACGGTCCGCAGACACAGCTCCTCCCGTACGACTAATGCATGCACAAGTTCGCGGACTACTTCCAGCAGAGCGACATGGAGTCAACCCGAACGCCAAGCTGCACATCAACGACTATAACATTGAGTCCACCGGTAAGACTCCCCTAACGTCTTGCTGACCAACACCAACCATACATACGCCCAGGCGCGAAGGCCACAACGATGCAGAACCTTGTCAAGTCGCTCCAGGTCGACGGAGTGCCCATCGACGGCATCGGCATGGAGTCGTACTTCATCGTCGGCGAGGTGACGACCACGCACGTGGAGAACTTCCAGGTGTTCGCCGCGCTCGGCGTCAAGATCGCCATCACGGAGCTCGACATCCGCATGACGCTCCCCGAGACGGCCGCCCTGCTCGAACAGCAAGCTCGTCACCAACGGTGGCCAGCACGTCGACTACCAGACCGGGCCACCGGCGTACGTGCTCATCCGCCAAGTACAAGGGACAGGCTTGCGACGTTCGCTGCGACCGCGCTGGTGCCATCGTCTTTACGCTGATCGACTTCGGAGACGTCCCGTCACCGCTCAATAAGGTTGTGTTCTACATCCAGCTATTCGCAGTCGACTACGGGGTCAACTCGCATATCACGACCTACTCCGTACGTTGTTAATTCTCCTACGATTACACATCTCATTCCGGATACACATTCTCCAGCTCGCGATCCTGAGAGCAGGCAGCACGCTCGGGCGGTTCTTCCCGACCTTTCTCGCGGACAAGCTCGGCGTGTATAACATGCTCGTGCCCGCCATGGTAGCCTGTGCGGGGCTCATCTTCGCGATGTTCGGCGCAACAAATGGGCTGGGTGTCGTCCCCATCAGGTCGATATTCGGGTTCGCGTTGGGTCGGGCGCGTGTGAGTGTTCCTGCATGTACAATTCAGAAACTCAACAGTGTGCTGACAATTCTTCGTTTGTGATGTAGATATCTCACTGATCCCCACTCTGTTCATACAGCTGTGTAGGAATATGGGAGAGCTCGGGTGCGCCCCCACGTCCTCGTCTCCCTCTTTCGTAAGATCTGATGGTGATCTCGCTGTGCGTAGCGTGAAAATGGGGCTCGCATATACGTTCGTGGCGGCTGCAAACCTGATCCGGAACCCCATTGCAGGCGCCCTGCTCGGCACCAGTACGGGCAGGCCGTCGACGTGGTGGCATGCTCTAGTGTTCACCGGGGTAAGTGACACTTTCTCCCTTCCGCTACTGTCACATTTTCTGATTGTGTCTGCTCTGATATAGTCCACTACATGCAGACACACTGGCGAGAATGGAACAGGGATTGAGTCCGATTGACTGGGCTGGTATATCTGACGAGTAATAGAGGGCTGGCAGTGATACTAGTAGCAGGACAGTCGAGACGACGCATAATGCCAATTGGACGTGCTAGTCATATTCGAGCTATGTTGTAGTACTTCGTCCGAGCCATTGTCACTGTTCTAGAATTAATAACAATTATGCATTCTATCCCGTAATGATCCTCGTATGACACTGCATAACCAGAAAGCAAAACAAAGAATGCACAATACACGTCAGATAATGCGCAGCGAGTGCGCAGAATTGGTTCATATTGAATGTAATTGCCATTAATTCACCCAGGAGGAGCAGGGGGTAAGAGAAAAACTGCTAATCTGGGAAACGAAGAACAGGTGGTATTGCAGATCTTTACCTAGAATTGCTGATTATTGTCAATATTTCGTTGTCATTCTCAAATGAAGCTTTTCCAGATGTCATCTCGTTCAGCAGAGGACCAAATCGACGGATATCCTTGCAAATGTGATTGAGTAGATGTAACTTGATCTTCTCTAACAGTTTGCTCGGGTCCATTCCTGCAAAGACGTCGAGGACGTTGGCAATCGCAACCTGCACATCAGCCTGATACAGACTGATCAGTCATAGCAGCAGAAATGCGACATACGGAGAAGTATTACATACCAGATATTGCTCGAGGTTCGTCTCTGATATCTCCGTAAACCACAAAAGCACAGCGAGTTCTCCGACGACCTTCCATAGCTGAAATTCTGTTGGATCTACGAGGTCATGGACATGGAAGACAGCGGTCTGGATGATTGTCTTCAGCTGGCGACCAATCAAGGAGTTTGCGTACTGCATGACATAGTTAGCGCGAATAGGGTGGACGGACAAACCATCCCGGTTTGTTGCCTGGAGGCGTAAAGCATATGTCTGTTTCTGTTTGGTGTTCCACTTCGTGTGCGTCGGATGCCAGGCGTATTTGACTAGACCAAGCAGGATTGTGTGTAGAAGCTCGATAGGGGTATCCTGCGACGGGTCGAAACCTACGACCTCGCAGTCAGTGACTTTGAAGTGCACATGACGTGAACTCTATCAGACCGACCTTCCAGGGTGAGAAACGGACTGAGCATCTCCTTCATGTTCGGCTCATGCTTCGCCCATAGGAACTGCTGGACTTCATCGAGAGTCATCTCAGGTTGCATATCCCGAAGGGTGCGGGCTTCGTCAATGATCTTCTCAATGAAGTATTGCGTGTAAGTGTCCTTGACTCCAGTCTCCGTCTGCGATGTCTGAACACGTTTTGCGACTCCAGAACAGGCCTCAAATATCTGGTGTATGAGTTGCTCTATGATCGCATCCTTGTTCCGTAAGTTGCCGGGCTATAGCACATCATGCGAATCAACCTCTGACACAAAGCGTATTCCCAGCAAAACCGAGATAAATGACGCACGGAGAAAAGCTTTTCGAATCCATCATTACTTTCCTTTTCTCTGTCAGTCCCGCCAGCATCACACTTCCGACAGAGAAGATTCCCCTGCCCGCCTATGTGCGACGCGACCTCACTGGACACGGGATTGTCTGACGCCTCTGCATTTGCGTAGATGCGAAGGGCAGCCTCCTCTTGCGTTGTGGCATCAAAGACAATGACGGGGTTGGTGTGCGTCGATCTGATTCTTGCATCAGTGACATGGACTTGGGATGCACCCGGTGAGCTGGTAACTGCAACAATGACTCACTCTAATCGCTTCTTAGCTTCGAAGAACTGTTCCGCGATGCTTGCATGCTGCGAGGTCGACACAAAATGAGTATGGAACTCTTGTTGAAGTAGACGGCGCGGAAGGTTCCGATGAGTCATGTACGCATTCCAGTGCTTGTTCCAGGATTTTGAGCGATTTCCTGAGACATCGTCGCTGAAATAGTCGATGAAGCTGGTGTAGAGCGGGCGTCCCTTGGCAATATCACGAAGAGGGTTTGGCATCTTTGCTGGGTATTCGGCATCAACAGAGTCTATTGGAAGAGGCGGAGTCGTCATCAAGATCTCCGGTCATACTTGAATCACGTACTGCTCCAGCGCGAGGGTAATTTTTGACTCTCCTCGAGCGAAAGGTAATTCTCTGCCAGGTCGCATGCTTTGATGGACTCTGTTGAATCTTGATCATGCACAGATGCAATCCCATCCTAGTCGTCCAATCACACAATATGACCAACTTGAATCAACAGGTATGTACGACACATTCAGTTATCGACTCACAAAGGATATGCTCACGCGATACGCGTCAGCTCGGAGATCGCCTGCGCTTCGCATCACCCACCGAACGGGTATAACGAAGGTCCCATCTTGCATACAAGCCAACTCGTTGACATAGAAGTGTTGATTTCGCTGCCGGTCATTGTACATAGGACTCAGGATGTGCGATGGTACGTCGTGATGCCATTTCTGGGCATGAAAGACTTCACTGATCTTCCCGCATGGGTCGACAATGTAGCGCTCAAGGTGCGGAACGGTGAGTGGATTTGCATAGTCCTATAGTAGCAATTCAACTCGTGCTCAGACAACATTTCTCAGTACAAATAGACCTCACCTTTGCGACCAATTCGACAGGGTCGTTGATTGTGAACCGATTGCCACGAACTGAGACACAATCAAGCGACGCGACACCGCTCGAGCCTCGAAGCCGTTTCTGCACCTTTCGCAGCCGATCCAAGGATGGTACATCGCGCACTCCCATCTCCTTCAGAACCCACAATAGGACACGCATCAATGAGCTTGATATCCGTAGGCGGGGAAGATTATCAATCAAGTCCAAGAGAAACATCTGCAAGGTCGGACAAGAACAAAGAAGAAATGTGAGTACAGTATGTATGACTCTCCTGACGGAATACTCACCACTTTTGATTCATATGGAAGCCAACAACGAGTTGATGAGTTCTCCGCGTTTTCGGGCTGATCCAAAGGATGGCCATTTATCTCAGGTTCGTCATGCAACAGTGCTATACGCCCGAGTTAAAGTGTGAACACCAACTCGAGGGTGCCCAGGCTTACCGGCGTTTTTCAACAACTCAGCCAATATATCATCGCCTTCTGGATCGTCGCCCAACAACTCTCTAAGCATCTCATCGTTTTCCGTCTCTCCAAACCCGGTCTCTGCAGCTGCAAGCCGTGGATTCCATAGGCCGAATGTCTCGGCCTCGCGTTCAAGCCTCTCGCGCGTGGCTGTGGCTGCAGTGTCCGTGTCTTGCGCCAAGTCATCGATTCCGAAGTCAGCACCGTTCCTCTCAAAACCATCCCACATTGCAGCCTCTGCCGCGGTACGGTGTAACGAAGCCTGATATGTGCTGGGCCCAGACTGGGAAACATCGACTGAACGCAGTGTCACCGTTTCAGCTGTCCCCGCGGCTGCCCGAGCAGCAGACATCTTTTGTTGTATACGCCCCGCATCCTCCGCTTCACAAGCACGTCGGTGACCCAGAGAATTAAGGTGCGTCTTCTGAGACTCGCGTTTCATCCATGCGTTGCGTTGGAGAGGATCATGTGCCAGACATACCCGGCAATGTATCTTCTTGCCATCCTCCGATTCAGTGAAACCTCCAATTCAATGTGAGTCCAAACAGTCAATTGATCGGTCAATAGATGCTTACAGCCTGCGACCGCCTTGCGGGCTGAAGGCATAGTGGACTCTGCGCCTGGAGAATGTCCGCTACGACGGTCTGCAGTGTGTCGTGAAGTGAAGTGACCGTGGTTCTTTCAGTTTCAGTTGCTTAGCAACCTTCGCTGACAGCTTCACCTGTCACCTCGAGCTTGCGTTTCAGCCATTGTTCGTCGGGCGTGGCAAGCCAATTTGAATTGCTTGAAGACGAATTAAACCCGAGACTACCGAAGTGGATATATCAACAGTGAGGTGCGCCCGAACATAAATCCGCCCAAGTTCTCTCTCCATTTTGCTCACCAACTTCATCTTCAATCGTCTCCTTCACTGCCTGACTGAGCCATGACTTCGACACGCCATTCTTCTCCTGCAGACGGCCATGCTGACGTGTTCGACTCCGCAAGGGCTGCCATGGAAGAGGACACGCCTCCGACAACACCACGTCGCGCCAACAAACGACAACGTATGCAAGCTGGCCTCGATGACGAGGGCGTGGATCGTCCTCAGGATGAACCAGGTCTGACTTCAAGCTCGGAGCCTGCTGCCACGGTACTGTCAGCGAACGCGGCCACTGTGGAGGCCACTGTAGCAGCTGTCACGACTAGCTCTGGCAATCAATTGGCTTATGCCAAGAGGTACGGCCAACGCAAGGGGCTCCGAGGCGAGCAGCAGGCTGAGCTGGAGTCGTTCGCATTGGTAATCCTTATTATATCCTCCTCTGATACCAAAGACGAGCTGACAGTACGTCACTTAGAGCGACCCGGGCACGCGTCAAGTCAAGCTCTACTCGCAGGGACTACAACTCGAGAAGAAACTCGACAGCATCATGATGTCGATGCCTCCTTGGTCGCCATCGAAGGAGCTGCAGACCAACATCAGCCACTATGCTGTCGCCGTCATGCTCTCGAGCAAGATCAGTGCGTATAAAGGTCAAACCCCTGTTAACCATGTGTTGGTAAGTGAGTCGTGTCTTACGATCTACCGTCTCACAATGAATACGGTCAGGATATCATACGCATTTTGCGGTTCGACATACCGACTGGGATTGAGCGTAATGCTGCTAACTGGAAGAAGATCGTTAAGGCGGTGTCGGACGCCTTCACCGCGATTCGAGCTGCATTCAAGAAATTGGTACGTTCACTGCTGACAAATGTGCAAAAGCGGTAACTGACTGTCCCGCCTGCCAGCTTCGTTTGAGCACCATAGGCATTACCCCCTCAAACCACCAGACCATCTATAAGCTCACGATGGTATTGATCAAGAATACTAAGTGCGAGGCCAGCGTTCCGCTATGTGCCCGTGTTGCTCTCATGGTAAGTACTCAAATCATGGCTGATAGCTCGGTGATCTCATTTCATCTCTACTAGCGTGCGGTGTACATGGTCCGTGAGAATCGTGGTCCGCATTTCTGGGACCGAATCGATGATGAGCTCGCGGCGCTGCGCAAAAAGGCCGCTGGCAATGAACGCAAGTGGATCAAGTGCGTACTTGAGTCTCATTGCTCACCACTGTTCACGCCTCACACCTCATGTATCTCTTCAGGGGCTTGCGCCACGTTCTCGACAAGGATCGCAAGAAGCATGGACAGGACGATCATGAGGTTGACGACCTTGAGGATGAGGTGGATGAACTGCAGCAGGAGGTCGACGATATCTTAGAAGGTCGCTCGCATGCTATCAGCAATGCGAGTGCTGCTGTCATAGATAGTGCTCCGGCCTGACTCCGAGTCGGAGGGCGGATAGCTTCATGTTCTGTCGCCGTCGATGTATTAGCCAATTGCGCATGGTATTCATAATAGATCCTGATACAATGGCACCTATTGTACCAGGCCATTGCTACGAGGGAGCACTGAAACAAATAATATGGAAACCTATCTGACGTGCTCGTGGCAAGCAAGCCAGTCAGGAGGTTGCTGGTTTCGTGTACACCACCATAACAGTCGTGTGTATGCCTGCTGTATGAATTGCTATATTGTATATAATAATACAGGTGACAGTCGGCGAACTCGCTGCATGGGGATCAGCAAAATTGCCAGGCAGTGACCATCTGGCAATGCAGGTAAGGGAAAGGACTCTGACTACATGTATCGTACATGGGTTACAACGTAGGCGACACCAGGCCGTAATATATGGTGACCACATCGACTGGGTCCGGTCCGGAGCCATCCCCGATGAAGTCTGGCGTCCACATGGTGGCGATGCCGGCGACACATAGCCTTGAGGTAGTATCCCCAAGCCGGTGACTACCTCGCCACCACCCGTCGAAATTTTGGCGGTGTAGCGCGTCCTCCGGTCAGACCCGATTCATCGGAATGCTAATACTGTGCTTCTCACGGGATCCTCCTCCTCCTCCTCCTCACGGTCGACCGAGTTCTCCCTCTTTGTATATCCTCGACTTGTTGTAAATCCCCTGTCTAGCGTCTGTACCACTGGAAATGCCGCTTGCTAACAGCCAGGATTCACACTGCCGTTGGGTGAGTTCCTCTGCCTTGGACATATTAGGCCAGCTGTCCGCTTCTCCGTTCAAGTTAACATTGGCCCGAAGCATTTGACCATGTTCTCTGAAAACTGAGTAATGAGTACGTACCTCATGTCTTCGGGACCTTCCTAATGAATGGCTATATGACACCTCTGTGTCACCCGTAGGACATATACATCCGAACATTAAATCATGGCATGACATGCGCCGGCCCATCAGGTACAGCAGTGTCGGTCGAAGGGATGCTATTTCCATGCTCAGGCTCATCGATCATCATCAGAATGCCATGGCGGAGACAGGCTTCAAGCAGACTGGCATTCTGACGTTTACACCTAAAAGGTTTAGTGTCGGAGCTTCGGTCCTCTTGATATTTGCTCCCGCACTGTTCCCAGGAGGGGCCGTGTTTACCTCGGTACCCTCGTGTCGCCCGGTCTTCAATATGCATCCAAGATAACGTCCAATGTCGCGTCTACTCTGCCGGCGGGGAAGGCAAGCTCGGGATCCCACACTGGGGCCCGGGACGTCATACTTTGGGAGACCCCTGGTGGTCTGTCCCTCCACAAGTGCTAGCATGCCGCTCGCATGGTTTCATCTGCCCCTCACTTCTAGCTTGATCAACCAGCCATACGGCTGCCATGCACATCTATCAGCGCTTGTGCATGTGTACGAGCGAGCGACGGGTCAGCAATCGTACAGCAATCTGAGGATGGGTGCCTACGATCGCACGACGCCGTCCTGATCTGCGTATGACGGCTGACCCGCACGCGCTATACGCGTGTAAGTCGTCGGGAGACCAAGGCCACGGGTTACCCACTGTTTCTTTCCTTTGATCCGTCGAAACTGATCAACAGACAAGACTGCATCTGTATCAGTCCCGTTGCAGAGGTTTATCGATCGGTTCCTGGGCAAGCCGCACGTTTTCGAGTATCCATGTCGGTGGAGCGAAGGTGCAAGCAAGTGCCGGCAAACTCTTTTGATATGGCTGTCCAAAGAATCCGTGTTCGTTCCTCGGAATGCATATGCCGGCATCATAGTCGCCGCATAACGGTGAATCGATAGAGTTTGTTATTAGATGGGAGGTATGGCGGTAGAGCGGGACCGTCAATGCCGGTGTGCATTGTGTGGTCGCGGGGCTCACGCGTCCGCGTACTCGGAGACAAACTACGACGGTGGAGTACCTGGTAGGCATAGATCCGGATGCCATTACTGATAAGTAAATCCACCATCACTCGCATGCAATCCGGCGGTATTCGCAGTGAACTTTTCGCGTTGCATTCCTGCATCTGGTGTGCGACGATCGTCATACTGGATGACGAGCATTCACAAGCATCCGCAATCGATCCATCCCAAGGCTGTCTTCATCGGAGCGCTCATCTTTAGAGTGTGGGACGCCCATGCCCTGTCTACGAGCGAGTAGAGTTGTGGCCCGCAGCTCCAATTCGTGAGATCCGGGATGACTACGAACGTGGAGACAATGCCTCATGGGAGCACTGCATCGGTCGGTGAGTGATTCAGGTATTGTTCTCCTCTGTCTGCTGACCATTCAGATTGTCTTCGGCGATGAACGTCACGGATGTGTGGGTAACCCTTGCCGGAGACGGCTTGGATTGATGCGCCAGTTACATGCCGCTCAGACCGACGAGCCGCGTATAAAGCGACAAGGTGTTGGTTTCCGAAGACTCATCAGCACCTGTTGAGCATTCTTGCCCTTGTGTCCTGCTCCGACCTGAGCGTGAGTGCCTTCCATTGTCCCCTTGAGCGACTGAGACTGACTCTCATACCGTAGCCTTTGTCTCATCTCCGCCCCGTTCCGTCCTGCCGATGTTCCCGAACAACAGACAGCATGCAGACACTGGGTAAGATGATCCCTCCCCATCTCTGTACTCGTAAGACAGGCTCGCTCAATCTCTGTCCTCGGTACAGCGTGGCACATGTTCGCTGTACATGGGACGGCGGGATATGCGGCATCACGCTCGACGACTTGACGCCGTCCGGCGTTATGCGCCATCTTAAGGCGTTCCACTTCAACAGCCCTCTGAACGTCTGGGAGAACAAGAAACGCGGGGTATGCCGCTGGTGTGACAACTGTGGCGGTGGCGAGATGAATTACGAGAGCTTGGGCAAGCACATCGCGAGCGTTCACCTGCACAGCACGGCGCGCCCCTGCACGATTTGCGGCCGTCAGTTCGCGAGGACGGATACCCTCAGCCGACACCTGTTGGAGAATTGCCCGGGGGCATGACTGCCTATCAGACTTGCTACGGATGCAGATACCCCAGCTTAACGCTTGGCAAGCTCGCCCAGTCTTCTGTACAACACCATTGACTCTTCTTTGTATTGTGTACACTTGTATCGAATATCGATTCGTCACATCATATACAGTGCTCAGCACTATGAGTACGTCAATGAAGACCTCTGCGTATTGGTAAGTTCCCCTTCGTCTGCCTGAGCAACGTGTTGCCGCACTAGTCGTCTTTGATAAATAACGATTGGCTCTATCACGGCATGTAGCGTACACGAGCGCCCCCAATAAAGTCGCCAGCGACTGTAGAAGTATCATACACAACTTGGTAAACTCTTGTTTGATTGACTGCGGCGCAACTGTGATTTCGACGTTCAGACCAAGTTCATACGAAGTATGTCATGCTTACCATATCTCGCTAGCTAGTTTCCTCCTGCCTCGGCGCACGTCGGCAGTATCGTTCGACGTGGAGAGGCAAAAGCCCCTGCCTGCCAATGTCTCTATGGCAGTGAGGACACCGTATGCTGTGGCGTAGGTGCACGTATGAGACGTGCTTCCCAAAGCTAGCATGGGCCATCTCTTTGCCACAACCGCCAGCCCATTGGCAGTAACCCCTGCGCCGCTTGTTGAACGGTCTACAGGGATCACTGAGGTGCCACTCTCGCAGGTGGCGCATCATTCCCGAGGGAGATGTGTCGTCGAGCAGGATGCTGCAAGTACCCCACTCGCATATCGCCAGATACGGAAGCTCCTCAGTAGGATTAACGTCCGAGTTAGGCATGTCGCGTCCCGCAGTAGCAGTACTAGTGCGTGACGGGCCGATATTAGTCGCCGCAGAGTATTCTGAGAGGCGGGGAGGATGTTGGTTGTCAAACATGCTTGATGTAGATGAGTCTCCAAAGGTCCATGGATCAATGGAATTCGTGGGGTCTGTGGCGAAAGTCGTAAGCGCAAAGATAGATAGAGAGCATAATCGTACATACTGTTATACATCGAGAACTGGCAGCGAAAAGCTTGGCAACCAAGATAGACTAGACTGAGACCGCAGAGAGGTGGATGTCAGATGTGAAGAGTGTGCCAGCAGGCCTTCGAGTTCGAAGCTTATATGGTGACGGTCATAGTACTCTTCCACACTCTTGAGAAATTATGACACAGCTTGGCCATGGAACGCGTGGAGGATGACTGGCTTTGGGACTAGGACGAATTGAAGGTGAGATGAGAGCTGACCTAGACATTAAACAAACGAAAGCACAGCATCCGAGTCAGCGGGTGATCAATGGGCTCTACTAGACTGCTATCATATAAACATCTCACCCTCGTTGCTGCGTCGCAGTTGTGGTGGTCGGAAGCCACGTGGAACGAGCGTGGCTGGATCTCCCGATCTGAAGCCACAGGCCCGGCAGCGAACTTGGTTCAATATATGCTCACCAGTACTAGTGTCTTGAAAGTAACTCATCCTGCTGGCCATGGCTACTCTTCTTTCACTCTGCCTCTTCTCTCGGGAACCCTTGTCCTGTGTTCCTTCCTCGGAAAATCTTGCGCTCTTGTTAAATGAAGCCGAAGACATCCACGTTTCCTACGCGTGGCCAGTCGCGTACGTCAAGATCCGTCTTCGCCACCTCACGCCGAGGCTATGTGGTCCATACGCAGTCGGTCTGATTACCTCGAGTGATTTCCTCTAAAAACGTTGTCAGCGCATGTATAGGTCCCCTTCTGCGAGTCGTGCAAGTGTACGCGACTTGCAATTGGCGCCGAAGCTACTGCATCCGAATCCTGTGTGATTGACTTGACGCCACCACACGGCTGAGTCGTTGGCGCATTTGATTCGCGACTCTAAAATCGTCGCTGCAGGTGCGTTCAAGCTGTTGCGAAGAGCGGTGTTAAAGGGCGACGCGCTCGTTGTTCGGTGCCGTCACCACGCGCAGCGTCATGCAAGTGCATACCACAATTTTCTTGCTTCCATGGTCATTTGCGGCAGCTCGCTTGTCTCGAAGTTGCCTATCTTGTGCTATACAGCGCCGCCTGAAGGCAGTGGCGCTCGGGCATTCTTGAGGAGCGTTGCTGTGTTAAACAAAGCACGCGTATTTCTTGGTGAAGGTTCGGCGCGCTCGTCATGTCGCAAATTTTCCATGAAGGCGCCTCGCTCATGGGGCGCCTCAGTTCGCTAGTGGCAAGTATCCGCTGTTTCTTAGTATGTTTTTGTGCGGACAGGATGATCAATTTTACAGACTTCGTCCGTTTGATCGAAAGGGTCGATCTGTGCGATCATGAACTGAATGGTCCACAGTCCGCGTTGATCGACCTTTCGGTGTATGCACATGGACACTCGTGTCATACACCTGTGCCCCAATGTTGAATGTCCGTTGGAGACATCTGCTTATGGGGCGCATCAACGCTCTGACCTGATTTGTGCAGCTGACCTCACCAGGGCAACCCTGTCGATACACCTAGTATCTGGCTGTCTGGCTGAGCATCATGTTCCATTCATGAGTGTCTGTGATGGAGCGGCATCATAATTCATCGCTCAAAGTCATATGTCAGACTAGCAAGAAGACCTACATGGGTACAATCTGCAAATCGTATGTCCCAGTGTCGCCTTGAGCAAATTTCAGAAGTCCATGGTGCGTATCTGAGCGCCACATATCACGTAAAACTGCCTTGCTGATCAATGCACAGTTAGTCTAGCTACCATGTGTCCCGGCGGCGGAGCCTGCGAGGTGGTAGCGTTGCCCCTGTGGGATAGTGTCTCAGTGGATCCAGGACCTAATCACTGACGACAGAAACGCCTGGTCGGCCATCTTCCTCGACTGTGGAGCTAGCATCAAGTTCTGGTTTCTCACCGAAGTGGGGCCGGCGCAAAGGATGCATGTCCAACCGTGAAAAATCAGGTGCCGCCAGTTTCCTAACGGCGACATGGCCAACAGGACGACGGTCATTTGCGCAATAGATTCGATAGACGCAGAACGTGTGGGAGAAAGGTCTGGTGTGCTGCCCGCGCGGCTCTCGGGACTGGACTAGTTGGGTAATCAAGCTCCCGAAAGGTACGTACAACAGTGTTCTTTTCTCATTTCATACAAACATCACGTTTACAAACATTCACCGAGCCCTATTGGCATTAAGATGATGATTCTGCAAATTCCAGCTGACCTCATGTCCATTAGGCCGTCGCGGGATGCATGTTCCAGTGGTTTCCTGGCCTCGACATTTTCTAGACCCAACGTCAGGAAGGCGTGCCTATGCATAACCAATAAGATGTACAAGGCTACCCGTTACGATCTGAGTAACGGCGACCGCATTGCTAAGTGCCGCCGGTCTGCCTTGCTGCTCATTTTTACTGCAACATGCTTGATGCGACTTAGCCGGCAATCATGTCGCTGATGCTCGCTCGAAATGGCACGGAGCGGATATGCTTTCCTTTCTGTGTCCGTATGGGCGGCCAATTTGCCGGGGAAGATATAGAATCGGAGACGTAACCCGTGAAGCTTCATCGAATTGTCATTTTGGTCTGTACATCAACAGGCTGGCCGTCAGGCCCACGTTCCTAATCCTGTCACTCCTCGTCCATGCGTCACCTGACTATACCCCAGCACCGAGTACGGATGAATTCAAGCTGAACCTAGTCGTGCTTCCTGCACGGTAGATCCTGCCATTCCATGATAATCAAAACCCCTCCACGTCATTCAAAGTCCAGCCTGCCTCGGGAAGCATCCTTTTATGGGATCCGTTGTCCGAGGATGATATGGACGTCTTCGATGCAGGGCGTCGCGAGAATTGTCCGAAAAGGCCCTCGGTCTTCTGCTCCAGCAATCACCTCACAACTACTTCCGGAGTCGAATCAAATCCGGCGGGGCTGAATGGTAGAAATACCCGTCCTGGAAGCGTACTTAACTCATCCCCTCACGCACTTCACCGCCATGTCGCTTTACAGTATCCTCATATCCAACATGCTCCCCAACCACACGCCTCCATTCGACCACGACCTCCAGAACCCCGGCTCTGACTATCCATCTCTGCCGTCATATAGCGGTACAGTCTATACTAGGTTCGTATTCTCTCTGAGTGGCCTACTTCATTGCGTACCGACTCAGCTGCCAGCGACGACCTGTCCCATGTGGGATTTAGTTCGCATATTGATCCATTCGCGAGTACCGCCGGCCCTCTGCCTATCTCAGGCGCAGGCCCGTATGTCAACCCAACTTCAGCATCGACATGGACGCAAGGCCAAGGCTACCTACCTTATGGCAACGACCAGCAGACGCAGCTAGCCCCGTCTGCATCGGTGCCAGCGCATCAGTGGCAATTACCTACTGGCAGTTATCCCGCGGCGCATCAAGACGAACTTCAAGTATACGGTCAAACATTTGCTCCAGGTCACCTAATGCAGTCGTGAGTATCTGAGACGTGCACATCATTCTCCTCGAGCAAGTCTTGACCTGCGCCGGACAGACCGAGTACTAACATGGCCTACCATGGGGTAACCAGCATGCCCGCAGTGCATAGTACAATTCCTGCGCAATACCCTACGTGAGCAAGGATAACTTTGTCCGCGAGCGACAACTGACCATGTACTGCTCTAGAGAGATTGCGATTGGTCCCTCGCACCCTGCGCAATGGGATACAACCATGATGAACTCGTCTTCTGGTGGTGCTATCGGTCTGCAGTATGTTTCTCGCGCTGTCTTGTGCGATTCAGCTGGGTCTCAAATTCTATATAGGCAGAGAACGTACCCAGGTGCCCCACAGCAAGGGTCGTACTCGAATTCCCAGACGAGTAGCCTTCACAGCTCCAGACAGCCAGCCGTCTCGGGACAACGTCGACCTTCGCCAACTCAACCCACAACCCCAGTCTCACGAAGAAGCCCAGCTGACAGTCATCGGTCCGGACATACGCCAGAACCTCGACCATCCTCATCTCGCACTCCGCGGAGCTCGTCACAGACACCGTGCTGCTGGGGAGGCTTCTGTGGGACGTCTCTGAACACGCTCCCCATCGCGGCCATTTCACACCACCTGAAGGAGGCCCACATAGATCGACATACTGGGACGGGCGTGCGCGCGTCGTCTGTCAATGGACCAGCGGAGGTGCCCCTTGTGGTATGGAGATGTACTACGACAACGTCGGCAAGCACATCGCGGCGTCCACCTGGGGAGCACCGCGCTCGCCTGTCCCTATTGCGACAAGACGTTCTCCAGAGGCGACTCCTTGTGTCGTCATGTCCGAGAGGCTTGCCGCCATGCATCGTAGTCCTCCGCACATTGCACCAATAGGCATCGAGGAAGCGTCACGCTCGCTTCCGGATGGCCTCCATCTAGCGCCACCATAGCTAGATTGTACTCATCGCCGCGGTGGGACTTCGTATAGTAATGGCCTGTTTTGGTCAAAGTCCGGGACTTGCTCGTTGGTTGTAGTAGATAGTGTGTATACGTAGAAAGCACGTCTTCTCGACGAACTTCGTTGATAATAACTTCATGCGGCCTCCACAACTCGACTGTCGCCCATTGCGGCACGGCGTCTCATTGCCACAAGACCGTGACATGCACAGACACTGGCAGTTCATGTTGAGCAGCGCGCGAGGCCTCCACATCAGCAGAGCCACACTGAGAAACGAGGGGTGTCCGTCACTACGATGCGATAGGCCTCGGTAGACAGTGCATGCCGAGGTTTGCATGCAGAGCCAGCCAGCCTGGGAGCGCATGGGAACACCGTTGTAATCGGCCTCAGTGAATCACATGTTCTGTGTACTATTGGTATCGCTGGCGTCTTGTGAGAAATAAGAATCGAGACCTTCCATTCCGCTCACCTTACAGATCAGCCCTTCTGCGAACTCGAGCCTCAGGCTATAGCACTCCCGCGAGCCAAGATACCGCGACGGACGTAGACCTGGGATAATCACGGCGGGCGCTGTAGATCGCGCTAGATCGGTCATCCAGTCGCTCTTCACGGTACCGTACCCCTCGGTCCTCCAGGTGAAGAACTTCATGGGGTGCAATATCCGCCGTGGTCGCTTCGGTTTACGTGTGTTCGCGATGGGCTCGCCTTGTACGGGAGGTGAGCCACGGATCAGTCGAAAGTACTGCCCGTTTGGGCACTGCTCGACCGAGGTACGACGTGAGGACTAATGGAAGCCCCTCCTCCTCCTCCTCGCCTTCCGTTCTTAGCCCACTAGACGCCGTGGCCAATCGATCTCTCCTTGTAACATTGAAAGAGTTCAAGGTATGATTTATCACCGAAACATAACGACGCTGCCTCTGCTGACGGTGAACGCGGGGCCCAAGTCTTAACACATACACTAGCCACATTCAGGAATGCAGACCGAAAGACGGTCGACATCACTATGATCTACTAAAGGACCCTCTTCAAGTGCTTCGCGAGCAAGCAGTTCCATGATAAGTTATGGCACAAAACATACACGCTATGCATGTGGCTCGGTGCCTCCCCTTGATCGTCTGTGTCGCATCAAGTAGCGCTCGGACCGATGGTCCAGGCAGCAATTGCCACCGATGCCAGTAGCTCGACTGCCGCGATGGACTGGATCACTGGGAAGCAGAAGAAAACTTTGTCAATTGACTTGAAGCAAGTTAATCTCGCATGTCAACCTGCTGACTGTACACGAAGCCCCCGTGCAACTGATTCTCTGCCCACACCGCGGCTGCACCGCGGATTTACTCCAATGGGTCGCCTCGAAACGCCGGTTCGAATGACCGGGAATGGATACACACCCCACCAGGCCGCCTCATTGGAGAGATCCACAAGATGTGGTGAATGATGGCCACCAAGATCCCAAATGTGACCTCAATCTCTGTATCGAACGATCCCGCCGGTAGGGAAGCCTCCCCCATTGATCCGAGGCTCTTGGTACTAGGTACAACAGTACTTACCGATTGCGTCGGACAGGTGACGGTCTTCATGTTTTGGACAAAGCTGCATAGGCGATGAAGTGCAGGATCCTCCCCATCCGCCTTCGGGGGGTGGAGGGGATGATTCCGAGTACACAAATACAATGCTCATTCTCGATCCTAAGTCCTGGGTGGGGATAGGGACACAAAGCACACTTTGCGGTCTCGAAATTTTGTCCCTCTACCCCCCGAAGGCGGATGGGGAGGAGCCTGGATAAAGTGGCGAAGTCGACGTATACAGAAAGGCCGAGGCTTCTCGTAGGCGTTCGCTGGTAGTTCAGCGTCAGACCGTCATCTTGCGAACATCTGTACCGAGATACCATTTCAGTCCTTGAGGGCACGAATGGCGTAGCCCCAACTTACTTACCCCATATGTATAACCCGTTGAGGGCCTCTGGTCACCCGGCTGACCTTCGGAACAGTAAAGCTTTGGCAAGAGGCACCGTGACCCGCATCGCTCCCTAGGGCCGACTTAATGGCACCCCAGCCAGAAAGCTTCTTCAGGGCGTGGCAGCTGCGATACGACCCAGACCCAACAGCCTAAATACAAGGATATGCCGACGCATCTTCGAAGCGATGAGCGGGTACAAATACGTGCAATTCGAGAAGCCCTACGCTATGTAATACTTTTGAAAAGGAATGCACACCGTTGCGTCACTAGTACATAGACTGTTCAGACAGGAGGTGGATCTGATAGCATCAATCACTATACACAAGGTGGCCGAGGTATGGAGATTCCTCGACGACGCTGCGCCAGCCGACCACCTTCGAGAATACGGCAATCAAACCATGCAAGCCGAATGACGACGCGTCCATGTCTTCCTCAGGCCATTCTCCGCTAGGAACGCCGCGATACGTTCCATAGGCGGAGCTCCGGATGCCTTGCGCCTTTGGGGTGGCGACCTCGGGACGCAGGCTGCCAGAGAGACCCTGAGTGCTCGATCGGGGATGGTCCTGGGACACCACTACGCCATGCGTCTGGTGCTGGAGCGGGTATAACGACCGCGAATCACTTCGCGCCACTTAAGGTCGCTTTCTGGACGTGTGGGCTTCGGTGGTGGCGTAGGCGGGCGAGTGGCGTCGATGGGCGGAGCAAAGATTGGCTGAGCATCCAGGGTGCCGAGCTCTACTTGTTCCCACTGCGGGCAGACACATGTCTTCCACGGGCTCCCGCAGACGTAGCAGAACTGCATGGCGCAGACGCACGTCATATGATAGCATCCGCTGTGCAGTTCGATCATCTGGTCGCATGCGGGACACCGTGTCCATCCCCTTTGCGAGCGAGGTCGAGCACCTCGCGTTGGGAGCGATCGGCCTTGCAGACGTGCCGCTGGCCGGCGGTGGCAGGGCGACGGCGGACCTGCAGCTGCTGCACGTACGCGTGGAGCAAACGGCACAGTAGTAATTAATGGAGTCCAGCGAGTCCGTCCGAGGGCCCAGGAAGCGGCTGCAAGCAGGATTGAGCAGTAGACCCGGCGAACGGTGGAGAACTCTGCACACTTCTCGCGATACGTGCTCGCAAGGGCAGGCGACATATAACGCTTGAATAGCCTCTCGCGGATCGGCTGTTGACAACAGCTCGGGGGAACAGGACTCGTCATGGGTTGAAGACTCGACGAGGTGGAGCAGGCATCTACGTGGTAGTGGTGCCCACACCGTAGATGGATTTCGTTGTCGTGGATGATGGTTTGGCAGACGATGCAATCGTGTTTGGTTTTGCTATCAAAAGAATGAGCACATGACTCAACTCTGTTGAAGTGGGACACCAAGACGCACCAGATGTACGGCACGGAGCGGAGTTTATGTTTGACGCTTGAACATCTACGAGTGATTCGAGCGGCCGTAGGTGCGAGCAAGCCCGGTACTTGTCGTGAACGCCGCGCGAACCTGTGTCGAGGTTAAGGAGAAAAATCGTGCACGATAGGAATGACGACTTACCATCGAGGTAACTTCATCGGATCATTGACAGATAGTAGCGCACTAATCAGACTCGTAGGGTTTCCGCAATGTGGGTCTATAAGCACAGAGCACCGCTGAAGTTCGATATCGAACGCGTATAGTGAAGCAAGCTCATGATCTTCGTCACGTATCGCCGCCGAGACGCGGCTGGCTGGGTGTGGTCCGGGGGTGCGTTGGAACTTCACGTCCTCCAGACCACGCCCGGACGGGAGCGGCGCGCCAGCCACGTCGCTCTCGAACTGTTCAGCAAGCAGTCGTGCGACGAGGCCGAAGTCCTCGACGTAGTCGACCGGCGAGGGTGATGGGCGGCGGGGATCTGTTGAACGTGGGAGATGAAAGTGAGGCGTCAGCGTCATGTAGCGTGCAAGCGGGCGGGTGCTCGCGTTGAGGCCAGTATTATACTGACCTTATCATCGCCGTTTACACGTGTTGTCGACCGGTCAATCTGTGAAGGACGCAAGCTCCGTGCTTAATGAACTTGCACAGGCCCCGAACATGCTGTTCAGGCGCGTCAGCCCGTCGATGGTAGCCACCCACCCACCGGTGCACTTTGGTCCACCAGCTAGCAGTAACGCGTGTCGCGCACGAGCTATGAGCAGCGAAGGATACAAGAATGAAGGTACGATGAAGAGCGACACAGAGTTACCTTCTGGACGCCTCATACAGCCACTCAAAAGCGTTGTCTGGGCGTTGAGCATCAATGTCACCGTTTCCCAGCACGGCGTGGAAATGAAACCTTCTCCGTGATGACAGGTGGCCGGTCAGCTTCGCTGACGACAACCCCTGTCTACAATTGTAGCTGTGTTAGATCGTCCAGCGTGCTATTTGGAGGTCTTGGTGGACTCCGACGTCGGAACGATCTACTAGTCAGCAAGCTGTGGTACAACTGCGCGTTCTTACCACACGATGGTGATTGATAAGAGATGGCTATACGCCCGCATTAGAGATAGGAATGGATGATGTGCGCGTCCCGAGTTCATCATGCAAGCAAGATCACAGGAGTGGAAAACACAGGCATGTTTGATAGGTCCAAACCCGAGTCAGCGATGACTGCAGGAGAAAACGGAGGGTCGCCACAAGGTTCATGTTGAGAAAGAGCTGGTGGATGGTGATGCCCTGGAAGTCAATCAGCTGCGTCACGACCGTGCTGCGGCGATGAAGCGGGCGAGAAAACCCGGATAAAGGAACTGTGTTCGTTTGACCGTGTTGAGCAGCAGAACTGGAACGCAGCGAGAAGTGGGGGGATCACCTTGTCGCCTTGTCTGAGTCAAGCTCAAACACATCCTTGATTACTAGGAGTGATGACGATGTCCGCCCTCTTCCTTTGCTGCGGTCGTGCGTCCACCGAACCCGGTACGACGGTCGGTAGTCATCCGACTCATCAGACTCTCGCAGTGCATCACTCCGTAGTGCAAGTGCATGCAGGAACCTTGATAGAAGTTATTATGTGTGTGGTTGTGATGGGAAATACGACTTACATCGCGACTCCACTCACATTCGGGCGGGTCCAGTCCAGGTCCAGGTGGTTGTATACGATGATCAGGGATACTGACTGGTCGACGGCCGGCCAGGCCATGCCATCACGCTTCGTCCGGATGAGCATCTGGCATTCTCCCTGAGTATTATATTCAAGGGCCAGTGTACTCAAGCCAGTGGATCAACTTTAAGCACCGGCCCTCGGATTCGGACGTGCGAGGCGCGAAAACAAACGCTTGCTGCGGCGTCATGACTGCGGATCGACCGAGGATCATATAAGTATCAGACACTCAGCGTTCAGATGTTCAACGTCCAACGCTCAACACAGACCATTTGAGACCACTCCCTCGTCCAGCACGACTTGACTCACGAACTTGTCGTGTACGGAGCTGGCATCATGGTGAGACACTCGGCTATCCTACCGCTTATCAAGAGGAGTAGGTCGTGGGGCCCCAACTTGAAGCGCATGTACCATTTCCTTCTGGTAAGTTATGTAGAATGCGAACATCCAGCTACAGACGGAAGTATCAGCGTGATCAGCGTCACACGAGGTAGTCAATTGAGCAGCCGAAGAAGACTGGCAGTACGGGTCAGCCATATAGTGTCAGCCATGTGCCCCGGCTTTGGCCGCGCAGGGTTCTGTCTCCGCCAAGCTCAGGCTGGCACGAGTTGCGACCTTTCGCTTCCCACCACCTCGACGCCCTCGCTGCAAGCTTCAATACTCTCGCAAAATGAAGTTTTCCACCACCTTCGCGACTCTTGCAGCCATCGTCAGCGGCGCGACCGCCCAGCTCTCCATCCTGAGTCCCGGTGGATCGGACCTTTGGTGGGGTGCGTTGTCCGTCCGGTGCATTTTGCGTCTCTGACTCTGATTTTGCTCAGTCGACAACGAGGTTAACGACGTTACGTGGACCTGTCCACGTCTCCGTACCAGAACTTCACCGTTCTGTGAGTTTTTGTCCTGCCGCATCCGTTCGTGCTAACAAATCAACGACCCAGCCTCAACAGCTCGAACTCGAGCATCCTCGCGTCACCTACGCCTTCGTCGCCGAGCAGCCCAACTACCAGTGCTCCGTCGAGATCTACGCCACCCAGCTCGCAAAGTTCCCGCCTGCGACCGGCTACACCATCATTTCGCCAGCATCCTCAACAGCTCGGACGTACGTTTTTTCATAACTTGCGCGCGCGAACAGGGCTGACGCGGCTCTGCAGATCTACGCACCAGCCAGCCGTTCGAGATCAAGCCTGACAACTCGGCGTACCCCGCGTCGACGGCCACTCCGACGGGCACCGGCAGCGCGACGGCCTCGGTGAGCGGCACGTCCTCGGCGAGCGGCACGTCCTCGTCCGGCTCGAGCGGGCAGTCGAGCGGTGCTGGCGCGTTGGTCCCCATGAGCGGCCTCGCGATGCTCGGCGCCGCGCTGGGGCTCGCGATGGCTTGATCTCCCTGCCGGCATCTTGGACTTGGCATTGGACTCGCGGGTTGCACGTCGTCGGTTTATGTGCTTATAGGACTCTCCCCTCCTCTTAGGACATTCGAAAGTCGTTCTCGTTGCTTAGGGCTCTCTGCTTGTACCACCCACGATCGTTATACCATACCGCTCCTTTAACTGTCCGAATAGCTCCTTGCGTGTGATGTCCAATCCGACCCCTACGTTGAGGTGAAAGCCAAATGAAAGCGGTGAGTACTGCACCTGGCAGTCACTGGACGTCGCGTGCGCGGCTAACATCCCTACAGCCGTTTATCGGGTGTACACTCAGGACACCCTGCATGGGACACTTCAGAGAAATCATCATTTTCTCCACGGACAAGGCCTCGCGTCGAATGAACACATGTGGCCCATAGAGCACAAAATCATCTTTCCAAGATGCCTCTACGTCGTAGGAGAATGATGAAGAACGCTTTTCACTTTCGAAGCCTTTTCTGCCCCAGGAAACGATGCTATCTTTACTTTACAGTCCTAGTGCTACGTGCCAGAGCAGGCCTTGGGTGTAGTTTTACCGACGTGAGTTATGATGCATATGGCCCGGACGGTCAACGTGACACTTGCGCATTCAAGTGACGATCGACTGTGCGAAACCACTGTGTTTAGCGGGCTAGGGCAAGATTATGCACGTCCGCCAGATTATATCTTGACCGTATTCATACCTGACAGGAAAGAGCGTGACACATACAAAAGCATATACAGCAATGTACGCAGAAGCGAAAGAACAGTCCATATTCGTAGCGAAGGGAAGCGGGGGCACGATTCGTGATCAATGTTCGATGAGTAGCGTGGTTCGGGTGAGTGAATGGTGTGCTGCGGGTCGCTCACGGCAGCGCTAGCCAGAGGTCGAGCAGCTTGGGGAAGTTCGGCGTGCCCAGGCCGGTGACGGGGTCCCAGCCTGGCTGCGCAGAGAAGCCGTCCGTACCACAGCCGGGGTTGTTGCCCGCGGTGATGTCGTTGAACGCGCCAGTGAAGTTGGAGCTGTAGATCTACACAAGGGGTGGTCAGCATTGAATAATGCAGTGGGGTCGCCAAGACTTGCCGTAGGGTTGATGAACCCGATGGGGCTCTTTCCGACGGCGAGTCGGGCGTCGTTCACGCCGGAGAGGATGGCGGCTGCGACAGGGGCCGACGCGGAGGTACCCGCGACGAGCTGCGTGCGCCCGTTCGATACGACGGAGTAGTTCAGTCTGCACCGGGTGTCAGCTGATTGCACGCGAGCACACGCGAGACGTACCCGTTGAGGGCGATGTCGGGGAACGCGCGCGAGATGCCTGACGAGTTGTACACGTCCGGGGCGTACGCCGGAGGGTACGTGTCCAGGAAGTTCTGCACCGCGCCCGCCTGCCACTCGGGGAGCCCGAACACGTTCGAGAAGCCGCCGCCGGAGTAGATGTTCTGGTCACACGCTACCTCCGGGTCGTCCACCTGCCAGACGGTCAGTACGCATTTGTGTTCTGTGAAAGATACGCACGGTGTTGCCGGGGGATATCTGCGTCGCGCCGACGCTCGTCACGTACGGACACGTCCCGGGGAAGCCGGGGTCGAATCGCGTGCCGGAGTAAGACTCTGCGCCGTTCGCGTCCATGCACTCGCCGTTGCCTGCGACGCCGTTGTCGCCGGAGGAGAACAGGAAGGTGACGCCCATGAGACCAAGCTGAATGTCTGTCAGTGTCATTTCAGTCGTGGACAGGATGGCCCACCTTGCCGTACTCGTAGCACTGACGCTGAATGTACGCCGAGCCGAGAAGCGCTTCGGTGTAGCCGTACGAGGTAGAGATGATGTTGGTCAGTGGAGCCGTGCCGCAGTCCTGACCTGCAGCGCGAGGTCAGCGTGAATTGCGAGCCAGCTTGGGACGCATGTACTCTTGTAGTCGGAGTCAGGGTAGATGCCATCGAACGAGCTGTTATCACCACCATCGTACGTGCAGTACGAAGCGTCCAGGGCATCCAGGAAGTTGTTGAACGATCCGCCTGTGGTTCTGGTTAATTGGATGTGCATCGTGACAAGGGCTACGAGAACTTGCCCTCGACAAGATCCCCAACTTGGTATAGGGTGACATTCTGCGTAGGACCTACGAGCGCCATGGCGTACTGAAGGTCAAGGTTCGCCTCTCCGTTGATACTGAAGCCCTGGAAGCTCGTCTGCTCGTAGCCTGGGGAATGGTTAATGAAGATAAATCACACTGTATACGAAATAAAGCAGAAACGCACCGCCGTCAACGCTCACCAGAGCCGGTCGCTGGCCGACCTGACTTGATGAATAGTTTCCAAAGAACATGTCCATGTCCGCCGGCAGATACGCTACCGGCGTGTATTCGACTTCGGAGAATGCGTTAGTCTCCGTGCTCATGCGCAGTATGCATGCATACCAATGCCGATGCTATTCTTGTCCGTTGCAACAGGTGTGTAGTCGAACCCATATAGGGCACGGAGACAGTCGGGCGTAATTTGCTTGTCGCACCCAGTCAGATCCTGGTTCGTCAACGCAGAGTCAATCTCGCCAATGAGCTTCGGGGTGACGATACCAGCGCCCGGTTGACCAATAGACTTGTCCACCGACCGCTTCCTGCCCATGTGCACATCGAAATGCAGAGTCGGCATGACCAGATCGACATGCTCTGCAACATGCTCCGGGAGATGGTACTTCTCCACGCAGGCAACGTGCTCGACGTCGCTCTCGCTGTGCTGGTAGACATGATATTCCGTACCGAGCAACAACTCTGCTTCTGCGACAGTCACATTGGCGTGGACCCAGCTACCACCCTTGCTGAGCTTCACCCGACTCGCCTCGAGACCCTCATCCTCCAGCCATTCGAGCACGGTTTTGACGGACGCGGTAGAAGGCCTGAACGTCTCTGCGACTTTTGCAGCGTTCCAATGCTTGCCATAGCAGGTGACTCGGGGTGCGATACTTCAAAGAGGTAGTCATCGAGACTTTCGAGGTTGGGTTGCGCGAGACCAATACGGAGGGGGAGAACGACGTCCCATCTGCGCGCCTTACGGGCGTCCATCCAGACGGAGATGCATCCCGCTTCTCGTGGACAATACGGGGCGAAACGGTGGCCGTTGCGATGAGCGAAAACGTGAAGAAAACGAAGGACTGGATAAGGAATGGCATCGTCGTTGACGGCGACGAGGGAGATTCGCCTCTGCGCAGCCGGGCGACTGCTTGCCGACTTCTTATGGCGTCCGTCCTCGAGGCTTGGCTCATATTGTACTTCCCGGTAGATCCGTGCAAGCAGATGGGCCTCTATCAATGAAAAGCGACATCCTGATTCAGGACGTAGCTTTCGTCGGCCAAGTTTGGTCTAGCATCTGAGAAGCAGCTCGGAAGCAACTCACAAGCGTCCCACTTGCGTCCCACCGTGATCAGTGCGTCGTCCCATGGACCGTGTCTAGAAATCGCCGAGATCCATAGACATAATACTCAAATGCTGGGTACGACATATGGACACTGATCATGCCTGAGACGGCTGCTACGGCCGATTGGATATTAAGAGAGTTGGATGGAGTCAAGTCGCCCTACGTTCCGTCGCGACACAGGCTGCGGGTATTGTCGACACGAGGAGTTGAAGAAGACTGTTGAAGACCGCGGAACGTATTTAAACAGTGAGAACAGTCTGCAATACATATTACTAGAGCCTGGCCGCCCCTGGGAGGTGCATAAAAATCAGTATGTTCCCAGGGGGAGTCGAGCCCCCGTCTCCACGGTTAAGTACTTCGCTTCACCTACGACCACAACGTGATGATCTGACCACTAATCGATGGGAACAGCAAGAAGAAAACAAGCTGTATGGGCCATGACATTAGGGACGTTCAGAGTTCGCTGTCCGGGCAGCTATCCCGCCAGCTATCCCGTCCAGATTTCCGAGGCTCGACGCCGGCAAACGCCGACAGCGAGCCCAGCTGTGATCGCGCTCGCGACAGCAGAGGGCTCACTGTCGGCACGCGCGCTCGGCAACCCGTCGGAACCTGAAAACAAGTGGCTCACCGAGGAAGCCCTAACCCTACCTTACTAGAACGCCTGGTCGGAGATCCAGGTGAGGCGATCTCGGCGAGCGGTGGCCCACATAATAAGCCAATTGAGCGAACAAACCTGTTTCTTGTAGATATGTTTGTGATGGTCGAATAAGCTATGGAACATTGTGTGCGATATGTCGAGTCAAATCGTATTGTTTGTTCGGGGAGTGAACGCGGGCGGCTAAGCGATGTACCACGCATGTTACGAATACCAAATACGGAATTACTGATCACATAACGTCACAGGTGAGTGACCATGCTTTATTCTGCGCACTTGGTATCGATATGTGCTGAGTCAACAGCTGCTATATAGAATATGAGCTATGGTAGTCTCTGTAATAAAAACGGAGTAGTACTCAGCTAGCGGGGCGACTGTCACACTGGTTACGTTAGCCACACACTCACCAAATTTAGTAGTTGTCACACGGTGATTTACTGGTTGACGAAGACAGATAGCTTATATGAGCCGAATGTCCGAAATCTTATGGTTAAGTAGGATGGTGCCCTTTCGAGCAAGTGTCTACCAGCAAAGTTCAGGACAGCTATATTCTTGCATGGCTTGTTAAATTTCTAGTAAGGTATGTAGAGCCCGAGTTACAAGGGTTAGGGCTTCCTCGGTGAGCCACTTGTTTTCAGGTTCCGACGGGTTGCCGAGCGCGCGTGCCGACAGTGAGCCCTCTGCTGTCGCGAGCGCGATCACAGCTGGGCTCGCTGTCGGCGTTTGCCGGCGTCGAGCCTCGGAAATCTGGACGGGATAGCTGGCGGGATAGCTGCCCGGACAGCGAACTCTGAACGTCCCTATTGACGATATTCTGACTTTCAGTGACGGGAACATAAGGTTTGGCGCACATGGCATTTCAGGCTCAGTCGGAGAATGCCGTAACTCTCCCGCCACCGCCGACTGATCACACCCTCCATAGCGACCTCAACGTCGTCGACAACGCCCACATCAAGAGGTAAGACACAACCGAAGGTGAGTCTTTGTGTAGTTATACCCTGCATCCATTCCTGAGGTAGCTGGGGGTGAAATACGGTGGCAGAATGGATGGATGGCATTGCTCTTGTCCGGATGTCAGATGGCTCATCCAATCCCTCCATAGATGCCTTTCCAAGAATACCAGGTCGTCGGGCGTCATCTGCCGACTGAGTCGGAGCCCTCTCCCAAAATTTACCGCATGCGCATCTTCGCGCCCAACGAGGTTGTTGCAAAGTCTCGGTTCTGGTACTTCTTGAGGTACGCACTGTTCTCTATATGGCGTTACGTGGTCGTACCCATATCGCGCTCCAGTTACTAATTCTTGTGTACAGGCGTCTTGACAAGGTGAAGAAAGCCAGTGGCGAGATCATTGGCGTCAATGTTGTTAGTAGACCCTTGCAGTCGTTCAAATGGCAAGCGGAATGGGAGCTGACCGGCGCCGCGTATGGCTGCCCCCTTAGATCCACGAAAAGAAGCCGCTGAAGGTCAAGAACTTTGGTATCTGGCTCCGCTACGACTCCCGCTCTGGCACCCACAACATGTACAAGGAGTTCCGTGAGCTTAGCCGTACCGACGCTGTCAAGTCCCTCTACCAGGACATGGCAGCGCGGCACCGTGCACGTTTCCGGTCGATTCACGTGCGTGCTGTCTCCCATCCTACACCCAGCGGCTGCCTTACCGTTGACATTAGATCCTCCGCGTCGTTGAGATTGAGAAGAGCGACGACATCCGCCGGCCGTACATCAAGCAGCTCCTTACGCCGAGGCTCAAGTTCCCTCTTCCCCACCGTGTGGGCAAGAGCCGCTCGACCTTCGTCGCTCACCGCCCCGCGACGTTCTAAGCTCGCATACTTTGGTGTGGTATGTATCTCGGCTTGGAGATCGTTAGTGGAGAAAAGTGATGGGTTGTCCTACTGGGGCGATTCCGGGACATGGCATTCGCTGTCTATCTACATGCATTATGACGATATGATTCTGGCACGCATGCCACATTGTCTTGGTCTTTGAAGCCTTCGATCACGAGGCGGTCGTGTTCTACAGCCGTCTGCCTCCCTCTGCCTCTCCACGTCATAGTGATATTTCACAAATGGAGATGAAGCGATGCCAAGCGTCGAAGTCGACTGAATGCTCCTTCCACACTACTTGGTATAAGCTGACCACATTGAATGTTGTCGATGATGTCCTAGGTCTGGTATGTTCGTCTGCAGCCCTTCGTGCCCTCTCAGGCTCACAGAAGTTATGATGTGCTGGAATACATGTAGTGACGATGTCCGAGTGATGAGGTGTGTGCCCTCATATTGCAAACTGGTACGCTGCTTAGCGTCTAGGCGGTTGCGCCAAGAGCATGAGCAACTGTGACTTCCGCCTTCCGAGGAGCCCAACGTCTTGGGACATGCAAATCGCCGTTATCGTCGGTAAGCAAGATATTCATTGTGTTCATCTCCGCGCTCATTTGCGACCGCCCTCTCCCACTCAGAGGTCGCGACTGAAGTCTGCCTATGGGAGACTATCCTTGTGTAGACTGTGTTGTACACCACCATTCTTGTACGCACCCAGGGTCTAGTTCGTCGTACTTTGATTGTTCATATCACCGCTTGCTCAGTAGCTGTGACTTGTTCAGATCGTTCGCAGCGGGAGAAGATCACACGGCACCTCGAATTAGCAACCGCCCGCGGACAAGTCGGTTCGCGCCTTCAATTCAATCTCATAGCCTGTCATTCAATCCGCAGGACTATCTCACGTAATGGGTGGACCACATGCTTAGTCTCGCGTGTGTGCACGGTCGATCCGGCGTGTATTCCACGTGTACAGAGCCGCCGATATATATTAACGGGTCCGTGTTCGCTCGCTGTAGCGATTCCTGCCCACAACTTCCACCTTGCACTCGCACTCCATCAGGTTGCCGGGCCACGGTTGTCACCAGTATGTCTAAGGCCACCATTGCTCGCATCCCCAATGATGCGGGGCATTTGCAGGTTGGTCTTCGAACGTAGTGCATGTGGACATCTGATCATATTGAGATCTGGACAGGATTCAGCCGTGAAAACTAGGAAGCGCGTATTCAAAGTGTTCCGGGCCCTGTTCAAGGTGAAGTTTCCATGTTCTGGATGTCACAGTTTGGTATTAACAATGCATTGAAAAAGATACATACACTGTGAAGTATACACTCAGCCATTGATGAGCCTACTCACTAATCAGTTTGCTGCAGTAGCATTGCCATGGCAATGCCTCAAGAGCTTGTGGACTATATCATTGACTTTCTCTGGGATGAACCTGTGCAGTTGGCCAGATGCTGCCTAGTGAGCCATGCCTTCTACTCTGCTGCAAAGTACCACATCCCCAGAGAGGTGGTTGTACAGAATGCAACCATCCTTGGTGCATTTGTACACATACTTGTGTCTAAGGAGAACAAAAGATATTGTCAAAGTGTAGAAACACTGAGCATCTTTGAGCATCCTGCAAGGCCCTTTGTGCACACCTTCCCCATCCGTGTTAGGGGCTATTCTATGGCCAGTTTGCAATTGCTGAGATTTCATGGCCTAGCCTGGAAGTTGGTTCAGCCTCATGTACAATTTTTCAGGCTTTTGTCCTACTTCACATCTGTATTGGAGCTGTCCCTCACAGAATGTCACTTTCAGAGAGTTGAGCTAGTTCTGAGGATGATTGATGCATTGCCCCATCTTGAGAGACTGAAGATGACATGTGTCACATTTGCAAGTCCACATAAAGCAGCTATGCCATGTGCAAGTTCATTGTCCAAAAGCCTAAGCCTCAAAAACATTGCCATAGTGGGATGTTATGGCAATGGATCTTCTGTGAGGCCCTTTGACCCTAACCTTTATCAAGGCATACTGGGCATATATATTGCATATCCAAACATTGAGAAGATAAAGATTGACTTGACCTATTTCCTCTCATATGTTCAGTTCATGCAGTTTGTATCTACCTGCCACTTTGCACAAGAGGTCCATATCATTGGTGAACCCAATTGGGGTCATGCGGACACAGTCAACTCAGTTGACATACTGCCAATCATACTGGCCACAGGTAGCACAGCACCTGCACATGTCAGGATTGAAGAAAGTTCATGTGCATGCATATCACAATTACTGGACTTGGCAAGCCTGTATTGCCAATTTCAAAATGTGTACATTGAACTCAAAGAGAATCCATCTGAAGAGTTCCAGCTACAGCTCTTCAACACATTGCAGACATCTGGCCCTCCACAAACCTATTTGGCATGGAGCTCACTGGAGCATGCAAGTGAGTATATTTGTATTTCAATTGACCAAAAGAGAACTGATTGATTTTAGATTATCTCTTCCCTGATGTGGTTGCCAACATGACAAAGAAATCCTTGTTTGCTTTGTTTGCAGAGGTCCCACTGAGCCAACATTGCATCCAACAAGCCCTGATGTCAATTTTGCCCTACACTCCAAGGTCATGGGTCAATGATTTCCATATTACATTCAGCCTACAAACTCCCATTGGCTCCCTTGAAAGCCTGGATACACTGGTGGAAGAGCATGCCTCTGTCAATGTGCTCCATGCAATGCTTTGGCAACATCCATTCTGCATCCAGTCAGTAGATGTGCACATTACATTTGGGTTCACAGAGACAACACCAGCTCTCCATAATGATAGTATTGTAGCTGCTATGTCTGCACTTGTCACATCTTTTGTGATACTCCTTTTCAGACCATGGATAAGGAAGGGCATCTTGACACTTAGATTTCCTGATGGTTCTGAGATGATACCAGGAACCTATTCAATATGATTCTCTTGTATAACTTTGACAAAGTAATGTTTGGTGATTACAGACTAGATAGAACTTGGTTCCAGATGTACATACATGGTTTGAGTGAAGTATCATATCTAATTCTCACCATGGTCTAGCTTTTCACTTGTCCAAGGAAGGTGTGCATATTGATTACTTTTGAAGAAAGCAACTTGTGATACTTGAACTTGGCCTTTACCACCACATTGAACTGTAGCACAGCAATCCACCTTGTAGATCCTATAGCATTGAAACATTATGACTATCAATACACTTAAGCTAGATACACTCTACATGATGCCACAATGTCCTTTGTCCCAGGTCAAAAGTCAAACCCCACTGATAGGGCCCCCGCTGCTACACCTCGCCATTATCCGTATTGCGAACTCGCGGGGCCATCTCTATGTCTTCTGGCTGGTCCAGCACGTCGTCCGGCACCATCGCCTCTTCGTCGTCTCGACGGTCATGGAAGGAAAAATCCCTGGGTATCGGCACCGAAACGATGTCACCGTCATGCATGACTATCCGCGACGTGAATAGCAGTGTCGTCGAGGTTTCGCTACTGCCAGTGGATCCGGCGTTGGTGATAGTCGGGGTCGAGCGTATGCCGGCGCTCTCATGCAGGTTGAGCATGAGGCGCGACATCATCGTCACGGAGACGCTGGACTCGAAGTTTGAGGGCACGCTGAGGTGATTAGGACGCTGGACGTACCTGCTGGCGAAGGTTGAGAGGACACCCCTTAGTAGCGGCTAGGTATATATCAGAACGCCGCCGATCGGCCTTCACGAATAGTATTTTTACCTGCAGCAACTGGAAAATGGTTAGCAAGCGCGGGTTGCATCGAAAGGGGGGCAGTCTCACGTAGAACGTCAAGGTGTTTGCCAAGTTGACGGATGCCATTACGCTGCGATTAAATGAACGTTGGTCCGGGCTGTCACTCTGGGAAAGCTCGTCCTCACGCGAAGTACATGGCGCCTGGACTCGAGTCAGTGAGAGCCGGCGTGCAATTACGTAGAAGTCTACGTACCATCCCGCGATATGAGTGAGAGGAGGTCGAGCTTATCGGTCCGTGACGAGTGGAGCAGGCGTGTCTTCCACGTCTTGTACATTGTCAACGAGAAGATCATGAGGTCGAACACGAAGAGGGATTCCCATGCGACTGCAATACCTGTAAAAAAAAAAACAGGTAATCAGAATGGACTTGACGCACGACGACGCAGGGAACTTGACGCACGGATAGCGCTTCAGATGTCATAGTACCGGCGATGATCATACATGTGAGCACGCGGAGAAAGCATTGAAGGCAATATCACATACGTTTTCCGGGCGGCAGCTGTGTGACAGCCTCCGCTCAGCGAAATGCTCTCGCGCTGTCCGTTTACAGCGTACTGTGACAACGGAACGGTCAATGGTCAGTATATATGCGCGCCACGCATCAGGAACATCTACACACAATGGCAAGACCAGCGAGGGAAAGGCCAACGGCGACGATTGATCCGGTGACGTATTTGTTTCGGTTGTAAAGAGCGGACGTCCTCAGAGTCAGTATGACTGTGTCCAGAGTGAGACTGAAACCATTGGATTGCATCGAACTGAAGGACTCACGGCCGACGACTACCTGGGCGACGATTAACAGAGCCTGTCTGTAGAACGCGTACTGACTGCAGCTGCAGTAAACCGTTCAGCCGTGCCATGCAGCAATGTCAATTGTCGAACCTCTACAATGTGGAACATCATTAGCGCGAGCGAGAAGAAGAAATTTGGGCATACTCACGTGAGTTGTTTTGAATGCGTAAAAATTGCCGACGTTGACGGCGATATCCTGGAAAACATGAGTGGGAGTGGACGCGATCGGGACTAGCAGGCTTACACCGAGGAAACTAAGGTAACGGTTCAACAAAAACATGTAGTTTCTTCGCGTGCCAGTGGGGTGCTTCCATATTCGTGAGTACTCGGCTCCGAACGTCAAGGCGTAGTCGTAATAGAAAATGGCTGACGGACAGCACAGACGCCAATGTCAGTGTTCTGTGATCAACGGAGGAGAGGTATGATGTACTTATGCCAACAAGGTGTAGGTAATTGTGGAGGAAGCTGCGAGTAGGAGCACGTCAGCCATCGGTCAAACAGTTACCGCGGAACACGAGGCATGACAGACACTTGGTAGCGTTCCGCATCTGGGTTGTCGGGGTATACATTGCTCATCGTCAGGACGGTCAGCCAAGCCTCCTAGATGGCGGTTCGAGCCAGGAAGAGCTAGACAACATATGGTGTGGACGCGAGTGAGAGCGAAGAGGCACGGACATGACAAGGCTTCCTTATAGCGGCGTAAAACGAGGCTCGCCCTGGCTCGTCTGAGATCGAACGCGCGATCGGCTGCTGTAGTACAGCTGACATACTCAGCTTGATTGCATCATCTTACCGGGCCTATCGCAGGTGGGGAACCTTATGAGGACCAAGGCACAACACTGGACGAACGCAACGAGTCAGCGCCACAGTAGGCTACGCGTGATGCGCATTGGCTCAGGCGCTTCCGTGCCGCGGACTGTCTCGCAGGCTGACATTTCGATGCCGCGCGCAACCATCTACTACGTGACACCAACGTCGCACAAGCGAACACAATATCCCGCCCATCACCCTGTCGTCGAAGAATATGATATGAGAGTCGTCGTCGACCGGTCTGCTTGACGACATTGACACTGGCTGGTATTCTCGGGGTACAAAAGAATCCATGAATACCGCCGCGCCGGATCATCCTCGCGTTCCAGGGCAACTGCAAGGCCAGAACGGCGAACAAGCTTTGTGCCTAGCAGGTCAAAAACTACCTTTGGTCAGACCGGAGTTAGTTGTCTGGAATGCCGACCGCGCCTATCCGAGGTGTTGGACCTTCGTACAGCTTGAAGTGGTCCTGGCGATGGCAACACCCGTCCCGCTGTCTGTGACTATTACGAGGGTCAACGGACGTGCCCCAAGCCAAAAACCAAGGCTTGACTCACCATACGAACCGTCTTGCACGCTAAGACTAAGCGATCTCCACAACAAGCAGAATTGTAGCCCATCAAGAATGAGCATCAAGACCTCAGATGCGTCCTCGATTGCAGCCTGGCATTGGTTTGACAGCTTTATGACAGACAGCCTTGGCCGATCACCTAGATCAGATGCCATGTCAAAGGAGAAAACATTTCGCACTGGCGGCCATGGACGTCGGAGGCCCATCTTGCACATCGTAGTTCTGTAAGCCAGACAAGAACCCCGTTCTCGCAACAACATCTCTTCGCTGTTTGCACTGCCCTCCGGAACTGGATAGACTCGACGAGTGACAGCGACGACACCTGAAACGTTGGGAACCGGCGACACGGGGTGTATCTGGCCGCTAGCAGAAACGCTATCGCTGACGGCGTCAGCCTCGTCAAAACTCTGACGAGGCGCACGTCCGGGCAGCATTGAGAGCATCTCACGGACTTGACAGCGAGATGCCTCTTGCGATCTGCGAATCCATTCGCGGTAAAGGGTCTGGACAAATTTTCCTTTTGCTGTGTGGGTACCGGGCCTGACACGTTCGCGCGACCGAGACCGTGAGCAGACAGACAGCGACGAAGAAAGGTACGGCCATGCCTGATCCATCGCCTCTATATATACCATGTCCGAGGCCTCGCAAACGGTATCCGCGGCTCTGCTTTCGTGGGGAATCGCGGAGAAGCGGCCGCAGAGCCGAGTTGTGGCGATTAGCAAATCGTGATATGAACTTCGGGGAGCAGGACACTGACCACGTTCAGGGCACAGCGCGGTCGTGACAGAGATGCGCCGAACCATCTATCACCTTTCAATCGTGCCGGCGGCGCAGTGATTGCTTCGTGGGTCTCCTTCTCCTTCTGGAATCTGCCAGGGCATCGCGCATGTTCCGCTCGGGAGAAGGCCAGAAGGTTGATGACTGCACGGTTCCACGCCGTTCCACCAGCACAGGGATTGATGGGAAAGTCGGGGGGCGGTGGCTGCACGCATTGTGGAGTGAGGCTTTGGACGGCATGGGCGGTTGTAACTAACCTTATGACCGAGCGGTCATATCGCCACGCGGGCTAAGCTTCCCCCTGGACAACTGTGAAAGTGGTCACGCATCTGCGTATTCGGCATGAGCGTCTAGAGCGGTCAGATGTATTGATACCACCGTGGCGCTGTATAAGGCCACCGGTGATATGTAGACTGCGATCTGTACAGTCAGTTATTATGAGATTCTCAAGACGCTCAGTGTGATGATTGAACAATAGACTTTGGCACATACCCTGTCATGATGCTACAACTGTCGTTGCCGGGCGTCGTGTGCGGTGGCTTGAAGGGGATTGGTCGTGTAGCTCTTGTACCGAGATTGTGCTTCAAGTTCATCCATGAGAAAAATGACGAAGGGCACGAGAGCGGCGCGATTCGCAAGAACCTAAATTCGAGCGGAGCCTACCACGGCGCCGGGATTATATCATTCAGCAAGGGCATGACGAGCACAGACAGATATAGAGCTCACCTGTGCCAGCTATATCAGACACTCCAGTCTCGAGACGGCTCAAAGCTCGCTTGCGAGACTGGCTCGTAGCATCTTCGGACGTCCGCCACAGCCACCCGATTGGACGGCCGTCTCTGCTGCATGCGAGCACGGTTTAGGCAACGCCGGCGCGACCTACTACGTACCATACCAGCTCGGATCCGCGGGCATCCGGGCAGATCAGGTCAGTACGTCCTAATAGTATTCGAACCCTGCCGCACATAAGCCGACTAACGGCAAAGTGCTGACTGGCCAGGACGCATACAGATGGGGCGATCATCGCCGATTTAGGCAACTCGGTGAAAGCGTCACAGATGCACTGCATGCACATTGGACAGACTCTGGGGTCCATTGGTGGGGTATCATTCCAAGGATACCCAGCAGCCTCTGCCTGGAACCTTCCGCGCGGCCCGCTGTAGGCCAGGTATCACGCCGACCTGCACAGCCGCTTCACTTCGCTAGGAGTCGCCTGCGTGCAGTTGGGGCCACATGTGAGCCGGGGAACGACATCGATGACGCCAGTAGCGAATGCCGCTCAGGACTAGCCAGCGCGAGGCTGTCCCGCATAGTCAGCGCCTGGCTTCTGTTTTCCCGTCTTCACGACCAGGCCCACCTCCATGCCGCCGGACGCCACGGTCCCCGGCGCGACGGGAGGCAGTAGACAGGCTAGGATGTGCACAGACTGGGACGCTACACCTCGTGAGTGTTTATCGATAGGTTACCGCTGGCAGGGAAGGAAGAGTAGAGTTCTTTCACGGATAGGTATCCTTGTGGTGGACTTGAAGGCGTGTTCGGCGAACGTCGCTCGGAAGGGGCAGGTGGCTGAGGCGATGAGAGCACGTGACCGATTGTGACCGATTGTCACGGCGGTTAGATTTTGTAGCTGATGAACGTGATCGGGCGTTGCCGACGTGCCTCTTAAGAGGTGCTCTCTGCGCTGCTCCACACACCACTCTTTCCTTTCCTTCAGCCCGGTCGACATGTCGGACATATTCGTGAGTCGCCAACCCGTCCCGCCTCCCCCGCGCGATAAAATTGCTGAATTTTGGCCCGGGTCGGCAGTTTGACATCACCGTCGACGGCAAGCCGCTCGGCCGCATCACCTTCAAGCTCTACGACGACGTGGTCCCCAAGACCGCGAAGAACTTCCGCGAGCTCACGACCGGCCAGCACGGCTTTGGCTACAAGGGCTCGTCCTTCCACCGCATCATCCCCAACTTCATGCTCCAGGGTGGCGACTTCACCCGCGTAAGCCTGCGATCGAGATCTCTGCGTCATATCGCGATATTGACCGACATCCGCAGGGTAATGGCACCGGTGGCAAGTCCATCTACGGCGAGAAGTTCGAGGGTGAGTGCGCACCGGGCGCGATCTCCGCTGCGGCGCGGTGCTGAGCGCGTGCACAGATGAGAACTTCAAGCTCAAGCACTCGAAGCCCGGCCTTCTGTCGATGGCGAACGCCGGCAAGAACACGAACGGCTCGCAGTTCTTCATCACCACGGTCGTGACGTCTTGGCTCGATGGCGCCCACGTCGTCTTCGGTACGTAATACTCGGGCTTAACGGAGCGTAGGTGCTGACACCCATCGCAGGCGAGGTCGTCGAGGGCCTCGACATCGTGAGGAAGATCGAGTCGCTCGGCTCCGCCTCTGGCACGCCCAAGGCGAAGATCACCATCGCCGACAGCGGTGTCTTGTAAGCACGCCCCCGACGGCGTGTGGGGGTGAAGAAGAGCAAAGAAGATAACATATTGTGTATATCATTGAGGGTGTGGTGCTTGTGCCTCGCCTTTGTGTTACAATAGAACTGTTTGAGGAGTTGGTGTGTGTTGTGTCACCCGAACGTTTGAAGCATCCCATGATGGAGTACCCATCGAACCTCATCAAACATTGCCCATGGGGGTGGTTTGAGCCAGGATTGGGGCTCGTTCCCTTGGGTTCCACCAGGGCACGGGTCGTGTTGTCATGACATTGGTTGATCGCTGCTCGGTGTTCTCTGGCTTGGATTGCCTTCTATAGGACTCGTGAGCGGTTTGGACACCATAGATGCCTTCGAAGGACATCTTCGGAGCACACGTACGTATATACTGCGTTGTGGGCATCATGCAACAATCCTTACCACGCGGTAACAGAGAGTACTTATTGATGTGCCTTGCTGCGTGGGTATTGTCGGGGACTCGGAATACCTGTGTTAGTTGAGAAAGAAGCAGCCTGGGCGAAGTCTAGATGGTGTGCGTGCGTGTTCTCTTATGATACGTGTGGTCGAACTAAGTTAGTAGGCGCAGACCCAAACAAAGGTCTACGCCACATCTTTTCCTGGTGGTGCCCTGTCGCAGTATGCCATTCTCAGATGAAAGGTGGCGTTACTGATCTCGGAGCAGCTACACATTGTGGGTTGCTTGATCAAGCTGTTCAAGACGTTGATGAGGCTCGAGGTCTCGGGCTGCGAACAGTCTCGACTTGTCCATCCCGCTGCCCTGGGCTCCGGCTACAAGTACCATGTTTACACCTCGCGTTTCGTACTCAAGTAGCAGCTGCTGGCATCCCTGTCGGGGTTGTCGGCGCTCGGTCGAGGACGTTTCTGAACAATCACAGTTGCCTTTCTTGGTGTAACACCGATCACGTGCGTATGTCAGCGACAGCGCGAGCTCTCTTGACCACGAACACTTTCGTCGAATCTATTCCTGTCGCATCATCCAAACGTTCATGATGGTCTTGCAGCTTGGGCTTCCCAGCAGATCACCGTCAGTCAGATGGGATGCATCGCTGGCGAGGGATCGAGCTGGGAGGCTGAATAGCCATGGTCGAACTGAAGACTCAGGCGAGCCTTTGGCCAATCAGGCGTCGACTGTCCGCGGAGGAGGCTCGCCCGCCCGGAACTCTAAGTACCATGCGCGGAGAGCTTTTCGCGCCCGCCCAATTTGGCACTTGCATCAAGACAGCTGTACGGTTTGTCTTGCTTGTTAGGACGAGCGACGGTGGACTCACGTACGCTTCTTTCTCAGCTGCTGGTCCGAGGGTAGTAGCCCGGTGCCAGACGAGACGTGGCTGCTCCGCCTCGTCAGTTGTTCATCTTCTGATCGTCATTTGCCTTGTCTTTCGATCTATGTCAGTCTTGACATCATCGCTCACGTCGGGTTGTACAGACCAGATGGCACGTCACGCCAGATTGTGATGGCAATCTCCAGTACGTCAAGTACATCCTTCACAGAAGCCTCAAGCGGTGCGCTCTGTCTTATTCAAGACGACACTACTCGTGTCCACCAAAGGTGAGCAGTGATCCACATACAGTTCATCACGGCGGAAGTCGTGTGCTCACATTGGGCCTCATGCGCACGGCAACGTCGCAGTCGGTGGTTCCCGAACACAACAGGAAAGAAGATTGTTCGAGGCTGGAGACGGCGACCGTTTCAGGACATGTGCGTGCTACATTGACGCGTCGCACCACGTGACCGCGACAGGGCGACTCCGCGAAGCTCTGCTGCTGTCGCTGCTCCACCATGCACGACGATCCCAGAAGAGAACGTTCATGGTAGCACGACTCACGTCCACGGGGTAATTTCTTTTCTGTATCCCTGGCGCAGCGTGTTCTGAAGGCCAGCAATGGCGATTGCAGGGAGCGAGTGATGCGTGTGGACGGGCGCCAGGGCGAGGCGCGGCGGACGCGGGGGGCAGGGGCGCCGACGGAACGAGCAGAGGCGGGTCGAGGGGCGAGGAGCGAGGAGGACGCCACGAAGGACGCCACGCGCCTGGAGGGGCGAGGGACGAGCCGCCGCGGCGGGCGAGATCGAGGACGCGGGCGGGCGCCGGGCATCTCCAGCCAGTTGTGCTTCTTCTCGCCGGGCGCCTTCCTCTCTGGGATGTCCCCGCCCAAATGCGGGACCGCTCGCCGGTGGCCCAGCTTGCCTCTGACAGCGGCTGCTCGCAGATCGGGGCGACGACATGCGCCATCCCCCACCTGCACGTCCTATAAGAACCCATGGCCTCGCCGCCCCCGTCGCCCCGTCTCTTCTCTCTACCGTCACACACAACTTCCTCGCATCCGCGCTTTGCGGCACAAGTATCCCCAGCCTTCCACCTACTGCTATCCTACGACTTGCCAAGCGTCACATATCGCACTCGCCCAAGAATAGCCTCTATAACTTCGGTCCGTCTCACCAGCTTTAGTTCTTATCACCGTCGCTGACTCTCGCTGTTCCTCCCGCGACAGATTCAATCCGTTGCCCGCGCAGAGCACGCTATCGCATCCGTCGTTTCGTCGTCCGCACGCTACGTTTTCGCTACAGCATCGATTTCCCGCTATTCCCCAGCTGCAGTCAGATACCCGCCCCTCGTCTCCCGAAAGCCTCCGTACTGTTCCTCCGGCATCCCGTCAGCACAGCATGCAGTCTCAGTCTTCCCTCGCGGCCGCGCAGTACCAACATACCCAGTCTCTATCGTCTCCGCTCTCCGCTTCCCGCAACCGCTCGTCTCCTCTTTCCACGCTGCAGAACATCCCCCGCGACACCTCTGCCAGTCCGTTCTCTATCCCAGATACTACTCGCTCGCCTAGCTCTATCAGTACCTCTACGCCGCAGTCGCCCTTGACGCCGTCTAATTCGTCTCCACGCAGCTTCCGTTCGTTCTCGTCCCAGCAGCACAACTCCGACTCGCATTCGCTTCTCTCTGTCTCGCCCTCTAGCGGTAGCTCTCCTGGACGTGTTCCTCATCCCCCAGTAGGCTATCTTCAGGCCTCGATACTGCACTGTTGAATGCGTCCCCAACACGCACTCGCCTCGACACTCTCCTGGAGGGGTCCGCTACGCCAGTCGTCGCATCATCTTGCCCCGCATCCACAACGACACGTCTTTGCTCATGCATACAACAGTCCTACTGTCTCCAATTCGTTCCATTTCTCTCCGCCTCTGAACTCGTCTACTGAGAGCCAGGGTTGTCCTGGTGTCCTCGGGACGCCTATCACCATCCTTGGTCCCGCGAATGGTCAGATGATTGACCATACGCAGACGTCAGCCATACTGGGTGACACCACCTCAGTCGCACATGCACCCACCCTACCGCCACATCGGCAGCTTTACCTCCGAACTCGCCGTTCAGGAATCCCATTTCCACTGACGGCATTGGTACGTGATCTTCTATTCCGTCGTCGTAGGTTAACGCGCGGCTAAGTACTAAATATGTAGCAGCTCCAAAGGATCCCGCCCATTCTCCTCCCTCCGCCATCTCGCGGGCAGGGCAGCCTCTCTTCAACCCTGTGTCCGCTTCTCCTTCGAGCATCACTACGCTGAATACATTTCGGACGTCCCCGTCGCTCGCGGTGGACCAAGCGCAGCTGCAGAGCCCTCCGCCACTCTTCATGGGACGCAACCTCAGGTTTCCACCCATGCCGAGTGCTCCGCGCTGCACGGAGTACTGCCAGCCTCTCCAAACACGTCTTTTCCTCTCAAACAGCAACAACCTGGCCCCACCATGATTCCTTGACGAGCCCTGTCGCAGACGCTCCGGGGACAACGGACTTCCGTACCCCGAACGTGTACATCAACGGGTTGCCCCCGAACTTCCCGGAGGAGGAGCTGTTCAAGATGACCGCGAGTTCGGGACCGTGGTGAGCGTGAGGACGTTCACACGGCATGTATGCGACAAGCCTTCGTGAGTGTTCCTTTTTTGCTTGAATATGGGTGGAGCCATTTTCGCCAGCCGTACGTATGGAAGGGACAAGGGCGTTGCGTTGGCCTGATCCGGCACCCGTTAGAGTTCACGCTGTAGTCTTAGCAGCACTAGAACTCTTGCGGCCGAGTGAGAGTAGCCGCAGTGAGATGGTCTCGGAACTCACAATGATCTAGTCTCTCGCACTTGCACTTCTACGAACGCCGGCCATCTCGCTGTTTGGTTTTGATTACGTGGATTCAATGCTGACGCCTCTTTTTGTTTTTGACGTTATCGATCTCCTGCACATGCGGTTTAGTGGGTACGGTTTCGTGTTGTAAGTATATTTCATTAGCATATATGCCACGAGCATCGTTGAACCGTTTGGGCTAGGTTCGAGACAATTGACGCGGCGGGGAAGTGTATCGAGGCCTTGCGCAAGTACAGGAACCTCCACCCTTCTTTCTCCAAGGTACGTACGCATGTCACCTGTCTCAGCTGAGTAGTCATTTACATTTTTTCTCTTGACTCTGCATTGTGTAGCAAATCCACAAGATTCCCGGCACGGTCTACTCCACGCCGACTTTCCAAGCAGCAGCAGGGGTGCAAGACATTCCGGCCGATTCATTCAAGGCCCGGATGGAGCAGTTGAAGGACAATGCGTCGACGAACCTATACATGGAAGGTCTCCCGCTGTCCATTGACGAGATGACGCTCGCCGCGCTGGTGAAACCGCACAAAATTTGCAGTAGTCGATTCTTCCAGACGAGGTTGAGTAACCCGCCGAGGATGATTGCGTTCGTAAGGTGCGCGGCGGACTTTTGAGCATCGATTACCTACGGTGCGAGTTGAGGTTGACTTGAGTGATTTTTTGGCGCAGATTTGAGTCTCGCACTGCGGCGGAGGAGATCATCGAACGTTTGCACGGACGTATAATCCGTGGAATGGAGAAGTCAGGTGCCAGGATCTCGGTGAGGTTCGCTGACACCGCTGAGCAGCGGGAGTTACGGGTAAGTCAACATGGCATCCCCGTCGAGGCAAGCGGTCTTTCGCTGCGCTGGCGACGTTGTCAGCTGATTTTGAATGGCTGTTCTAACGTATCTTACACAGCGCATGGAACGCACCGTCCATGACGATGAACATCCCCTGGCGCATATCATGGCGCAGGCTGCGTTGCTCAACCTCAAAGGAGGCCAAGTCCACCCGCCGCTTCCTCAGCTATCGCCGCTCATTTCGCCCGACATCGGACGGCTGCCGCATGGCGCAAACATTTCTCCGCTGCTTGTTGGTGGGCACCTACCCCCGCATATTCCTCACGCCGGCATCCCGCTTGCACCCCTGCCGGTGGCGCCGTTTCGCTGCCCTTCCAGCAGCAGCAAGCGTTCCTTCAGCAGCGTATGCGAGACTGTCACTCGGTGGACATGGGTACGACGACTTCAGCGCGAACGCGTCGCCTTACCTTCGGCATGACTTCCGCGTTACGCCACATCTGGCACAGATACAAGAAGAGCTGCTCTCTCTCCAGGACGCGCAGGCACAGCTCCAGCTCAAGCGTGGCTTGGGTGTCGGGGGTGGGGCCGTGCGGACGACGGGTTCACTGCGATGGAGAAGATGATGATCCAGGCGCACGCCCAGCGCCAGCAACAGCAGCAGCAATTCCTCGAGCGCAAGCGCAGCAGGGGCTAGCGGGCCGTGGACAGAGCAAGAGGAGGCTGCTCGACGTGCTCCAGCCGTGTGCTATCGAGAACGATTTCCACGCGTCTGCCGTATGGGAAGCGGCGGTGGCTCGTTCGCCGCATCTCCTTCTGGGCCGATCAGCTCGGGATGGGGACGGGACAGCGCCAGAGGAACCAGACGCACGCGTCGAATGCGCGAGCTGCGGATGTACCGAGCTCGGGGCTGGGCCAGGCGCTGCATATGCGGTCGACGACGATGCCCTCACAGTACCTGAGCGCGCGCGCGTTGGACGGGAGTGGTGGGCTCATGTCGGGCGGTGGTCGCCAGATCCCTGCGATCGGTTCGACGGCGGGTAGCAATATGCTCTCGGCCGCGAGCAAGAATGCAGGCAACGGCGCATTTGCGAGGAAGCCTTCTGTGCATAACATACAGAGCCTGAGCGCGTCGACGCTCCCGCGTAACGTCAGCTCCACGACGATTCAGGGTCACGACACGTTCGGGCACGCTCACGGACACGGACACGAGGCGGACGAGGACGGCGGGCTGATGGTGTCGCCGGGGCTGACGTTCTCGCCGCGGACGCCAGCGACGCTGAGTCCTGCGACGCCATTCGGCGGGTTCTTCCATGCGGGCGAGTCGTTCGCGACGGACGGGATGGGAATGGGCATTGGTGTCGGAGAGAAGGGAGTGCATATGGGGGATCACCATGAGCATGCGAAGGAGGCGGGGAGGAAGGCGGTGGGGTTCAAGGGCGTGCATGTGTAGGCTGTTGGTAACGTTCGTTTCTGAGATGTTGTAAGCGTCGGAGAGGTCGAGGGGTGTTGGCTAAATTGGTGTAGAACAGAAGAGAACAGAAGTATTCCGTACAGCACTAGCATCGAGCCGTGAATGATGAATGATGAGAATTGAATAGAATCGCAGTTTCTTATGTTTGACGATTGAAACATTGAATCCGCACGATTGCAGAAGAGTTCGACTGTCTGGTGGACTGCGATGGGATTGCGAGAGGGAGATTGCAAGGACATTTGAGATGACTGTCTCCGTAGCTCAGTGTGCACAATCTTGCCCATATTATCATGCGAGAATGCGTTCGAGATGTGTGCTACTACAGTACTATACAATTGCGTTTCACCATGAATCTATCTGCTCATCCATCCGCACGGATGTCTACAGCACGCCCTAGAGCTCGCGGGCTACGCGTGCGGAGCGTCCTCGCGGGGGATGGCGCGGGAGCCGAACTGGTCGGCGCCGCGGGGGGCGCGGGTGCGGCCGGGCTGGCCGTCGTGGTGCAGCTCGGCGGAGGTCTGGCCGGAGCCGGGGTGGCCGAGGTGGGTGTTCACTGTCCGGCGGGGTTAGTTAGGGTCACAGAGGAGGGAGGGGAGAGGGAGGTGGGGAGGGGGAGGCGGGCTTACCGTCTTTGGAGGTGGCGCCGGTGAGGGTGTCGGCGGCGGTGGCGCGGGGGGCGTACGGGTCGGGGTCGACGACGGTGCGGCTGTCGGGGGCGGGGGCGAGCGCGACGGGGTGGCCGGTCGTGCGGGCGGTCTGGATGCGGTGCGTCGCGGGGTCGGTGTGGGACGCGTCGTCGGTGGGCGCGGGGGCGCGGCCGTGCGCGGGGGCGGGCGAGTGGGGGGAGTGGCCGTTGGCGAGCTGGTCTGGGGGCGGGTGGGTTAGTGTGGGTGAGGGGAGGGTAGGGAGGGGGACGGACCGCCGGGGATGACCTGGGTGATGTGCGGCCCGACGGGGGGCACGCCGCCGGCGGGGGGCGCGTCGCGGCCTGTGGAGGGCGGGAGGTGCTCCTGCGCGCGGTTGGCGTGTGCGGTGTCGGTCGCACCGGGTGCGCCGGCTGCGTGGGGTATGTGAGTACGGTGCGCGGGACGGAGGGGAGACGGGGGAGACGGACTGTTGGGGAAGATGGCCTCGTACTGGTGGCCGGTGGTGGCCTTGTCGGCGCCGGGGATGCGGGCGCGGGAGGCGTCGCCGCCGACGTAGTCGTTGTGGCGCTGTGCGGTCATGCTCTCTGCGGACATCGTTGGGTGTCGAGAAGATGGTTGCAGGCGTGGTGGGGTGAGCGGGGACGGCGAGGGCTTGGATAAGTAGTAGGGGGAGTGGGGACGGGCGGGGCCTGCATCATCGAGCATCATCGCGCACTCCGTGTGCGTCTCGCGGTCGTCGCTCGGTGCTGCTGCGTGCACCACCGCGCTCGATCGTGCCCGCGTCGATCGTGCATCGCTGGTGGGGCAGGCGGAGAGCGGCGCGCGCCGTGCACGCATGCGTGACGTCATCGTCGCGTCGGCGACGTGTCGGCCTTCTCTCGCGGTCACGTGCTGGGTGCGGAGCGTCTCTTGCGATGGTGCTCTCCGTGTGCTCTGAGTAGGCTCTGCGTTGTCCCTGCACAGATGCCGCTTGCAGCAGCAACTTGCAATATCTGTATGCACCGCCTTCCGTTAGCCTCCTGCGATGCTTGATGAAAAAAGGCTCTGAGGGACGTTTCGCGCGATCAACATCGCGTCGCGCACCTTCTGCCACTTCACGTCCTCACTAGCTCGCACAGTACTCATTCTATGCACTTTTTGACAGCATTCCTGGGCTCCACGCGTCAGATGAGCAAGATGAAATCAGGAAGGCAGGGATGTGCGAAGAAGCTTGCCAGCGCGAGGGAAGGGTTGATTGCCCGCAGCAATGGTACATCCGATGACCTATGAGGGGGGCTACTTACGCCGAGTCGCAAGATATCATACCTTCGCCGTGGGCGGGCGCTCATCATAATCCCAGGCGCATCCTTCCACTCGCGATGCGGCAAGCTCCTTCGCAGGCCGCCAATCTTCTGCAGTGAGCCGAACGTGATGCGTGCAGCTAGCTCTGCTCCCGTGCTCCGCTCGGGTGTTTCCTGGTCCTTGCACACACGCACGACGAACTCACTCTCCATCGCCGCAACATGGTTCGTCTGGGCATTCGGTCATTTGTGCTCCACTATGAGAGGTGCTGGCCCTGACAGCCGTGGAACAATGCAGTACATCGTGAGCAAGGCAGAGCGGATGTTATCTTTCCTGTGCACTGATCACGGCTCGCTTGCTGATGTTCCTCAGCAAGATTGGATCAATATTGGGGTGGTGCGCTATATGAAGCGTGTACTACCATTCTCTTTGCGGGCTACAATGCAGGACAGCACACTGCTCGTCTGGCTGTAGGACACTCATACGCGCGACGCAGTCAAAGCCAGGTGAGAACTCATACCCGCGATTGGTCTGCGTCGGCTTCACACTGCTTCACAGTCCGTTTGATCTGCTCTATGTACAGATGTGCATGTGCGGATCTATGACGAGAGACCAGATCAGATGTGAGACCCCTTGATGATGCGCACTTTGGGTTATCATACTGTGCCTCTATTCGCTGAGGAGGGCGTCGCTCTGCAGAGCTCTGTGTCCTCCCCATCCTCATCGCCTGTCCCCGTCCACGCAGGCGCGCCATACGGACGCAACACTTATTGGAAATGCCGCGCTCATCCCCCCGAAACCTCGTAGTCGCCGCCTCGCTGGTGCTCCGCCTGGCGCGGGGCGCGACGACCGCCACGAACAGGACGATCGACGACTACTACGGCGACTCCGCGACGCGTGCGCTGCCGGTGTACTCGGACGGCTGGAACTACGGGCCTGCGTGCCCCGGATGCTTCGTCCAGCCCGACGTCAAGATGACCTTCGACCAGTCCTGGCACGACACGACCGTGTCGGTGTACAGTGCTCCGGAGAACATATCGCTCTCGTTCACCGGTGCGTCCCGCGCTGCTCCGTGCCCCGCGCGTCCGTGCTCAGCGACGCGCCGCCCCTGTTTCTAGGCACGGCTGTCTGGGTGTACGGCGTCGTGCCGAACTACGTGCGCGCCGCGAACACGCTCGTGAACGTGACGTTCGAACTGGACGGCGCGCCCGCGGGGGCGTACACGCACGTCCCGTCGACCGCGGCGGACTACATGTACAACGTGACGCTCTACCGCGCGACCGCGCTCGCGAACACGCCGCACACGCTCGTGATGACGCCGCAGGGGACGGCGCAGGCGTCGTACCTCGCGTTCGACTGGGCGCAGTACACGTACGTCCGTTCTCGAGACTCGCTGAGGCCGACAATGGGGACGCTGATCCTTGTGGATCTGTGGCAGGTATGAGGAGACGGACGTTGCCGGTTCTGCGCAGACTTCTGGTGCGGCGTCGAGCACGGCGCCGTCGTCTGTTGTGTCCGCCTCAGCGACCGCGGCGTCGGCGTCCCAGTTCTCGTCGACGCATAGTCATACACCCGCAGCGGCCATCGCGGGCGGGGTCGTCGGAGGGGTCGGCGCGCTCGCCCTCCTCGCCCTCCTCTTGCTGATGTGCCGCCGACACGGCCATCGCAACGGATCAGGGAGCCCGAACATCGATTCCGCAGCGAACGTGGACCCGTTCATCTCCCCAAACATGCTGGAGTCCTCCCATGATCGCGCTGCACCCCCGATCGGCGCCGTCCTCGCGTTCGCAGGCCCGGGAAAGGGAGCACCCGGGTACGCGGCGTCTTACGAGCACGCTAGCGAGGGCGACAGCCCGCCTGCGAGCTTGCACGCGGGGGAGGTGCCATCGCCCACCTCCCCTGCGCCTGCGCCGAGAACGGCGCCACGGAACGTCAAAGCGCCAGCCCGACGCGAGGCGCTCTCACGCAGGGTGCGCGACGTCGAGACTGTCCTCGCTGACCTGCGCCAGGGCCGGTCTGTGCCATCTGCACAGGCGGCTCCGGGCGCCGCGCTGTATCAGGCTGCGGATAGGCCGCCGCGGTGGAGCAGGCTTTTTGCGCTGAGCCCGCCTCCGGGGGGATGGAGGATCTGGGAGGGCGGATCGAGAGGTTCCAGGTGGAGCTAGACAGGTTGAGGGCGGAGCAAGAGATGTCGAGGGGGCGGGAGCCGCCGCCTGCGTATGATGTGTAGCCATCCAATTAGGCCGCGAGACGAGAAATCGGGTATACCAGATGTGTTGCGTGAGGAGGGGCTACGACGTGCATGCCCTCACGAGAGTTTACTGTGGGCAAATGCAATAGGCCATCTGTAGAGAGAGCAGGAAGATGGTGGCACCGCCATGGGCCTTATCTTGGTTCTCTGGAGTCTGGATAGAACGTGTTGACCCCCCTTATGCTAGTGTTTAAGTCTAGGAATGGCACACTGACTGTATACTTAGTAACTTGAACTTGTGCCTATCATGGCCCGCTTCACGATGTTCCTCAATCCAAGATTAGGTCAATGTGGTGGTATGTTGCATGAATTCACGTACCGTTCTCTGCAGCCCCCGATTCAGCACTGCTTGTCTGGCTGCAGGACGCTCGAATACGGGACGTCTTCAAAGCCAGCTATGACTCGTACTGACAAACGCGTACGCGCGTTGCGCCGGCGGATACTGGTCTGCGCTGGCTTCGCAGTTCACTGCCACCTGTGCCATCTCAGTTCCGCTAGGGGGAGCCGCAGAGTAGCGTACACACCTCCAGAACGAGTCAACGTGACCGGATTCCAGACGTGTATGGAGATGCGAACGCTGACGTAGAAGGCCAGAGCGTTTACGGAATTGGAAGCCTGGGCGGAAGAGCGTCGATAACGATTCGGATGTGGAGCGCCATCACAGATCCTTTCGTCCGTGTGTGAGCGACAGCACATTGACTCCGTGAATGAAGAATCGTAAGTAGACTCTGGTGTATCTCCACCGTGATTAAGACCCGATGGAGCAGCGCAAGCACCATGTAGCGACAGTGTGTGAGAAGTCGGATTTCTGGAAATTTCTTTGTACAGCAACGGCGTAGAGGAACTCCGGGACGCGCAAGATCCACGTTGATCAGATGGGTTTCGAATATTGCATATGCCAGGCCGTCATCCAATTGGGATTGTGCAGAGATGAATATCGACTCTGGCCTCATCGAGAAATGTCACTCATAGACATGTAATATCCATGCGATGACATTCCTGGGGGTCACGATCCTGTGCTGGCATTTTCTACGCGGTTTACGATTGGTGTTCACAACTTTGATTCAGATAACAACACACTCACATTCTTCCCGTGTGACGCCGTGCAGGTGTGGATGGATCGAACAGAAGTCCAAATATGTGGATCGGTAGAGAGTCGCGCGCGGTCTCCATACTCATCGGAGAGAGACGTCGTCTGCTTTGCAAAGAGCGCCTAGGAGTGTTGTCCGGACCTAGAACGGGGTTTTAGGCCGCATTTGTGGACTTAAGCACGAGTCATAGATGAGACAGAACGTCGAGCACTCACATTTCGCCCATGGATGTCCGCGGAATCGCTGTTAGCCAACTTTTGTCATCCGCTGAATATGTGGCTGTTGCATTTGAATTTGATACACCGCTTTCGCAGTTGTGTTGGATGCTGGTTGGATACTCACTTAGCTGAGGAGGTCCGCTGGCAATAACTGTGATCAGTAGTAAGACGCCAATGACCCCGGGGCGCACAAGATCCGTACGATTCGCGAAGAAAGCGGTGCCTCCACGCGAACTCGTGATGCGCCGCTAGCATCTCCACCGGCGAATCTCGACATGTCGGTGCGGAAGAAAGACCGAACAGGCTTGGAACCGGCGGGAACGTAAATGATCTTGGAGTATGGCTCTTTGCTGATCTGGTCCCCGGCCACGCGAGAGCTGGACACCGGTGGCTTGGTATCGAGGGGTGGTTCAGGCCCCTCTCGGGATGTTGGCGGGTGGCCCTACAAATCAGATACAGCGCCGGAGATGATGGGGAATTGTAGTGTCGCGTTGTGCATCACGATCATAATTGATTACCACGGTATGCACGAGTTCGAACTGAACTGAGTCGCACTGTTGCGCGCATCTGCAGAAGTCAGTCGGAACATCTCTGCGTAGATGGCACAGAACCCGACCTCGAACACCCAATGGTACTAGAAGCAAATCCACACGTAAGTTCGAACAATGCATTCGACGCAATATCAGCATGCTGACCCGCTTGTAAGACCTGTCACTCCTTTTGAGAGGTTCGTTAGTCAATGACCGTCGTTACATTGAGTCAGGATCCGTTGACTTCGCGTCGGTGTCTTCCGTGCCTGTGTGGGGGTGTGGTCCCTGCTTCAAACGCACGGATGCCGAGGCTGACCGTGTGCAGGGAATGAGCTGTACATCTAGTGGATAAGCTTCTCAATAGATCGTGTGGGAAGTCAACTTAAAGCCTCACAAGGTCCGGAGACAATAGACTACTTCATGTAAAACAATCATGGGCCCCGATGTTCTGTTTCACGCATACACCGCAAGATCCTAGGGTCGGGAAGCGTCGACTCCTCCTCTTTGCACGGCCGGCGTTGCGACTGACATTCACGAGCCCGACGTGGTTCTGTAGCCAATCACAAGACTACTCTGCACTGTACGGCGTGTAGCGGCATCTTCTTGTCCGATCAAGTCGATCACGCTAGATCCGCATCGACGTCTTCGTGAAGCCATTCCTCATGCTGGGAGTCGGCCTACACAGTTCTTTTCAAAGCATGCACGTTAAGAATAGCGAGAGCCTGACATGCAGCCGAGATACCGAGACTCACGAGATGCATTTCTGGACTGAGCCAGAGCTAGCCCCGGGCTATGTGTACACAAGCGCACAATATTCCCTCTATGTGCTCACCTGTGTAATATCACAAGTCAATAAGAAGATCACTGCTGAGTTTAGGGTCACCCCAGATGGCGTATTGACCGAGTCTGGATTGGTGAATCCGTCGATCTTATAAAGTAAAGGCAAGTCAGTGTGCGGGAACATCATGAGTAGGTAACACGCTTCTGATGATAGCATACTATTCACTGCCCCCGTAGACTATGCGGAGCCACACTTCTCTGGGCCACAAATTCTTCCGCGTAGTTCGAATAAGGCTGTTCAAATGTCGACGAGGATTGACGAGGATGCCTGCAATTTGATTACAGTTACCTGCTTTCTGAAAGAAACAAAACAACTTTAGCGAGGAAGTAGTCAGGATGGCGTGCGCACCTTTAGCTGAGTTGTGAAGTGATAAGTTGCATACTCACATACTAGCGTGGCCCTCTAGAACTAAGAAACACTACCTGGTGACCAGGACAGGAAGACGCACATATGCAGCGCGAGTGACATCGCTGGCTCCTCCTCCGTCGACCGTAGGCAGAAGAAGCGCTGGCCCTCCGGTCATGGACGGGTAGCGAGGATAATTCCCACGCGGATTTGGCCGATGGGAAAGTGGACAAACGTCGTGTGCAAACAACTGTAATCCTTCCACGTGATTGTTTTCCTCTTTGAGCCAAGGGAACGTAGTACGTCTGCGCGCGTTGGGTCTCTCTGCCTAACCCGCATCTCTCTGGGAGCCCGGCCGCACCTTCCTCATCTGGCTCTCGATGGTGGCTAACATGATACATGCATTCTCTATGTAATGCACGCTCAAAGGAGAATATAGACCGTTACAGAAATCTAGCGACAACGCCAATCATTCCACTCACGACAATGGCAGCGCGCCTTCTCAATATTGGTCGCTTCTAGACGACGGCTCTGCAATGCGCTTCTGGGTAGTACAGTTTGTACTTGTGTTGTACGTATTACCCTTTTATTTGAGACTCCACAGCTTGCAGGCTGATGGTGCATCTAGATGACATGAGTACTATGCTTCGACCGAAACACCATCTACGGCCATTATCCTCCCCGGCGGTCAGTCTGACCCAACCTGCTCGCGCCGATTCCTCTAGCTGATAAAACAGCTCATGAACGATCTTCAAGTTCTCGGGCAAAGGTATCAACGACGACATTCACATCGAGACTGGATTGACTGCCTGAAGAATATTTAACAACCTGGTCGCATTATCCTCTGCATGACCTACACTGGAAGCCGATCGCATACTTCATGGTCGTGCCCTTCTGTCATCCCTCAGGACATGCAATATTGATTTTTGAAGACCTAGGGGGGTGCACATAACAGTCATTACTTCCCTTGAGTCCGCGGACTGCATCCATGCAGGATGATAGCGCAAGGGTATGTCTACGTTCTCACCGGCGTACTTCCACGTCGTGATCATCATTCTTTATGCGTGCTCCAACACCCAGTGGCATGTCTCCGAGTTCCCCTTGCAGCTGGAGTGTTATTGACTGCCCGCCGAGTGCGGTATCATCTGTCGTGTTTGATCACGCAGCCCTGAGTTCCGGGCACACAATAGTGAGACTCAGGGTCTACTCAAGCGGGAATGTTAGCCGTTTCGGTGGCTGTAATGCGGGTCCTTCCAGGCCGATTATGCACGCAGGTCTTCGGAATGTCGTCTGTAGGGATCACTCATCTTGAGCGCTCTGGGAGATGATAGTGCTTCGTTGGAAGCGCTAGGCCCTAGCCCGTCGGAGAGCGCACCTTTTAATCTCGGAACCTACAGCCATAGAAGGGTAGCTTCCCATCCCAAACTCAGCTGTCAGCCAGCAGGAACGACGCATCCAGATAGTCGCTGGCGATGGTAGCTCTCTTAGGTCTTCCATGGCGTAACGGGGCGGTGAATATCGGGAAACAGACGCAACGGTGAGCCGGGTCCACTAACTGAGGAAAATTGGAACTTCCACAAGAACTGATCTCCGGTGCGCCGTAGAGCAGTTCCTGTAAAAATTGGGGTTGGAGAAACATAACCGCTGGTGAACGGGGACTCGTACCGTCTTCACATTGTGGTCTAGGTATCTCCGGAGCTCGGCGACATGGTAAGTATCCATCTTCATATGCCAGATGCTTCTACTCAGCAAATGCTCATGGACTTCCATCTCGTCGCCTAGACACAGAATTCACCTGAGATACATGCACACCACTACGGCATCCCGGGGAATAGGTGGCTTCATTTCGCTCTTCACATTATCCGTGGCGTGAAGGATGGACGGAACTTTGCAAAGAGTTGGAGCAACGGTGTTCAATCATCGCGAGGATCCGATCCCGTTCAGAACAACCCGATACATGTCTCCAAGCTGTGCGTAAGGAGACAGGAAGAGACGATAAGCACAGGTTTTGGAGATCTCTCGCCTAGTATACTCTCAATCACCGGTGCGGCGATCAAGTGCGGGATTATCACAGGACGTCGTGTTGCTGCTTCATGCCTATGTAAGTAGTAAGCACTTTGTCTCATGATCAAGTTACTGCCAGTGATGTGCGCGTCGCCATCAATGGGGATAACGGGAAAGGACAATCACATTAAAGGCGGTCGATGAACATGAAACTATATCGCCGATCACAACTGCGCCACTAGCATCGATGAGGCTGAGTGTACTGAGCAGGGATTAGGCTCTAAGGGTGGAAGACTTGTATACATCTAGAACATTGTGTAAATCGCACAGGGTGGGTGAATCAGCAGTTCATCGACTCACCTTCAATCTTCGTCTATCGGGTCGATTGCTCGAGCTCTTGCCGGACTTTCGCAGCTTCCAGTGCTGTAAATGAGTTAGAATTGGTGTTCAGAATGTACTTGAGAGCGAACTCACCCATCAGCGGAGACGTTTGCGCAAAGGTCGTCATCGCCGTCAGGACCTTCTGAAGGGCGGCGATGAGGCCGTCATGGTCCGCCTCGACGTGTTGTTGCTGATGAGCGCCAGCAGCAGCTTGGTCCGCGAGCAATGAGGTCGACGTCCAGATCATACGCAACCTGACTATCTCACCAATCAATACTCGGCACACTGCCGTCCATAGCACCTGCAGGCAACGTGGGGTCAGCATGGTGTTTGAGAAGGGAAGTGCGCAAGAGCATCCGGCGGTGGAAAGTACGAGACATACCGCCATGATGGGATCCACGTAAGCGAGGGCACCGAGGTTCACCGAGTCAAAGGCAGTGATGGCTCTCCGAGCGGCTTCTAAATCCCTACCCGGGCCCCCGTTCTGGCCCTGCCGCAGCGCGCTGAGGACTTGCATGCTCGCAACCAGGGCGAAGGTGTGAGTGACCAACAGATCCCGAGCGATACCTTGTTCGACTGCGCCGTGGAGAGGCGGCAGCGCGGCTATGAACTGTTCTATAATGTTCTCTAGCACGAAAAATTCAGCGGCAAATTGCTCTACGTATGCCATGGCTGGGATCGTAGGCGTAAAAATAAGTCAGCCAGCACCGGTGCAAGACATGTGGCAATCTAGGCGCACCAGGAGTCCATTGGGATGCAAGCCGCGAGGCACGCTCGAACAGTGCAGAGGCTTTAGCGCGCAGCGCCATCGGAGACGTTCCCTGTGTAATTTCGGGCGACATACCAGAAAGGAACGCCTGTATCGTAAGAGAACTGCGTAACATGGCGGGCAACCCACGCTGATAGATGCCGTAGTGAGGATCTTCTGATCAGGACTGTTTCGGATCTGCCTACCTGTGTATAGTCTTCTATCTGCAGCGGCCATGGGGTGTCGACTTGGGCGCCCGGAGAGCCGTTGAAGTGGGACGGTGATCCCGCTCTGACCGACCAGCTCTTGTCGAGGATGAAGACACTCCAGAAAGCGTTGATCCTCTCTCCTTCTTCCAGGGCGTCAGTCGGAGGTGCTAGGTCGACGTTCAATATTCCAGGCGGATTCGGAGTATTGGAATTGGATCTGAGCTTGTTCAGCCGGCAGCTGAGGCTAAGCGCCACAGCTGCGTTGGTGTGGTACCTTCCCTCGAGGGGCCGATTAGCGGCAAAGAAATAGTGGGCCAGCAGGACCTCAGCCTGGATGCTGTAGATGATATTGTACGGCGGCGCGCGCACCAAGGCCGCGGAGACAGACTGGACGGCGCGCTGAAGGAAAACAGGCTCGTGCGCAAATAGTGAGGCATTCCCCGAGAAATGCACGCCCCACAGGTACATCGCGTTCAGGAGAGCGGGCGAAAGACGCGCCTGGCGGGCTTCAGCCGCAGGGATCGACACGTACTCGCGGAAACGGCCATGATGGAGGAAGAACCCAACTTGGTTTGCATGCGGGAGAAAGAACCCGACCCTGACAGTGAATGAGCGAAGAGCGGCAATTTCAATAAGATCTGGCGTCTGCTTACAGCATCTGCACCACATCCGGCGAAGGTTCTGAGGTTGCGTCGAGGGCTGTCACGGGAGTGGCCTGCGGTATCAGATATGCCGTACCCTGTGTGGATGGACCTGCGGCCGCAGTAGAACTCGTTGCCACCGGTGTCAACTGGACTGTACGTGAAGATGATGATGGTCAGTATGTGCTGAACGTCTGAGTCATCACGCGCTCACGAGAAGGACCTGCTTGCGCTGTTGCCGTACGAGGATCATGTAGCGTCACAGAGGGCGCGACAGACTCTGGGTGTTCGAGCTCGTAGATACGTGCTTCAAGACGAGCGACGTTGTCCTCGAGCAGTTGGGTGGGACTCCTAGTAGGGCCATCCGTATATTCACAATCATATTCACGGTTCGTACGAGTGCAGGGCCCGCAGACTGGCCTTGCGCCATCGCATTTCTGAGAGCGCTGTCAGCATGATGCGTAGCACTAGAGCAGAACGACACGTACAAACTTGCGTCGACGACAGTTAAGACATGCGGAACCTCGCGGTGCCCTGCCCGAGCTGGCTGTGGGGGCGGCTTGGGATCCTTGAGCAGACATTGTTGAGTGTTACGAAAAGGAGACGACGAAGAGGGGACGCGTATTACTCGACGCGACTCTGCCACCTCAACTGCCGAAACGGCCGCTTTCTTATACTCACTACGTACGGGAAGGTTACGGGCCCGTCGGGAGGTGTAATCTGCACGAGACCGAAAACGAATATGTCGGAGCGGCGCCCTTCCGGAACAAGGGAGATAATTGTGACTTGAGTCAAGCCATTGCCTGAACCGAACCTCGAGGACGCCCGCGCCAATTTGGGGGAGCGCCCCGCGGTTCGTCGGCTCTCGGCGACGAGGGTACGGCCATACGAGCACGGCGAAAACGCGCCAGAGATGTGTGATGCCTCTCAGGCCCCGGACGGTGGCGTCGTCGCGCGGGCGCGGTACGGTACAAGCCGCACACCTGCGCGCCCATCTCAGATCCACTCCGGGCTGCCCTCGGGATCTTGTTTGCGCATGTATGGCAACGCCCTCCAGCTTCCGCTTAAGGCAACTCCCGACTCCGGCCCGCCCCGCCCGCGTGCACAGGAACTTGAACACGTCTCAGCGTCGCGCGCAGGCTCTGCTGCCGGGCCACCACGTCTGAGCATCGCCAGTCCGGTTGTGTGATTGGAAAATCGAGGTGGGGCGCAATTGGAAGTAGATCGAATGTCCACACTGAGATGCCGACGATGAATTCCTGATGCCCCCTGCTTTCCCCCCCGGTCCCACCGTGACTGTCCGTGAAACCTGAGGCCACAGCCACAACTCGTAACCCGTCCGTGGTCCTCGTATGCGTCATAACGGTCCCTGGAAGCAGCGCTCACCAATGATCGACCACGCAAAGGCTCACCCTCTGTGCCGGTCATCATCTGGCTTGTTTCGCGTCCCATCCGCGGCTCGTCGACATGATCCGCCCACCACGGGCCACTGACGGGCGACGCGATCGCGCAATGCACTCGCTGACGCGGTCTGTGTGGACGACGAGCACGCGGTCGCGGTACGGCAACAACGGAGCCCAGCGCGGCAAGCCCTGGGCAAGCCAGATGCCACCTCTGCTCCGACTCCAATGAACATGGATAATTTGGGATTGGCTTTGACCGATGTTCCACTCACTTGTTTAACATGTGTCCAGGGTCCGGAGCAGCTGCGCAGCCATGCTTGACCTGAAGCTTAACCTGATGAGGCTGAAAGAAAAATTGCGCGTAGCTACAGCTGGTAGATGCGTCTTCCGCTTCATGATGACTCTAGATTTGGTTGACTTTTCCGAGGCGAATGACGTTGCAATTGCATGTGCACACGCATTCACGCGTACCAAGTCGTCCCAAGGCACGGCGAGTCTGTGGCGGAGAGGTCGAGCAGATGGTGGTTCTCTGTTAGGATCAAGCCGCGATGCCTGAATTCAGAATAGCACGACTGGCGCGGAGGCGGATTTGGCCGTCGCGACTTTGGTTCCCTGCCAAGAGCCTCCCGATCATCTCGGTCGATCAGTCTCCGATGCGTCATTGTGGCTGAACCTCTTCCCAAGGGCGGGAAAGACCAATCGCACGCCACGAAACCGTGCACATGTCGATAATTCCCTGAACAATCTGTGTTGTGTGAAGGCATGGTTTGCAATGAGCGTGACAGAAACACTATCGACTGTAGCGGTGATTGAGTGCGTTTCCGCAAAATTACTGCAAGCCTCGCGACTATCGAACCCGAAGCGCCACTTCAGGTTCGGAATGTTACGGGAGTGGTAGACAGTGGGTAAAGCTCGCTACGAATCCCCAGATGCAGTGCCTCGTCGAAAATGCTTCAAATCTAAATGCATGTAGGTTCGTAAGTGGCGTCTTGTCCGCGGCCAGATGACAGAAGCTGTCTGCAAGACCCACTAGCTCCTTCGTCGGACCCGCTGAGGGTGCCCAGGATGGGTGACGCGCCTGGAGTGCCCCATACGTATGCTCCTCCTCGGGCTTCAGGGAAATAAGAGACAGGATACGTACCATGAGACCGCTTGCACAGCACTACTTATTCGTAGGTACGCTTCTGCGTCAGCTCGAGCGCTTAAGCCGACCGAATCGACCGAAGAGCATTCGGCCTACTTCAAAGCCGGGGCTGAGACATCTTGAACAGCGTAGTTTGCCGTATGAATTGACCGGAAGATTTGGGAAGATTTGCACTGCGTAAAAACCGCTCAGAGCAATGCGACCTTCGCACTCACCATGTCCGACCAGCGGGCTCCGAGGCCATGCAGTTTTGCAGAACCGCACAAAAGCGATGGAGAACCACAAGCGATGAGAGCATCATAGCGTACTGAGTCGAGGATCACTGAGAATTACTGCAGTTGGGGATACGGCGGTAGACTGTATGCCTGTGCATCAGTCAGCGGTGACTAGGAGGTGCTCGAGGCGGTGGGACACGCACGATTGTGTCTCTAACGCAAAGCCGACGTATTGTCAGCTCATGACCCTCAAATACCGTGCCCCGAGACTTGCTTTGCGATACGGATGATACCTTTTGTCAGCAGTGGCTAACCAGGAGAACAGTTCGAGGCCTGCTTGGGGCATGGGCGTCGTCAGCGCGCAGCGATCTCCGACTCCGATGGGGTAGGATGTACAAAGCGTGTTGCCTGATCGAGGGAGGCCAAAGGTTAAGTTGACAGGACAGGCACAGGCTTGGTAACACGCGACGTGCAGCACTGAATTGTTGGCCATAGTAGGCCATAGCATGACTCGAGGGCCAAAGCGTCAACGGAAGGTGGACAGCCTGGAGCCAGGACAGGAATACCGTGGCGCTTGAGATGCCGCGGCGCTCGCGATTGCCGCTGCGCCGCCTTTGGCTAGTGTGAATTGGTGTGCATAGCGTTGGTGGAAGCTGTGATGACATATGCGTAAGCTCCGAACAGCCAGGTCGGAGGTCTGTTTCGAGCATGTGGTTGTTGTCGAATGACGAGTAGACAACAAAGGTGAGGACGACACAGGAGTTAGTCATAAGTTTCACGTACCGCACTGTGCTACATACCAGATGAGATGACTCCGATGTTGTGAGTGTGCCTGTGTTTGGAGAATTGTGTGGTCACGCTGAGATCCAAGCGAATTCAAACGCGTGAAGAATCAAGATCAGCGTCGTGAGGTCCACCAAAGCGTACCTCACCGTGACGGTGGTGGTGGAAGCGTTCCACGAGCCGGTATCTGCGATGATCCCATCTGTTGTCAAGAGAACCCCGAGCTGCCCGCTTTTGTCGCTGTGGGTTCGTTGTTGCTGGTGGCTGTTGGTGGACGAGTGTCACAATTGGCAAGTAGATTGCGCGAGTTACCTCGACGGTAGCAGCCACGCAGATGTCATAAGCGGATGCTTGCCCCAGCTGACGTGCCGGACATGCGCTTCACTGCCCAGTGCAGAGCCAAAATATCATGCAGCCAGTGCAGTAAGTGGACTGGAAGAGGAAGAGGGGCTACATGCGTACGGAGCGCTGGGAGGCCCAGGAGATGGCGCCACGTGCACCGCCACAAATGGCAATACAGCCACCGGCGGGGAATGTTGACGGGGAAGTGGCAGACAGTCTCCTATATTCGGAGGCTGTCCTCCGTGCTTTCTCAGGTAGGCTTCGTTCGAACCGTCGCACCCCATCCGATGTGTATAAAGGAAGTGCCTCTCGCCTTGTCTCTCACTGCTCCTCCCCGCATGGCTCACTCACGCTTCAGCCCTGCTCACTTGTCCGGGTGTCCGCTCGCCACCGCTCCTGAACTCCCCAGTTCTGCGTCTTCTGACGCTGCAATCGACGCTGACGACCAGCACGAAACACTCACGAAACATGTCTACATCCCGCAGGAACTACTGGACAGCATCATCGACTGCCTGCACGATGACAGCGAGAGCCTGCGCGCATGCGCTTTGACCGCTCGGTCATGGCGCCCCCGCAGTCAAACCCACATTCACCACACCCTCAAGGTGACGTGCAGGTGGCAATGCACGCAGGCCGAGAACGTGTACAGCGACCCGGCGTTGGCATCGTGTATACGAGAACTTCACATCCAGGACTTGTCACTCAAGCGCTACGGTGACAGGGAGCACTGGGTGGACCAGTGCGTTCCCGCGATGCTTTCGAAGCTTAACCAGGACCACCCGCTCGCCATTGAGTCGGTCATCATACAGAATGGGCACGACATCGAGTGGGGCAGCCACCCGGACCCTTTCTTCCCCAACGTAACCAAGTTGACTGTTCGCCGGCTGGACTTCCGCGTCGGCGCTGAATTCACCTCTTTCATGCGCCACTTTCCGCGAGTCTCTTCTCTGACCCTCGACGACTTCACCATTGCCTACAGGACCCGCGACATAGCTGCGCCCGGCCCTCGACCCCCACTGCGCGATCTCGAGATCTGCAGCAGCCCCGGCCAGGAGTTCTTCATGAACTGGTTTCTCCACCAGTCCCCGGAGGACATTCAACTACAGAGTTTCGTCTATCCCATCGAGCGCTGGCAGGTTCGTGCGCCTAAACCGTCTCTCAAAGCGCTCGGAGCGTCGGTCAAGGATCTGACGATTGTGTTCGCCTTCGCATCGCCACACTATCTGTTGAAGGGTACGCCGCTCTATTGTTAGTCCTCCTATTGTTCCTGATCGTATCCGCAATAAAAATAGGCGACCCGCTTTTGCCACACCTCTCTTCCCTCCGCAATCTGACATTCGATCACACCACGCTCTTCGGCACGTTGTACGGCCCGCCCTCTATCCCGGTTCTGCTCAAGGAGATCTCTGCGGCTCACGTCAGCACTGTGCGGTTCCGCTTCATGCTCGACAACCAGTACACGCCGCTTGAGCAGAGCGTCGAAAAGCTGGAGCGTATCAACTTGGGGCACGCTGACACCATCCTTGATGACTTGCAGCCTTTCCACGAGCTCCAGGACGTGACCGTCCAGATCTGCTCCCGCGACTGGGCGAAACTCATGCGGCTGCCCGACGCCGACGATTGGATCGCAGCCGACACCGAACAGAGGCGCGTCTTTTCCGAGAAGTACTGTGTCACATCGCGGCGGCCGACTGACCTCTCTGCGCTGCGGGCGTCTAGTCCCGAGCGTGATCATCATCCAGACCCGGAGGTAGAGAGGGTGCACCGGGAAGCTGAGCTGAGCTTGGAACGGGGCAACATCCGGCGCGCGCGGTCAGACTACGAGAAGGCGAGAGACACTTGGGACCAGGCGACGAGCGTGGTCCAAAAAGCGTTGCCGACGATGGCGTCCCGCAAAATGCTCAGGATCGAGCCTCTGGATGATGCCGCGCCTGAACGACTGTCGAGTCAGCCGAGGTATTATAATGCTTATCAGTACGAGCGTGCGCATCGTGTTTTGTTCCAGTGAGTTCCGCGCTGTCTCATGCTCTCCGATGTGCGCTGACCAGTAAAACCTTTTCGCTTTAGCCTTGTATAACATCATCTCACTCATCGTTGTCACGGACTCAATCGGACCTTGTTGGCCTCGCACTCGATAAGTACTCTCTACCATATGTATGCGCTATTACTCGGCTATCGGCCTCACATGCAATCGTCTCCTCGCCTATGTAACCGTATGTGGTCTCCTCCGGACATTCTCATTCCTTCGCCTCGTTTGATCTATTTATTAGCAAACTCCGTCTGTTCCATCGGCAGTGGCATGTATCTGTAATTAGCAAGGCGTAGATGTCAGAATAAAGGGTTCAATTGTGTCGCATCTAGCACGCACCGGCTCAGTGCTCAACCTTTCTGATCGATTGGGGATGCGACAGTCCCGGAATCCGTGGCTGTGGTTTTTGACAACTGTGGGGACCGAGAGGCCGTTAATGCCTGACGCCTCCGACCAGAACCACTATCAAACGCGCCCGCTCCGTCGTTCCCACTGAGGAGTCTAAGAATAGATGGCCCACCGAATTCCCCACGCTTCAGTACCATTGTCCGGGGCCGCCACATCCTGCGGAGTGTGGGATACATCGCAGCCGCGACGCCTGGGCCCCGGCCACTGCGATCTGAGTCGTTGGAGACTCGGGTCTACGGAGTGTTAATCATGCATTGTACCGTTGCTAAGCGCTCAAGGTACGGTGCGTCAAGTACCGTACAAGGACTCTCAAAGATCCCGACTTCAATATGTATTTCAATGGTCGCGGTACACACTTATGAATATTTTTTGACACCGTTCAGGTGCTCCGGGTTCTGCCAGTGCAAGCTTCGCGGATAGTCTCGTAGCGCTCGCGCCGAAGTCGAGCGAGATCCGGATCGTACCAACCATACCGTGACGTACGTGCACCGATTCCAATCGGTCACCACCACAGACTAAGCCGAAATCCCGATGCCGAATTCAAGTAGCTGTGCGATGAAGAGCATCTCCGCGGATCCAACTTCTGAACCCGTCAGTTTCCTGTGTGGCACAGCGACAAGCACTGGGCCAGAGTCGGAGGCCGGTCCCGATTTCGGACTTGAGTTGAAGTTTAGATGCATACTTACTATTGGTGGGCAATCGACAATATTGTCGGTAGATGACGTAGCCCATCGACGGACAGTAAAGTGATCTGAACTTTTAACATTGATGGTGATGGACAGTATGAAGGGGGCCCGATGCTAGAGCGTCATTCCAGTATTGTAACATTCCACAGAAGCTACCGTCTTAGCCCTATTCATGATGTGCTTTGTTGCGAGGCGACAAATGCATTGGTATTGTGTGGATAGGGTTGACTTGTCATTGTGCAGTGTGAGCCTATGGCTTTGAATCCTGGTACTTCATACAATCAGTGACGTGACCTAATGTAGGTGCAAGCTTTCTACATGGAGACAGTACAGTATGCTGATACTCGTTCGTTTGTGGTTTTCCCTCTGAGCATAACCAGTATCAGCAGTTTTGAGTAAGGTGTTTGGGGTTCTACCTGTATTCGCATGACTGCCCCGCCCGGGTCTCAAACGGTGCCCCTACAGCCTTAGGTGCCAGTACACATTCTCTCCTCGATGATTTGTGCAACTCTTTCAAAGTGCTCGGTAATCTTCTCCAGGTATGCATCATCATTGCGGTCGGAAGCGTTACCCGCCGGTACGTCCAGAGTGAACGACGGAGCATACAGCGGGAATGCACCATGGTCTGGGATGTCGGTGTCCCGCTGCAGAGCTCGCCCAAGCTGCCCGAACCGGAGGTCAATCACACGCAGTTCGGATAAGATAACCAAACCACGCACAGCGATTGAAGTCATGTATGCCCATGCCCGTGCAGCGTTGGGATGGTTGTATCCACCTGTCGCTGTGATCAGAGAGTAACACGTCATCGCCAACAAACGTATGTGCTCACCGCCGCCGAGCATGAGCACCTTGCACCCCCATTGGTTGCAAACACGATCTATGCACCACCCCATACTTCCCTCACTATCATTTAGTGACCAGTTCCAGATGCCATGCGGGTCCCCCGCAAGTCCGTCGACGCCACACTGTACGATGACGCATTCTGGCTGGAAAGCTCCTTTGACGCGCTCGACTGATGGCCATATTCGAGCAAATGTTGCGTCCGTGGCACTCCGCTCGAGCGGCATCGACAATGTGAAAGGGTCGAACCGATCCGCGGAAGGGTCCCGTAGCGTCGCGAGAGACGAAGAGGGAAAGAAGCCCGGGGCACTGTGGTGAATAGACAGAGTCAAGATCTGTGGCCCCAGAGACGTCGCGGAAGAGTCCAGAAATGCCTCAGACACAGCGTCAGAGAAATGAAGGTCGAGATCGAGGTACATGACCCGAGGACGTCGCACAGAGGAGTCCGGCCCGCGGTGCATGCGTTTGAGGGTGAGTATAGCGAGAATGCAGTCAGCGACGTAGCAGAACCCGGATGCTTCTGACTTGCGTGCATGATGCCTGTTGTATCGTATAGGAGTAGTTCTGCTCGAATGCGGGGTGAATGGAGATACCTGCCGCCATCCCAACAGATTGCAATATCCGCACGATCCTCTCGGAGAGCACTAGCAGCTATCAAGGAACCCAGATGAAGCACACACATGCGATAGCCGAGGAGACCAACCTGTTAGAGTACCTCCTGCAACGAGGCGAACGTACTGACTGAGCCCGGCGAAAGGCGGACAGTCCTGTGGCAGAAGCGATGTTCAAGTCACATTAGGTGTCATCAAGCAGTAAATCATACTTCTTCGAGACCAAACTCCGCAACGTTTGAGTCATCAGGTGCACTTCCATTAGCAGGATTCAAGACAAACTGTAGATAATCCTGAGTGTGATATGCGCCAAGATCTTTGTTGTCAGCAGGAACAGGCCTTAGAACTTGCAAACGAGTATCTTTCGGACACTTTGCCGGGTCAAGCAGTCCATAGGCCTTGACAAGTGCATGGACCAGCAAAGAGCGATTGCTGTTTGACGGGAGTAAAGAGGATGCCTACAACACGATGAGCTTGTGCCACACGCGTAGCGTTCGATGCTGACCTTGACAAGCTCGTTGGATACGATATAGCATACTCGTCGTACGTGTTCAGACTCCCCGTCCATTGCGCAAGTAGACTGAGCAGGCGATGAACGCGTCCCGATTCAAGGGACGACGCGGGTGAGGGAAGGGATGAAAGCAATCAGCGGCCGCGGCCGCACGCGTCGCGTCGCGTCACACATGTGGGCAAGCGCCGTCACGCATGCCGTCACACCTACTACTCCGCGGGTCCTGGCCGTAGCAGGAACTGAGGAAGAGCTGAGGGCATGATCGAGCAAACACTGTTGTAGGGAAGAAGCCACACTCAAACAGCCGCTGTCTGCCCGATGCGTCGCATTATCCACAGGCTGGTCTAGAGTACAAGTACCGTTTATATCATGTTGTATATCGTACCAAGTCGTCCCCATCTAAATGTGACGTCGTTTACAGCTATACATTTTTTACATACGCCAGCCAGCGTCAACTCAGGTCGCCTTACACCGGTCCACAGAAAACACGCTCGGGTCGGGGTTACCCCACCACAAAGGGAAATCGACCGCCTTGCCACTCGCGCCGAACACGGCAAAGGACTGCGTGGACAGTCCCTTCAGCAACTGGACACAGGGAACAGCGCCAGAAATAACGCACCAGAATGAAGATGATGACCTGGCTGCCGCCGTCGAGCGCGGCGGACAGGAGGTAGTTGTACTTCTTGAACCAGCCGGGGCGGTACTTGCGGAGCCACCACTGGCTCGCGAAGCCGATCACGAAGCACGACCACCACTGGCCGTTGACGGAGTACGGCAGGTAGCCGACGTAGAGCGAGATGATGGGCATGTTGACGTAGCTCGCGAACCGGTTGACGAGCGTGCCCGGCTTGGTGTAGCGGTGGAGGAGCCAGAACGGGACCGGGAGCAGCAGGCCGATGAAGATCGCGAACGCGAGCATGTCGTACCGCTTGTGTACCGAGTAGAGCTCGGTGCCGAGCGCGCCTAGGGCGACGGACGCTGAGTTATATTGCTGGATGATCCAGCCCGACCACTAGGAGAGCCCACGGATCAGTTAGCTGTTGAGTGCACGCACAGCAAGAGGTGCATGTGGCTTACGACACGGGTACCCGTCGGGTCCTTAAGTACTTCACGGTTCGCGTCGACGATAGAGCGCATCACTGGGCAGGACGTGAGCAGGTGGCTGATGGGTCGAGCGAGTAGGCTTACTCGTGTAGTTGAAGATAGAACCAACAATCGAGCCCAACATCTGGGCAGCGAAGGTCGCACGGGGTGGCAGCTTCGTGTACTGGCCTAGCTTGAGATCTATGCCCCATGTCAGTCGCACTCAGGGTCTTTCACGGAAGGACCACATACGTACCCTGCAGCATGTATAACGTCTGGAAGGTGGTCGAGTTGCCGTACAGGTTGACGTACATGACCGCAATGGGCTGGCCTGGATGGATGAACGCAGCGAGGATCTGGATCGCATACTTGACTGAGATGTTGAAGCCCGTCGTCGCGGTGATAAAGCCGAGCGCGATGGCGAGGAAGAAGCTGATGACTGTGAAGAGGATGATACTCCACCAAGGGAGGAGCGCAGAACCAGTCGTGTACTGCACTCAGAACACATATATCAGGCCAGCGGGTGAGGTTGATAACAGAGCGGACGCACACTGCAGCCAATGCCGATGGCGAGGGAGATGACGAAGAGCGAGATGTACCACCAGGCGGGCACCTCCTTATACTTCTGCATCTCGCGCCAATGTGGGTCGTCGATCTCGATCGGCTCGCGGATGCGCCTCAAGGTCGAAACGGCATGTTTTGCGGCTGTACACACACGGCGACACAAACACCCACATCTCGTAAGCGCAGCCCGCGATCACGCCATAGCGCAGGCACGACTCACCCTTCTTGAGGTCCGACCAGTACCAGAGCAAGACGTGCACGATGCACGCGCCGAAGGAGAAGTTGTAGCACATTTGGCTGATCGCGTACGTTGTCGTGTAGTACGGTAGGCCGACCTCGGCAAGCGCCGTCCTGTTGAGCGAGTTGTCCGGGTTCAGGATCAGGCTCTGGTCGTACGTTGTGCCGTTCTCGAAGAAGAGCGACGTCGACATCCACTCGAGCTCCCGCCCACCGAAGACGTTTTTGTAGTAGCAGAGCGTCAGCACGAGGTAGCCGATCGCCATGCCCAGGTAGGAGTTGACCTCTGTCGGGGAAGAGGGTGCATTAGTGGGTGGGTGAACAGAGGACGGAAGGTGACGCACGAGTCTGGAGGGGCCAGACGAGAGGGAACCCCTGCGTGATAAGCGTCCAGCTCGTGCTGAAGCTGAACAACCCGATGCCTTCGTTGGAGGATCCCGCACCGAAGAGGTTGCGCACAAAGTCATGCCTACCGTTGTCGGCGAGGCAGATAATCGAGATGGCAGTGAGCAGCGGGAAGGGGTACTGCGGAATCCTGCGAGGAAGATGAGCACCGGACGACCACCACCACGAAGAGCCGAAAAGACGCACCACTCCCAGCAGAAGATGGCAATGAAGACGATCCAGAAGAACTTGCGGCGCTTCTGGTTTAGCACGTTGCCGTAATGGAGGGACTGGAGTAGGTTGACGACCGAGATGTACGTCGGGTAGAACGCGTAGGTTGGGTACACCAGTAGCTCGCGGAGCACACCAGCGATACCGTACCCAATCATCTGGCTCGCGAAGATCTGGAAGATGGCGACGGCTGCATTCAGGCGGATGTCATAGAAGAGGTCGAGCGCAGCGATGATCTCCATCGCCACGGCCACCGTGGACGCAGTAGAGGCCATGATCACGATCGCAGTATGTTCTGTGGGCGTGAGATTAGCGTTGAGATGCGCTGCGGTGAATGATAACAGAAGCTGATGATTTACCCTTGATGTTGAAGGGACCGGGGTTGAGGTAGCGCCAATAGCTGTGCGAGGGCATGATGACGTGCATGGCCGTACCGAGGACATAGGCGATAATGAGACAGAAGAGTTGAGAAACCGAGGCGTTCTGTAGCACACGAGATGAGGGCCGAAGGGGACATGCAGATGACTAAGGTGCATACCTGAGGCTTGAACGTGTAGATAGTGGAGAGAACGGAACCGAAGGCACTCAGACCGACGCCAAGGAAGAGGGTTCGGAACGTCCACGCAGGGAGTTCAGGATGATCCTCCGAGCTCAGAATCTACATGTGCAGGCGGTCGTGTGAATCGACATGAGGAATGCAAAAGACATGCACGCACTTCGATTGCGACTTCCTCGGCCTTCTCGATAACCTTGACCTCGGTGTCCTCGTCATACGGCACCTCGTTAACGTCGACCTTCTCGTGATCAAGATACGCATCGGAGTCCTTCTTGGAGGAAGATTCGGGGGTGCGCATCTTCTCGATGGAAGAGGTGGAGAGCTGGCGCTCAAGCTCGTCGGGGGCGTCGCTTGTCAGTGTCGGGAGCATGACGGGCAGACAGAGGCAGGCGCGGGGCCAGTAGAGTTGACTCGGAGGTCGGGGGAAACTCTGGGGGAGGTGGCTGGCGACATTGGGAGCATGTGGAATGATATTTATGTGATGGACTGGGAGTAGCGGCAGGCAGTAGAATATTTGCTATCTGGCCGGGTTCTATCTGCTGAGTGCACCTGAGCGAGTTGTGTGACGCTGGGCGATCCCAGGCAGGAGAGATAAGGCTCCCCCAGATTGCCGTCGTTCCTGGCCATTTCGCGTGCATGCTGTCCTACTTAGCACTTCTCAGTCCCGTTGTTGACCCTTGCTGCCTCCGCGTTGTGGCCGTGGTGGTTCATGAGCGTGGTGGCAGTGCGCATCGTGTATACTCACGCCCGTTCTGCAGGCGGATCAATGCAGATCCAAATCGGGCAAGTGAGTAGGAAAGAACACTCCGGGGGATCGAGATCCGATGTGGCATGCGGTCCGCCTCCGAGTGTATCGCAGTCACCCAGTACCAAGGAGCGGCATTCAACATTGTTCGCGGCAAGGCACACGTCAAATCCCGGCAAGCATGTTGCGGGAAAAGGGTTCGCAAGTTCGTAGCCACCACGGCACAGCACAAGCAGGCCAGCCATACTGGGGGAGGCACTGGTCGGCGCCAGCCGCGCTCGCTCTCTCTAGCTATTGCGCGCTTCGACATACTATACGCCCGAGACTTCCACAAGGCCTCCGCTGACCACACCACGGCATCCGTCATCTACGGCTCAATCAGACCTGCAGGCGTGCAATATATTGATCATGGTGAGTGAGTGCGTATGCTGATCAGTGACAGGAAACGACGACGATGTTCTCTACCTTGACCCTCGCGGGCGACAACATACCGGCGGCCATCACCCTCCAGACCAGACGACTTCCCATGTCGTCAGTTCGACTTTCACCGCAGTGCATACCGGATTAGACCAGACTGGTTCGAAGCCATCGCCACGGCCATTTATCTCTGAAGATAGGAGAGCGTATAGCCGGCGGTCGATCTGCCGTAGTCTACTCCGCTGAGATCGTGGCCACGTCAGAGAAGGGCGACATTCCCTCCTCGGATCCACCTCCGTACGAGCAGCAGCTCTGCGTAAAGATCGCGCGACCCAATCGCCGCACGGGAAGCGCAAATATACGACCAGTTGACCCTCGGCCAGGCGTCATCGCGCCGATGGAAGCCAGACCCAGAAGCGCCACTGCTGGCTGTCATTGTCATGTCGCTCGGGGGCGCAACTTACACTGGAGACGACGATCAGGATGAGGCTACACAATGAGTCGAGGTTATTGTACGTCTAGTATTGGCCCCCAAATCTTCGGCTTACACAGAGAGGACACCCGTACGATGCTGGACGACTTGTCGGACATCAACCTCATGCATTGTGACCTACGTCCGAATAACTTGACCGCGTGCGTACACCCACTGGCACGAAGCCATGCCCCAAGCACAATTGCGTGCACAGGTTCAACCTCATCGACTTCGCTTGGACTATTTCCGACAACAAGAATGGGGACGAGGACGCGAAGCTGCGTATCATACGCAAGTCGGAACGCGAATGCTATCGAGGCGCGTATTTCTGGTACGGCTGTTGCCCTTGAGCTTGAGCTGTTATCCAAGTTGGTGCGATCGATCAGTCAATATCGCTCAGCCCATATTCACGGTCCTGCGTGTGCCTGGGCGAACTCCAACCTCGGCTAAGATAAACACGCCCTCTCACCTTGGCAGACTGCGGTGCTCTCAGCCCCTCGTACCTGCTCGTGTGCGCACCATAATTCAAACACACGATCGCGAACGATGTCTGGGCTACCGACGAGTCAACGGACCGATGGAGAGCAAGGCGTTTCCGTGGACTTCGGGTTGGTGCTTCCGATTGCTCTGTCTGTGCCAAAGTTTGCGCTGCTGCTGGACCTGGCTGACGAGCTGGAAATAGTCCGGGCTACCAACCAACAGAAAGAAACATCCCTCAGCACTCCCTCAGCGGTATTTCCACCGGCTCGCCAGCATGTACAGTACAGCTTGACGAGCACAGCCAACCGACAGGGCTAGCAAACCAAGAAAACTTCGATTCATGTCAGATCGTCACACAAAATATCAACCTCCTAGATCGCACGGCTCCTCAGTCCAACGCGCCAGCCCCACTCAGATCCAAACCCAAACGCGGACTACGCCTCCGACTCCCGCCCCTCCCCATGCTTCTGATCCGCGTCCAGGCGCGCCCGCACTTTCTCCACCTCGCGTGCCCAGTCTGTGCGCATGCACAGCCAGACGCCAACGATGCCGCAGTAAAAAAGCGACACCGTCAGCCCGATCCAGAGCCCATACAGATGCATGTCCTGCCAGAACGTGAGCCAGAGGCCGAATGGGATGCCTACGCTCACGATAGGTCAGTGAATCAGAGGAGACGGGTGACGAAAGGGCGCGTACCGATTACGTAGTATGCGCTGGTGGGGAAGGGAAATTAGTGGCTGGGAGAAACATCTACACGGATGCGTACCTCAAATTCAGGAGTGCCCCAGTAAACTGCAGACATCTGTATTAGCTGGGACACGATGGTGTTGGGAGACACTGCTGCGCTCACCTGCTTGCCAACCGCGCGGAGGATGCCACCCGTCACGCCGCCCAGACCGTCGAACACCTGGAAGAGCGCGACGATGGGCAGGATCGAGGCGACCAACGAGACAACCTCTGTGTACGCCAGGTCGTCAATTATAAGCACTCGTTCCGGGGTACGGAGGAACATACCCGGGTCGTCGTTGAAAAGGTGCGCCCACGACTTTCGGAAGATCATGAACATCGCACTGAACCATACACCATGAGCACACTCCAACTACTCACTCACCTCGACCAAGCAGGCCGCGGAACTCACCTCCAGACCAAGCTGATGGCCAAAGACATCAGGATTGCCGCGTTCGCTGCGACGCCAGCGCGCTTCGCCTTCTCTTCTCCCAGCAGGTTGCCGACCCTGTAGCAAGGCGCAAGGTGATCGAGTCAGGAGGAGAAGTAAGTCGGCGGCAGGAGGGAAGGGGAAAACATACCGCACGGAAGTCGCGACGCTCAGCGCGAACGGCGCCTGGTACGTTGTCGAGCCCGATACAAGGAGCACCGACTGGGTGGCGAGCGCGATGGGACCCAACCTAACCACCCAAGCACATCACAAACGCACGTCAGCATAACCGGCTCGCCGAGGTGGCACGGAAGGTCTGGCACGCACATACTAGCCGCGACTGCCCAGGTAGGTAAGTCCGTTAGTCTCGGGAACGTGACAAAATAGTAGAAACCCACTCACGTCCGACGAGCTCCCAGGACCACCATTCTGACGCGGTTTGGCCTGTGCATCACGCTCGGTCAGCAACTCCATTATCTACTGGGGACGAAATAACGCACCGACACCCGCGAGCCCTAGGTGGACGAGTACGCCGAGGCTCGTGAAGCACCGCCGGCTCAGGGGGTGCCACGCCGTGCGCGGGACGCAGAAGATGCCGTACGCGATCGACGCCAACGAGATCAAGTTGAACGACACCGCCGTCGCAATCGGCGCCCCGATGAACCCCAGCCGCACTGGCTCTGGCCCCCACACTGCCGCCCGTGTTAGTCGCTGTCAGAGGACTGGAAGGTGGCGCGCACCTAGAACGTAGTTGAGCGCGGCGTTGATGGGCGCGATGACCATGATGATCCGCGTGGGCACCGCGAACAAGCCTGCCACGAGGATACGTCAGTAGGAGGAAAGGGGCGTGCCTTGGACCCTCCGCAGTCGTGGTGCACGCACCTTGGGACTGGAAGTACCGCCTGGAGATAACGTGCGTATCAGCGACAGCGGACCGATACGAGCGCGGGCGGGACGCACCTAGAGATACCATTGAAGGCATACGCGGGCAGTCCGATGACGGACCACTTGAGGTACGTCGCGGCGAGGTGCGCGACCTCGGGCTCTTGCTTGAGGAAGAGCAGGATGCTCTCGGAACTGAACCATATCAGGATGATAGGCTATCGGATCAAAGGTAAGGTTAAAGTTAAAGTCCATTAGAGATTAGACGAATCATGAGTTCATGATAGACGCACCACTAAGACAGCGGTCATGACGACAGCTGGAGGCTGGGGTTAGACAAGGCATTACCAAGAAGGACATGATGTACTGTGCGCATCACCGCAACTCGGATAAGCGTCTGACGTTGAGTTCGCTACACACGATCAGGCCCAGTGGCGAGCACAGGTGCTCCTCCTTCAGCGCTCGGCGCTGAACCCTGTATGCACCCACGGCGAACACAGCGACGAGACGCTCCTCTTATCGTGAAGACTCACGGACCAGGGTCCAGTGGGGCTCCGGTGTAAAGTGTGACGCGGGCCTGCAATATCCACGCCGCGGTGATGCACATAGTATGACGACGGGCACGCACCCATGCGTTGAGCCCATAGCCCAACGAGCTGCGGTTGTGACGAGGTCCATGCGCCCGGAAGCATCGTGTCCAGGGTGCTGGTGAAGCCCTGGATGATGCTGAAGCCTGTTACGCTCGCGGTCATGGATCCGAGGGTGGACGCCGCAAGCGCAGTGGTGGACAAGTGCCCTATGGACACGACGGACGCAATGACGAGCGAGTACTCCAATACGTGTGTCCTGTGATGCCTCCGTCAGTGCGTAGCCGACAGCATAAGACTGGGAGCACCCACCCAAAGACAGGCAAGGTGTACTTTGCCAATATTTTCGTTTCTTCCTTCAACATGCTCGAGTAGCTCTCCGCATCCGCGGTGTCTACCTCTTCCTCAATACGAGGAACGAGAAGTGGTGTGTTTTCCGAAGCATCACCCGGGTTAGCTGGGCCAGACCGGTAGCCCGACTTGTCGGGCAGTGGGCCCACGATGGGCTTGAAGGAGGAGATATAGGAGGTCGGGAAGCTCCTCCGCCTGCCAACCTGTTTCGTGGGTATCGTGAGGCCATTGCTATGCCGTTCAGGCGAGGTGTCGCTCTCTGAGATGGCGCCTTCGTCGTCTGCAGGGTCCTCGTCATGTTCGTGGGCTCCATTGGCGGGGTGCATGTCGTTGGCAGCAGCGTAGCGGGAGAGGAGGGCGTAGTCGGAGGGGAGCGAGGAGGGCGTGGAATAGTGGGCGTACGTCTGCGACATGGTGCGCGGCTCGTACGCGAGTAATGGCGGTCGCGCCGAATGGAAGAGGTCGTCTGAGTCGCCGCCAGAGTCTCGGACACGCTGTGGCGATCCTTCATATGCCCGGGGAGGCGCCCGCAAACGCCATCAGACCAGCTGTCAGACACGTCCCGACGTCCGTCCGCTTCGGAGAACACAGACGCCCGCCGCAGACGCTGCCAGCAACGCGCTCTCTGAGTCTCTCACCCGCTCCGTCCATCTTCTCATTGAGCCCCATGGCGGACGCGGACAGCCACCTCGACGCGCCGTCCCTCAGGCCGCCCCTCGCCAACACATCAGCCCCGCGCGACAGGGAGCCTCCACACGCCGACCTCGACAAGCTGCGCAAATGGCAGGAGGAGAGAATCGCGCGCAAGCTCCGCGGCGAGTACGAGTCCGCGGTCCTGCACCTCGCGGAGGTGGTACGTCCCATGTCTCATTCTATCTGTGCAGCTGCTTGATCGAGCAGCGCAGGTCAATGACAACATGAGCACGCCTCTCCGCCTCGCCTCGATTCGCGTCGAGGGTGCCGCCAGGACCAGGCAGTCCTTCCTTTCCGCTCTTGTGACGCCGTTCCTGCCGCCCCCTGTTACGCCTTCCTTCTCCGCTTCTTCTGATCACTCGAGCTCCCTTGGCGATGTCCTGCACAAGGCGCGACACATCGGCTCCCTCCTGCAAGAGACCGACATCTTCCAGAGCGTCGAGGCGCGACTCGAAGGCAGCCGGGACTTTCTCGCGCGCCCGGGCGATGTCGACCTTGTCTTGCGTACGCGGGAGCGGGGCAGGTTCTATCTGAACACGAGCACGCAGGTCGGGAACAATGAGGGCGGTGCGGTGCGTAACGAAGCGTCTTACTCTTTGACAGGCTGGCTAACACCACACACAGAGCGCGACATGTCGCGTGCGCAACGCATTCGGCGGCGCGGAGCTCTTGCAGGCGAACCTCGCGTTCGCGACGACCACCCGTGTCGCGTTCTCTGCATCGCTCTCTGCGCCGCTCCTCCCTTACCTCCCCTACGCAACGTCTGCATCGTCAAATCCCAACCTCAACACGCGTGGAGAGATCTCGATCTTTGGCCACGAACGGGACAACACAACTTTCGCGAGCTCGTTTGAGGGCGTCCGGGGCCTGCGCGCTGCTGTCAGGGTGAGCTAGGTTAGCTTCTTCTGCTGCACATTCGGACGGGCTTTCTCACAGGACGTGGACTTCGTCACATCTGGCAGACGGGTACGTTGCGAAAAGGTACACACGAACTTGCATACGAGGGCGTGCTTCGGCATATAGGCAACCTCGCACCCACCGCGTCGATTAGGTACGTCCCGACTTCGCTTTGCCCCCTCTGTGCTGGGGTGCTCAGAGACGGTGGCTGGGTATAGCATACGCGAGGCGGGGCCCTCCATCAAGTCCGCCGTGTCACACACCTACATGCGCGACACCCGGGACGACGCGCTACTCGGCACGCAGGGATCCTACGTCAAGCTCTCGCATGAGCTCGCTGGGCTGGGCGGAGACACGAGCTTTTTCAAAACGGAGGGCGCTACGCAACTTGCGCGGAAGCTCTTGCCTGGTGTGGTGAGTCTCATGTCACTGTTCACTCGGATATCAGAAAGAGCTCACAGTCGGGTAGACAGTATCTGTGGCTGGGAGGAGCGGACTGCTGTGGGGCTTGGACGGACGTCCGGTACCGTTCTCAGATAGATTCCAGCTAGGTGGACCCATGAGCGTGCGGATGTTCCGTGCAAACGGGCTGGGTCCGCAGGATGGACGTACGTATTGCCTTGCCCATCGCGCTATGTTGTCTGACGCGGCCTTGTTGTTTAGCTGACTCGCTTGGAGGCGATATGTACTGGGCCGCGGGTCTGAGCGTCATCGGAGACATCCCGAGGCGGCCACATTGGCCTGTCAAATTGCAGGGCTTTGTGAACCTCGGCCGATTAGATTCGATGGATAAATGTAAGGCACTTCCTTCCATCCATATTCCACAGCTGACACTCGACAAAGCCCGAAGCCTGATCGACAACGTACGGGAAAGCATTAGCAAGCCGTCTGTGGGCGCAGGCGTGGGGCTCGTGTATAAGCTAGACGCGGTGCGGGTAGAAGTCAACTTCGGCGTGCCCCTCGTGGCGAGCAAGAGCGACGGTGTGCGGAAGGGGATCCAAGTGGGCATTGGACTGGACTTCCTGTAGACTGCGATTTGTTATGCAACATATCTTCGAACTCTCGAGCTCATTCCTCTGTGACAGTTATGTGTGAATTTACCAAAGATGAGGGCGACAGTAACGCTGAGCAAGTGCAGTGAGTGTAAATATTAATGGCCATGGTCACGGTGGAGGTTAATCACTACCGCTGCCAAAAACGGGATGGTACCGATGTGATCTGGCGGTGAACCTGATCGGGACTGGAGCGCCTATATATGTACACAATGCCGCTCCTGCGCCGGCGACTCGTCTCAGACTCATCTCAGCCCCCGCTCACTACTACATAACTTACCACTGTGCTAAGCTATACGCTTTACTGACTTCCCTAACCAAAGTGCTCAGCTTCCGCGCTTGAGGAACTGTGTACTGGCCTAAGGGGTATACTGCCGTCAGACCGAGGTCTACCAGACCATGTCACTAATCAGTGACCCAGAGTACGTTAGCTCATTATTCCTCCTCGAGAGGCTGGATGCTCACATTCAACAAACACATAGCTATCTCATTCATTCCCTGCGCCTGAACTATCTGCGCAACGTTGATGACCCCTACGGACCCCGCCTCATCTCGCTCGATCCTTCATACGATGCGAACCCCTACATCTACGCCGCGGGCCTCTCCGACGTCGAGAAATGGCCCGAGCTCGCCGTGCCGTCCAGTCCCGCGCCAAGCGACGACGAAGGCGACCCAAGCAGGCCCGGAGGGCGGAAGTTCGGCGCGACGGGCTTGAAGTACACCACGACGATCATGGGCCCGAGCAGGGTGGGTGGGATGGGCTTGCGGGTGAATGGGAAGAGGGCGTCGGCAGCATCCAAGAACTCGTATAGGTTCTCGATCCGCTCGGCGACGGAGGTGGGCCCGAGCGTGCCCCCTGGGGAGAAGAGCGCCATGGAGGCAGCGCAGGACGCACCAGCGTCACCATCGAAGCGCAGCGCGGCGGACGGGCCGGATGGGGCTGCTAATGGTATGTTTGCGCCTGCCTCCGACACGACTGCTGGTGCAGAGGAGCAGAAGGAGCCGCAGAAGACTATATCGCCGGAGTTCCACCCTCGATTCAAGGGCGCGGCGGAGATGGAGGCAAGACGCAAGCTGCGGATGCTCGCGAGGGCGCAGCCGCCTCCTACGGCGGCCCGCCCTCCACCATCGACCCAGTACATCTACCCGGAGCTGTCGTCCTCGGAGGATGAGTCGGAGGATGATGTGGACGAAGACATACCGGAGGACGAGGATGAAGATGAGTTCGATATGGTTCCGGAAGTGGACGACGCAATCGACATAGATGGCGAGGAATTCGATCCGTATGTTTCTTGTCCCAATGCTTGCACACCCATCTCACTCACACACTCCACAGTGACTTCGCAGCAAGTCGTGGCCTCAGCGGAGACCTCGACATGCACACTGATAGCGATGGCGTCTCCATCATGTCCGGCACCAACTCCATCATGTCCACCTCCGAGGCGTCCTCCATGGTCGGCTCCTCGCTGCCCCAAGGCAGCAGCTCTCGTGTGCGCAGCCGACTTAGCCCTGTGCGGGAGGGCCGGCACAGCGAGGAGACCTCCGTCGAAGCGCTGCCCGAGCGGCCAGAGGAATCCGCGCCCATCGAGCTCGGCTTCGACATGGTCATCCCTGCGCCCAAGGCGGACAAGGCGAAGGCTCCCGGCTTCCTCGCCCCGCCGACCAAGCGGGCGTTGGGCCCCTCGAGCGCGCCGGGCGAGAACCCATTCGCGCGTCGCCCCGTCCCGTCTGCGCGCCCGGGCCAGTCCGCGCTGAGCGCGATGCTCGCGGAATCGTCGGGCTCGTCGTCGAGCAATCCGTTCACGGAGCTTTATAGCGCGATCGCGGCCCGCTCTGATTCGGAAAGTATGGTAGTGAACGTGTACTTCCCGCATGTGCGCAAGCCTGCGGGCAAGCCGCTCGAGCTGAAGGTGCGGAAAGACGCGTCAGTGGAGGAGGTGCTTGGCTTTGCATTGTGTACTTACTGGGAGGAGGGGTGGTTACCGAAGATTGACGAGGGCTTGCAGGGAGAGGAGGATCCGAAGTGGGAGAGCAGATGTTCGGCGGTGGGTTGGGTGATGCGGATTGCGGAGGATGACGGAGAGGTGGACGAGGACTTCCCGCGTATGTCTGTCCACTGCGATTTGGACGTAGATGGCTGCTGACTGCTCTCATCTTATGCAGCGCCGGATCGCACGGGCAGGATATCGAAGTTCAACTTCGATGCTTATGCTGTGCTTGAAGCGAGTCAAGCGCAAGGTCTGTATAACCTGCTAAACATGCATGTTATCGACTGACCCACCCTTCAGTCCAACAAAACAAGGTGCTCGAGTCCAAGATCCAGCGGCGCGCTTCCCGCATCGTCATCAAGAAGAAGAAATCCACAGGCCTGCTCAACAACATCGGGGCGGCGAACGCCCTCGCACTACCAACCGAAACGCTGCTCGGGACGAGCGCCGGCCTGAGCTCGCTCGCGTCCTCCTTGGGCATGTTCCCCAGCTCACTCGGCCCCTCGACGAGCCACGGCCCGCCCCAGTTCCTGCGGATCAGGATTGCGGACACGGCGGATGCGGGGCACGTCTCGACGACTATCCAAGCGTACGTATCTCGTCGTCATTACGCGCACAGGCCAGCACTCAAGTGCGAGATACAGCTCTGGTGGCATGTACATGGCGGAGGTGCTCGAAGCGGTCTGCCAGAAGCGCAAGCTGAGCAACCCGAAGGACTACGCGCTCGTGCTTGACCACGGCGCGATGAAGGTGTACATCCCACTGGACCGGACGGTGAAGAGTCTGCAGGGCAAGCGCGACCTCATCCTCATGAAGCGGACCATGCTCCAGAACTACGGGGTTGAGATGAATACGGGCTCGGGGAGGACGACGGATCCGAATGGTGCGTTCACTGTGATCCTAAGATGGCTGTGAAGTTGACTGGCGTTCATAGCGTCTATCCTCAAGCGGCAATCGGAAGTCATCGACACGCCGTTCAACTCGATATTCGACCCGACAAATGCGTATAAGGTGCGGAAGTGAGGATGTGGGGAGTCTGTGCTGTTACTGACTTTCTTCGCCAGAAATATACTGTGTACCGCAAGGTTCCTATGCTGGTCACGCGCAGCGCACGGTTGCTCGCTATCGACGGAGGCTACCTTCACGTATGAACCCCAATCTTGCACCGTGACGACGCTGATCGGGTTCCTGTAGATCATACCCATGTCGAACAAGGCCAAGCACGTCTTCGAGAGCGGCAAGACATCCTCGTACCACCTCAAGAGTGTTGTAGCCTGTCAGCAGTCGAGCAAAAACAGCTCCACGTTCAAGCTAGTCGTCCGCGGCAACGCGGAGAGGAATAAACGCTATGACTTTGAGGCTGAGAGCGCCAAGCTAGCTGGTACGTGCAGTCGTGACATCGTGGGTACATCCTGGCTGAGCGACTTCTCTGTCAGCCGAGATCGTGCAAACAATACGGTCACTGAAAGTGGCAATGGAGAGGCCCGGGACCATCAAACAGTCGCGCAGGAGTAGGCATGTCGGATAGGAGGACGCTGTCGGAACATTGTATCATACCGCATGTTGGATACCAGGGCATTGTACTATAGCCGCATCCCCCATCATACCCTTCCGAATCATGACTGTGTTCCTTTGAGCCTTTTTCGGCGCACCGATGCATGACTCAATCAAGCGTAGCAATGCCAATTTGGAGGAAACACGGATTAGCGCGACTGCAGGGACATAACTGCAATCCTTTCAGTAAGCCAGCAACAGGTGCGCACGGTGATATGTGACTCACTTTACACAATGAGGGCCCATCCACGAGGACTATCGTGCCCTGCAAATTACCTCCCCGCCGAGCTGCAACTGCATGGCCTCCCTCGCCTCGAGCCACTCATGCTCCTGGTTGTTCGTCCGAATGACAGCCACCTCGCCCATCCTTAGTGGCTTGACGTTCTTCGCCCTCCGCCCGGTGCATATCCTCCGGATCTCCGACGGGTCCATGCTGATGCCCTTGCTGGGCTTGCTGACGAGCTCCATGTGCGTGAGGACCGGCCGGTCATCGCGATATTTGAGCTCGACCCAGATTCTCCTCTGGGCGTCGCCCGCCTCGCGAAAAGCGTCGGGTGAGGGTTCAGAGATGGTACCGCGCGTGAGCGAGGAGATGATCCCAGAGCGGAGGAGGATGGAGAGGATGCCGAGGTTCTGACGGGTGTGGTTGACGGCGATGCGGGCGTGCCTTGCACGGAAGGCATTTTGGACGCTCGAGCAGAGATAGTGTGGCAAGACCATGCTGCAGACCTTTTTGACAGTGAGTCAGAGTATTTAAGATAATAGAGAGTGGGAGAGAGGATGCGTACAGGCGTTGCAGACGTCCAGCGAAGATAGGCAAGAGCAAGGCCGGGTGTGACGGTCAGTGCGTGACCGCGCTTGTCTACACGCGTGACGCGACGCGACGCATCCGCTGCCCCTTGCTTTCATTCCTTGAACTTCACTCATGCGCGTCGCCTCTCACCGGATCCAAGCAGGACTCAGCATTGGCTTTGAAACGCGCCGACTGCCTCCTCAGTGATGGTCCAAATTGTTGTGCCATGAAAGGAGATTCGGAAAGTGTCGACGGCTGTGCTACTTACACGCAGTATCCAATGAGCTCGACGAGGTCCAATCGAGGCCACCGCGCCGTTCGAAGAACCAGCGATGCTGAGAACCTCAGGCAGACGCTGTGCGCTGTAATGTCGGGGAAGGGCCTCTTCTGCAGCGTGTTGTCCATGTGTTTGAGGACGCAAGATGTCACTGTCCTCTGAGAACTTCGTGATATCCCCCGGCATAACGCGAGCGGATGCAGCAATGCACATGGTAAGTGCGAATACATCGTAACTCAAAGACTCACGGCTTCACATGTACAGTTCACGTACTTAAGCTCTCAAGCTCTCACGACTCAATAGCCACCACCTCCAGCTTGCCGCAATCTCAACCACGCTCGCAATCGGAGAGTATCATGGCGTCCGTATACGCATCGTCCTCTTCCCTGCCACCAGCCGCTGCTAGCTCATCGAGCAATGATCGCAAGCTTGCTGATGCCTATCGCGAGGCCGTTAAGCCTGAACACACCGGTGCTCGTTACACCACCGTGCCACCATTCTTTTCAGACGAACAGCGCTATCTCGATGCCTGGACATCCACTAAGGTGATCCAAGGCCTTTCACAGATATTCCCGCGCTGCCTTGCTGCCGAGGTACATCGTCGCTCCAGTTCTCTCATCAGACGAGCCGCTAACCTCACCACAAGGCAGAGCCCCTTCATCTCGAGGGGCTCTCTACCGATGCCCTTGCGCAAATGATCGATGCAAAGGAGGCCTCCGTGTCTACGCGTCGTGCCGAGCTTGAAGTCATGCAGGCCCAGATCGCTGAAAAGCGCCGTCAAATCGATCTCCTCCATTCACTCATGGAAACTCAGAAACTCAGCATCCGGCTTGCAGCGACTCAGTTGAAGGAGGCAGAGTCATATGCCCGTGCGCGAGGCATCGACATCGAGGCTGAATTGGCAAAGAAGGAGCGGGCGCGGGAGGAGAAGACTGCCGCTGAAGCTCGTGCTTCAGGCGAGGACGAGGACGAGGGCGATGAGTCTGACGAGGAAGGCGACAGTGACGGGAGCTCTGTTGACACGGTGATGGCCGGTCCCGCGGGTGGTCGTGAGCGAGTTGCAAAGAATGGGATGCAGCAGTAGCTGTGCTGAGGCAGTTGTATGTCTCTCTATCTGGCTCTTGTATTGCTTGCTGACCCCGTGTTTGTACACTCAATGCGTGCGTTGACCATATAGCTCGGTCTATCTCCATTGCTTAGACATGTGCAAGTTGCTCTTGTTTGCTGGCGTGCCTTCCTCTGTGCCACTGCTACCGATACGCGTTCGCTCTGTTTCTCTGCCACTGGCTAGCTGGGATAGACAGTGATGCTATACAAATAGGTCTCGAAGAACTTGAACTTCACGATGATGGGATCCGAAGTTGGTAACAAGAAATGATGACATCTCGGGGTACATGCCCTTGGATATAGTCCAGTTAGATAAAGGATATCATTTGTGCGCACGAAGGTCGTTCGGAAAGTCTGAATGGGGAGTCCGCGAAGCATATTCAACCAAAAAGGAAACACGGGAGGCGTATTGAAAGCGGGGGTATATTAGACGCCGAGCCGATCACTGTCGGGTACCATCATGAACGTCATTATTGCCGCCCTCGCGCCCGACCCGCCACCGTCGCCGCTGCTCGACCTGCCCACCGAGCTCATCGTCCGCATCCTCGCCCGCCTCCCCTGCCCCGCCCTGCTCGCCTGCAGACTCGCCAACCGATCCTTCTGCACCCTCATCGACGCTGACACAAGCCTCCAATATACCGTCGAGCTCTATGCTGCCGGAGCAGTCGACAACCCCGCCTCGCGCCATGTCCTGGCCGACCGCCTGCGCATCCTGAAGGAGCGTGAGAGGGCATGGCACCGCTTGGAGTTTTCTCGCATCGCGCAGATTCAGGTGCCACACAACCCCTCGAGCATATACGACCTCACCGGCGGGATGTTCCTGCTCGGCGAGTCCTACTCGCGACTGCTGCCTGCGTGGAGGTCTACGGACGCAACGCGATCCATCAATCTGCGGGCTGCCTTGAAGGCCAACAGTACCGCGGATGCACTAGACGGCCCATGGGCACATATAGACATCCACTCGAAGATCATGGACGTCGGGATCGCTGCGCAGGAGCATGACTTGATCGCAATCGTGACCTACTCGTATGTACCATCTCACCACTCGCCCTTATGCGCAGTCACCGCGGGAGAAACACCTTTTTGGACTCCGAAAATCTTGAGAACATGGGAGTCTACGGGGAACTTTTTCAAGTACGCGAAAACCCTAGAATCCCTTCTCTGGAGGAGGGACGTGGGCGCGCAACGACTCAGAAGTGTTGTGCGCCTATGCACCTCTGCGATTGACTAGTGCTTCGCCTCTCCAGATCGCTGTTGTTTGACGATAACCAGCCTTTTCGGCATTCTAGCTAGGTCCACAATGTTGGGCCCCGCACAAAAGTGCGGATAGGAGCGGAGGTCGTCGGACGTTGGTACCGAGCGATCCGGATACTTGCCACTCAACCTGGGCCACCGTAGCCAAGGTCGCGGCTGCCTGGCTCAGCCTGGCCGCATCGGAGTCTGCTGCGTCCGGCGACCCCTTATCAAACCCGCTGGACTCTACGTACGTGTGTTTGAGAGGCGCGGGGGCCGACAGTGTGGGCTTAGCTGTCATTGTGCTTCCGACAATGTTCCCCGTAACACTACTGTTCTTGGCGTTTCAAGAGTCCCAACAAGTTGAATTTGCCCGCGGCGAATACTAATTCTGCCACTGACTGGATAGGTTTAACGTAGCGAACGAATTACTAGCGGACCTCAGGATCCACTTGATCAAACTGTCGAGCGGAGGCCACCATCCCGCTGCGTCCCAGCCTGTCTTACAGGTCCCGAGGATGCCGTTTTTCCCCGGCCACTGCAGCGTCTCGATTGAGATCGTCGGGGACACGCTCGGCGTCCTCTTCAACTCCTCGCGCCTCTTGAATGCCCGGGGAGACGCGACGCCCGCCGTTTCGTTCTACGTCTACAACTGGAAAACTGGAAAACTGAAATTCGTCAGTCGGATGTCTGCCTTTCCTTGCGCGAAACAGCTCACGGCTGTCTCCAGACACGCACGGCAAACGGGCCTCATTATAACGCGTTCTGCTTCCTCTCGCCAGACGTGATCGTTCTCCCGAACATCACCGCCCGCTCGCTGGAGCTCTGCTCACTCAGCGTGCCCGAAGGCTCCTCCGAGGACCCGGCGCCGCTGCAGACGCTCTGCAGCCTCGCGCTGCCCCAGATCACGTCCAGCACGCTCCTGCACCGGATCTGGTGCCGCGCCGAGCCGAACGCGCTCGCGACGTGCAACGGCACCTTCGCCGACGCGCCGTTCTTCAGCGACCCCGCGCGCGCGGTGATCATCTTCAACGTCGTCGCGCAGGATCTGCTGAACGGCACGCTGCACTACCTGTCCCTCGTCGTCCACCGCTCCTCGCTCCTCGCGCGCCTCGAGCTCGCTCCCCAGCTCTCGCCGGCATCGTCGCCGGCGATGCAGCCCCCGCGCGTGGAGTGGGCGGAGTGGGGCCCGCCTGCGTGCGTGTGGCTCGACGGCGACGGGCTCGCGATCCGCTGGATCACCGTCACCTGCGGGCAGCGGCTCGTCGTCATGAGCCGGGAGAGCCCCGCGCCCATCCTGATCTACGACTTCAACCCGCGCGCGGTCGCACGCCGGACACACGCGGCTCGTGCGCGGGGACGGCTCGTCCGTGAGTCGGCGCACAGCGACCTGGAGTGCGACGGCGGCGGGGCGAAGACGGTGTTTTTGCGGCGCGCGGCGCTGCTGTCGACGGTGTTCGAGGAGCCGGTGCGGTCGGAGATGGGGTACAGCGTGACGGAGACGAGGGAGGAGTATGACTACGAGAGCGTGATGATGGACGAGGGGGTTCTGATCGGGGTGCGGGTGCGTGCTGTTGGTTCAGTCGTCGGTGCTGTTTCTGACGCTCGAAGCAGCTGGACACGGAGGCGGACAATATCGAGAGTCTGGTGCTGCATGCGGTCGGGCCTGTGGCGTGAAATGTAGATCACTGTGATGCACCAGTGAAGTGCTGATCCTCGGATGGTGGCCAACAGCTCCCTACTCAACTCATTTGTAATTCAGATAACGACAAGTAGCTCTACTAGGAATCAATAGAACCTTATGCACTCTCATCGAGACTACCTGCTATAGCAGCCCAGTGTACTAGGAACGGAAGATTGCCGATCAAGTTCAGATTCAAATCCCGCGTGCCATCGGATTCGTTGTACAAGTTGTACCATACGACTGTAGTCCGTCCTTGAACAACGGAAACGGCCGCGACACTGCGGGCATGAAGGTGGAAGACCAAGGATCGTATTGCGCGCGGGGCACTGTAAACGAGCGACTGATTACGTGGGTTACGGTACGGTACGAGGCTCTTCTCTCTACTTGAGCATGGATCATTCTTAGCACTGACATACGTCTCGGAGGCGCGGAGGCGAGTGCACTCCAAGCCAGGTAAGTACTACATGCACACATCAATTGTAGGACGCGTCCAACGTGACGTTCGCATTGATTGTCCCGTTTTCGTAGCGGATCCACGACTGCAGAGGGCCCGTCGGGTCAGGCGACGAGAAGATGATGTTGCGCACGCCGTGGCCCCACCAGGAGTCGCTGTACCCGCCGTAGCTGCACAAGATCGAAAGACATCCGCATCAGCAATGCCCTGGCTTAGGCTATCGCTCAGATGAGACGATACATACCCGGAGTGCTTGCCGAAGCAAAATATGACGTTCTTTGTCGGCTCGCGGACGCACCACTCATTGCCGTGATCTACCAGGACGGCGGGAGGTCGTTGCTAATCAATGAGACGCCCTGGGTGAATAAGGGGAACGTACCGTGGCCAGAGAAGACTGCGTGTAGGTTGGGCACGTATTGGTTGAGCGCGTCCCAGAACGGCTGGTCTTTGCCGAGGTTGGCGGACTCGGTCGTCGCCTCGGTGGAGCCGGAACCCAGGACGTCAGCTGTCGGAGGGGAGATGAGACGATCATGTTCGTCTGGGGACACCAAAGGCTACAACGTACCGTTGAGTCCGGGATCGCGGGTGCTATTCAGGTCGGGTTGGAGGGCCTGGATAGCGTGCCTGCGAAGAACGGGCTAAGCGTATGAAGAGAACCACGGTGGCGGAAATCCGCTCACGGAGGGATGTGGACGAATGCGAGAGCACCCCGAGAGGTGCTAGCGGGACCCCATGCCGCGTCCATCGCCTCCGCTTCCGACTGAATCCAACCTGCGACGGTCTCGTCGACCCAGTCGGGCACCGCAGTTGAGTTTTCTCCCTTGCTAAAGCCACCTGTTGGCTGTCCGTAAAGATGTGCATCGTTATTGTAAATGAAGACGTACCCCGTGAATCGAAGAACCACAAGACGAGCTTCGGGGTAGCGTCTGAGGTAGCATCCAGGTCAGCCGCCCGTTCCAGACATTAGACCAGATTCGCGAATACCAGAAATATGCTCGTACACCTGAATTGCGCATTGGGTCAGCAGGAATGCTATAGGTAGGAACAGAGAAGAGTCACGCACAGGTACCCAGTACGTTCCGGGTCCTTGCTCGCCGCCGATGCCAGGCGGCGCGGTTCGCGTGTAGCTGAGCGGCGCGACCAGCTGCTCGCGCTTGATCTCCTCGAGGTGCGTAATGTTTGGTTCGTTGTCGTGATTCTAGATTAGGTATTTTTATTAAGTGAAGCATCGAGGACGAGGCAGAGACGTACGCCTTGCGTAGACGAGAAGGGTATCTGCGCTGTATTCAGAGGAGCGACGATCTCGTCTATGAGATGCGTCGAGTTCTGTCGGAAGGTGTCTACGTGATTTGATCATCCGCTGTGAGAATGCACTCGGGATAGTGATCTTAGCAAGGTCAGACTCACTCTCGCCAGTGATCAGGTCCCCGTTCAACACCCTGTCATGCCAATTAGATTGCCCTGTTGACATCGTAAGTCTCCCGTACTTACACATAGTCCGGTTTTTCGTCGGCCAAGACGATGTTCATCAACTCCGTGCTGTTGATGTCCTGTTGCGGGCCCCAGGCGTCCCATGGGTTCTCGCCGTAGTGCAGGTCGCAGAAGACAGTGATCTTGAACGTGCCATCCGGGCGAAATGCGATGCGTGGCTTGGTGGGGTATGGGTCCAGATCAGCGACGAGCGACGTCTCTGAAATAGAGTCAAGTAGAGTTCAGACTTCCATCATAGTGAACGGCATACGAGAGCGTGCATGCGGAGCTGCACTAGCTAGCCTGAGGGGCAACATCAGGCTGCCCCACAAGCCAAACCACATAGCGATCCAGTACGTGAATGCCATGGCTGCTACGTGGTCAAGGGCTAGTCGTACGCGTCAGCGTCAGCCACGAAAGCTTCCCAGTACGAGACTGACGACGGCTCTTTATAGCAGTTTCGCTGATTGGGAGTAAGTTACCGGTGTGAGGAAGGATCTCAGGAAGCTCTCACCAACGTGCACCGTACAAGATACGAGTCTGGCTGTCCACAAGAGGGCCGATGTGCACGTTCGCCGCAAAAGCCGGAGCCGGTCAGCTTCGAGTTACTTTTATGCGCCCGCACAGCGCCCGGCGCAGAACAGAGAAACTGCAACAAGGAACGCTCCAGTAGCGCCAATCATAATGGATCGTCCGAGTCGGGAGTCTCATCAAAGTCCATATGGGTAGTGTGTTGTGTCACGACGGTCTGCCAGCCGCATTTGCATCTTAGTATGCCGAAGACCAGTCCCTTCAAGGTGTGGTGATGTCTTTGCAGGTCGCGGCCCCAGGTCAGAGCTTTGCCCCCCTTATGGCCAGGTGGGTTGCACAAGGGGTATGTTAGCACTTACAGATCATGTCCGCCCGCGCTAATAGTGGGGTTAGCTGCCTCCTACATACAGACTTCGAGTTCGAGTAAACATCTACCAGTTCCTTGGCAGCAATCACCATAATTTAGGATATTAATAATACATGTCCTACCACGAAGCCGAACATCCTGAATCGCGATCAAGACTTGGGTTCCGGCATGTCAACCACTCCCTCCGTCCGGGTGAGACTCGCCGCTCCGATCCAAACACTCCGCTCCTGGTTCCAGTCGACGATCCCGTCGTAGTTCCTGCACCGATGCTGCGTGCTGAAGTCGGGCCAGGGCCTGCCGTGGTCCGCGACCCAGTTGAAGGTGATAAGCCCGACGTCCGCGGTGCACATAAGGCTCTGCCGCAAGAGTTCGACGCAGTGGTCTGGGGCGCCGGGCGGGTCAGCGGGGAACGGGAAACGGCGGGGCGCGCTTGGGGGACTTACCGAGGTGCACGCGGTAGAAGGCGGGATCCTGCTGGTAGCTGTCGTCGAGGGGCGCGTAGTAGTCCCAGTACGTGTTCTTGCGGAGCATGTTCTGCGAGCTCGGAGGTGAGCTGTCGACCCCGGTCGCGGATTACACTTCGAGTTGACGACGTACCAGACAGTGCATGTGGTGCGCGATCTCGAGCGTCGCGACGTAGCCCCCGCCGTGTTCTGCGTGGTACTTGGCGAGCGACGGTTTGGGCTCCTTGCCGATCTTCGCGAGGTCATCCTCGAATATGCGCAATGGTCTGACTAAGTGACGATGTGAGATGTGAAGGTGTATAGGTGAGCGAAGTCTTACGGTCGCTTATTCTGTCCCACGCAGCATCGACCGCTGGACTGGGGGTCCCTCGGAACTCGGAAGGGTGACGCAGGGAGCCGTTGAAGACAACATCGCGATATTCCACCGCTTCTATCGCAGGAGCTGCAATCTCGCTCAGTCCGCATCTGCAACGGTCAACAATCCCAGCGCTTACAGTACGCCGACAGCTGTTTCGCGCATTGAGCGTCTGGTGGTATGCGGAGGGCCGAGTTGAAGAGCACGAGCGAGGCGCAGAAGAACGCGAGGCCGACTAGAGTGGGCCAATAACGGCGGAGAAATGTCTGTCGCGTGGTTGATTCGCTGAAACTCGGGTGCGCGTCATCGCGATCGCGAGACGGAGACGGCGGGGACTTGAGCTCTACCACGTCCTCTGTGTCGTCTGTATCAGAGTTGGGTAACTGGAAATAGCCTCCACTAGGTTTGGACATGTTGGCACGCGAGCGATTCCGTGTTATACGCGCGCAACGGCAGCCGGCAGGTATGGTGCAGGTAGTCACCAGTCAGGATGTTCTGAGCCTGCGCTCAAGACAGCGCGAGACTTATCTGAGAACTAGACTGATGACTTGATGACGACCACTGCCACCAGGGCGGTGTATAATCTGCCAGTTGGTCGTCGTTGGACACCGAGTTGACATGGGAAACCAATGAAAACCAGTGCAACGGTTGTATTCCACTTACATCCAATACCGCGACGTAGCCTATGTGACATGTGCGATCAGTACTTACATACTTGACATTCGTGACTCGATATAATCATGAACAGAGCTTTGTCCGAGGAATCCTAGTTCGACCATTCATAGTTTAGCGCCCGCGATCATTACATAGCAAACCGCAACTTGTTACCCTACTCTGTCTTCCCACTCGCTACCCTTTGCGATACATGAGCCATCTACATTTGCGATGTTCGCTAACCTCTTCTCGAACGACGCAACATCGCCGTGACAGTCCCCGAGCTCGAACTCGTACGGGTTCTCCGCGTCGTCATTGAACAGGGGAATGCGCTGGAACGTGGGGTGAGGCGGCAGCATGCAGGCGAGGTCAAAGTGGTTGTGGCTATGCGTGACGTCTTCGAGACCGTTAAGGGCGGCCCACGGGATGGGGACACGAAGGTTGCAGGGGAGGAGGGTGCCAGCGTGAGTGGCGGCGCAGATCGGACATTGATCGGACACAGCCGATATGTAGCCGCCCGACGCCGATACCGCGTTGACAATATTTGTGTCTGAACTTGGTCTGAACTTATCACCCGGGGACAACATGTGGGATTGGGCTCCGAGGAATATACTCAGAATAACTACAGGCGTTTACATGAAACGTTGCCAACTGTAGGAAGCTCGAGAGAGTCTAGAAAGGTACGAATATGAATTCTGCACACTGAGTTTGCATGCCTACTGTACTCTTTGTAATACTTATATTGAAACCGCCTATCTTTCAGAAGGGAATGATCCTGAAGCCCAGGACGCAATGGTCGATTATTAAGATGAACAAATAAAGCTGTGTTGTCAGTTTGGGACAATAATCTGTTTGCGCACGTGACTTGAACGACGCGGGGTGGTGACCGTGCATCTCGTTCTCGAGTTGAACTGTTCTTGTTCCCTCCCTCTACCTCCTATCTTCTGGATACCCATCTACATTTATCTTGGTTTGTAGCAAGCGTTCTTCGATGAGCACCGGCCGCAGGCCCGATATCTTGCCTGATCTCACTAACCACTTTGGTTCTTCTCACAACGCGAAGGCCGCGAGGCGCAAGCATGGCTCCTCTCTCGCCCAACCCTCCGCTTCAAATGCACGCCCGAGCTCATCCGGAACAACTCATACGGGTCTCTTCACACCTCCGTCCTCGCAGAGTCAGGCAGAGATGGATGCGCGTCGCATGCTGATCAGCCCTCCACCCGAAGAGTTTCTCCGACGGAATAGATCTGCTGTATGTAGGCATTGTACTCGTACCAGGACAAAGCTGATTGGTATAGTCGGTGCGCTCCCGTTTGACTACGCAGCAGATTCATACTGCGTCGTCTGACGCTTCGTCGGCGTCGGCGAAGTCTGCTGCAAAACGCAAACGTCAGCTAAGTGCCACCGCAATCCCTGACACTGACACAGCGGACGTCGATGCCGAGCATGGAGAGGGAGGAAGCACACTGGGAGATGCCAACGTCGCTGCAGAAGCGACACCCAACAGTAAGCCCCGCAAACAGTCCAAGCGCTATGTCAACTTCGTCGCCCGAGCCTCTTCGCCTGTCCGACCCTCCACAAGCAAAGACGTAGCCCCCGTCTCTACCCCTACCCGCATCCGCTCAGAGTCCCCCACCAAACGTGCCCTCTTTCCCTCCCCACATCACGTCAACCCCCGCGCCGACTACATCCCGCCGTCACCTTCGCGCCGCCGCGAGCACATCTCTGCTCCCGCCCGTCGCCGCTCCGTCACGCCGATCTTCCCGTACGAGCCTCCGCGCGAGCGCTTCACGCCGCCACGCGAGGTCTTCTGCTCGCCATCGCAGGAGTCGCCCACGCGGTCGCGGCCAAACCGGCGCAAGTCCGTGCAGAGCACGAAGGGCACGAAGCGGCTGACTCTGACAATCAAGAAGGAGCCGCCGGTGATCGACCTCACCCAACCGCTGCCCCCGCCGTCCCCGACGGACGATCCGCTCCTGTTGTCTGGCCCGCCCCGACGCCGGAGGCCGAAGCCGAAGTCGCGCCCGAGCGAGGTCAGGCCGTCTACTCCCCCTCCCCTTCCCTCTTGTTCCTTTGATGACTCTCTTGATGCCGGTTCGCGCGCTTCTACACACTCGCTTAATGGTTCTACACATTCGTATTCTCGTGATACCCCACCTTTGTTGTCGAGCTCGCCGATGCGCGAGGACGATGAGGACGAGGAAGAGGATGCCCCTCTCCCGGAGCTCATCATGGCCGCACCGGCACAGGCCGCCCCGTCCGACCCCGTCTTCACCGACGACGAGGACGCCAGTGGCGACCCAGCACCCGTATTCAACTTCTCTGCGCTGGACGCGGCGAGCGACGATGACTGGAGCGACGACGGACGCGGCGCAGGTCGCGAGGAAGCGGAGGAGGCGACGGGCGAGTATACGGGGAGGTTCAGGGTCATGGCCATACCGACAAAGGCAGACCCTCCGAGCAGCTGTACGAGGATGAGGATGGACAAGTGGGGGCGGCCGAAGAGTCCGCATCCGAGACGGAGCTTGGCGGCTTTGGAAGAGGGGGAGGAGGGAGTTGATGAGGATGAGGACGAGGACGAGGTGATGAAGGAAGTGGAGGAGGCGGAAGAGAGCGAGGGTAGGGAGGAGGATGTGCTGGAAGGGCAGGATGTTGAGCTTGAGGAAGAAGTTTATCAGCCTCTTGTCGAGGTTCGGGAAGAGCTTGCCCTGGATGAAGACGAGGAGTCATACGAGGCTCGGTACGAGCCAGCAGTCATCCCTGTCGAAGAACCGGATTTCGTGGACCTTTCGGTAGAGGTGCACGAAGACTCGCGCACGCCCTCCCCAACTCCCTTCGAGCTACTTACCCAGAAGACCACTGAACAATATGACTTCGACGTGCTCATGGACGACGCGAGCGACCAGGACACACTCACGGAGCCGGACCCCGACCTTGCGGACGATTTCGTCTCGGAGCTCAGTTCGAAGGGCAAGGAGCGCGCGATCGTGCACAGCGACGTCTCTCCATTGCCTAGCACGTCTACTGTCACGGTCGAAGCTCCCACTGAGGCTGAAGTGGAGGTTGTGGAGGAGTACTCGTCTGTCGACGTTGACGAGGAAGAGGAGGACCGCTCGGACGAGGCTGTCATCGACCGCGAACTGTCTGTCCTGCCGGACGACGAGAGCGAAGAGGAGGAGGAAATTGAAGCCACCACGGAAGTCCTACAACACGCGTTCCATCCTCCCAGTGAGTCTCGCTCTACCGATGCGGAGGCGAATCCGGTGCGCTCCCCGGAGGTGCAGCCCGCGGCGGCAGATGAGTACGATAACCCAGCGGATGGTTCCGACGACGATGAGAGCGACTCCTTGGATGACGGTGTCATCAAGATCACCAGTGATGACCCTCTGGCAGCCGCTCGCGCTGCAGCGATTCTCAGGCTGGTGAGTGTCTAGCGCCATATTCATTTTCCTAATCAGACTGAACGTCTCTCGCAGCACGACTACGACTGCGTCCCGCGCATTCTCGCCAAGAAACGCCGCCATTCTCATCTCGACGCGACGTCCGCCATCCGCGACGCGCGCCGCCGGTCGTCGCTCGCCTCAGGGATCAGTAAGGCCACCTCGTCCACGCCGAAGGGTACGCGCAGGCACACCCTCGGGGGCATGCTCGGCGACAAGGTGTTCATCCCAGGGAGCCCGGCGTTGACCATACCGGAGTTGCTGAAGGAAGCGGAGCGTTCGCTTGATCTTGAGAACCTCAGCCACAGCCACAGCCAGGTTCAGGATGAAAGCGCGGTCCTGCAGAAGATGGCCTCGACCCGGAACGAGTTCGTCACGCCGTTGAAGCCGGCAGACTCGTTCAGTTGGGCGACGCCGAGCTTCTCCTTGGGGGACGCGTCGACTCCGGTTGGGAGAGAGGCGGGAGCTTGGACGCGCAAGGAGTGGAAGAAGCTGGATTCGTGCTTGACGGACGAGCGGCTTGCGCTTGGAGGTGGCAAGGTGCTGGTGGATGTTGATTCTGTTGATCTGGAGAAGGTCGCGGATCGGTTCTTCGCGCAGCGGGAGGGAACATCTGTGTTGCAGGAGCCTGATGGGCTGAATCGGTATGTTTCTGGTCGCCTAGAACCGGACGTTTCTGACTGACTGTTCATACAGGGAGGATGTCTTGCGGCGTGCCAGAGCGTTGCAGAAGAAGCAGCAGGCTGGAAGGGTCGCACCGCCCACGCCTTCATCCGTCTCCCTGCTGTCAAACACTCCTTGTATGTCAAGCTTCGAGAAGGAGTGCACTACGCCCCAAGGGCATGCATCTTCCGTGCCTCCCGCTCCTTCACCGGCCGAACCAGAAAGATTGCAACCACCGCCACAACCGCACCCACAACCCAGGAGCGGCACCGCTATCCCGCGCCCTACGTTCACGACGAGAGTTAAGGGCTTCTTCTCTTCCTACCTCCCCGTCCCATCTGGCTCGAAAGCGCAACCTGTCAAGAAGCCCAAACCCGCGCAACCAGGCTTTCCCGTACCACCACCAGAAACCTTCGCCAAACCCCGCGCACCGATCCACACACCTGCCCCGAAGCCTGTGCCGAAGCCCGTCCCTCCGAGGAACTCTGTCCAACTGAACGCTGTGCCCCCGCCGAAGCCGTCCAGGATACCGCGCGGCAAGGAACAGCCTCGCAGATTGGTGGACCTGCACCCGGCGCCACCACCTCCGGTGGACAAGCCGCTCCGAATGGATCCTTCCGCGAAGAGGCGCAGTAGCGGCGGGAGTGTCAAGGATCTGATCCTGGCTTTCGAGGGACTGGGCGAGAGCTCGAGCTCGAGACCTGCTTCAGTGGCGTCGAATCGTGGAGGGAGTAAGTTGAAGGAGCGGCCCTTATGGAGACCTTGATTGAGCGATATACCAGTATGAATTATGATTTAAGTATGAACTAGTATGTTGAGGTACATGCCCGCCTAGTACATAACGTCGCAACCCAGATAGCTGCTGGACTGCCGTGAAGCGAATGTCCTTGAAGGAGACCAGCCTTTCTTCTGACGCACGGAAAAGGCCCAGATGCAGCGTCGAACGCTAGAGCTTAGAGCCAGGCATAAATACAGGGATGATGAGGTTGTCGACTAGACAACAAACCTCCCTCACAGTATGCCGCGCTTCGACGCTAGAAAACAATCGCGGAGAGGGCTCGACGCCACGGCGAAATCACTGGATCCCTTCCTGAGCTCAACCTCCACACCGATGGCCACCATGCAAACCCATCAAAATTCTGTTTGAACCTGTGTTCGGGAAACGGGAGAGGGCTGACCTGGACGGTCGACGAACAGCCGGTTGAAGGACAGCTGAGGAAAGACGACGTTATTTGCCTCCATACTATTACAGACACACGACGTACCACAGCCTGAACGCTTCGCTAAAAATCCCTGATTATAGACTCATCACGGCAGTTGTCGTCTCGACTTCTCACATCGAGAACTCGCTCGCCATGCTATGAAAGATATTGCTCTATTTGCGCGAGTCAACGATCTATAAAGTCGAGACAAGTAACTACAATGCACAGTGATGGAGTATATTGAGACGGGGAGAGAGCTTAATGAGACAATCAAGGCGTATGTTCGGAATGAAGAAACATGGACAGTACAGAGTGCTGGGGCACGAAAACTAGTACTACAGCGTGGATTTAGGTGGTCGCGCACTGCGAGCGGGGAGGGGTCGGGTCGTGGGACTATGCGGGGGTTCATTGAGATTCATAACGCGTACTAGTGGTAGGGACTGTAAGGCATGGTGGGCGAATGCAAAATACGAAACCCAAAAGAAAATGCAACACATGCAAGAAAACGAAGATCAAGTACGCACGTATCGACTAGCAACTAGACGGGCGGCAGCCCGGTTTTGCAGAAGGAAGGACGGTGAATATGTACAGGCAAACAATTAGAAGCGATGAATGAACGGATCCTCGCGTTCATGACACGAGACCGTGCAAATACGAGATGTCTTCATCCTCTTCATGGCCCTGCGGCTCGATGCTTTCGCGGTCAGCGTCGTCGTCATCATCATCGTCTTCCGTATAATACGTCCTATGACGCGTGCTCGTCGTGTGGACCGTCGTCTGGCTATGCTGACGATTGTTCACGAGCTACACAAACCAATCCGCCGTCAGTAAATGCACACAATTCTCAGAACACGAAACACTCACCCCGCCGATCGGCCTACTATAGTCCACCTCATCCCTGAAGCTGATCGCGCCCGTACTCCGCATCCCAGCGGCACCCATACCACCCGCAACCGTGCCCACTCGACGGGGGTCCAACAGTCCCTCAGGCGCGCCCGCGTCACTCGTCTCCGTCGGCGCAGGACTCGGCATGTCGGGCGTGCCAAATAATCCTGCCAGCCCTCGCCACGGGTGTAGTCCACCATGAAGGTCCGAGGAGGAAGGATACGCAGCATCTGAATGGGTCGAGGGCGTTAGGAAGCCGTACGAGTACGGATGTGAACTTGAGTACGACGAGGGCGGCAAGGTTCCTGAGCCATAAGGGACTACGGAATATGCAGCCGTCGGATAAGCCGGGGGTGCATGATTGTGTATGATCACAGGCGGGATCGACCCTGGCGGGAGCGTCGGCGACTGCGGTCGCTTGAATGTCGAGCGCCCGAGCGTACCAGGAGCACTCTCCATGCCGCCCATAGCAGCCATCCGGGGCGAGCTGGACACACCCAGTGCGGTGAGCGCCTGCTGCGAGGTCGCGGGGCTGATTGTCGCGCTTCGGGCTCGTCCGCCGCCGCCGCTAGACGCAGCAGAGAGACGCGGATCCGTGTACTGCGAACTGCGCGGATCCGACTCGGGGAAGGAGCTCCTTGCATCGACGTACGACGCCCTCGTCTCGCTCGAGTCGCTCACACTCGCTCTCCTCCACGGCCTGCTCACGCCCAAGAAGCTCCGTCTCCGTTTCTTGCCCGCACTGCCATCGTTGTCCTCTCCCTCTCCTGGTGAGCGATACGCGGTCGGCGGGGGGACGCCAGGGACAGTGGGCAGCAGACTCGAGCGCTTGCTCGCGGTGAGGTTGTAGCCGTCTCCATGACCGTTGCTCGAGCGACCGTCCGCCTGCTTACCATGACCGTCCGAGGACCAGCCATCATGGCCGTGCCCACTGGACGAGCCAGGCCCGCTTCCAAGTGCGTGCGTAGAGCCGGTGTGCCCGTAGGCCGACCCGCCCGAGTTGTATCCGCCCGAGCCGGTGCCCCCTCCAGAGCCCGTACCATGTCCGTTTGAGGAACCGCTCGCAAAGCCTTGTGCTCCAGCAGCGGCATCACTCATAGCACCTAGCGCAGCGAACTCGTCCCATGATTGACGCTGTCCCGACGGGGGCGCCGGGTCCACAAACGGATTGGCACTCGAGTCCGCCGCTAAAGCTGGGTCAGTGTACGGATGCGGTGCAGGATCTGCGAACGGGTCCAGTGGGTTCCCCAGCGAGTGTGGCGGCGAAGAGAGGACATTCGAGCTGGCATTCGCACTCATCGGCACCGCTGCATACGCCATGTCGCGTCCGCTCAACCACGCCGCAGGGTCCATCCCCGAAGAGCTCCTCGACCTCGAGCCCGACTCAGATCGTCCCGGCCTAGCCACGGCAGCAGCTCCCAACAGTGGCGTCGCACTCAGGTGGTCGCTCGAGCTCGCCTGCGCATCTTCGTCCCCGCTGTTCGTGCGCGACATCGGTGGAGGCGAGCCGTCAGCGAGGTCATGCTCACGTTCGCGACCATGCCCGTCCTCAGAGGCAGCACTGGCAAATGCACCAGCGTAGTAGCTCGATGAACCCAACGCGAGGTCCGCCAGCGCGCTCTGTTCGCTGAACCCTGAGAGTGGCCCGGAACTGTTCATCCTATCAAAGCCCGAGGAACTCGCGTTGCCACCCCTGAGACGGTTATATCCGCCAGCCTGTAAGCTAGCGGGGCCTCCGACCTGCGCCATGCCGCCGGTCGGACTGGTAGGCGAGCCCGGCGGAAGATCGTCCTCGTCCTCGTCCGCGAGCATGTTCGCAGGGCGGCGCCGAGCGGTATTAGCAAGTGCCTCGGCGACGGCGGCCTCTGCGGCCTTGTGTGCGCGATGTCTCCGGAGCGCGATGACGAGCAGGACGCCGAGGAGGGAGAGGAAAGCGAGCGAGCCGAGGATCACCCCGGCGAGGGCACCATGATTGCGCGCAAAACTACGCCCAAAGTCAGTACACGTAGATCACAACAGCGAATGTAAATGATACTCACATCGCCTCGCCGGCCGAGACCTCAGGGATGAGCGAGCCGGAGACAATGACGGACGAGCGCACGGTGACGCTCGTCTGCCCATGACTGGTGTAGGTGAGCGTCCAGACGGACGTCTTCGTGACGGTCGTCTCCGTGTAGTGCACCGTCTTCGTCGTCGCCGAGTGCACCGTCGTCGTCGAGTCCGTCGTGGCGAAGTATGTAGCTGTCCGCGTGCTGACAACAGGGAACGAGACCGCAGTATTTGAGTAGGTCCAGGAGTACGTGGCAGACGCTGTCGTCACAGGGGAGGTGAGTGATACCGTTGAGGGCGTGCTCGGTAGTGATGACGATGGAGGATATGAAGACGAATGGGCAGCCGAAGAAGCCGGAACACTGCTTGTTGAGCGGGACGATGACGCGCTCCTACTAGCAGACGTCGAGGACCGGCTGGAAGAGGAAGATGCATGGCTAGAAGAAAGAGAAGGGTCAGTATCCGATCTACTCATAACACTCGCATCACTCGTAACATCAGTAACATAAGTCATGACTGTCGTGAAAGTCGTGGGGTTCATAAGAGAAGAAGACATGCCACTCGAACCGAGATCAACAGAGGAGGACGACCATCCGACGGGGGATGACACGGACATGGACACCGCCGAAGTCGTCGGCACATACGTACTACCACTCCCCGACGCTACCCTCGCACTCGTTGATAGGTTCGGATCGCCAGGCCCACTACCCGAGACGGACCCAGACATGCCGCCGGTCGTGCGCACCACAGAGGACGTTCCTGAGCCACCTGTGGCGGACGACGCACCCAAGCCCGCCGACGACCGACTATATGCGCTGCTCCCAACCGTCGAGCTCGGGCCTACGCCGTGATTACTCGACGTCGGCCGGTCCGACGTCCTCGAGAGTCCCGTACCACTAGAGACGGATGTAACGGTGCTACTGCCCGCGCTAGCGCTCGTTGTGCCGCCTCCAGTCCTGGCTCCACTAAAGGTAGAAGAACCAACACTGCGCGACACGCTCGCGGCAGAAGAAGAGCTCCCCGGAGCAGTGCTACTCGAGGCGCCGCCACTAGTGGAGGGACCGACGGGCAGGCTACCAGTAGAACCAGTGGAAACGGTCTCCGAGGTCGTCCCGGACGCCGAAGACGGAGGCGGTACTAACCCGGTGGAACTAGACGGAAGCGCGGAGGCGGAGGCCGACACCGACACCGACGCGGAAGTTGGAGAACGCGAGGCAGAGACAGAGGTAGATGAAGAGGTCCCCGAACTACTCCGTCGCGCACGCGAGCGCCGCGGGAATCGCCAGCGAGAGTCGCCAAAGTGCACCGCGAGCAACACAACGAATAGAAAGAGAAAGAAAGAACGCGCACGGTCAGACGGGTGAGACACCCACGGCCCAAAGACCAGTCGCACACTCACCTTGACGTACTCACGCTCGTGCTCCTACTCCGGGACGCGGAACTGGATGCCGAGGACGATGACCGAGAGTTTGAGTGCGACTGCGAATGTGAGGTGGACTGCGACTGGGACGTTGACTGCGAACGGGTCGACGACTCGCTCGAGGACTTGGGCCAGCTGAACGACAGCGACGACCACCTGCTTGACGAGTGCGAGTGCGAGTGCGACGCCGACCCGCTCCCGCTCACGGATGAGCTCGCACTCCGCGAGAATGGGTTTGACAGCGAGAACGACGTCGGCACGGAGACTGAAGTGACCGAGACTGAGGGCGCCGAGACTGAGGACACCGAGACTGAGGACACCGAGACTGAGGATACCGAGACTGAGGGCACAGAGACTGAAGACACTGAGACCGAAGGCACCGAGACCGAGAAGGACGTGGCCGAGGCCGCGCTCGTCGACTGTCCGCGGGACCCAGACTGTGAGTCGCCTCTGCTCTGCGAACCTGGCGCAGATGGGGCGCCGGAATCGGACGTCGAGGCTGCCGGGGAAGTCGGGGCGGAAGGTGCTGAGGGCGAACTGGACATGTCCGACGGGGTGGATGGTTGGGAGGCCGTGGTCGACAAGGATGCCTGCGCGCTCGTCGGGTCGGACGCGCTCGTAGCCGCGGACGCGCCTCCCGTTGACGTCTGCGCGCTGCTCGCATCAGAACTCGAGTTCTGGCGTGCCATGAGGGGCGGTGCAATGGCTTCGACGGGGAGACGGACGCTCGCGTTGATATCCCGCGCGTTCGCAGCCTGGACGCAGGCGGCGGAGATCGGGAGGGGCATCTGCGCGCAGGTGAGGCTCAACGCAAGCAGGCCGAGCGTCGCGCTGATGTTCCGCGGGCGGCGCGCAGGTCTGGATGAAGAGTCAGCTCACCGCGCAACTCTGCTCTGGCAGAATAGAACGCACCTTTGCGGCGACCTCGCCGGCCCTGCGTGGACGGTGCTCGACATGTCTGGGCGCGTATGGGTGGTGGCGCGCGTCCGCTTCGGGGAGGAGGCTCGCGCAGAGCCGAGATGTATGCATGCGGAGGGGTGTGCGCAGGCGGCCGCGGAGGGCTGGGTATAGGGCGGGTTCGCCGGATCTAGACGTGAAGAGACGTGCAGAGAAATAATGGAATCTGTAGGGTAGATGCAAGAGTGAGACGGTCTACGATGCGGCAGTGGGTGGTCGTGAGAGGTGGGCGTGGGCGAGGGCGTGGACGGGAGGGCATGCGAGGCAGTCGGACGGGCGTGTTTTGGGGTATCATCGCGGGCGTGGGCAGAGACAGGGAGCATCGGCCGGGGATGCGGCAGAGGCGTATGTATGTCAGACTGGCGTGCCTAGTGACCAGGGTGGAGCCCAGCGCGTTGGCAGGGAGAGCGACCACAGGTGGATGGAGCACTGCTGGCAGCGTGAGTGTGCGCACTCGGAGGTGTGCGTGAAGCAGTAAGCCGGCGAGGACGGCGTGCGCATGGAGGGGCCGGCGACGGCGGGCGTCGCTGGCGGTGGTCGCTGTGTGGGACGGCGAGGGAAGGGGGCGTCGAGGGCGTGCGCAGAGGCCGCTGCGACATAAAACGGGCATCCCTGCCCACTGCTCCCGGCAAAGACGCCGCACGCACCGTGTCGCTGGCGCAATTCCCAATCTCGCAGATCTGGCGTTGCACGCCCCGGCATCTCGGCGCCCCACCCCGCGCCACCGCCACGCCGCCTCGTGCGTACGCCACCCCGACTCCCCGCCCCGCCGCCTTGCCTCTTCTGCTCCCAGCGCGCCCGATATACCCAGGATGGTCCCGGACTCACCTCGCGCACGCATGGAAACGGCGCACAGGCTGCCGGCAGCGCAGTCTGGGTATGCGCTCACCTATGACGCGCATCAGGTACACCTGCCCGCCTTCCAATACAGACGCATCTTATCGACCTCCTCTGTGCATCCCTAAATGTCATCGAATATTGGCCAGTGCGCACGCCCCCTAACACGCGTCGCGCTACTGCTCGCACCTCGCCCGGCGTCCGTCCACTCCGGGACGCGACCCTCCGCCGCCGACCACAAACAAGCTCGGACACCTGCTGTGGCGCTCCTCCTGAGAACCTCGCCCCTCGGCCCGCCGTCCGCGCCAATCCCCGCGCGCGAACACCCTATGTTTAGACGTGAAATAGACCGCAGGCGTCGAGAATCCTCACAGCACGTAAGGATTACTCACGCCCGAGCCCAAATGCCGTACGTATTGCCTCCTCTGCCTGTGGCGTTGGCACTCACGCAGTTCCTTGTAGGCTGAACATCGCACCATCTCTGCGTGATACCGCGCGCCGCTACACACGTGCAGTTGTGTTTCGTCAGTGCGAGGCCAACCGCGAACACTCTGAACGTACTAGGACGTCGCGTCTGGGACTCGCCCGCTCAAGGCTAGAGGCATCCACCACTTGTTCTTGAACAGCCTTGATCCCCTTCTGCCTGCGACGCGCGGTCAACTTCGCCACAAACCCGGCCCTCCTCCCACGTCCGACATCACCCGAGGTAAGTAAATCGCACTCTCGTCACCCTTCCTGTATCACTCTCCCACAGTGCCATGGCTTCGTGACTCTCTGGTAAGGCCCTCGCCTTACAAATGGCGACCCACGCTCTATCGAACGCGCCTTCGTGATCTCTGCGGCCTTCCGAGTCGCTGCCGGAAGGTAGGCAGTATCGCCGGTGCACCGAACTTCCACTGGACGCTCTACGCACGCGCGTGCTGCGTGCGCACGGCATGGACGTTCTACTCGGCTGCCTCTCGCTCGACGGTCGCCGCACGTTCAGTAGACATTGATTCCGCGTCGTCAGTTAGCAAGTCTGGCTGCTGTGCTGGGACTCGCGCGTGCTCGACGTGTCTCATCGCAGCGCGCGAAGGTCCAGACACGCTACATATCGTGAACGTATCGTGGCTCAGGCCTTGCTGTGCACTTCGACCACCCATCCAGCGATCACCTACGGCTACCCAGTCATCTGTCCGAACGCGCTCCCGCTCCCAGTCCTGCACCACATCCAGGTGACCCGTCCCCTCCATCGTCCCACGACTGTCGTCCCATCGAACAGGCCCGCCGCGCGGCCATCACTACCGTGCCACTCACTCAATTGGCGCCGGCGGGGGCGCCGTTGTGGACCTCGCGACTGACGAGTTCCGCCTCACACAGACCGCACACGTCGACATTCCTCACAGCACGTAAGTGTTACTCACGCTCGAGAGTGGTAGCGGGACTCACGCAGTCGTTACGATAGCAGCGCAGCGACAGACCAGCAGCCCGCCAACTCAGCTTGCTTCGGCAGCAGACGTCCAGCGACCCTACCCGCGATGCTACTGCATTCGCATTGCCGAAAGGCGGTGTCGCCTTTCCCAATAGTTGCGTGCGATGGGTGAGCTTGGCCCGCTCGGTATGAGGGCGGCTTGCAACGTATCTAACAACGCCTGACGACGCCCGGGCCCGTCTGAGCTGCCCGCACGATCGGACGTCGGACAGCGGCCGCGAGCCTGCGTATACATAATCTCGGGCCGTCTGAACTTCAAGCCCTCACGTTCGTATCAATGCGCCGGTCGCATGGAAGGTACTTTATGATTCACCACCTTGCGTCGACGCGAAGTCGGGACGATAATGGGGGCGGGGAGCTGGTGGCCCGAGCGTTTCGATCCGCTGAGAATCGGGTGATGGCGGGCGTGCAGGTACCGCGTACCGAGCACTGGTCTTCGGTTGCACAGGTGCCGAATCGCCCGCCCGGAGAGCGGTCGACCCGTTGGGTTGGCAGGAAGACGAGGACGACACACGCTCATGTCGGGTCGCCGTCTGATTGGTGTATGTACCGATGGGCCTGAGCCAGAGCTCGGTCGCTGGCTGTGTTCGCAGCGTGCTACTGGCATGGGCTACCAAGACGAGCCTGAGCACTGCGAATCCCACTGGCATCGCGAGGTCCCTCCCCTGGGTCTTGTCTCTGTTGCGCTCGTGAGGTCATTGTTCCCGGCGTGGAGCGGGCTTCTCACCCAGTCCAGGAGGTGAGCAAAGTGTTGATGCCACCGGGACGACTCTGATCACTACGCTTACAGGGTTGTGTTACATCGCTGCGAGCTGTGACTGGAGTTCACGATCCACCATGTCAGCACCCCGCCCGCGTGCTCGTGCTCCAACACGGCGACGACGACCTGGTGTCCAGTAACGACTCAAGCAGCAGGCGCGTCGTCAATGACGTACTCTGCTGTGCGTTCACTCGATCTCAAACTGCTGCCTCATGCCGCGAATGCAGGCATGAGCCACCCTGTGGACACCGTCGTCAACACCGACTAGCTCGGCACCCCCGCCGGCCTTCCCTGACTCTGTCTACACGACGACGAGCCCGGCATCTTGGATGACGACGCTGACACACCCGGTTCACCCACTACCGCTTCCCGGGCCATCCCGCGCTACTACCGGCTACCGAGATGCCAGATGTGTTACGCTAGGTTACCGTCTCGTAGACCCCGCCCTGACGCGCACTGTCTAGTTCGCGTCTCGAACACCCCACACTGTCTGCGTCTCTGGACGCGCAGCGCACCAGCAGCCCGCCTCTCCTCCCCGATTTCCCGTGCTCTCGACGCACGCACCAACCCTCCATACCGAGCTAACACCACCCGGCATGCCGAAAATGACGGAGATGTGCACGGAGCCGACGTGCCCGATGACGACGCCAGGACTGGACGTGGCCGCCCCGTCTCGCGTCGGGAAACACGCCGCTCGCTGGGAAGGGACAGATTAGATTGCAAAGGCATTCGCGCACGGAGAGAGCTTGCGAGCGGAGAAGATGCATCACGACGAGGTACGTACCTTCTCCGCCTCTACCCGCTGCTACATCTCACGACTCTTGGCTCCGTTCTGCTCGCGCGACGTCAGCAACGAAGGATACATGCCGGCAAATTGAAGACGCGTCGAGTACCGACGCACGACTGAGTCGCTCGGGGCCGGCGATACGCGCAAGACGCAGCGCTACACAAGAGACAGCGTACAAGAGGGCACGTTGTGAGCTGCGTTCTGAATTAGGGCGAGACACGTACCACGAGGAGTGCAGACGGCCGCGAGTACACGCGAGAACCTGCGGCAAAGACGTCTGCGCGCTAGGGATTGCGGCAGTAGGTAGACGAGCGAGATGATGTTCGGGTGAGCAGCGCGCGGAACAATTAGCAAGGAGGATGCTTACCACATGAATGCGAAGCGTGATCAACCCCGTCCAGTACGCTGTCGACCCCCAGGGATGCACATGGACGAGCGAAGCAACAATCACGTCAGTGGTACACCGAGTACTGTGTTGACACGAGACTCACCATGTCTAGAACACCACGCCAGTGACTGTGTTCCACCCCATCGAGTGCGCCACGATTCGGGATGGGGAAGGATGAGGGAACGGGGCTTGACGGGCTGCAAGGATGAGGTTAACCGTGAACAGACACGACGGCAGGGAACAGTCTCAAGCCAAGTCCGTTCAAATAACGGGCAGCCCGCAGGCGACAACACGACGTAGCCGAGGAATCGTGGGAGGCCGGTCATGACAGAAGAGCGTGTCGGGCATTACGAGCCGGCCGAGAGAAAGCGGAGGAAAGGGGACTCGTCCCCGCCGGACTGTGCAGCAAGTGGTGACGAACGAGGCGAGTACCAGTGCCTATCACAAGCTGAACGTTGACCGACCGCGTATACAGCCCTGCTCTTGACCCGACGCGCTCCACATCAGCACCGAGGACGTAGCGTGCAGATCCGGACGCAATAAGCGACCTCAGGCTGTCATTACCACTGGAGACCGGCGCAGATATTGCAAGTCCGTTCGGGGAAGTGACGACTTGGATGCGAATGAACATTGATGCACGGCGGTCACGATGCGGGACGACGCGCGGAGACGATGGGCGTTCAGGATGGACGGACTCGGAGACGCTGTGCACGGTGTCTACGGCGATCGGCTGGCTACGGGAAGCCAACCGGGATGTCTCAGGACCGTCCAAGGAAGGGCCCGACACGGAGACGACGTACAGATCGCGACGGGCAGTACACAGACAGGCACCACGTCCGAGCTACTAGTGCGGGTCCAGCGAGACGATCGCTGAGCGTTGAACACGCTTATGGGCGTGCCTGGCGGTCTCCGAGAGTCGGGGCGCGGCCGTCCTCGTGGACTCGTTTGGTCAGTCCATGCTCCAGTCGTAGCAGCTCAGCGACAGCTAATGAATCCTGTTGCAGTCGTGGTCATTGTGGCGCCTGAGTGCCCTCGATGGCTCGCTGGACGGACACACACATATCTCAGGGGGAGGACCCCCAGGTCATCAATACAGACAGCTCGTCACCGATCTGCTGCGTGGTGCGTTTCCTCTTGTTCTTTCGTGGTCTGAGGCGGCAGCCAGCTCGATCTGAGTGGGACTGTCCACGGACTCGGCAAGACGATGGCCACTCAAACGGCTGCGTCTCATCAGATGACGTGACGAGGCGGAGACCGGACACGCGTCAGCGATGGTCCGTGTCTCTGCCGTTGTGCTGTTCGCATGGTGAACGGTAGCATAGCTCCGTCTCCAAGTAGAACCGGGTCACGGTCTCCGTCGGAAAGTACGAGCGTGCGTTCTGCGAGATCCACGGTCCCCGGCACTCAACCCAGGAAGCCCGAGACGGGTTTGTCTGGTATACCCGGACCAGACCGTGACGTTGTCACGTCGAGCAGTCGCGCTGCGACGCACCGTCCGTGACTACTGTAGACTAGAGTACGCTACTCCGTCCGTTCAAATCTTGAATATATCAATGTTTCATCAGCGACGAACAGACGGTCATTGGATAATGAGCTTACCGGGTTACAGCCTACGGCAGAAGTGCTGGATAAGAATGATTAAGTACTCGAGACCAGAGTCTGAAGCAGAGCTTTACCTTTCAGATTGAGCCACAAAGGCGCTCGACATTGCCTCACAAGTTCGCTGCGAACGTGGGGTAGGCACGAAATCATTACGACTGTGGAGCAAGAGTTATTGTTGGTCAATACTCTGAGCCTACATCGAGACTTACCGGCAAAGCCGGACATCGATTTTCATGTACACGATTGTATACCCGATGCAAACCGGCTATGCTTGACGTAGTCAGCTGCTGTGGTAAGGAATCAGGATTCAAGGGATACTATTAGGGATTACAGTGTGCACAATACACGCTGAAGATCGAGTGTCGAGACGATGTTCATGGCGGTAGTGTAGCCACTGTAAGTGCAGTCAGTGAATGAGTCGTAGTGAGTAAGAAAGCGGCTTACAACAAAACCCGGCGAGATAGATGCTCGTACGCAGGCCGTGTGTATAAAGTGGTCAGTCACAGGACATGGTAGCATTCCGAAGCTCGCACGTACTAGTCAGGACACGAAGAGGGAAAGGGGATGATGGTGTTCTGGCACTGACGGGGCTCGCTTTTATACACTGGCAGGCAGGGCAGGCACTAGTAGACTCTCGCCAACGGACAGCTTACGTGCGGTGGTCCGTGCGTGGCAGAAAAGATCCGCGGGCATCGCATCACGTTGCCACGTCTACTCAGCACGGCGCCGAATGACCGCGGAGAACCCGCCAAGCATCACTTCCCGCTCATGTCGCCGGGCTGGTGCAATCGCAATTGTTCACCGCCGGCCGAGTATTTTTCAGCCGTTGTATGGCAACATAGAGGCACCATCTGATGGAATACACACCGGCGCTAGTGAAGGCGCCATTCGGGTGTTTCACGCTAACATCGCCGACACTGCGAAGGTAGCTTTCCGTGGATGTAGTTCGGATGCCTGCACGTCGGACTACTGCGAGTCTTGTGTTTCTGACCAGCTGACAGATATGTAGATTGCGCACAGACTTGTCTGTAGAGATTAAGACACGAGCCTGAGTGTGAATGAGCAAGCAACGGGGTGTACACGCGAGCGAGCCGAAGAAACAGGATCGAGCAGGACGAGTAGGATAGCCGCCCAACGCTGCAGTCCAGTAGCCTCGTGTTCTGAGATCGATCTGAGCGATCTCACGCCATTTTGGGCTGTCCCCTTCGTTCTTTCCGCTGTCTCTGATCTTCAATAAGCCCTCAGTAAGTACCATTAGATTGGATTGAATGTATCCCAACAAAATGTAAGTGGATTCCGAGGGTTGCGTGTTCGCAATGCACCCCCACAGTATATTTCAATTAGGCATTACTGGACTCGAGCGATCTTCGCAAGCTGGTGCTTACGGTGCACGATTCCGTCAAACATTCGTGCTTCGTATTCCCCGAAATCTACCATATTGTCACTTGAATTACAGAGCAGCATAGGGCCTTCTCTACCCAAGGGTATGAGCTAGTTCCGGGAGCTCCGGAAGTGGCTGACAGCCTTGGGCGGACAGAGCCCTTTCTGCAGACGATGTCGGGGCCCGGGCGGGGATCAGCCCGATGTCCGCGGATATCAGTCCGTCGCTTATGGGATTTCCGGAATCCGGAGTCACATTCACAGGATGCCCATTCCATCTCAGTGTGAATACTGTTGACTTGAGAGTTTTTGGCCAAGAAAGTCACACTGACTCGGATATGCAGGATTTAAACGTTGCCATTGAATGTCAGCAAACTTGAGGCCGTCTTTGATAAAGCATGCTTAGAATTCACAGTGACGATGTGAGACATGCTCAGGCCGGCATTAGTAATGTGCGATCAGAGCGGTGTTATGTTGCCGGTTGCTAATTCAACAGGGTACCAATATGTCGCAGGCGCAGCCCGAGGCCGGGATGACAAGGCCATGTCCGCGGATTTGATGGACTAACTCCAGCTTATATACTGGGGCAAACCTGGTGCATTATTCCGGTACCCCCGAACTATGTCAGTGGAGAATGTGGATGCAAGTCGTGCTAGTATTCTCACTGGGTGATAACAGCCTAACAGTTCATAGGAGCTCTATTACTCGTTGGGTATGCGCATACAAACTAACTGGGAAGCTGTCGCAATTCACTGCAGCGAGCACTCTGGCATGGCTGATCATTCGAAAGACCAGCAAACTCTGATAGGTATGTTTCCTCACTCAGTTTACATGCTCATCGTACTCACGAGATTGTACGATTCCGCAGACTGGGCCTGGTCGCGGTTACACGTAGGCTCATTGGGCAAAAGCCCAGTCAAGTGAGTCTTCCTGACTGTGTGCCCGCGAGCCATACTCACTCAAATTCCCCCACAGATAGCAGTGTCGCTACAACATCTCCATCCCGTACAACATATAGACCTGCCCTATGCCGATGGTACATTGCTTTCCTCGTCTCCACATACACTGTCACTTACTGCCCCTTATTGACAGTCGCTCGAGACGGTCTATCAGTCATCTAGACGGTTCACGCACTCTTGGCCGGTCATCTGGCTGGGCAAGCGACGTAAGGAGCAATCGCCGCCCGGTCAGCACAAGGCCATTTGCGTCAGTCCCACCAGGACGTGCATCCCATACGCACGGTTATCACAGGAGGTCGGTTTTTATTGAGTACTCGTTGACCGGTACTGACCTCTGGCTGCCAGTCATCCGCGCGATACACGTCGCATGGACAACTCACAGACATAGGTCAGCACGTCTACACCTGTCCGTGTCGCCGTGGACCAAGGCTCTGTTGGTGTTCGTTCGCGCGCCGTTAAGTGGGGTTGCCATCCGCCTGGTGCACGCGCGACGGGTGCCGAACGAACGCAGAGCATTCGTGCTTTGGACTAGCTCAATCCTCGCCGTCCAGGCAACATCATCCCCGACCGGGTGAATGCCCGAGCACCATCCGGTCGACGCACGACGATGTACATCTGTCCCAGTCCACGCCCATCCTTGTCTTGACTCACGGCTACTTGGTAGCCTTCTTGCCGCTCGCGCGCATCGACGACACGCACGCCGCAGGCGTGCTGCACGCTGGCAAGGCGATCTCTTGCTGGGACCTGTGCCGACAGCCTCTGGACGAACAATACTCGCCGTCCGCACACAGTGCACCAAAAGTACGTCCAGTCCGGTCAATTACCCACCTTCGCGGCTCAGACCGGTCGATGCTCCGTAGCCTCGGGTCCCTGGCTGCATGACCCCTTCGTCTCATGCCCGAGCTTCCTGTCTCGGTGATCGCCTGCTGACTCGTACTCAGACAGCGCACCGCGATCGCCACGGAGGGCACTGCAGATTTGCTCGGTGGTCTCTTGGTTGTGGCTCGAAGGCGGGTCCCGTCGGCGCTGTCTGTGAAGCAAGCTCATCAGCACCCTACCTTGTCCCGTCGACAGCCTGCGCTACCTCCCCACTGTTGGTCGGCGTCCGGAACCCTCTCCCTTGCCTGGCCTCTGACCTTGCCCATCCCCGCCGACGGTCGGTGCTCGTTGTGTCGGCCTGCCCATCCGTGCCCGGTCTCCCCCCTCCTTCACTCGACCTTCGAAGACACGACATATCGCCGTCCGGCGAACTGGCCCGCGACGACGTGCGGTCGACGCCTTCCTTTGTGTGCAGATGACGCGTGGGGCAGTTCGCTCGTGGTGCACTCTTCAAAGCACTACTGCAACCTCAACCATGAACGTCTCGTCGTCCGTAGCCCTACTCGTCACCGCCGTCTCCTCACTGCGTCCCCTCGGTTGAAATGCCACCCGACCGTCGAAGACACGACACATCGCCGTCCGGCGAGCTGGTCCGTGACGACGTGCGATCAACACTATCCTTGACGAGTGTGCAGGCGACGCGCGCGGAAGTCTTGTGGTGCAATCTTCAAACGCAACCGGACCTGCAAAGACACGACAGATCGCCTTCCAGCGGACCGACCGTCGGCGACGCCTGCAAGCCCTGCCATGCGTTTTCGGCGATCCGCGAGTGACGTCCACGGCGCGATCCTCTGCGTGGACAAGACATGGAGCTACGTTGTCCAGCATAGTGATCGGTTGAAGACACGACGGGACACGTTCCAGCCAGCGGAGGATCAGGGGCGCGAGGAGTTTGGCTGTCGCGACTGCACTGCCCAACAGGACAGGTGAGTTTCTTGCACAATGAGATTGGCGATGCATACTGACCTTTTGCGATCGCAATAAGACTTGACGGGACGTGACCTCGACCGGCAAACACACGACGGACGGTCATCAGGCGAGTGACGTGGGGAGATGGTGAGTGTAGCGACAGGGGAATCCTGCACTCGGAAGGGCTACGAGGAGGTGAGTATCGGGCCGTCTGACACGTCATGCATTCTCTCACCTTGTGTTGCCGTATACGCTTGCAGAACGTGTACCGCGAGCGTACATCGTACGGGCTTGGCGGCGGCATTTGGTGCGCTGCTGACGTGCTCTCGTCTACCGCGTTATCAACTGGTCGAGGCTCCAGACGAGGCGCAAGTTGGATTGAACGGGTGACGGGGTCCTGTGGCCGACTTCCCACGCAGAGGTAAGCAATCCGCACTTTGCTGCAGACGGCCTTGGAACTCACACTGGGTCAGTGAAGTGGCACTCGTCTGCCACGTTATCAACCGTACGATGCGCCGGACGACCCGCAAGTCAGATTGAACGGGCGACGGGGTTCTGTGCCCGACTTCCTGCGTAGAGGTAAGCAGTCGGGCTGCAGATGACCTTAGTACTCACAATGGTCAGCACTCGCCTGCCGCGTTATCAACTGGTCGCCGTGACTGGTCACGTCCTGACTCGGCTGCACGCGTCGACGGCCGTGAGTGCGGTGCGAGACCCTGTGTGCACGGCTGACCCGGTTTGCGACGATGAGTGTCCCCGCGGGGAGGCGGACCTATGCTCGTACGAAAAATAAGAGAGACGGACCTTCGAAAGAAGGCAACTTTTTCAACTTTCCAGCCAATCACAGCGCGAGAACGAGCGTCTCCCGCCTCGGAGTGACGTCCGTGAAGTGACCGACACTGAGACCGAAGGCACCGACACCGGGAAGGACGTGGTTGAAGCCGCGCTCGTCGACTGTCCGCCAGACCCAGACTGCGAGTCGCCTCTCTGCTCTGCAAGCCTGACGTGGATGGGGCGCCGAAGTCGGACGTCATCCTCGCCGCCCTCGGCCTCAGGGATGAGCGAGCCGGAGACGGACGAGCGCACGGTGACGCTCGTCTGCCCATGACTGGTGTAGGTGAGCGTCCAGACGGACGTCTTCGTGACGGTCGTCTCCGTGTAGTGCACCGTCTTCGTCGTCGCCGAGTGCACCGTCGTCGTCGAGTCCGTCGTGGCGAAGTATGTAGCTGTCCGCGTGCTGACAACAGGGAACGAGACCGCAGTATTTGAGTAGGTCCAGGAGTACGTGGCAGACGCTGTCGTCACAGGGGAGGTGAGTGATACCGTTGAGGGCGTGCTCGGTAGTGATGACGATGGAGGATATGAAGACGAATGGGCAGCCGAAGAAGCCGGAACACTGCTTGTTGAGCGGGACGATGACGCGCTCCTACTAGCAGACGTCGAGGACCGGCTGGAAGAGGAAGATGCATGGCTAGAAGAAAGAGAAGGGTCAGTATCCGATCTACTCATAACACTCGCATCACTCGTAACATCAGTAACATAAGTCATGACTGTCGTGAAAGTCGTGGGGTTCATAAGAGAAGAAGACATGCCACTCGAACCGAGATCAACAGAGGAGGACGACCATCCGACGGGGGATGACACGGACATGGACACCGCCGAAGTCGTCGGCACATACGTACTACCACTCCCCGACGCTACCCTCGCACTCGTTGATAGGTTCGGATCGCCAGGCCCACTACCCGAGACGGACCCAGACATGCCGCCGGTCGTGCGCACCACAGAGGACGTTCCTGAGCCACCTGTGGCGGACGACGCACCCAAGCCCGCCGACGACCGACTATATGCGCTGCTCCCAACCGTCGAGCTCGGGCCTACGCCGTGATTACTCGACGTCGGCCGGTCCGACGTCCTCGAGAGTCCCGTACCACTAGAGACGGATGTAACGGTGCTACTGCCCGCGCTAGCGCTCGTTGTGCCGCCTCCAGTCCTGGCTCCACTAAAGGTAGAAGAACCAACACTGCGCGACACGCTCGCGGCAGAAGAAGAGCTCCCCGGAGCAGTGCTACTCGAGGCGCCGCCACTAGTGGAGGGACCGACGGGCAGGCTACCAGTAGAACCAGTGGAAACGGTCTCCGAGGTCGTCCCGGACGCCGAAGACGGAGGCGGTACTAACCCGGTGGAACTAGACGGAAGCGCGGAGGCGGAGGCCGACACCGACACCGACGCGGAAGTTGGAGAACGCGAGGCAGAGACAGAGGTAGATGAAGAGGTCCCCGAACTACTCCGTCGCGCACGCGAGCGCCGCGGGAATCGCCAGCGAGAGTCGCCAAAGTGCACCGCGAGCAACACAACGAATAGAAAGAGAAAGAAAGAACGCGCACGGTCAGACGGGTGAGACACCCACGGCCCAAAGACCAGTCGCACACTCACCTTGACGTACTCACGCTCGTGCTCCTACTCCGGGACGCGGAACTGGATGCCGAGGACGATGACCGAGAGTTTGAGTGCGACTGCGAATGTGAGGTGGACTGCGACTGGGACGTTGACTGCGAACGGGTCGACGACTCGCTCGAGGACTTGGGCCAGCTGAACGACAGCGACGACCACCTGCTTGACGAGTGCGAGTGCGAGTGCGACGCCGACCGGCTCCCGCTCACGGATGAGCTCGCACTCCGCGAGAATGGGTTTGACAGCGAGAACGACGTCGGCACGGAGACTGAAGTGACCGAGACTGAGGGCGCCGAGACTGAGGACACCGAGACTGAGGGTACCGAGACTGAGGACACCGAGACTGAGGATACCGAGACTGAGGGCACCGAGACTGAGGGCACCGAGACTGAAGACACTGAGACCGAAGGCACCGAGACCGAGAAGGACGTGGCCGAAGCCGCGCTCGTCGACTGCCCGCCGGACCCAGACTGCGGGTCGCCTCTGCTCTGCGAGCCTGGCGCAGATGGGGCGCCGGAATCGGACGTCAAGGCTGCCGGGGAAGTCGGGGCGGAAGGTGCTGAGGGCGAACTGGACATGTCCGACGGGGTGGACGACTGGGAGGCCGTGGTCGACAAGGATGCCTGCGCGCTCGTCGGGTCGGACGCGCTCGTAGCCGCGGACGCGCCTCCCGTTGACGTCTGCGCGCTGCTCGCATCAGAACTCGAGTTCTGGCGTGCCATGAGGGGCGGTGCAATGGCTTCGACGGGGAGGCGGACGCTCGCGTTCATATCCCGCGCGTTCGCAGTCTGGACGCAGGCGGCAGAAATCGGGAGGGGCATCTGCGCGCAGGTGAGGCTCAACGCAAGCAGGCCGAGCGTCGCGCTGATGTTCCGCGGGCGGCGCGCAGGTCTGGATGAAGAGTCAGCTCACCGCGCAACTCTGCTCTGGCAGAATAGAACGCACCTTTGCGGCGACCTCGCCGGCCCTGCGTGGACGGTGCTCGACATGTCTGGGCGCGTATGGGTGGTGGCGCGCGTCCGCTTCGGGGAGGAGGCTCGCGCAGAGCCGAGATGTATGCATGCGGAGGGGTGTGCGCAGGCGGCCGCGGAGGGCTGGGTATAGGGCGGGTTCGCCGGATCTAGACGTGAAGAGACGTGCAGAGAAATAATGGAATCTGTAGGGTAGATGCAAGAGTGAGACGGTCTACGATGCGGCAGTGGGTGGTCGTGAGAGGTGGGCGTGGGCGAGGGCGTGGACGGGAGGGCATGCGAGGCAGTCGGACGGGCGTGTTTTGGGGTATCATCGCGGGCGTGGGCAGAGACAGGGAGCATCGGCCGGGGATGCGGCAGAGGCGTATGTATGTCAGACTGGCGTGCCTAGTGACCAGGGTGGAGCCCAGCGCGTTGGCAGGGAGAGCGACCACAGGTGGATGGAGCACTGCTGGCAGCGTGAGTGTGCGCACTCGGAGGTGTGCGTGAAGCAGTAAGCCGGCGAGGACGGCGTGCGCATGGAGGGGCCGGCGACGGCGGGCGTCGCTGGCGGTGGTCGCTGTGTGGGACGGCGAGGGAAGGGGGCGTCGAGGGCGTGCGCAGAGGCCGCTGCGACATAAAACGGGCATCCCTGCCCACTGCTCCCGGCAAAGACGCCGCACGCACCGTGTCGCTGGCGCAATTCCCAATCTCGCAGATCTGGCGTTGCACGCCCCGGCATCTCGGCGCCCCACCCCGCGCCACCGCCACGCCGCCTCGTGCGTACGCCACCCCCGACTCCCCGCCCCGCCGCCTTGCCTCTTCTGCTCCCAGCGCGCCCGATATACCAGGATGGTCCCGGACTCACCTCGCGCACGCATGGAAACGGCGCACAGGCTGCCGGCAGCGCAGTCTGGGTATGCGCTCACCTATGACGCGCATCAGGTACACCTGCCCGCCTTCCAATACAGACGCATCTTATCGACCTCCTCTGTGCATCCCTAAATGTCATCGAATATTGGCCAGTGCGCACGCCCCCTAACACGCGTCGCGCTACTGCTCGCACCTCGCCCGGCGTCCGTCCACTCCGGGACGCGACCCTCCGCCGCCGACCACAAACAAGCTCGGACACCTGCTGTGGCGCTCCTCCTGAGAACCTCGCCCCTCGGCCCGCCGTCCGCGCCAATCCCCGCGCGCGAACACCCTATGTTTAGACGTGAAATAGACCGCAGGCGTCGAGAATCCTCACAGCACGTAAGGATTACTCACGCCCGAGCCCAAATGCCGTACGTATTGCCTCCTCTGCCTGTGGCGTTGGCACTCACGCAGTTCCTTGTAGGCTGAACATCGCACCATCTCTGCGTGATACCGCGCGCCGCTACACACGTGCAGTTGTGTTTCGTCAGTGCGAGGCCAACCGCGAACACTCTGAACGTACTAGGACGTCGCGTCTGGGACTCGCCCGCTCAAGGCTAGAGGCATCCACCACTTGTTCTTGAACAGCCTTGATCCCCTTCTGCCTGCGACGCGCGGTCAACTTCGCCACAAACCCGGCCCTCCTCCCACGTCCGACATCACCCGAGGTAAGTAAATCGCACTCTCGTCACCCTTCCTGTATCACTCTCCCACAGTGCCATGGCTTCGTGACTCTCTGGTAAGGCCCTCGCCTTACAAATGGCGACCCACGCTCTATCGAACGCGCCTTCGTGATCTCTGCGGCCTTCCGAGTCGCTGCCGGAAGGTAGGCAGTATCGCCGGTGCACCGAACTTCCACTGGACGCTCTACGCACGCGCGTGCTGCGTGCGCACGGCATGGACGTTCTACTCGGCTGCCTCTCGCTCGACGGTCGCCGCACGTTCAGTAGACATTGATTCCGCGTCGTCAGTTAGCAAGTCTGGCTGCTGTGCTGGGACTCGCGCGTGCTCGACGTGTCTCATCGCAGCGCGCGAAGGTCCAGACACGCTACATATCGTGAACGTATCGTGGCTCAGGCCTTGCTGTGCACTTCGACCACCCATCCAGCGATCACCTACGGCTACCCAGTCATCTGTCCGAACGCGCTCCCGCTCCCAGTCCTGCACCACATCCAGGTGACCCGTCCCCTCCATCGTCCCACGACTGTCGTCCCATCGAACAGGCCCGCCGCGCGGCCATCACTACCGTGCCACTCACTCAATTGGCGCCGGCGGGGGCGCCGTTGTGGACCTCGCGACTGACGAGTTCCGCCTCACACAGACCGCACACGTCGACATTCCTCACAGCACGTAAGTGTTACTCACGCTCGAGAGTGGTAGCGGGACTCACGCAGTCGTTACGATAGCAGCGCAGCGACAGACCAGCAGCCCGCCAACTCAGCTTGCTTCGGCAGCAGACGTCCAGCGACCCTACCCGCGATGCTACTGCATTCGCATTGCCGAAAGGCGGTGTCGCCTTTCCCAATAGTTGCGTGCGATGGGTGAGCTTGGCCCGCTCGGTATGAGGGCGGCTTGCAACGTATCTAACAACGCCTGACGACGCCCGGGCCCGTCTGAGCTGCCCGCACGATCGGACGTCGGACAGCGGCCGCGAGCCTGCGTATACATAATCTCGGGCCGTCTGAACTTCAAGCCCTCACGTTCGTATCAATGCGCCGGTCGCATGGAAGGTACTTTATGATTCACCACCTTGCGTCGACGCGAAGTCGGGACGATAATGGGGGCGGGGAGCTGGTGGCCCGAGCGTTTCGATCCGCTGAGAATCGGGTGATGGCGGGCGTGCAGGTACCGCGTACCGAGCACTGGTCTTCGGTTGCACAGGTGCCGAATCGCCCGCCCGGAGAGCGGTCGACCCGTTGGGTTGGCAGGAAGACGAGGACGACACACGCTCATGTCGGGTCGCCGTCTGATTGGTGTATGTACCGATGGGCCTGAGCCAGAGCTCGGTCGCTGGCTGTGTTCGCAGCGTGCTACTGGCATGGGCTACCAAGACGAGCCTGAGCACTGCGAATCCCACTGGCATCGCGAGGTCCCTCCCCTGGGTCTTGTCTCTGTTGCGCTCGTGAGGTCATTGTTCCCGGCGTGGAGCGGGCTTCTCACCCAGTCCAGGAGGTGAGCAAAGTGTTGATGCCACCGGGACGACTCTGATCACTACGCTTACAGGGTTGTGTTACATCGCTGCGAGCTGTGACTGGAGTTCACGATCCACCATGTCAGCACCCCGCCCGCGTGCTCGTGCTCCAACACGGCGACGACGACCTGGTGTCCAGTAACGACTCAAGCAGCAGGCGCGTCGTCAATGACGTACTCTGCTGTGCGTTCACTCGATCTCAAACTGCTGCCTCATGCCGCGAATGCAGGCATGAGCCACCCTGTGGACACCGTCGTCAACACCGACTAGCTCGGCACCCCCGCCGGCCTTCCCTGACTCTGTCTACACGACGACGAGCCCGGCATCTTGGATGACGACGCTGACACACCCGGTTCACCCACTACCGCTTCCCGGGCCATCCCGCGCTACTACCGGCTACCGAGATGCCAGATGTGTTACGCTAGGTTACCGTCTCGTAGACCCCGCCCTGACGCGCACTGTCTAGTTCGCGTCTCGAACACCCCACACTGTCTGCGTCTCTGGACGCGCAGCGCACCAGCAGCCCGCCTCTCCTCCCCGATTTCCCGTGCTCTCGACGCACGCACCAACCCTCCATACCGAGCTAACACCACCCGGCATGCCGAAAATGACGGAGATGTGCACGGAGCCGACGTGCCCGATGACGACGCCAGGACTGGACGTGGCCGCCCCGTCTCGCGTCGGGAAACACGCCGCTCGCTGGGAAGGGACAGATTAGATTGCAAAGGCATTCGCGCACGGAGAGAGCTTGCGAGCGGAGAAGATGCATCACGACGAGGTACGTACCTTCTCCGCCTCTACCCGCTGCTACATCTCACGACTCTTGGCTCCGTTCTGCTCGCGCGACGTCAGCAACGAAGGATACATGCCGGCAAATTGAAGACGCGTCGAGTACCGACGCACGACTGAGTCGCTCGGGGCCGGCGATACGCGCAAGACGCAGCGCTACACAAGAGACAGCGTACAAGAGGGCACGTTGTGAGCTGCGTTCTGAATTAGGGCGAGACACGTACCACGAGGAGTGCAGACGGCCGCGAGTACACGCGAGAACCTGCGGCAAAGACGTCTGCGCGCTAGGGATTGCGGCAGTAGGTAGACGAGCGAGATGATGTTCGGGTGAGCAGCGCGCGGAACAATTAGCAAGGAGGATGCTTACCACATGAATGCGAAGCGTGATCAACCCCGTCCAGTACGCTGTCGACCCCCAGGGATGCACATGGACGAGCGAAGCAACAATCACGTCAGTGGTACACCGAGTACTGTGTTGACACGAGACTCACCATGTCTAGAACACCACGCCAGTGACTGTGTTCCACCCCATCGAGTGCGCCACGATTCGGGATGGGGAAGGATGAGGGAACGGGGCTTGACGGGCTGCAAGGATGAGGTTAACCGTGAACAGACACGACGGCAGGGAACAGTCTCAAGCCAAGTCCGTTCAAATAACGGGCAGCCCGCAGGCGACAACACGACGTAGCCGAGGAATCGTGGGAGGCCGGTCATGACAGAAGAGCGTGTCGGGCATTACGAGCCGGCCGAGAGAAAGCGGAGGAAAGGGGACTCGTCCCCGCCGGACTGTGCAGCAAGTGGTGACGAACGAGGCGAGTACCAGTGCCTATCACAAGCTGAACGTTGACCGACCGCGTATACAGCCCTGCTCTTGACCCGACGCGCTCCACATCAGCACCGAGGACGTAGCGTGCAGATCCGGACGCAATAAGCGACCTCAGGCTGTCATTACCACTGGAGACCGGCGCAGATATTGCAAGTCCGTTCGGGGAAGTGACGACTTGGATGCGAATGAACATTGATGCACGGCGGTCACGATGCGGGACGACGCGCGGAGACGATGGGCGTTCAGGATGGACGGACTCGGAGACGCTGTGCACGGTGTCTACGGCGATCGGCTGGCTACGGGAAGCCAACCGGGATGTCTCAGGACCGTCCAAGGAAGGGCCCGACACGGAGACGACGTACAGATCGCGACGGGCAGTACACAGACAGGCACCACGTCCGAGCTACTAGTGCGGGTCCAGCGAGACGATCGCTGAGCGTTGAACACGCTTATGGGCGTGCCTGGCGGTCTCCGAGAGTCGGGGCGCGGCCGTCCTCGTGGACTCGTTTGGTCAGTCCATGCTCCAGTCGTAGCAGCTCAGCGACAGCTAATGAATCCTGTTGCAGTCGTGGTCATTGTGGCGCCTGAGTGCCCTCGATGGCTCGCTGGACGGACACACACATATCTCAGGGGGAGGACCCCCAGGTCATCAATACAGACAGCTCGTCACCGATCTGCTGCGTGGTGCGTTTCCTCTTGTTCTTTCGTGGTCTGAGGCGGCAGCCAGCTCGATCTGAGTGGGACTGTCCACGGACTCGGCAAGACGATGGCCACTCAAACGGCTGCGTCTCATCAGATGACGTGACGAGGCGGAGACCGGACACGCGTCAGCGATGGTCCGTGTCTCTGCCGTTGTGCTGTTCGCATGGTGAACGGTAGCATAGCTCCGTCTCCAAGTAGAACCGGGTCACGGTCTCCGTCGGAAAGTACGAGCGTGCGTTCTGCGAGATCCACGGTCCCCGGCACTCAACCCAGGAAGCCCGAGACGGGTTTGTCTGGTATACCCGGACCAGACCGTGACGTTGTCACGTCGAGCAGTCGCGCTGCGACGCACCGTCCGTGACTACTGTAGACTAGAGTACGCTACTCCGTCCGTTCAAATCTTGAATATATCAATGTTTCATCAGCGACGAACAGACGGTCATTGGATAATGAGCTTACCGGGTTACAGCCTACGGCAGAAGTGCTGGATAAGAATGATTAAGTACTCGAGACCAGAGTCTGAAGCAGAGCTTTACCTTTCAGATTGAGCCACAAAGGCGCTCGACATTGCCTCACAAGTTCGCTGCGAACGTGGGGTAGGCACGAAATCATTACGACTGTGGAGCAAGAGTTATTGTTGGTCAATACTCTGAGCCTACATCGAGACTTACCGGCAAAGCCGGACATCGATTTTCATGTACACGATTGTATACCCGATGCAAACCGGCTATGCTTGACGTAGTCAGCTGCTGTGGTAAGGAATCAGGATTCAAGGGATACTATTAGGGATTACAGTGTGCACAATACACGCTGAAGATCGAGTGTCGAGACGATGTTCATGGCGGTAGTGTAGCCACTGTAAGTGCAGTCAGTGAATGAGTCGTAGTGAGTAAGAAAGCGGCTTACAACAAAACCCGGCGAGATAGATGCTCGTACGCAGGCCGTGTGTATAAAGTGGTCAGTCACAGGACATGGTAGCATTCCGAAGCTCGCACGTACTAGTCAGGACACGAAGAGGGAAAGGGGATGATGGTGTTCTGGCACTGACGGGGCTCGCTTTTATACACTGGCAGGCAGGGCAGGCACTAGTAGACTCTCGCCAACGGACAGCTTACGTGCGGTGGTCCGTGCGTGGCAGAAAAGATCCGCGGGCATCGCATCACGTTGCCACGTCTACTCAGCACGGCGCCGAATGACCGCGGAGAACCCGCCAAGCATCACTTCCCGCTCATGTCGCCGGGCTGGTGCAATCGCAATTGTTCACCGCCGGCCGAGTATTTTTCAGCCGTTGTATGGCAACATAGAGGCACCATCTGATGGAATACACACCGGCGCTAGTGAAGGCGCCATTCGGGTGTTTCACGCTAACATCGCCGACACTGCGAAGGTAGCTTTCCGTGGATGTAGTTCGGATGCCTGCACGTCGGACTACTGCGAGTCTTGTGTTTCTGACCAGCTGACAGATATGTAGATTGCGCACAGACTTGTCTGTAGAGATTAAGACACGAGCCTGAGTGTGAATGAGCAAGCAACGGGGTGTACACGCGAGCGAGCCGAAGAAACAGGATCGAGCAGGACGAGTAGGATAGCCGCCCAACGCTGCAGTCCAGTAGCCTCGTGTTCTGAGATCGATCTGAGCGATCTCACGCCATTTTGGGCTGTCCCCTTCGTTCTTTCCGCTGTCTCTGATCTTCAATAAGCCCTCAGTAAGTACCATTAGATTGGATTGAATGTATCCCAACAAAATGTAAGTGGATTCCGAGGGTTGCGTGTTCGCAATGCACCCCCACAGTATATTTCAATTAGGCATTACTGGACTCGAGCGATCTTCGCAAGCTGGTGCTTACGGTGCACGATTCCGTCAAACATTCGTGCTTCGTATTCCCCGAAATCTACCATATTGTCACTTGAATTACAGAGCAGCATAGGGCCTTCTCTACCCAAGGGTATGAGCTAGTTCCGGGAGCTCCGGAAGTGGCTGACAGCCTTGGGCGGACAGAGCCCTTTCTGCAGACGATGTCGGGGCCCGGGCGGGGATCAGCCCGATGTCCGCGGATATCAGTCCGTCGCTTATGGGATTTCCGGAATCCGGAGTCACATTCACAGGATGCCCATTCCATCTCAGTGTGAATACTGTTGACTTGAGAGTTTTTGGCCAAGAAAGTCACACTGACTCGGATATGCAGGATTTAAACGTTGCCATTGAATGTCAGCAAACTTGAGGCCGTCTTTGATAAAGCATGCTTAGAATTCACAGTGACGATGTGAGACATGCTCAGGCCGGCATTAGTAATGTGCGATCAGAGCGGTGTTATGTTGCCGGTTGCTAATTCAACAGGGTACCAATATGTCGCAGGCGCAGCCCGAGGCCGGGATGACAAGGCCATGTCCGCGGATTTGATGGACTAACTCCAGCTTATATACTGGGGCAAACCTGGTGCATTATTCCGGTACCCCCCGAACTATGTCAGTGGAGAATGTGGATGCAAGTCGTGCTAGTATTCTCACTGGGTGATAACAGCCTAACAGTTCATAGGAGCTCTATTACTCGTTGGGTATGCGCATACAAACTAACTGGGAAGCTGTCGCAATTCACTGCAGCGAGCACTCTGGCATGGCTGATCATTCGAAAGACCAGCAAACTCTGATAGGTATGTTTCCTCACTCAGTTTACATGCTCATCGTACTCACGAGATTGTACGATTCCGCAGACTGGGCCTGGTCGCGGTTACACGTAGGCTCATTGGGCAAAAGCCCAGTCAAGTGAGTCTTCCTGACTGTGTGCCCGCGAGCCATACTCACTCAAATTCCCCCACAGATAGCAGTGTCGCTACAACATCTCCATCCCGTACAACATATAGACCTGCCCTATGCCGATGGTACATTGCTTTCCTCGTCTCCACATACACTGTCACTTACTGCCCCTTATTGACAGTCGCTCGAGACGGTCTATCAGTCATCTAGACGGTTCACGCACTCTTGGCCGGTCATCTGGCTGGGCAAGCGACGTAAGGAGCAATCGCCGCCCGGTCAGCACAAGGCCATTTGCGTCAGTCCCACCAGGACGTGCATCCCATACGCACGGTTATCACAGGAGGTCGGTTTTTATTGAGTACTCGTTGACCGGTACTGACCTCTGGCTGCCAGTCATCCGCGCGATACACGTCGCATGGACAACTCACAGACATAGGTCAGCACGTCTACACCTGTCCGTGTCGCCGTGGACCAAGGCTCTGTTGGTGTTCGTTCGCGCGCCGTTAAGTGGGGTTGCCATCCGCCTGGTGCACGCGCGACGGGTGCCGAACGAACGCAGAGCATTCGTGCTTTGGACTAGCTCAATCCTCGCCGTCCAGGCAACATCATCCCCGACCGGGTGAATGCCCGAGCACCATCCGGTCGACGCACGACGATGTACATCTGTCCCAGTCCACGCCCATCCTTGTCTTGACTCACGGCTACTTGGTAGCCTTCTTGCCGCTCGCGCGCATCGACGACACGCACGCCGCAGGCGTGCTGCACGCTGGCAAGGCGATCTCTTGCTGGGACCTGTGCCGACAGCCTCTGGACGAACAATACTCGCCGTCCGCACACAGTGCACCAAAAGTACGTCCAGTCCGGTCAATTACCCACCTTCGCGGCTCAGACCGGTCGATGCTCCGTAGCCTCGGGTCCCTGGCTGCATGACCCCTTCGTCTCATGCCCGAGCTTCCTGTCTCGGTGATCGCCTGCTGACTCGTACTCAGACAGCGCACCGCGATCGCCACGGAGGGCACTGCAGATTTGCTCGGTGGTCTCTTGGTTGTGGCTCGAAGGCGGGTCCCGTCGGCGCTGTCTGTGAAGCAAGCTCATCAGCACCCTACCTTGTCCCGTCGACAGCCTGCGCTACCTCCCCACTGTTGGTCGGCGTCCGGAACCCTCTCCCTTGCCTGGCCTCTGACCTTGCCCATCCCCGCCGACGGTCGGTGCTCGTTGTGTCGGCCTGCCCATCCGTGCCCGGTCTCCCCCCTCCTTCACTCGACCTTCGAAGACACGACATATCGCCGTCCGGCGAACTGGCCCGCGACGACGTGCGGTCGACGCCTTCCTTTGTGTGCAGATGACGCGTGGGGCAGTTCGCTCGTGGTGCACTCTTCAAAGCACTACTGCAACCTCAACCATGAACGTCTCGTCGTCCGTAGCCCTACTCGTCACCGCCGTCTCCTCACTGCGTCCCCTCGGTTGAAATGCCACCCGACCGTCGAAGACACGACACATCGCCGTCCGGCGAGCTGGTCCGTGACGACGTGCGATCAACACTATCCTTGACGAGTGTGCAGGCGACGCGCGCGGAAGTCTTGTGGTGCAATCTTCAAACGCAACCGGACCTGCAAAGACACGACAGATCGCCTTCCAGCGGACCGACCGTCGGCGACGCCTGCAAGCCCTGCCATGCGTTTTCGGCGATTCGCGAGTGACGTCCACGGCGCGATCCTCTGCGTGGACAAGACATGGAGCTACGTTGTCCAGCATAGTGATCGGTTGAAGACACGACGGGACACGTTCCAGCCAGCGGAGGATCAGGGGCGCGAGGAGTTTGGCTGTCGCGACTGCACTGCCCAACAGGACAGGTGAGTTTCTTGCACAATGAGATTGGCGATGCATACTGACCTTTTGCGATCGCAATAAGACTTGACGGGACGTGACCTCGACCGGCAAACACACGACGGACGGTCATCAGGCGAGTGACGTGGGGAGATGGTGAGTGTAGCGACAGGGGAATCCTGCACTCGGAAGGGCTACGAGGAGGTGAGTATCGGGCCGTCTGACACGTCATGCATTCTCTCACCTTGTGTTGCCGTATACGCTTGCAGAACGTGTACCGCGAGCGTACATCGTACGGGCTTGGCGGCGGCATTTGGTGCGCTGCTGACGTGCTCTCGTCTACCGCGTTATCAACTGGTCGAGGCTCCAGACGAGGCGCAGTTGGATTGAACGGGTGACGGGGTCCTGTGGCCGACTTCCACGCAGAGGTAAGCAATCCGCACTTTGCTGCAGACGGCCTTGGAACTCACACTGGGTCAGTGAAGTGGCACTCGTCTGCCACGTTATCAACCGTACGATGCGCCGGACGACCCGCAAGTCAGATTGAACGGGCGACGGGGTTCTGTGCCCGACTTCCTGCGTAGAGGTAAGCAGTCGGGCTGCAGATGACCTTAGTACTCACAATGGTCAGCACTCGCCTGCCGCGTTATCAACTGGTCGCCGTGACTGGTCACGTCCTGACTCGGCTGCACGCGTCGACGGCCGTGAGTGCGGTGCGAGACCCTGTGTGCACGGCTGACCCGGTTTGCGACGATGAGTGTCCCCGCGGGGAGGCGGACCTATGCTCGTACGAAAAATAAGAGAGACGGACCTTCGAAAGAAGGCAACTTTTTCAACTTTCCAGCCAATCACAGCGCGAGAACGAGCGTCTCCCGCCTCGGAGTGACGTCCGTGAAGTGACCGACACTGAGACCGAAGGCACCGACACCGGGAAGGACGTGGTTGAAGCCGCGCTCGTCGACTGTCCGCCAGACCCAGACTGCGAGTCGCCTCTCTGCTCTGCAAGCCTGACGTGGATGGGGCGCCGAAGTCGGACGTCATCCTCGCCGCCCTCGGCCTCAGGGATGAGCGAGCCGGAGACGGACGAGCGCACGGTGACGCTCGTCTGCCCATGACTGGTGTAGGTGAGCGTCCAGACGGACGTCTTCGTGACGGTCGTCTCCGTGTAGTGCACCGTCTTCGTCGTCGCCGAGTGCACCGTCGTCGTCGAGTCCGTCGTGGCGAAGTATGTAGCTGTCCGCGTGCTGACAACAGGGAACGAGACCGCAGTATTTGAGTAGGTCCAGGAGTACGTGGCAGACGCTGTCGTCACAGGGGAGGTGAGTGATACCGTTGAGGGCGTGCTCGGTAGTGATGACGATGGAGGATATGAAGACGAATGGGCAGCCGAAGAAGCCGGAACACTGCTTGTTGAGCGGGACGATGACGCGCTCCTAC